GCTACTTTTATTACTTTTTAGTTAAAAGCAGCCTATTGCGTCTAAAGGCTTAGCTTTTCTTTAAAAGGGGGCTTTATATATATTTTATGTAACTAAGGTCTATTATTTTTTTATTATAACAAAGAGCTTTTTTTTTTCTAGAAATAAACTTAGGTTTCTAGAGAGCTTCTCTACACTGTTTTTCTTTTTTATGTTCTTTATGCCTATTATTATAAAGTGTTGCTTTTATAATAAATTTTTTAAAAGTAGTTAGTTTTTTATTATATGTAAATTTATCTTTTATTAACGTACTTCATGGGCGAGTCGCTCACACACCCGAGTCGCTCACTTTTGCCAAGACCCCACCCTAACAAACTCTATTATAGCCCATAACAACCCGCTCTAGCACTATATAGTACAGTACAGCCTAGAATATTATTTAGATACTACTTCTGCTTCTTGCTTACATGTTTGCGTGTTATGCCTAGTCTAATTGCACTGTCTGCAGCGCCTTTAGGATAGCTTACCTACTTTAGCTTGCACCTGCTTCTTTGCCTTCTTCCTGTTACTGCGCGCCCTAAACTCCTTTAGAGCTATTAAGCGTAGGCCTTTTTAAATTATTAAGGTCTTTTCTGCCTTAATCTACTTTTTTTTATGTAATTTATGTTGTGTAGTAGCCTTATTAGCTGCTTAAAGCTTAGTAATTTTCTATTATACTAACACTAGCTTATATGTAATTATTACTGCCCTTTTTAAGACTTTCTTAAACACCTTAACTATAAAAGTTAGTAAACTATTTATATACTTTTAAATCTTTATTTTTATAAGCATTAATTGCAACCTAAGTTCTAAGGTATTGCTTAGGGTTTACAACTACTAAGGCTTATTATATATAAGTAGTAGTAGTAATAAAGTGCATAACTTTACATTAAGGCCTATTATAACTTATTATAGGTTAAAAGGAACTAATTTAGCGCCTTAGAACCTTTCTTAGATATTACTAAAAGTAATTATAGCATTATAGGCTACTTTAAAGCATAGTAAAAACTTTATTTTTATAATATAAGTAATCTAGTTGTGTATAAAGTTTTTAGCTTAGCGCTTATACACTTTCTTTAAAGAAGTAAAACAACCTACATTAAGTAGCTATAAAAAGTGCAATAAGTAAAAAAGTATGTAAATAGTAATAATCTTATTATTCTTATAGTATTACTAAAAATAAAGTAAGTTATAGCTTTTATAGCTATTAATAACTAGCAGATAGTAGCTGCTAACAGTACACTTCTTTATATGCACATTAAAGTGCTTTAACTAGTCTAGACTAAGCTAATTAGTAGTCTAGCTGCGCTTAGAAATTGCAATAACTTAATTCTAAAGTAGATTTTCTTTTTTATACTAGTTTAAAAAGTAGTTGCTACCCTAAAAGATAATAAAGAGCAGAATAGCCTACTTTTTAGCATTAATGCCCTAGATAGATGTTGTCTACTCCTAGTTACCTAGCTAGACTGCTTTTAGCTGTCCTTGTCTCTTTAAACTTATAATAACTGCTCTAGTAGATATCTAGCCTATTATAAACCTTATCTTATTAAAGTTATATATGTTGTTATTCTAGATACTATACTTAGCTTTAATATTCTTTATAAAGTTAAACTAGCCTTAAATTACTATAAAAAATTTATAAAAAGCTCTTTTATAGTTATACTTACACTTAAACTTTACTTTAAGCTTTAAGTAACACTTAATAAATATATTAAGCTAGTTTATGCTAATATAGCTTATATTACACTTAGTGTGTAAAAAATTAGCTATATTAGCTACAGCTACTAGCTAGGGGGGAAATCCTTACACATCTAGCTTAAGTATGTGCTAAATAATTACTTACTTCTTGTTATTATCTAGCTTTTATAAGTTAGCTGTATAATTAGCTTAGAAAAGTTGTCTAGTGTGTTAGTTACTTATTATCTTTTAAAGAACTCTATAGATAGCTGCAGCATGTTAGTTAAAAAGTATTATGTTTTATTTAAAAGCTTAAAGTGTAAGCTACATTTAACATTCCTTTAACACATTTAAGTAGTGTTGTTAGGAATGCATTAGTGTAGAAAGAGTAGTGTAGTAGGGTCTTAGCAAAAGTAAGCAACTTAGGTGTGTGAGCAACTTGCCTATAAAGTACGTTATATCTTTTAAGCTATTATAGAACATTTAATAAAGTGCTTTTTAGTCTATCTATCTATAGATAGCTAGTTACACCCTAAAGCGCGCTGCATAGTACTAGGCAGTGCCTTTTCTTTATTTTAGGGCATTTAGCTTATTAGCTGCAATTTTCTGTTTATCTATAGTTTTATAGATAGTTAATAGGGCTTCTTTAAAAGCTTCTATGCTGCTAAATATTTCTTTAGTCTTAGAATTTAGTGTAGTGCTATTTACTCTAAAGTCTATCTAATTGTTTACGTGTGGCTAGAACTAAATTATAGAAGGTCTTTCTAAATATAGTCCTATCTAGGATATTATTTCTACATTAGTTTAGAATGCTTCTCTGTTATATTACATATAAAAGTAGCATCTAGTAAAAAATAAGCAGAGGTTCTTAGGCAATCTTTTAAAAGGCTTTAAAAAGGCTAGGCTTAAAGTCTTTTTAGCTATAATACTTATTTTTTTAGTTAAGATATTCTAAAGTTTAGCTAGCTTTACCTATAACGCGTGTATCTAGTTTGCAGAGCTAGTAGCTAATTAAGGATTTATTAGAGCAGGCTAGTTATTAAATTTAGCTACTTTCTAACATAGGTTTCTTACTTCTTTATAAAGGCTAACTAGTTTACTAATCTTATTACTAATTTATTAAAGTTCCTTTATGTTTTCCTAGATGCTATTAATCTGTTCTGCTAAGACTTTTTTATTAGCTATTAGAACTTCTGTTAATCCTAATAAGGCTAAGTAGGCTATGTTAGAATTAAAGTTATGTTAAGTAGTTATACTTTTTAGTAGAGTGTAATATTTAATGTTACAATTCTTACTTTATAAAGCACTTAGGTTAATGTTATTACTAGGGTAGAATAGGGTTAAGGGGCTAATAGTAGGGTGTACAGTCCTACGTAAGAGCTATTAGGCTAATAGAGTGTGTGGAGAGCGACTAGATTGTAGTTTGTCCCTATTACAGCAGTATAAAGGCTAGGTTAAACAGTCCTGTTAGACAGAATTAGAGGTATATATGTTGCAGAATATATAAATAGTATTATAGCTCTTTAGAAAGCTAAATGCTACTTAGTTTATGTAAATAATAAACTAAACATTAAATACACCTTTTAAAGGTTGTTTAAGGTTAAGACTATATACATGTCTAATAATGCTAAGAACAAGTTGTGTAAGTTTATGCAAGCTTGCTAAGCGCAACTCTATAAACTCTCTTAGGCTTGTTCTAAACTTCTAGCTTGTCTTCTTACTAGACAATACATTCTTCTGTAATCCTAGGCAGCTGCGCTGCCTCCGTGCCTTCCGATTGGTCCATAAGCGAGCCCTGCCCCAACCTGGCTAGATTGTGGAGCACTTCGGGTGGAGTTACGTCGGTCCAACCATAGACCGTAACAAGTACCTACACAGGTAGACAGGTTAGCAAAAGGAACAGTACAGGCATAATAGACAGAAAAATCTAGAAAGAGGGCACTTGCTAGTTCTAATACGCCATGTTATTCTTACGATAACTCTCCGTCACGTCTGCAATTATTAGGCGGTCGTCTAGCAACTAGCCTTTGTACAACTGTAAGGCAGACCGCGCCCTCTCCCTCTTCAACTCCAAGTCATCAGAGAAGCAGTGTGAAGCTTTTGCAGCTCCTACATCCTCCTTACTAAGTCGTGCACAACCTATATTAGGAAATGCTGGCTTGTATCCCTTAGGTGTAACGCAGCACGAGAGCTAGGTAACGCTTAGAAGCTCAGTTGCGCAAGCTCTAGAGAGCCTAACGTTAGTAGACCAAGTCCTAAGATTGTTGCTTGAAGTGTCGTAGAATAGGGAATAGATGCAGTAGAGGATTCAGTAGAGGGACTCGAGATCCTAAGGGCCAGCAGGAAAAGCAGAGGGTAAGGGTGTAGGCAGTAGTCTTGTCGCGAAAGCAAGCAAGGATTCGTTTAAATGTCTAGATTAAGGGAGGGATGAGGATAGAAGAGGGACACGCACTTCCTGGAAGCTCAGAGAGGGAGGGGGGGAGAGAGAGATAGCAGAGTTAAGGTCTATTTATGTGCGCGGATGGAGAGGAGGGCCCAAAACGGCCACCAAGCACAGGCCGTCTACGTCAGCAGAGAGTAGTGCGGCGCAGCAAGCAGAATCCGCACATCCTGGGGGGCTTCTCGCAAGCGCGCGACAAGAAGGCCAAGTAGGGGCCATGGTAGAGGGAGGGAAGGCGACGATGGTACGGGAATGAGGAATTTCGACGGCGGCGCATTCGGAGAGAGGCAGGGTGGCAGGGATACAGAGGCAAGTCAACACCGAGGAGAGTGAATGTAACGGGTGCAGGGGGAAGAAGCAAGAAGCTACAAGAACAGGACGGGTTGGCGAAGGCAGATCAGGAACATGACATCAGTATATTTTACCGTACAGAACCGTTAGATTTCGAGGACGGGCACGGAAGAACCACGAGGCCGAGATGGCTTGGCAGTCAGCGCAAACGCCAGCAGTAGAGACTTTCCCGTAAGTAATATGTGCTTGCTCTAATATACGATATTCTACAGAATCCTTTACCTAAACTGTCCTTCATAAGTAGTTTACAGAAATCAGTGACACGGCATTTCTTCAATTAGGCTTCTTGAAGAATTCCAAAGGTTGAGAGGAAACGCTAGTGCTGTAGCCTTGGGAGGATCGCATAATTCTGCCAGCGGTGCATCACCAGGAGTGCTGGGGCGAGGGCCATCCCTTTGGAATGTTACCGCATGCATCAGGTCATGTCGGAAAGCCTGCTCCCATTAAGGTACAGAGACTGGCATAGTGACTTTCAGACCCCGAATACTTCATCAGAAGCAATGGAGAGTGTTAATTCACCTCGCTACAAGCCATAGAAACCACACTAAAGACGCATATCTTCCCCCTCATCCCAGGGCCACTGCCAAATATTCCTCCTTTGACCCGCAAAACCTAAACCTTCGGTGCCGCCTTCTCGAGAATCTCTTTCCTGGCCTCCTGCACTGGACTCGGATCCATCCAGTTCTCCACCTTCTCAATCCAGAATCCATTCACGCCCCTCGGGCCTTGGACTTCCTCGTCAAATTCCGTCCCTGCCTTCCCCAACTTCAGCGCTGCGAACTCTGCCACGAACGCTGGCTTGTCTTCCTTCCCTTTGAGTATTGTCGTAGAGCTCCAATCCATGAGTAAAGTGACCTTGTCCTCAGCTTCGGCAATGATCCAGACCCGGTTCACGGTGTGGGAGAAGGACGCGGTCATCTGGTCGCGCATTTCGAACATCTTGGCCATGCCGGCGAAAGGGAGCGGTGCATCGGCATTAGTCTTGATTGTTGCACTGGGGGAGAAATGGAGGGAGCGGGTGGTGTGGGAGGTGCCGTCAAGGGCGGAGATGAAGGACCGAAGGAAGTGGAGGGCTAGATGGTGTTAGCCGGAATCGGAACGGTGAGGCGAAGAAGGCGGTGTATACTTGGTGGAGCATCTTCCGGGATCTCTTTGAGATCGCCAATATGAACGTAGGTAGAAGCCATGGTGTTAATTGCTGCTAAAGCCTTGGAATTGTCTTGTGAAGCGGTGATGGTGCTTTGATTGGATGAGAGCTTCAGCCGGGCAGATCAGTGCTACCTGTGAACCTTACAGCCTTCGCTTGAACCAAGGAAGCCTATCGCTAATTAGCAGAGTGTGAATCAGAGACCAAGGCGGCCTCAGAAATATACTGACAGAGAGATATAATTGGAAATTGGGGGTCTGAAACGGTTGCCTTACTTTGACTCTGAGTCCGATCCGTGGAGCTGAAGGGAGGCCAGAAAAGACCAGCATACATATGTGTGCGCCAGATGCCCCAAACTCCTCGAAGTGACGGATTGCGGGATGCTTTCACTCATTCTTCAACACCTCTGTTCTAGCCTCGTATTCGCATTCTTGCCTGTCTGTGGAATGCGGCTGCCTTACACCAGGCCTTATCAAGCGGCGGTCGGTGAGGGGTTACAAGCCTCACGGTTGATCTATGGAGTGATGAAGAATGCAAAAAAGGTACTTTAAGGGCCTGCAGCCCTCGGTACTCTGCACACTCCAAACCTTGGAGATTCTTATCATCATTTCCGCCAAGACGACGAGGCTCAGCCAGATGACGCGATGACACGAGACCACGTGAGTTTTCTTTGTAATCTTGACGGCAGCGGCAACCAGCACTTGGTGGAGTAGCACACTATCAGTGCTTCACATCCAACTTGGGTGATCATCTCGTAATAATTGACATACCCCAGGTTCATTGCGCAAGTCACGAGGTTTTCAGAGCCCAATTTCCCCTCACGATAGTCGCCCAAACGGATTGGCTGGAAGAGTCGAGGATGGCGCCCCCTTGAAAATGCACATCCCCGACAGCCGTAACTGCATCCTTCCACCACACTCCCACTCTCTTGCAGCATCAGAACTGCACATTTCCTCTCTGCTCCTCTCTGCTAACCCGTCTGCTAACAATACAGCGATAGAACCGGTCACCGCGATGAATTCTGTGTGGGAAGAGCCCCCTGCTCAGCCACGCTTGTCGGCCACTGAGGGACGATGCCCCAGGCAGGCGGCCGCCCACCTGCGCATCCCACCCCATCATACGCACGCCCGGGACCCGCAACCCTTCGCCCTCTCTCACGAACTTTTTGAGACACGGCTAACATCTCTCTACCACCCTACAGCATTTATATTCACCCCTCGCTAGTTCTTCTCATATACTTGTCGCTCTTCCCCCACGCTCTCCTATCTACTATTTCCGTCCTCGCTGCCACCTTAGGCACCGAGATTTCGCACCGTAGCATGTACACTTTGCTTGTCGTCGTCTTGTTGATTGCCTTTCTATTTGAGCCAGCAGTGGCAACGAGTCCAGTCATGGATGCGACGCTGCTTACAACTCCCATGGAGCCATCCTACCCAGACCCAGAAGGCATCCTCACCGGCTTCTGCGAGTTCTGCGGGTTCTTCACCCACCGGTGTGTGCATGTCATGGTAGGTATGCCTCTGACGAACAATCTTCTGGCTGCTAATGCTCGTAGGGGAACGGTACCTGGCAACGGCCATTTACGCCTTCCACATTCCTCGACCATCCCGAATGGCCGCGAGATTACCTGCCAGTTCTTCCCGCGTCGTCACCCGAACTGGAACCGCAACTCCCATACTACACCAGCGCCGACAGGCAGACGCTGAAAGATGAGGTGGTGCGACAGCTTGAAGAGAACGCCACAAACGTACAAGAGGGTACTGTACAAGCACACATCGAGGATATATACACGCCTGGCGATCGAACCACAACCACTGCGGGGTCACAGCGGGCAACTCACAGGCGACAAGCACCGCGACCCGGTGGCTTCCCTTGCTCTTATCCAGGTTGCGGCAAGCCGTTCAACCGCCAGTGCGATCTCAAGTGAGTCTAGTCCATGTATGCTGCTCGCCCATGCTCAGACCCGCAGACGTCATTCCAAGACTCACCAACCACGCTCCGAGCGGCCTCACAAATGCTCGGTGTGCAATGAGGGTTTCCTCTACCCGAAAGACCGCAATCGTCACGAACGGACACATGACCAATCCTCGTCGCCGGAAACCACGCTCTACTGCCCGGTAGAGGGTTGCAACAACCGCGACGGCTTCTCTCGTCGCGATAATCTCCTGCGACACCAGCGGAAGCAGCACCCACGACTGCACTTTCGCTTGTAACTCGACACGAAATACCACAAAATTTAGGATCATTGGCATTGGCGTTCCGTTTCGGTCTGGACTGGTTTGGCTTGGTACGACATCCTGGTGTGGCTATTCTTAGCCTGCCTCCACGCGAGATCTCTGCATGTGATGATGTCGCTTTTTCTTCTTGGCTTCATGGTACATAATACCCCTCCTCAGCGCTCAGCGGCGCTACTAGTAATGATTTTCCTTCATCCCTTGCTGTCACATGTGCGCGTTCTACACTCTGCGCTCTGCTCTTTTGTGTTTGAACGTCGCAGCCCTTTGATTTATTCCCTATTGCTACCTTTCCTCATGGCTTCGTTTCAGCAAAAAAGTTCTGGCAGTTGCAATTTCCCTTTCAATCATCGCCGCGATTTGTCGCCGTTGACGCGCGCACATCTTACTGCATGAACGCTTTCCTTTCCAAGACTTAGCTTTCTAAATTGCGTCATGCCTGCAGTTCGTTCTGCTATCAGCTTGGACTATCTCATTGATGTGCTTGAGTTTGAGTTTTTCGTGTTTGGTTTCATGCCTGCAGTTCACTCTGCTATTGGGCTGGATCTGAGAAAGATCGGAGGGTGGGTGTTTAATGCTCAGGTAGCGAATAAAATTACTCTCTCCTCAATTCTGGTTCCTTATTCGTCAATGCGAGTGTTGATGGTAACTGGTGTGGATTTGCTCTGGGTCAGATTAATCGATGCTGTGCTTGCGCGTGAAAAGGTGATTAATCCAATTGGTTAGGGCTTGTGCTCTATTACGGTTGTCCGCTAAAGAGAAAATGACAGAAATTCAGCAAAGAACTAGCATCCTGTTTAACAATCTTTCTAATTCTAGCAAGAGGCTTAACGGATAGACTTCACCCTAGTCGTATTCCACATTTTCATATGCTGTAAAGTTGCGGCCTTCCGGTCTCGGATGTTGGATTAAGGAGGGGTGATGTGGTCCAGGTAGGTTTTCTTTTGAACCGCTGTCTCAATTCTTGCAACAGGCCAAAACCATGCTAGCCTCTTGCCCAACTTTCCATGCTGCGCACTAATATAAGAAGTCAGAGGCTGTTGTTAGGCAAGTTTGCAGGATTCAAGCTAGCAGTAGGTGCAGCTTCCAGATATTGCGCACTGATTAGAGCTCAAGGTAAGGATGCTGGCAGAGTCCCCATTTGATAGCGCCGTGAAGCTGCTTGGGGCTTCGCGATACATCCATCCAGCAGCAAGACAGCCGCCGAAGTCCGTCCCCCGACCTCTCCAGCTGTCTCGAGGTTCGCTCTTTCCCAATATTCCCAATTACTTTCACCTCACCAACGTGCCACCTCAAGCCACCTATTCTTAGATCGCCAAACCACTCCACTCCGCCACTCTCCCCCAAAGTGACCCGATTCCGCTACTTTTTCAATTCCTATATAGATCTAATATATTTGAGAGTTTTTTCAGGAAGGTAGCTGCGTAGGAAGCTTCGGCTGCCTGCACTGGTGTCACCACCCCTTCCTTTTTGCTCTTTTTTTGACTACTGAGATTGCCTGTTTGGGATTTGTAATTTTTGGTTGTTTGGTAGGAAGGGGTTCGAATGAGAGGGAGGATCTCTCTTTTTCTGATGTTTTAGAGGATGGTGAGCTAGAAAGAGGGGTGCAGTTGGAGGCGATGACTTCTATCTCTGGTATGTCACGAGTATGATGGACATTGGCTTCCGTCTGTGGTTTCTAATATCGGATTTAGTTGCTACTTTTTGTTTCAGCAAGCAGAGGTCACATACGCCTCATGGTACTTTAAATTCATTTGGAGTTCGCTAGTTTCTGCTTTATCTTAGAAAAACACCGAAGGATGAAAGTAGAATAACCTTGGAACCTTGACTAGCCGATATTGCTAGGAAGGTTATCTCTACATTCACGATCGCCCTCACGAAGTTGTTGCACCTTGTTGAGAGCTCAGGTTGGATACTTTACCATCTCATGCGATGCCCGGTTTCGTTACGCCCTATTACGGATTCGACAACACGAAAAGGGAGGATCTCCTTCTTCATTTCCACTCCAACTCCTTCCTAGTGCCCAACTTAGAAGGGTCGGTCCGATGTCCAATTTCTCTCATGTTATTAGATAGCAAGCTATGATTCGAGGCGTTATCCTATCGCTGAAAAGGACTGGCCTCACCAAGATCGGGTTGACGATTGTTCATTTCCTGTTACCTCTAATCTCATTTTGGGTCTTAGCCACTTACGTCTGGATATAACAAGAGCTGTGGGGTCGATGCTATTTGTATCAACCAGAATGATAAGTCCGAGGAAGGGGTTCAGCCGAGTCTGATGGGTAAGGTGTGTAGAAAATCACTCTACATCTACAACCAACGCTGTCAAAGATCGGATCCGTATCTAGGACTTTGGCACTACGAAGCAAAACAGTAGAGCTGGAGGCTGTTGCCCCACGGGGCAGCTGTCCTGCTTCAACGAGGGTAACAGCTTTCTTCGTCTTGACACCTACACTAGTTGACAGCTTGCGCTTCGTGACCTCATCCTCGCTCCGTGTGGTGTCTGGTCGAGTCAGTTTCTCCTTGGGTCCGACAGGCTCTCTACCTTTCATGATCCTCGGCTTGGGCTCCTCCTCCACATCTAGCCAAGAAGGATAGCGTTGCGGAAAGAATATCAGTCGGCGAGACGGCGTTTGAAGCAAACTGAATTGGAGACACTCGCCGACTAGGTTGCGACAACGTGACTGCCTGAGCAGACTTCAGTGAAGGGACATGTTAGACTTCGGAAGACGGTAGAACTGTGTTAGGGGAGATTTCGTACAAGTAGAGGGTCTACTAGCTCAAGCAGAGGTATTGGAGAAATATTGCTGTAAATCAATTAAAAGATAGTCGAATGAGTTCGCCACAATTTAAGCATGTAAGGTGCCTGAGGAAGTGTTGCGGAAATGTTGGCCGGTCTATTCTAGAGCGGTTTTTTTACATGACTACGGTAGAATTGATTTGTTAAACTTCTTACTAGCATTGGGGAGACCTTCCAGACAATAAAATTTTCTGTCTTAAATTAGGCCTATGTTATGTTCCATGTTAAGTGATAAAATGCAGCAATACAAGGCACTCTTCCCAACCTTAGCTGTACATCTCAGTGTTCACATCAACTCTTCCCAATGACCACTACAACTGAGAAAAAAATCAACAGGATGCAGAGTTCTATCCTAAATCCCCCCCTACCACGTTCCATGTTAAAAGGAAGATTCAATGATTTACACAGTGATCCCAAAACCCCCTAAAACCGGCAAAACCTTTTGCTCCACCACCGTTCTTAAATCCTGTTCCCTATCCCCACCCTTCACCTCACTCCCCGTCCCCGGAATCTGAAATCCTTCCTCCACATCCCTCACCCTCTTCCTCGCAACTCGAGCATCATACTGCTCCGGCCCATTTTCCAACAAATACCCCAAAAGCGCCTCCCATCGTGGAAGATAATACTCCCCAACCAACCCACCCCAAGACTTCGACGCATAGTCATTGATCTCGCCGTCAGGACCCCACAGCGTGATCTGGTTTCTGGCGTTGTACTCGTAGAAATCTGCGATATGGGAAGAATTTACCGGAGCGAGAGAGCGGGCGGAAGATATCCAGGTCGAGAGGCTGAACTGCGGGAGGGTGAGGAGGAGGGCGTCTAGAGAGGAGAGGAGGGTTGTTAGGGCTGTGGCTTGCGTAGTGAGAAGTATGGCTTTGGCTGAATTTGTTGTATTAATGGATGTGCGGGTGGAGCTGTTCCAGGTCTGTATGAAGGCCTGGTATTGCCATAGGAAGGCGTTGGAGAAGACTTGGCGTGTGATGTCAACGAAATCATGCTTATACGCTGGGTTCGACCACAATTTATCATCCCTCTCCGCTGCGGCGTATATGTTTTGCCATGCGCCGACGACAGCAGCAGGATTGTAGTTGACCGTTGTAGGATGGTGCCCCGTTCGATTTGTCAGACCCGTAATATTCGGTGCTAGTTCGAAGATAGCCTTAGGGACTGCGTTTGATTTGAGATCTGGGTTGTTGTACGCGCTCGTCCTTAGTAATTCCCAAGTTGTGTATAACTCCTCCGGTATTGAGTTGCTCCCCGCGTATCGATTCTTGGTCCAGCCGCGGAAGTATTGTTTTGTGTCGATGGAGGAGGTTTGCCATGCTTGATCGAGCAAAAGTGCGTAGATAATCTCGTTCCCCTCCTGACCCTCGGGCGTAAGTCCAAAGCCTACCAAACTGGAGGAATTCTTCAACGCATCAATTGGATTGATCGTGATATTATCAATCTGCCCATAAAGTCCCATATTTCCACCATAGTCGTGAAGCTCGTTCCAAACCCAGTGCTTCCCGTAATAGGAATTTGTCCTCTGCCACTGCGGTTGGCTTTCGGAAAATAAATCAAGGATAAGCATGTCGGAATCTGTTTCTACACCGGAGAGATACGCTTCTACTCGTTCGTTGCTCCAGAAATCGGAATTAGAGTAGAACAGCCACCCTTGCATAACCCATACCGCAGCGGAGTTTGCAGATTTGAGAGATTGCCATGTACCGCGCGTGACGTTGCGGAGATAGTCGAGGTTTCCGGAAAAGGGATCATTTTCATTGTATTGATCTAGCGTGTAGAATCGAGTGATGTTACCATAGTACTCGATTTGTTTGCTTATCACGCGGTTCTGTAAGCAGGAGAATAAGGGGTCGGAGGGCTCGAGAAACGTGGTATTTGTATATGCGGGAGGGAAATCTTCCCAGCGGCTGCCGTTGACGACGCTTGCGTTAGGATAAATTTGAGGGAGGGCGCGCGGAACGAAGCCGGTGAAGGCGGGCAGTATGGGTGTCATGCCGAGTTCAAGCATTCGTGCAAGAATATGTTTTTGGAGGGCAAATTGAGACTCGATCCAGTCAACGGGAAGAGAGTCGTTCCATGAGCCTTGGATATTTCCAAAGCGGTTCCAGGCTTGGAAGGCGGGACCAGAGAAGAAGGAGGTAATCTCGTCGACTGTAAAATTGAGCTCACTAATTCAGCATTAGCGCCAGGAACCATGGGTGGAGAGGCAGGGACAAGCTTCGGAAGAACTATATGTACCAGAAGACGTCAAGTAAGATCTTCTCGAATCCAACCCAGGCCAGGGGTAGGTTTACCCCATGCAGAGCCATCCAATCGAGCTGAAGTTCCCAATCGGACCATGACCAGAACGAGGTGGTATAGGAAAATGTTACTAGGAGCTATCAGCCTTCGAAATAATAAGAGGGGAAACCTTGGACCCAAGCGAGACGTGAAAGGATTGGGACAAAGAATTAGATGCCGGAGCAAATATCCATTGACAACTTAAAAGAACTTCCATCTACGACAGGAACGCCTTTCTCGCATTTCACGAGGAGAACCACAATGATGCCTTAGTGCATGAGCGAAACCCCGACCAAGCTTCCCGAATATACCCTCACTCGCGAAAGTCAGACCGAAGATATGTTTGGGGAGGTTGGTGCGGAATCTGCCGCAGGAATGATGTAAGAGAGAGTTGACTTTTACGGCTCCTGAGACCTGACGATGATACGCACAAGTATCCATCAGCTACAAGAGTGACTTCTTACAAGCATAGATAGAAGTAGCACCGGGATATAATTGCCAAGGAAGACTAGGAACCGACCCACCCGTGTTGAAATAGTACCTCCAAGGCACAAGGCTCTTCCCAACTATCGTCCCATTAGGCATCGGCAACGGCGAATTGACCTGTTCTAGACGACTTCCAATGAACCAGTACATATCCACATGGGCCACGTCCGTCAAGTATCGTCGGAGGCCTGTCGCAAGAGCGCTCAACGTATTCCCTTGAATGGTAATCGAATCATTCACTCCGCTAATCGTGTATTCATCGTTCTGAATCACGGAGGAATTGGAAGGTACGGTCGTATTTTCAAGCACAAACACAAAGTCTTCGTAATGGAAAGGCAATCGCCGCTTGACCAAATCGTAAAGACCACTGGTAGATGTCGTTGCGACGCTCGCCCAGCGCAAAGCGAAGAACCCCAAAATCGGTGTAAGGCGCATTTCAGCTTTCCAAGGTCTCCTCAAGGCTGCGACCAGCATTTCCAAAGAGTCCACCATCGTGCTTTATGTATCCTTTTGAAGTATCACCGGCCTGTCCCCTTCACACGTTGCAGCTCTAATTTGCTGCTGCCCGCATAAATCCATGTCCCCATGGGGTTCGCCTTGCGCCCCATGACGTCAAACCTCTGATTGGCCTTTCCAGCCAACATGTTGGTATTCAAGGCAACAGCATAAAACGGCTATTTTGTGTAGCGAATCCTTTGTCGGGAAGGTGGAGGGAGTACGAGTAAATTCGATATGGAGGCGGTTCTTGTGATGTTAGGGGGGAGTTCCCATTGGGCGGGAGGGGTCAATTGGGATGAGGAGAGGACGGGCCAAATGAACGCTAACAGCCGGCGTTGTCGATAAGGCTCCATAATCCGGAATGTCGGTTCCACGCTTGGCAGTGGCCGAAAGCCGGGTTCGAGAGGTTTGGAATTAAGCATGGAGGGTGGAAATAACGTGAGCTTGGTCAAATTCAAAAGTTTGCCGACTGAGAAGATGTTGCATTTCCCACGGCCAAGAGATACAGCCGGGCGGGAATGCATCCTTTCGCCCTCGCACAGAGGGATCCTGACTCACGATTGTACATCGTTCAGTCCTCAGCCCCGATGGATCGTCTAACGGCGCTGGGCCAGTGAACGACCGCTCTAGATGCTGCGGATGAGCTTTGAGGAAGACTTTGTGCACTCGAAAATGGTACATCAAGGATCGTTCGTGATGGTGGATATCGAGAGGAAACAATTGAAATGAGCTCTTGGTACGTGTGTAGATGTCACCAAGGTATGAGAAGTTGAGAGCAAGATGCTAGAGGTGGTGTTGAGGCTTCGGTGCTTTTTCGAACTTGGGTTGGTGTGGATGATGGAAGGACCTTTTCCGGGTCCAGAACCCCCATGTGGTCTTTCAATCGGAAACGCCACAATTGGCCGCTGCTCGTGTCACAATGTCCTGTTGTACGCCCATGCTGTGCGAATGGGTGTGCGGCTGAAGCAATTTTCTGGACTACCAAGCATCGCGCACTTCCTAATCAGGGGCCTCTCGCAGGTGATCGATATTAACGGGCAGTAATCAGTCGCTAAGGCTCTTCGATGCAAGTTAGGCTCTGTCAGACGACATGTTGGGTTGTTCCACCTGGGGATAGTGTCAGGCACGTGTTTTCCAGAGATAAGATTTGGGCGAATGGTGTAGAGGTGAGGGATAGGCTAGCCAAGGATCCACAAAACGCACTCTCCTGCAAATTTGCCCTCAAATTATCGACATCGGCTCTGGCCCGGCGGGCCACTTTCCAATTGGAATTCTGTCTGAACAGTTCACAGCTCCGCAGTGTGCATCCTGTGGCCAGTAGCGGTTGCATGTAACATTGGATTGCTTTTTCAAACATTGACGGCCCCGCAACAACAGCTCCGAGAGCTCCAAACCGGGTTCAAGCCCCGCTGTTCCTGCTGTTTGCCGCCCCGCCTTTGCAGCCAGACCCTACCCTGGGCTAGGCCGGCGCGCCATGTGTTCATCGCTGCAGTTCTAAGCTTCTGATTGATTATTTATCTGATGGGAACGCCGATCAACCGTGTACTGTGCCTCATGCTTTAACACAACAACTCTCTTCCACCGTTTTGCTCGCCTAAAAAGAGCTTGAAGCCCTCCCAAGGGCTACAGAGGCTTCGCCGCTCAGGCGTTCGTGCCCTAATTTACCCGATCGGCCCGTTCCTCCTAGGCACCCGATTCCGCACTGCACGAGACCCGCCCATGTGCCTCATTCCGAAGCTTCAACGAGGCTGAAAATGTCTGCAAGCCCACTACCTTTGCGGACGCTCTACTTAAGTTCTGCCTAGCTTGAAACGCATGACTACGGAGGACTCTATTGTCTACAAGTCAGAAATTTGTGAGAAGGCTTCAGGGACCTTCTGCCTGAAAGAAAGCAACATTCGGAACAGCACATAGAAGCCAGTTCCGAGTAGCACGCGCAATAGCACGCGTGCCAATTCCCTGACTCCAACAGCCTCACTCTTATTTCGACTCTACCTGTGTAGCCTACTTCTTCTCATTCCACGATTCCCTCGCTCTCACAAAGCTTGCCCGCTTCTTCAAACTCCACCAGCAGCTCCTAACTTCAATCATGGCGGACAACAACTCCCTTCCAACACCACCATCCACAGTCGACAGTAGCACTGTTCCACAAACACCGCCCTCCGCTCCAAACCCTGCCGGAGACGCTGGTGTCCTACCCGAGTTTCGTGCTGTTTCGCTCGATGCCGTTCCCTCACCACCGCCGGATTTCAATTGGGATATGATGGCAATGGCCCCTGAGACTGCCATGCAGCTTGTATATCGCGCAATTCAAGCCTTGGCGACTGCAAATGGCGACATTCCGCCCACTCCAGCTGTGGACCGCCGAGAAACTCCTTCCAAGTACACGGTCTTCGAGGATGCTACTACCCCAACAAGACACCACCGGCGCACCCCATCTCGCCCAGCAACTCCAATCCCGGAAGAGAGGATTATAGTCCAAGAAGAGCCAATATATCCACCGGAGGCAAGTAGTGATGAACCCATCACCACTAACAGTGGCCAAATTGGCACTGACCAGGAACCATCTCCTGAAGAGATTGCTAACCTTGCTCGCAAGTTCTTTTCCAAGTACGTGCCAGACATTAGCCTCGAGAAGTACGCCGTTCGGATCCAATCTTTCTGTCCCCTGTCCACTGCTGTTTGGCTCGCCGCCGGAGCATATACCCACCGGATGTGTTGCATTACTAGGCGCGTTCCCCTCACCCTCCGTACTATGCATCGAGTTCTCCTCGCTACGCTTGTTACTGCTATGAAAGCACTCGAAGACCATCGCTGGAATGACGATCGGTTCTCCAAGGTTGGGGGTGTTGAGGTCAAATCGCTGGTCCGGATCGAGCTTTCCGTCATCTACCTTACGGGTGGCCACCTCCAGTTCCTCTGGCCTGACAAGCTTAGGGCTGCGGTGGTAGCACTTCAAAAGGCTGCACGAGACGCAACCCAAGCTAACCAAATCTCCGCCCATCTGAAATTGGTTCTACCTGCTGCGGAAAATAGACGGGATTAGTGTTGTTCTTGAATTTCATCGAGTACATGAATGGCGCTGGAGCCAGCATCTAATCTGTCTGGACACCAGGGCATGGACAAAGGCGTCTGGTGTCTGCATCTGAGCTCGCATTTCAGATATGTACATTAGCTTAACAAAATGAATGATAAGCTCATATTGCCACAAAGGCGATCAGGATCTGTTTACCTGCGAATCCTTCCTCTCGAATACCTTGCTGGAATTGTGCTCAAGTAGCAGGAGGCTCTGATTGTCTTGGGTCGCAAGGAATGTGGCTGCTTGACTAGACTAGTCAGGGCTAGTGTCACAGGGAAGCGCTGATCGCGCGGCGCCCCTGTTGGCGTAATCGACGCAGCCACATCTTGAAATCCAGCTTTGACACAACTCAACACTCCTCCACCGCAACACTACCCCCAAGGACCCCACGCCTACCATTTAGCGTAGCCGCTCACTCGAATAACTCCTACTACATTGCATTCGTCGCTCGTTTTTCCTCCTACTCGCGTCATGTTCCGCAACGCGATGTTATGGGGCCCCTGGGCCCTATTTACCGCCCTGAATCTCGTCGCTGCAGATGTCCAATTCACGTCTCCCAAAGCCGGTGATACACTTACGGGCGGCACGGCGATAGTAGTGGAATGGAAGGACTCCGGAGATGCTCCTTCCATCTCGGATCTCACGACTTACCAACTGTTTCTCTGCGCTGGCGGCAATGACGAAGCCTCAATCGTAAGCAATCTCACCCTTGGAACCCACGCCGTGCATCCAACAAGCGATTTACAAGTCATGTATAGGTACAACTCGTAGCGATCACGACCTCTGGAACATTCACAGTTACTGGGAACAAAGCCACTGGCACGGTTGGACTAGGGATTGGGGCGTCCACTCCGAAGAATGCATAGTATGTTGTTCCTTACCTACATACCTCGATTGCTACTTTCGCATCACGAAATGAGCACCTGGCTAATATTTAGTCTCCCTTAGTTTCCTCAAGATAATCTCCACAGCCTCGAGCGGCGGTACCGTAACGAACTACTCCCCTCGCTTCTCCCTTAGCGGCATGTCAGGCACCTTCCCAGACACCGTAATCACGGCGATGAAGGGCGTTGATGGGACAGACGGCCCTCCCACCGTGAACGCTGTGAACCAAGGAGGCGCCGCTAATCCCGTTGACGGAGATCAGTTCAAGGTCCCGTATACGATGCAAACTGGAGTCACTCGATATGCTCCCATGCAGAAAGTTCCGCCTACGAAGATCACAAAGAAGGTTGCTTCAGCCATGTATCCCACGTCGTCAGTCAACATTGCGAAATCGATTCTTCCGCGTCCGAAACAGCAGACAACCATCACGCAGAGCCAGACCTTTTCAGTCTCGAGCATGGAGAATACGGTAAGGAACAGGCCTCTCCTTAGCAATGTCATATTTCCTTTCTATTTTGTGTTCGCAGCCTTATTTCCCTCCTTTTCTGCCGCCTCCTTGCTATGACTAGGCTGTTTCCGTATTCAGGCTAATTGACGTCACAGGTTGCCGCAGCTGCCATGCCCTCCGACGACATGGCCAAGTTTCTCGCAAGATGGAAGGATTGAAGGATATCTACTCAGATATATAATAGGGGATCATAATTATTTGCGGTCGACGGTGTCCAGGGCATTTCTGTAGGGCGCAGGCGTTAGATGGAATATACACTCTATGATAGGGGGGCTTTCTAGAATTTTGGAGGGGTAGGGGCCGGGTTAATAGTCCTGTATATCTTGATATCTACATGGTGTCAGTGTTAGAGATTAGACACGAATTCATTGTTCTTGGGTTTGGTGTTGAAACACGGAGTGCTGAAATCGCGATGGCTGTGATAAAAGGCCAGTTAAGCTTCAATGAAGCGTCACAGCTCTTGGGGACTTCCCAAACATGATCTCGCCCCTTCCCGTGCCTTGGCTCTCGCCTTCTCCACTAACTTACTTTTACAGCCCTCCCGCAATTCCCCATGCCATCTTCGTCTTCGCCCCAACCAGCCATCCGTCCAATTGGCCCGCCGCTTAACTCCGCTTCTACCCGAGCCTCACGTCCACCCCACTCAACGCCTCGTATCAGTCAGCCTCACCCGCATCCACAATCTCACTTCCGTCTCAGACTCCCAATCCCGCCATCTTTCCAAGGTCCTATCAAACCCCTGCGATCAGTTCATCATGGGCACGGCAGAAAACTACCAAGAGGTGCTGAGGGGGAAGTATCCGGCTAAGCTTCACGCGAAGAATGTTGCCGAGTTTATCGTCGCGAAGGGTGGAGATAAGACAGGAACGCTGTATTTGGAGGCGCAGAAGAGTCGGTTGCTTGAGGTGAGTGAGGGAGGTGGTTTTCTGGGAGTGGAAGGGAGGAAGGTTTTAGGGGTTCAAGGTGTGGTAATGACTAACCTGAGGATAGGATAATGATGAGGCTGAGCCGTTTAGGTGGGTGGTGTTTGCATTCTTCGTGCATTTGTGATTTGGTTGTTGGGGGTTGGGGAAGCTGTCTCGCGTTATGGTTGCGTTGTCTGTCGATAATAACTCAGCCGCTCACAAGAGGATATCAAGCTGAAGGAAGCACACTGGATGATTTACACAGAGCCTCCCCTCCTTTTGCCCACAACCCGCAACCCATATGTCATATTCCCTTTCCTCCTCTCACTACATCGGCTTCATCCACCCCCGCAACCCGAATATATGAAATCCAGTGTGTTAACCACCGTGAACAGGCAACGGCGATACTTCTACTACCTGAGCGGATGCAATCTTGCGGACTGCTATCTCACGTATTCCATGCAGAGTGAGAAGTTGACACTTTTCATTCCACCGATTGAGCCAGAAGAAGTCATCTGGAGTGGGCTGCCGACGTCGGTTGAGGAGGCTTTGGAGAAGTGAGTTAAGGTTCTTACGTTTGATGTTGCGATTTGCCCTCATCTCTCCGCTTTTTTGGTCCGCTTCTGAAACGCGAGGATACACGTTTTTCCGCTCGTATCCTCTTCTAGCCTCTCATGGGGGATAAATCAAAGCATATCAAAGAGCTGAGGCTTTGCGGCGATGCATTCGTCAGGACGAACAGGGGTGGTTCAGGATCCTCTGGCTCTTCTATGTCCCTGTCTTTTCCACCCACGGCAAGCTGTCCTCAAGAACAAGCTAATATACACTCAGATACGACGTCGACGAAGTCAAAACTACCGAAGATGTAAACTCCCATCTAGCCTCCTCAGCCAACAGTCCCCAAACAACCCTCTACGCCATCCCCGACCAAGTGTCCGACGAAACCACCTTCCTCTCTTACAACAACACCGACTTCTCTCAACTCAAATCCGCCATCGAAACCTGCCGCGTCACCAAATCTGACTACGAAATCGCGCTTCTTCGAAAAGCTAACGCCATCTCAACAGACGCCCACATCAACGTCATGAAAGCCGCCTCCAGCGCTAAAAACGAAACGGAGCTCGAAGCCGTATTCATCAAGAGCTGTATCGAGCGAGGCGCAAAACACCAATCTTACCATTCCATCGTCGCAGCCGGAGAAAATGCAGCAACACTACACTACGTGCATAACAACGCGCCCATCTCGGGTCAAGATCTTCTGCTCCTGGATGCTGGATGCGAAGCCGATTGCTACTGTGCCGATATAACACGTACATTCCCCATCTCAGGCTCCTTCACTACCGAATCCCGAGCGATCTACGATATTGTCCTCGATATGCAGAAGCAATGCACGGCGGCGCTCAAAGCCGGCGTGAAGTGGGATGACGTGCATCTCCTAGCTCATAAAGTCGCCATCCAAGGACTCCTCTCACTTGGTATCATGCGGGGCTCCCCAGACGACATTCTCGTTGCTCGAACTAGCGTAGCGTTCTTTCCACACGGACTAGGGCACTATCTCGGCATGGATACGCACGACACGGGCGGGAATCCGAACTACAGGGATGCGGATCCGATGTTCAGATATCTGCGGGTGAGGGGCACGTTGCCAGCTAGAAGCGTGATTACAGTAGAGCCAGGGATTTATTTCTGCAGGTTTATTATCGAGCCGTACTTGAAAGAGGAGGGGCAGAGGAAGTTTATTGATGAGAAGGTGCTGGAGAGGTATTGGAGTGTGGGCGGTGTGAGGATTGAAGATAATATTCTGATTACGGAGGAGGGTTCAGAGAACTTGACACCGACGCCGAAGGAGGTAGAGGATTTAGTCAGGATCATTAAGGCTGGATAACTGGGGGAGTGGGAAAGACTGATGGTTGGGATGCTTGTATATTCGACGAGTCCTTATGCTGCATCTCAGTACCTACCGTGGAAAATGGGGGTGATTATGAACATATATTTACATCCTGTTAATATTCTCTCTAATCTCAGTAAGATATTTAACAGATGGAATCTACCTTGGTTGTGTTCCACGTTGTGTGATAACGTGCTGTACATCATCTTAGTTTTGCGCTTCAGGGAGTTGATTGTGTGAAGCCAGCTTAATCAATAATTGTCAGTACTCAAAATACAGGCACATATCCACTCATAGCATTTAGTTGCAAGTAAAGTAGTGGGATGCCCTTGCTTACCTTCGACACGAGGCCATGATAGTTCTCAAAAAGGCGGTCAAGGTATTAAATCCTGCATTTGATCCTGCAATAGGGCTCTGAGAGAGTATGAGCAGGGAACTCTCGAGCTTGGGATGGTGTAGAGTGCTACATCCCCTTTGTCAACAAGGTCTTGCTTCCATATCGAAGCCCTTATCTCAACGGTTGAACTTCCATTTCATTGGTCTAAGTAGCAATCATATAACAAACAAGGTACATGAAGTCAGTGAGAAGTCTGGGGTTGTAATTCCTTTCCCTCCACAGTAGTGCCCACTACTCTCCGTTCTTCCCACCCAGAACCTCCCCTGCCCTCCGAATTTAGCCCCGCCACAAAAAATTATTGGGCTGAGAAAGTAGTCTGGAGCGTTTTTTATGGCAGCAGATAGCAACGCAGAATGAATGTACACAGCGCGAAGCGGTGCAAGAGGGAACCTAGATATCTGGTATGTGTCGCAATCAAGGGATGAAGGAATTCACGAAGCGGGGGTGTTCGGTATCTACGTAAAGCCCACAAATTTTCGATTCACATTGGTCATATATAGTTTCGCGTAACAGTATGGTGTGGTATTCAAAATCTCAAGGCTGTTCAACAAACGAAAAATCCAAGATCCATAGGATACCAATGCATGCAAACCTGCAAGCCTTCAAAACGTATCTCACCCTCCCAATGCAATGCCAAATGCAGAATCCGAACCACGAGCACTATCAAACACACTGCGAATAATAATCCCCACTAGCCTTACACGTACTCCCACTGGCACAAATAGTGCATCCTGCGTATCCCTTGCCTCCACACTGCCCATACTTCGCTACTGCTACACAAGCAGGCGCACTCGACGTCGCAGCCTTGCTCGTCACTAATGTCGTGGGCACCACAGCCGCACTCGAGGCAGGCGTCGCAGGCTCACTCGGCGCTGGTCCTGTGGAGCTTCCATCCCAAACGGCGGGGCCAGGAAGCGGATAACTGGTCGCCGCTTTCGCGGCATCTGAATCGATATTAAACGCAATTCCGGGGTCAGTAGCGCTGTAGGCGCCGGGGAAAGAAACGAGGTATGAGGCAGGAGGGTTTGCGGTGCCGGATCCCGTGACGGTGAGTTGTGCGCATTCGGGGTAGAATTGAGGGTTGTTGGCTTGGTGGACAGCGATGAGTTCGTGGCGGATCAGGTATTCACCTGCAGAGAGAGAGGCAGGAACTGTCACGGTCCAGTTTAGTGTGTCCAGGATGGTGTCGCCAGCCCAGATGCCGGCGTTTTCAGTCCCGGATACGAGACCTTGTTGGTTGATTTTGAACTAGAGAATAAGTGTTAGGAAGAGTAGGGTGGTTAAGTGAAGAGGCCGTCTGGGTCGGACCGTGAGGGGTAGAAGTGAGTAGGATGTGTGCACATACCCAGGATTTTCCGGCTCCATCCCAACTGTTACAGCCGCTGCTAGGACACTTCGCCATGTAGACTAGAACGGATGCAGGACGGTGCGTCCATTGCGTCCAGTGGGCTTTGATGTCGCTACCTGCGGCAATGGTGGCGGTTAGGCCGGTGCCGAGGATGCCGGCGTTATTGCAGCGGATGTTGACTTTCTACAGGCTGTTAGTCTATGACCTAGAAAGAGGCCTTGCGAAGGTGAAGAACATGAGGCAGCATACACCGAGATCGGCAATAACAAGCGGGTCGAAGGAGCCGTATTGGCGCTGGATAGACGTCTGACCGGAAGCAGAGTTGTATGGTGACCATCTAAGCAAGTGGTTAGTCGACGTATTCTTCTTGCCAAAAAAAAAAAGCCATAGTTCATACCCTTGATAAGTCTTTCCACCGATAATATAATATCCAACACCACCATGAGCACTAGCAGTCGACAGCAAAGACGCAGCTGCCGTAGCCAAAGTAGCGAACTTCATTATGAAGGGATGAAAGTATAGTACCACTTTCTTTTTCTAAAGCACAATGAACTGAAAGAAACAGATGCTCTCAGAATCAGGAGAGAGCGGGATGAAGAATCAGAGCACACAATATCCAAGAACCGGGAAAAAGAGCAGTAGATATACACACCCTCACCCCCCGTTCGCTACCCAAAAATGTACTCCTCGTGACATTCCTGGATATTAGCATAGGCACTTATATCCCGCCCTCGAGTGGCTTCCAAAGGTAGACTTCACTGTAATTGTCACACGTAATTCGGTTCACATGCCGACTGTGTCCGGGGCCCCGGAATTTGGAGTCTGGAGTCTGGAGGGTTGTGCAACCCGGGCGAGAAGGCGCGAAATGTGAAGGAAAATTTGTGGGGGGTGACGAATAGGAGGAAAGATTAGTAGGGAGTGAAGTCGGAAATACTATCGGGCCGCCGGCTGAGGTTGCCGTCAAGGGTTATGGTAGATGAGAGGTGCAGGGATGATAAATTGGAGAATAGCCGGAGAAGCCCAGTCCGGGAGGAATCTGGTAACGTGCCACACATCTTGGAATTCTGTTAAACAAAAAGTGGAGATTGTCGTTCGTAAGCAAGTTGTTAATGGTGTTGGAGCTCTTGGTTGTGGAAGAGCTTGACGGTCGCGAAACAGTGAAACGATTTGAAATTGGATATAGGCGCAAGACCTATACCAAAGTAAAAGGTGGAAATAATACTTCATACTCTCCGGATTAAGTTCTATGGTCTGGGCTAAAACAAAACAGCCACCGGCCAGAATGTGCAGCCGTCGTCGCGTCGACGCATGCAAGTGAAAGGAAAAATTCATCAACACGCCACCATCAGGGAAGATGAATAAATCGAACGGCCTTGCATATTGCGGGGCAGCCCTAGTTTGCCATTTGCCTCGTATGCTTCCAAATAAGGAAACACGAAACCTGGGGAAAGCTCTTAGCTCTGCCGGATCATTGTTCGCGCGCATTTGGTTCCTGGATTCGGTTGGCCGGCTGTGTGGTGGTGGCCGAGAACAATGTGCTAGTTTTTGCCTAAGTGAAGGAACTTCGTCATACATTCAACGGTTTTCGTAGAGGTAAAGGAGTCGTAGGAGGCAGGTCCTCGACCAATACTAGTTGCTTCATATGACAAATAAAGACACCAGGAGCACCATGCAATGATGCCCGGCTCTCAGATTAGGTTCGAAAAGCTTGGTTCCTGAATATATATTGACATGAGCCTCAATGCACGAGAGACCGAATGCAAGCTTCGTCAATACTGCAAGATTGAAATCGAATTACCAGAATTTCAACAACATCGCATTTGAGAGAATCGCATCGTTATCAAGCGTTTCGATTGCGAAATGCACTAGAGCTCGAGCAGTTCGCGTTGTGACAGAAGAAACCCATGCATTTGCCTTTCATCTGACGAGCCTCGGCAACTGTACAGCGCCACGAAGGGTGGGCGAGAACCTCATATGAACTATCCGTGGTGAGCTGCTGAGGGCGGAATGTGGGATGCGGCGGAGCTCTAACGGTAATGATTGAGCGGATAACTTGGAAATGAATGAGGCGCTAGCTGACTAATGCGCCTAGTGACATCGCCTTAAAAAACTTCCGACAATTTACTGTCCCTGACTTCAAACAAAACGCCGAATTGTTATTATTCTGTTGCCTCCCGTTCGAATTGCTAGGGATCCTTCAGCATGAAACACGTCTCGGCATCGCAAGGTAGAGGCCTTATATCCCTTTCCTATGTCTGCAGATATCTCTAAAAAGGAACCTGGGTTATTATCTCTATTCGGTATTCATAGCTCCTAACAAAAAACCCTACTCATCCTTCCTGTTCTTGAAGTCCTGCAAGAGGATTCCAAACGAATTCAGCTAGTATAAGGTGCATTCGAGACTCACTTGTTTATTGGTATGAATAGTACCTCCTCCCTCGTCATAGCTGCCATGAAATACATTCACATCTAAATTACCTATGCAGCATAGACGTCATATACTCATGCCACATCCAATGAAAGAACCCAGAACGCAGCCTCCATCACAATCAATATTGCCATCCCAGAAACGTGGCTTCGCTCATTACCCACCCGCCTAAACGCCGTATGCACTTCAGGACCCTTTATCAGAAGTCTGGGTCATCCTTCAAGCCCTCAAAGTCAATAGCCATGTCGAACCACCCCCCTCCCGCATAAGTGCAGTCGCTAGGTCCGACCTTCCTATATCCACACGCCTCGTAGAATGCTACGAACCGCTCATGGCAAATCAGAGCGACCCTCTTAGCGACTCCGCTATCCCTCATACGCTGCGTAAACCCCTTTAGGAGGACCTTGCCGAGCCCGCGGCCCTGGAAGTCGGGGTGGATGGCTAGTGAATGGAGGCAGATGGTTTGGCCGTCTTCGTTGTGGCCAGCCGAGGGAGTCATTTGGTACTTTTGGCGCCAGTCCTTGGGGAAGTCCATGGAGGCGTCCGTGACGAGGGGTGCGGCATGTTTGGTTGCGATGATGTGGCCGAGAAGGACTTTCTTGCGGTCGGAATCAGAAGAGTCAATGCCAGGGAAGGTTCGTGAGCGGAGGAGTGGGCCGAGAGGTGGTGGTGCGGTAGCATACGAGGAAGTGAATATTCCGGTGCACAATTCGCCGCAGACGTGCAGTCGGTAGTCGAGCTGGAGGTCGTTAGAACAAGAAAGGTACCAAGCGGATTTAGGTCTTGGCGTTGGGGATAGAGGAGCGAGACACGTGAGAATGGCATGAGGAAACTCCCAAATCAGCTAGCCAAAATGGCTAAAGCGCGGAACAGGAAGCACCGCAGATGGATCACCGGTAATGTGCTGTGCAAATCGGGAAGGCAGCCGTTTGATAAGAGTGGCCGCAGATACTGAAGCAGGGTGACGACAGGATGATCAGAGTGACAATGAGTCGGATAAAGCTGATGCCCAATTCCCTAACGTGATACCAATGCAGAAGCAGTATAAAAATACTCAATTGGCATGAAAGCGACGGGAGACTACAGGCTGCAAAGAATTGCAGAATTTGGAGATGAGGGAATAATTTCTTACCTTCTCTCTAGACGCGGCCTCGTGCGGGTCAAATGCAACATGCTCGAGCCAGTCACACTCGTCAAGATCTTCTTGATTGAGTAGCAATGAGTATGGGTGCAAGTCCTTCATCTTCTTGAATTTCGGGTCCATCACTTCGGTGGGGAGAAAGTAAAGTGGAGTCGGATCAGGCGGTCCCGCTTCGGATTCCTTCGACAACGGAGGCATACCCTCAAGGGTAGCTTTTTCCGATTCCAGATCTCGAGGCATCTTGGCGTCGATCGAGCGTTCGTGACGTGTGAGTTCGGTTCAGGGCTGCTGCGTGCACAACGAACAGACGACTCTGGTGGGCACACGCAGCTGTGCGAATCCGAGATGCGATGATGACTTGGATGGTGGATTGGTCGCCGTTCCTGGCACGAGACACGGGCTGCCCAAAGCCCTCCGGCATCGCTTGGCTTGCCCGTTTGTAGATCCCCCCGATGGCTAAGGCTGGACCAAGAGCAGGGCCGAGACGATCCGGCTATGCATTGTAGCAAGGCCCGCTCCTCTCCGCTGTCTCCTGCTGTCCGTAACACATTTGGGCAACGGGCATCGCGGCGGAAGTGGCCAAGTTGTGAGGAAGACGCGGGATGACAGTTAATGGTCACAAAGCTCAGCAGTCATGCACTAGGGGCGTCTCCAGCGTCTCCAACACTTGTCCCGTAGCCTGTCGTTTTGGCCTCTTTAAAGCGTCCGCTCGCCAACGGGGAAGCGCCAATGACTTGCAGGCAGAGTCATTTGGCAATTGACAGACAGCGAGATTGCGTGCCAGATACATAGCCCTTGACTGCAACGAGCAGGCAGCGCGCATCCCGTCATGCTGTACTCGCCGGCGACCCATGGCAGCGACTGCTAAGTGGCCCAAGGCGGGAACAACGTTGGTGCTTGGTGTCTAGAGCTCTGAAGGGGGAGAGCATACAGCGGGAGAGGATAGAGGGCATATGGGGAGCTTAGGGGGCTTGAAAATGCTCGATATAGGTAAATATTATCAGAATACTGCCCAACAAAAGCGCGTCTTCAGCGTCTCTCCTATCCGCATCGGCCATGGAGGAGCCCGCAAATGCCAGCGTCTGCCCCGCTATCGAACCCCCTGCAGGCCTGCAACGCACTCGGGCGGAGGAACTGAGAGGCCACACCGCTCACATCCCACCTCCAGCCTTCGCCTGCTTGGCCAGCAAGGCCGTTTCAGTACCCAGACAGTGTCCTACGCCGACGTGCTGCCTTGAGCCCAACCTCCAGCCCTCCAGCAAGCTTCCTATATTACGCTGGCACTGGCCGCCTCGCGCCGCTCCGCCAGCACACCCACAGCGTAGCACGCACACGAGCACTCTCCCCCTCCCTCCCGCCATGCCTTCACATGTCGACCCATGATTATTAAACCCACGAAATTTCCATCACCTTCCAGCAAGGCTCCAGGGCAACGCTGCACCGGTGCGTGAGCGAGAGCGCCGTCCAGTTGCGCCGGCGTGCTCCCTTATAAGCTTCACCGGGCGCACTCAGCACGCTTTGGGGTGAACTTGCACCGACACACATCCCAGACAACCGCCGCCGACCACCCAAATCCCCTGGGCACACCGACCTCCACCTCTCTCAGCACAGTGTACCACATTCTCCAGCACCGATCCAGACGCACCTGCATACAAGCAAGGAGCACACCCATCCACCATGTGAGGCTCCCCCGTCACTTCCCCGAACCCGTTCCTGTGCAACAAGCTAAAACAGACGGCTAACCATTGCTCAAATAGGCCACGCGTTACGATATCCATCAACGCGCCCAATGATCCCTCGGACACGGAGCTGCTAACGCTCGACCTGCCGCCGGGCCTGACGGTGAAGGACCTCAAGGGCTTCGTCGAGGCCGAGACAAACTTCCCAGCACCCGCCCAGCACTTCTTCCTTAACGGTCGGCCCCTCTCCAACGACATCCAGACGCTCGAGGAGGCGGGCATCAAAGATGGCGAGATGCTAGCTGTGCTGATCCGGCGGCGCGGCGACGGGGCGCAAGGGCAGGCAGGACGAGCATCTGGAAGTAGGAGCCAGTGGAACCAACAGCAAGACGGACGCCGGCGAGGAGCACCCGACCCAGAGAATGTGCGACTGCACATCTTAGGCGACCCGGCAGCACAAGAGCAGCTGCGGCAGCGCAAGCCCGAGATGCTCGCTGCCCTTAGTGACCCGGCCCGCTGGAGAGAGGCATACAACAAAGAGCAGAGACAAGAGGAGGAGGCCGAGCGCGAGCGTCAGAACCAGATCGCCCTGCTCAACGAAGACCCCTTTAATATCGACGCCCAGCGCAAGATCGAGGAGATCATCCGCCAGGACCGTGTCATCGAGAACCTGCAGCACGCCTACGAGCACAACCCTGAGGGTAACAAAATCCCCATCCCCTATATAGATTGATAGACTAACACTTTCGCAGTCTTCGTCCGCGTTCACATGCTCTACATCAATACCGAGGTCAACGGCCATCCGGTCAAGGCCTTTGTTGACTCTGGCGCCCAGGCGACCATCATGTCCCCTTCCTGTGCTGAGGCGTGTGGCATTATGCGTCTAATCGATACACGCTACTCTGGCATTGCCAAGGGTGTCGGTACCGCCCGAATTCTCGGCCGCGTTCACCACGCAGAGATCAAGATTGGCGGGGCGGTCATGCCTTGTGCATTCACCGTCATGGAAGGAAAAGACGTTGATCTCCTGTTTGGTCTCGACATGCTCAAGCGCTACAAGGCTAAGATCGACCTAGAGAAGAATGCTCTCTGCTTTGCAGGGATTGAGGTCCCTTTCCTACACGAGTCTGAAATTCCAAAATCCGCTGAGGAAGCTGAGATGAACGAGCCAACCGTTTCTGGACCTAACGGTACTGAAATCGGGACGCGATCCGGCGCTGTGAGACCCGCAGGTGCGACAGCCACTGGCGATTCCACCGCCGCTGTGGGGCCGTCCTCATCCCATCCATCAGCTGCCGCAACCCAAGGTCCCGCAGACAATTTCCCACAGGAGGACATTGAGCAGCTTGTCAACCTAGGCTTCTCACGACAGGACGCAGTCCGGGCGTTGCGGGCCACCAACGGCAACGTCGAGTACGCCGCAGAGCTACTCTTCGCGAACAATAGATAAACAAAAGCAAGCACGCATCTAGAGGTTTCACGAGCCAACCATCATTGACCAAAAAGTAACGGACTCTTCCCACGACCACTCTGCATAGACTTGGCGAATTCGGGCACTGCGCATCTCATGCACAATCGGGCCATGGCTTTCCTTGATTGTTTTCCTCCCCAAGATTCCAGGATTTCCCCATTTTCCCCTTTCACCTCTGTTATCATGACCTGAAATAGCAATGAACAGCGGCATCTGTATTTTCTTTTCTTCGGGAACTTTGGCCTGAGGATTCGGGATCAATGCTTCTTTTCCACACAGCGCTTGCAGGTATGGCTGAATCTTTGCTTTCTATCAAGCTTACACCCCTTCACACAATCTCTCCTTTCCTTTTCTTTGTTTTCCTTCATCTGAGGCTATGATTGACGGGGCATGACGTTTCATGAACTCACTACATCGTATCGAAAATCGCCGGCTGTGCATTTCAATGCGGACGGAACTTCTCAGCGTGTATTATCTACGAATAATGGCGGCGGCAGTATTGCGGCGATTTCTTTCGTTCCTCTCTCTGCTCGAGCACGACAACGACGTGATAACAACTCCCCTTCCTGTCTATCCCACGTCACCCGAAGTATTTTCTTCACGAAGCGATCTTCGTCCGTAGAATTAGGGAGATCGAAGATGGAAATGCAATCATGAGCCCAACCCAGTCTTTCGGGACACATTTGCTGCGTGTTGATGTGTGTATCGACGTTTTACGAGGCAGAATGAGATATCATTGGTGAATATCTACCGACTTGCAGCTGCAGGACAGCGGGTTCCATGTCCATGGTCAACAAGAGTGGTGCTGATGGTCGGCGAAGATAATCTTGAACGTACCCCGAAGGAGTCCCTTGTTAGGTACTTCCGCGGCCTGTGTTACTTTTTCTTACGCAGGGTGGTGACAACTCATCTCCCTCGCGTAGTATCGGGCACATCTGGGAGGGTGTAGTTGCAACAACATTTCGTCCACCTTTGTAAGTACCATGAGGCAGCCCGCAGTGACTGATATGTAACCAAGAAGCAAGATGCAGTAATGCCCATTGCGATGCTTCTTCCCGCCTTTGCAGGCTGCAAGATAGCTTCACCCTGGAATCTTAGGCTGTCAATACGAGAGGAAGAGATAAAAACCGGGATGATCAGCAATGCAGCAGACTGAAAGTGGCATGTTACTGCTTGGCTGCTAGAATATCCAACGGCCCGCTGTCAGATTGGATTTGAGTGGGGACATTGGGCATGCGAATCCTTCGTGAACGATTATAGCGCTCCGGTTTCTTCTTCGTGTCCGTCTACGACCCGTGCAGCGTATGGACACGACTCCCAATGTCATCGACTGCTTAGTCCTTCCAGACTAGCATCGGAAGCCGCGCCTCCGACCTGCTTGCTACTAGATCAGAAGTACCTATCATACGACAAGTCCATTGTCACAACGCCCTTACTCATTCCCTTCAAAATCACGCAAACACGACATGATTTCTGCATGCTTACCAAAATTCACTCATCATGAGAAGCTTATTAATTACTTTCTACTCACGGGGGATGTATACCTTAGTTTCAACATTTAACATGCATCCGAGAAGAACGCAAATGTCAAGTTAAGTCCAGCAAACCTTCACCCCTAGCTTTAGCCTCATTCTTCATGCAATCCAATGTCAACATGGATATTTCAACATTTCATCTGTAGATTTGGAGGTGCATCGCACGAAACCCATGAAAATCACTCCGACCCAACCGAACCAAATTGCAAATACGCAATCACTCCTCACAAAATTATTATTTCTCCTCCCCAAAAAAATTAGAACCTGGATCGCATAATATCACATCGCGACGCAAATTTGGCCCGAACGCTCGAACGCTCCAGACCTCTGACCTCTGACTTCTGACGTAGTGGTTCTAGTATCGTACGATTCTTGTCTTCGAGATAAGATCTGAAACCACTGCCCTTTGCATGACTGACAGTGCTGAAATGACAGACAAAGTGCACACAGAGTCTAGTACATTTAGTGCACATCCAAGTCCGGTACATCTGGAACACATCCAAGTCGGCAGCGTAGAGTCGGCTAATAAGAAAGACGATCCCGACGGGATGGACGGCGACTGAATGTAGAAAGGATATCTACTTCAAGATGAGTTTAGAACGAGTTTAGGGTTGCAGGAGGCGTTCAGGGTCCGACAAGTTTCGGATTCGGGTAGGTCAGTTCAGTTCGCGGGAGGCACCTGGCGGAAGGAGCGTGGAACAAGGATGCCTTCCGATGGATGGCTGATGGTCCGCCCTTACCTCCCGAACCAAGGTGGCGGTGGTCTAGATTCAGCCTTCTCTATTACCCCACCCTGTGAGAAAATGTTGGAGGTCTGGGTGCTTAGTTTTTGGTATTTAATCGGAAGTATGGTGTCTTGTGGAAATGGGAGAGAGATAGACGCATATATTGCAGGGATATATCAGTAGATTATCTGATTTTATACAAGCATGGCTTAAGGACCATTCCGTCCTTCGCGTCGTCCTCATTGTCCTCTTCAGACACGGTTGTGAATTTCTTGCCCTTCATGCCCATCTTCAACCCATTTTCAACCCTCTCTATTCTGACATTCTTCCCTTTCACCGGGTTTGTGCCCTTGATGAACTGCATCTTGACGAACATCTTGTTGCTGAGATCGATAGCTGCATTAGGTTCTCCGTCCAACATAAATCCTCGTTTGCGAAGTGCTTCAACGAAGGCACTAACATCCGTCCCCTCTTTCCCTTGTGCCCCATCCACGTGCTCTGCAAGCTCGGCTTCATCGTCACTACCTTGAACGCCTTCTTTAGCAACCTCTTCCTCCTTCTTTTTCTTGCCTTTAACTTTCTTGTCCTTTTTTTGCAGCGAACCTACGGAATTTATCGGAGGTTTTCCAGATCTTGTCACGCGGCCGAAACGTGATTTGATCTCAGCTACCCATAGCTCGCCTTTCCAGCGAAGGATACGATATGCTTCGTCTATGAAGTCGAGCCAGTTGGTTCCCATAAGCGCGAGGCAAAATATTGCTACATCAATTGAGGAGTCGGGGAGTGGTAGTGCAGAAATGTCTGCGATTGTAACGAGTGAGGCGTTGGGGCCAGATGGCTTGGAGAGGTCGAAGGAATGGACGGTAAGACGGAGGGATTGGAGGTTAGGTTGTAAACGCTGTGCGAGAGATGCGGTACCGCAACCTAGATCTGCTATTGTGCAGTTGCCTTTGAAGTCTCGGGGAAGCGGTTTTGGCCCCGCAGTTCTCTGGCCATTGTCTGCGGAATAGGCTTGTTGTCTCGCCCGCTTATCATTCTTGAACTTCTTGTCCCGCGCTTTGCCACGTGTCCGGATCATAGGTCCATAACCGTCTACGGGATTCTCGGGCCAGACTTCGACTTGCTGAGCAAAGCCACGGTGGTAGTCTTCAAACATCTCCGGGTTCTCGGCAAATATAGAGAGAGAGGCTTGAGAGGGTTTAGTGTAGAGTGATTCGTTAAGGTGGCGGAAACGTGCGCTTGCGAGTTTTGCGCGCATGGATTGTTGGAGGGGGGTGAGGGTTTTGGTTGGGAGCAATGAGGGTTGTGCTACAGGCGCAGCTGTCTTTTGCGTGGCCATAGATCGACCAATGTCTTGAAGTGAAACATCGGATATCAAAGAATCAGTTGAGGGTTTCTTGTCTTTCTTCCGCTTCTTCTTCTCAAGCCTTGACTCCGCTTTGTGATCTGTAACAACCTTCTCCATTCCTAAATCTTGAACAACAGCCTCCACATTCTCCTGATCATTGTACTCATTGCCGCATCCGGTCACTTCGCTATTTGCCTTCTCTCCCTGCCTTGTATCGCCTTTCCTTTTCCGCTTCTTACTGACCTTTTGCGCGTTCGCACCAGTCCCCTTGTCAACCACATTTCCATTAGTTTCCTTGCTCTCCAACTCCTTAACCTGCCATTTTCTAGTATCTGCAGTTCCATCAAAGTATGCCCCGATGTTCTCCTCATTGACTGGCATTTCCTTGGTGTTCCGCTTCCGCTTCTTGCCCTTCTTGCCCTCTGGGGCTGGTTTCGCGGTCTCGGTTTGGGTGGCTAAAGGTGCGGAGACGTTCCATCCTGGCACTGCAAACATTGCGGAATGAACTTCCCTTACACCAAGGGGTAAGGTGGGGGGATTCGTGGGTGCAATAGGGCAGAGACTGGGAGGTTTAGTGTTCCGTTTGAATTTTTGGTCGGTGCGGGAAAACGTTTTGCCGACCTCAGAAAACATGTGTTAGCATAGAAGTTATTCCAACCGGTGAACTTTCCACCTCAGCAATTGATAATCATCCCAACATCAATGCTATAATGACTTTATTTGAATTCCGACGATCTCGTCTATATATGGCCTTCTAATAAAGTTATCATGCACAAATGTAGAGAACAGGGCTTCAGTTCGATTTAATGCCCAAACTCGGCTGCCCTGGTTGCTTCTAGAAATGGTATTGATACAGTGGGGGGAGGCGGCTTCTTCTTGGTTGAAAGAATTGTTGGAATTACCTAACAGATACTTTAGGCTTGGAGCAACATATCAAGGAGTTTCTACCAATCTCCTTACTCCCCTCTCCCTAATGTCTTACGGGTAGTACTAAACCGCTTCCTTCAAGAGTGGTGCAATCGACCTTTGGAGTGGTAAGCCACGCACTCGGAGTTCCACTTCTAAATGGCGCCACTGCTACGCTCTCTGGCATTTCAACGATATAGAACTCCCTCCTTGAAGGCTGCATGCTTGAAGGGTTAATCTCCATGCGAAATGCTCAGGATAATTCACCAAAGCACAGTTGCAGGATTTGAGAAGCCATGGATGATAGAGAATAATGAGAGAAGTACAACTACACAGATGTTTGTATCCCATTTCTTCCCGTTGATATCCGCATATCGCATGCAAATATCGGTCAATCTTGTCTGGATGACATTGAACTCATATTTGATAAGGTCCATCGCTCCCGTAGAGCCGGAATATCTGCCCCTAGTAGGGGTTAAAACCCACACACGTTTTTATCTAACCATATAGCTATGTCAACTCGCAATTTCGCCGCCAAATCCTCTTCCCAGCAACCTTCACCACCGTAGTCCAGCTATTCATCTCCATCCTGCCGAATTTCTCAATCTTGAGACCAGCTCTCCTCTCCTGGTCCTTCTCTTCCCATATCCATCTATTGTGCGCCATGCGTCTCTGTTCAGCAAGCCTCCAGACTAAAGCGCTTGCTTTCGCAGGCCCGTTGCCGGTCTCTTGGTTGTGGTAGTCGGTGATATGTCCCTTGTGGATGGTGTATTCGACGACGAGGTATTTACGAATAGCTGTAGACGCCGTGGTAGATCTGTGGAGATCAAGGAAATCTTATCTACCTATTTACTAGAACACTACAAGCAGCATCAAATCCCACTAACCCGTGCTCAGATGACAAGGGGCTTGTACAACCCCTTGATGCACGTATACGGTCCACCCATATCTCATATCCCAGGACTAAAGGACGGAGAGAATATACTACCAAATGACACTCGCTCGCTTTATGCATTTCCTCTATTTCCTTTATCAAATTCTCCCTTTCCCTCGCCTGTATCCCCTTTTTCACAGCCTCCGCCATTACAGTCTTAAATTCGTCTCAGCGCACTCCTTACCTTTGTTGATGGTAGCCTTTATCTTTTCGTTATTGACCTCAGTCTTACTTAGTTTCGGTCCGTCATCCCAAGTCTTAATGTGGTCTTTTGGCCTTTCATTCACTTCTTAGAGAACGACTTAGCTCTCTTTAGAGAGATTGTCGCCATGGACTACGAGATTGTATGTGTATGTTATGATTACGTAGGGCCTATTAGGTGAGGAAGTCATGATGGATTCGGATGGAGGCCGCGTTGCAGACTTATACCTAGAGTATGGATCACATGGCTGCTTGCAGGAGGTCAGCAAGCGGCAGAAGGCGGCTCAGCCACCTCCTTCATTGCTCAAGGGAACGAATCGAAATTGTGGCATGTGCTAGATGATCGCGAATACAGGCCTGGAGCTCTGTAGCGCATTATAGATCTCTGAGCTAACAGTATTTACAATACCGAAGGGATGTTAAGAGACGTTTATATTATACCTTCTTAAGAGAACGCTTTAACGCGGTCTTCAACAATCCCACAGATATATCCGGTGGTTCTCAGTGGTTTCCTGCCGACCCTACTACCTCTGCAGTCACCAATGGGATATGTGGCACGTAGAACATGTAAAAACTCGCCTGTTTCTTAGCTAACGGAGAGGACCTAGCAAATAACCGAGAGACCTATGGTTTCCTCACAGCGATAGCAGCAGGTTCTAGACGCTGTACCTGGCCCCGCACATACCTATCCAAGCTATTGAAGCTGCTCGAGAGTTTCTCATCGAGACATTTAAGCGGAATCGGCAAAGCCCACAGGGTTCATAAGAAAATTCACATATATGGTTGACAGGCTACAAATAGGGGTGTCCAAAACCTTCAAGCGAGCAAGTCCCTTGCCTTGCTTCTTATTCACAGTTGGCACTACACAAGAGGCTCATCAGAAACTAGACCCAAACCCTTATTCTACATGTCCTTGTCTGCCTCTTCCTCCTCAATCTGAACTTCCGCAAATGGGATTCTAATCACTCCGGGCGCGAGAGGTCGGCGATATTCGTGAATCTAGATGAAATATCCTCACTTATGATAGTTGATAACCTTGTCAGCAAGAATTTAGGTAACATTATTGTAGAACTCCCATGAGTAGTCTCTTTATGATAACTTTGTGTTAGTGCGTAGGATGGGTGCTAGTATGGGAAGGTATGGGTGATCAGGATTGCGAGAGCGAGGACTACACCGCAATCTGCTTCCCTGCCTCCTCTGCACCCGCTGCACTATTTTCAGCGCTCACGAAAAAGTTATCCGGCATCTGCTCCCAATTTTTGCCGTAGATAACGTTGTCCGGGAGAGTGAATATAACCTTAGACCAGTCAAGCGTCACCCCTTGCGGCGTACTATAATTCCACTGCCCTGTCACTGGATTGAAGAGGACATCACAAATATCGTGTAAATTATAGCCCTCAACGCCCATCATATTGTCCCGCCTCACGTTGTCCAGCATCTTGACGAAAGCCAGAGCATCCTGCCATAAACCAGGTATTACGTACCTGAAATTGAAGAAATGCGCCTTTAGCGGAGCGCGTTGGACGAAGACCGCGATCGCAAATCCGCGGAGCGGAGAACCCACAGAGGTGTTTCGATAGACATAGGCGACCGGCTCGATGTCAATAACCGCATCCTTTCGTTCAAAGAGCCCTGAGGCAATGCGTAGGACTGCGTTCTGGTACTGGTGCATTCCGAGCGCGGAAGCAGCGATCCAGAGACGCATGAGTGGGAGGAGGCCGGCGGTGGTTGTGTATTGCGGTGCACGGTCCTCATATAGCCAATCGAAGAGTGCATGGAGGTCTTGAACAGCAATCTCTGGAAGGTATATTGCTTGGCGGCGGTCGGCGGGGAGATTTCTAAAGAGTAGGGAGACGGTAGCGAGGAGGCTAAGGTGGATGTCAAGGCGCATCTTATTCGGGCCGGCGAAGACGGCGACGGGCAATCCGATGTGAGATCTAAAGACAGATTAGTAAGTTTCACAAATGGGGACTTGCTTTGCGAAGGGAGTGTATGGTCCGTGACGCACCGAGCGTATCGAACAAATGGGAAGCGGAAACCACCGCAATCGGCACAGTTTGGGTTGTTGAAGCCACCTGGCGAGAGAGAGTTAGTTTTAGTGCAAGAATATAAGGAAGACAGACGTACAAGTATCACAAACCATGGTCGCGAAGGTTGGTATCTGGTCCAGAGGAGTGTTAGCCTGCAACATTATCTTGAGGTTGCCATCTTGCGGGGGCGCCATCTCTTTAGTAGTATTTTTGGAGTGGTTATTCTGATGTGAGGAAGAGGCGGCATGCAGGGCTAGGCGGTAGACAGGAATGATCGAGTAGCTAGTAGAGGAGGAGAGCTTACGGAAAGATTTCTTTGGAGAGCAGCAATGGCGAAAGAGGCAGACTATGGTCAAAGTTTAGAACGCTCACATCGGAGACGTTGCTCGAGCAAAAAGCTTCAGGGTTCAACGCAATGATCTCGAGGAGAGTGTGAGAGTATGGTCGAAGCACTGAGTGCTTGCGGTGGCGTCGTCGTTGAAGCACGAAATTTTCCGTAAAGTAAGCGTTGTTGTATAATATCGTGAAATTGCTGAAGAATCTGAAAGAATAGGGATAGGTGAAGCTCAGGAGGTTCACAGTGACGATGTTGTTTAAATGCAACACTTCTTGCCGTGCATGTGACGAAGAAATAGTGAACAGACGGGGTTCGTGGTGACAACGTTTCCTGGGTTGAACTTCTCACTGCAATAGACAATAGTATCAACAACACCGAGGGAGTGTAACCGAAAAGGTGAAGAGTAGGCGGCAGTACCTGCTGGGGTGCAAACAGCTGGCGGTCACGGCATTATCAGGACCTAAGAATATCTTGCCGCAAGGGAAGGCGGGTGACTAGAGTGTTGAGGGTGGTATTTTAGAGACACAAAGGAGCCAAAAGGAGGAGTTATTGCAGTGCTGAGGTCTCTTGAGGACCGTGTCATTAGAGTACGATATGCCAGACTAAGGAGGCAGTGTCCAGTGTGCACAAGTATCTAGTTGTTGGGAGGACTGAGAGTTACAGGGAGGAGTTTCTGAAACTTAGAGAGTGCCCAGCAGTGACATGATGCCGTTGCAATTGCTGCTGTGCCAAGAGAGTAGACACGTGAAAGACTTTAAATGCAGTTTGAGCTCAAACGCACAAACGAACAAACCCCGACGTGACCGATAAATATGCTGCATCTTGGGGGAATCCTCACGACTTGTCTACATTTTGGAAGCCCGGATCGAGAAACATAGATAGCTGTATCTACAAGAATCTTAACGCAGCTAGTCTCTTTGCTTTGGTCGTTGATAGGGACTGGTCCCATACCATTGGAGCCCATAAAGAACCCAGATAATCGCCAAAAAGGAGCTCTATCTCTCATAATCGAACTCACGCATTCAAAAAAGGAAAATATAGTTGTTTCTAAGTTCACTTGTTAGTAAGTCTGGTGTCCATGCGAATCTTTGCTGTAACGAGGCGAGACGAAGTGGTGAGTGCCCGAAGGCGAAAGAATGCTCAATTAAAGATTTTATATAAGCAAAAGGCTGGGAATATTTTAACCCGGATCGAGTGTTTTTGAGTTGTTGTTTAAGTGAAAGAGTCACGCGGACGCCAATGGCTCACCATGAACACATGAGGGGTTGGACTGAGCTTTTGCGCTGTTACGGCCACAGTGAAAACCATTTTAGAGTTTGGCCTCTTCAGTGGGCTCCTCTCTTCGCATCACTCCTCCTGGCCGTGGACTAAGAAATATCTATCTCTAGAGCACCCCTGTTGCTCTTTCTCTTTCAATACATATCCTCCAGCGATTCAGTTTCTTTTGCGTAGTACCTTCTACTTGTTTTTTTTATTCTTCAATGTCTCGAATGAAGATTCCATCAAGTATAATCTAGATATATTGTGCTGTCTGATTTAGGCCATCTCAGGGCAAGTACTTAATAGACAAGACGCTAGAATATCCAATACAACAATCTCTCTACACCTGAAACCCCTGCTCAGACTCAGCTACCCCTGCAAAAACCATTACTTGTTTGTTATTCGGATTGCGGCTTTCCACGTTTAGCCTATCAATCATCTATATATATTGAACAAAAAAAGGATACGTCACGATATAATCTTTAGCACCCATGATGGATTTATGCACTGAATTTTGTCTTCCTGAACAGAAGTTGACACTTCCTGACATTTAGGAGTTTGCAAGCCAGCCCCTCAAATACCTTGGCTTTTCCATAACCCCAGCTGACCAACCTTCGTGATATTGCTAATTACGCCAGATTTTTGAGATGGCGCGGCAAACCATGCGTGATCTATTATTATCCAAGTCGACATGTGCAACGAGGGGCAGTAACGCCACTTCCATTTCCTTTGACTTCGTAACCCTTCATAATATGCTCTCGTCATACATACACTTTATAATCACAACGCGACTCTTCAGCTGTTCTTCACTCCTACACCCCTCATTCCTGAACGTTATGTAGGGATTTTAAAGAGCACATCTTTCATTGGTCCACACCAATCTTATGCTCCGGCCTCCAAAATACACCCCAAAGGCTCTGGAAGACCTCGAGGGAGAACTTCACTAACTCTCGGCAAACCAAGAACCTACTGCAACCCAGTCTCGGCCAAAGTTAAGCGCACAAACCGAAGATTCAGGAATTGTGAAAGGGGCGGAACCGATTGTGGAGAAGCTAGTGTAATACCTAGTGGGTAACTACCCAGGCGTGAGCAAACAACCCTTTCGATATCTTATATGAGGGCTTGCTATATTGTGCCTGGACAAGAGCTCTGGCCCAGCAGATAGTCCAGGTTTCTTCGAATTGCATCGGGGCACCCGATTCTGAGAGAGTCTGTTCCACCAAAAAAGGTGTGCTGCATCATCATAATAGGGTATATCGGAACCCTCCAGTAACCTCTCTTCTAGGATTGGAAGCAGTTATTGGATGAGATGATCAGCATCCTTGAAGCGGTGTTAGAGACTAGAGCCCACCGAGCATTTCGACTGCACCTCGGCCACCAAACGCGAAACCTCCACAGGGCTTTCAAAAATTATAGCCCCGGAGCGAAAATAGGAACGTGAAGGGGAAGCCACGATTTCATCGCCGAACATTTCAGCGGAGCAGCGAGAAAAGGCGAGAAGTCATAGACCCTCGAGCATACAACCAGCGGCGCCCGGACGAAAAGCCCAGCCGGAGCGATGGGGAGAACTATCAACGGTGTGCAAGGAAATATTGCGGAGCATTGGCATTACGAGGCTTCATCCCCTGAAGATCCGTGAGCGGTTACGGAAGCGTAGTGTATTCTAGGAGAATACCTAATACAACAGATATTAGCACAAGCGGACTACCGTTCCTTCTTGTTAGAGCGAGTAGAAGAATCAGAGACTGAGGTAGCAGCAGTTGATGTTAGTTCCGAAAGTAGTGATCTAGGTTACTCTGCTGAATATTGATTATATGCTATTACTGTCATTGATATCGTAAGACGTAGGTGAGAGGATCCACGGTCGAATGAAGCGCATCTAATGGACCTGTTCTTTAACACCATAAAAGTAAGTTAATTGGACAGTCAATACGTTCTGGATGAACGCAAAAAGATAACGAACTTGTCTTACAGAGTGGTGAAGTGTTTCTCGGCACACTGATCTAATTGTACTTGCGGACCTTGCGAATAATTTCACGGTTACCATTTTTCTCATAGCACCCTGTTCCGTGCCGGTATCGCATTTTACTCATGTGGTAAGGCATACGGCTCGTGAAGCAATTAAAAGCTGGTGTTGACGTAACGTAAAAAGCTTTTCCTACTCGGAGACCGTCCGATTCATCTCAAGAGCCAACTGTGAATCTATGCCTGAAGAGGCTTGCATTCGGTCATATTGGGAAGCTTCCTCATCGACTCGATCCACATCATGTCCGAAGTCGTATCGGGGCCTCCCGTCATTTTGCATATTAGAGTAAAATTCTCGGATTGATTAGTCGACGTCGTTCGCGTTGTGGCGAGGCGTTTACCTGACATGGTTAGCGCAGCGACCGTGTAATGTGGCGATAGAGGTCGGATCAATGTTAGATTTAGTGGGATGCAATATCTCTTCTCGTAGATGCGAAAGACGAATTGTTGAAGTGGGATGAAAGCACGCTCCGCGACGCTGGAATTGAGCGCAAGTTGCATCGTGTTGGCGCAGCCTCAACGGTGGCTTAATTCGTCACATCTTCCAGTGAATGTTAGGTCCCAGCCTTACCGAAAACGGCCAACTTACAGTTATTGAGGTGGCAATCACCCCTCCCTAATAAATGAAAACAAGATCAACACAGAGACATTTGAGCAAAGAAAGTAGCATTGTCAAGCCCATGTAAATGATGTAATGAAGACTAAAACCGAAAGCGGTCGACAAAAAAGACAAAGGATATCTCTACGACGCGAACCAGAAAGATCCCGGCTCCTATACTTCCCAGCCAAACAAAATGTGCTGAAAGAAATTGTGCCCATGTCAAGTCTAGGCTGTTCCCCGGCTGTTTCAACGCGTAATGAGATAATCAGAGGCCTGGAAATCCTCTCAGTGTCCGACTACTGTCGAACCCATGTGTGCTTAGTACACGCACCATGTAATACCATACTCCTTATCTATCATCTTATAGAGCTCTCCCGTCGACTTCCCGTCTCTGCAGCGTGTTGAAGTCAATTCCTTCGAACATGCGGACCTAATACTAAGTTAGCTTTTCCTATCCTTTTCATGATGCCGAAAACCATTGTCGCCATCATTCAAAATTAGCGCACGGTAGGACAAGGGGTTAATGCATACATTCAACGCTTTCACGCCATCATAGAAGCCCGGTTCGATACTCTCAGCCATGAGACTACAACCACATCGACTACAAAAGTAGTGTTGAACCCGTTGTTTCCCAAAACGGTATTTCTATACACGTAATCGTTAAATACGCTCTAAACTGTAAAATCTAAACTAAGGGATATAACAACTTACCTCTACGAGCTCACTCTCCAATCCCATACCCTCAAACTCGATACACTCGTTCTGAACATAGACATTCAAATAGCCATTCCGACTACAGATTGAACAATTGCACTCAACGACCCAACTGTCAAGGTCGTCGAGACCTGGTGATAGTGTGACGGTGTAGCGGACGAGTTGGCAGTGGCATGATGCTTGGTACTGTATGGCGATTGTCAGTTCTGGGGTTATGAAGCCGTGCAAGTGGGAGTAAAGGTGACGGTAGAAGGTGACAAATTGAGCCTAAAGTGCGAAGAAAGGATAGGCGAAAGAACTATGTGAGAAGTTGAGACGATGCGCTAGATGCAGAGAAAACTTGGAAGAAAAAGCATATTCGAAATCAGGGTGGGGTCCAAAGATCAACTAAGTGCACCGGTACAGAGAACCTAGTAACAGAACGCAGAAAGGGAGATAGAGGAACTTGATTCTAATATGCAGAGCAGGAGATGACAGAAGGGAGTGTGGTTGTCGCGTCGCGTAATGGTCCTCGTTTTGAGAGCTGTGCAGCAAATGCAACGGCAGCCAATTACAGTTATCTTTGCAGGGTCTCGAGGGCAGGGATTTGTAGTGGCGCCCAATGGAAAAGCAAACCGATACGCAGGGCACAGTCCGAATCGAAAGATAGAAGATAATGGGCTGCATGGAGAGGGAATATAATTACGAAAGACATGTATAGGGATCGGCAGTTCGCTCAAATATCTGAGCAATCAGAGACGATAGGATATTCAAGAATAGAGGGAAACGGAATAAGGCTGATGTTAAAATCCGAGAAGGGAAAGAACATAATAGCTATCGTAAACGCACCTTCCTGCCCGGCTTGGTCGATACAAGCGAGTGAACTGTGGGTGCGTTCGGGCTCACCATCCTTCCACTGCTAAGGTTGATGGCGATGGAAAAAGGATGAAGAGGGAGAAAGTATATGGGGTACGTTGCTGCGAGAGTTATGGCGGCAGCTAAGGGAGTGGTCACGCGGGAGCATGTGAGGCTCGCGAGCGTAACTCGGATTGGGTTGGAATGCGAAAATGTCTGAGAACGAATAATGCGAAGAAGTTTTCTTAGACGAAATTGGCCTTCAGAGAAAGTTTGAAGATGTGCCGTTAAAGTTTTGCAGGTACTCCAAGTTTCTGTACTCAACCCAGAGGCTCAGAAGTCATATTTATACATCGCCTTGCTCAAGTCAACCGACGAACATTCCTACCTGGAGATCAACATCCAACCTAGACAGAGACAAAGTCTCGGCCCGTTCCACCACAGCACACCAATCGCCCCCATCCTCTCCCTTTCTTTCGTCTATTTTCATCCCAAACCCCGTCACTCACACACACAGATGCACCAAAAGTGATATTCACATTGCCCATAACGTTAAGATAGAAAGCCAAGCACAACGCCAAACTCACTTATCCGCGGATCACCGTACATGTTCAGCTGGACAGGGGCCCGAAATGCGGCTCGACCTTTCGGATTTGGACCCGTCGGACGATAGACGATCGTTTCGTTTCCCGCATGTTGGGATGGAATGAAATTTGGGGGCGTGTTTGGAGTTGGAGGGGCTCGTATTACGGGAGCGATGTCATGTGCGTGGCGCTCTGTGGCCAGGGAGGGCCAGGCAATTGCTTCGGTGCCTCATATTAGGTCATTGACGTGGAAATAAGGTGCAGAATGATGCATATGGCTTGATTCCTGGCAAGCCGCACGTCCAGAATTAATGAAGCTCATGGTCGTGGAGGCCAAAGTGAGTCATACCAGTGATATCTTCCTGCGTCGGAGTCCCAGATGTTCAACGCTATTCTCGCTTTCCATGCCTATTTGGGTGAGCGCACGTGGAGATACAGGCTGCTATATCTGGACCTGGGATCTGGGTCGGTTTGCGGCTCGCGGGCATGTGGTCGGGAGGTTTTGGTAAAGAAATTTGAAAGGTCGGAAACTTTCGAGCGAATTGGAGGGGGCCGAGCGGGGTCTCTTGCACCGCTTGCCCGACGAAGGGCTTCGTGTTCCCACCAGTGAATTCGGCAAACCGTGAATTTGGTCATTCTAGGTGTCGTATTTCTGGTGTTCCTAATGCAAGTAAGTTGGCGGCGGAAAGCCACGAAAATTGTCTTCAGGTTAGTTGAAACGTTGCTCCGTGTATCATCTAGACGTTTAGTCGAATGAACCAACCTATCGCAGTACGGACCTTAGTTTGGAAACAATTGCAAGAAATTCAGGTTTGCAAACTTTGAAGTTCTGCAATCCGTCTTCGTTACCTTGCGACGGGATAACATCAATGATGAAGCTTTAAGAAGTGAGACCTCTCGGAACGCGGCCGAAGTGCACTTGAACGGCCCCAGTCTGAGCTTCAAGCCGTGAACTGACCACAACCTGCCTCAGGCCTCCCAAGTTCTGCCAGTCGTGGCCTTGTTAGAAACGTGGGCCAAATCCCATAGGATCCCGAAATCGAAAACAAGTTTATTCATCCTCCAAACCAGACCATCTTTTCAGCTGCTATGCCCCTGTTCGATAGTTGTCAACTCGTATGGATTATCTCCGTGACTCGTGTCAACCAAGAAGACGCTGTGGCGTATCTCGAGCGAGCAGCTAGCGCCAGTTTAGGGTAATTTTAGACACGTTACATGTCTTCAAACGGCAATCTGTCGTGATGGTTGCCGGTTGGCTGCTTTCGAAACAAGAGGGCTGAAAGTGCTTGTCGCTTGGCACGGGACCGGAAGAGACGGCTGCCGCCTTGCACGGGCTTGATATAAGGCTCAGGGGAAGCCCCGAAATATTTTCGAGAGGAAGTCGTATCGCTGCTCACTATCCAAAACGTCTTTCAAATGTCTCCCGCATGCTTTTCGATATTTCGCAGTAGGCTTAAACCACGCTGTGTTTTTTGGAATCTTGAGGGAAAATCTCACACGCGACACCTGAAGTCGTCCGGAGCCACCAATGATACGCGCCGATAAACGGTCAGCCGCGGCGAAATCAAGTCCTGCATTGGTGGACGCGTAGGGTTGGCGCTTGGCGTGCGTCAGCGTTGCTTGTCCCTTACCAGTACTCGAGCATGTGCCGTGTCATGGCTTGCGAAGGAGAGCTGTAGCTGGGAAGAGAAGACAAAGGAAGCATGCGAAGGAGCAACCATTAAATAGAGTAATGCAAATGCGAGTGCACGTAGGTACAGTAATTGCTTCCTCAGCAGACATCGGCCGTCGGGTTTGGCCGCCTTATAAAAGTGGACCATCCATCCCCGCCAAGCCACGAATTAGTACCACATCGGGAATAGAGGTTGCAGTTTGGACAGACTCTCCCTACCATTGCCAACAACACCTGTGGCAGTGATCTCCTGCTGACCTGCTTGCCTCGTCTTTCCATCTCAGCACCGCCTCTCCTTCCTTCCCTTCTCACACTCCTTTACACCTTTTTTTTTTTGATCCGCTCGGATTGTGGTTTCACCGCTCTCTTTACTGCAGAGCTGTCGAGGCTTCCGCGTCTTCCGGTCCTTAGCTTAGTGGCAGAAACCAGCAATTGAGTCTTCTCCTCAACACCACACACGCGCACGAGACCCGGTTGCGATATTCGCCGCCCTCCGACGCAGCCTCATAGTGTGTAACCGAATCCTCAATCCTTCCTCTCCGCCACCCTAGGAAATACATCCTGGTTATACGCCCGACGACGAAGCGAAACGACGGCCATGATGCCGGCGCAGAACCTCACGGTTCCGTTCGAGGGTGAAACTCAATGGCACTCCAAGCCAGCTTGGAAGTTGCCAGGTTGGGCCGAGCCTATTGTAAGTTTTTGCTTTGCCTTTGGTCTCTGTCGGGCTTCGCGATTAGTCACTAACAATGCTCGCTTATCAGATCGTTGCCAGTATTCTGTTCTTTGCCATGTTCATGACCCGACGCCGCGGCTTTCGAATCTTGAACAAGTCCTCCAGTCGTTCTGGCTATCTCGACAGTCTTAGCTCAAATGACTCTTCTGACCGTCTGCTCTCCTATGACTCTGATGGCGAGGGTGAATACGACGGATTCATGTCAACGAGCAAATACCCGCCAAAGAATCGCAACTGTTGTGGCATCGTTCTCCCAATGCCCAATACTTCTCGATTCAGGAACAATCTCCACAGCCGGGTTCTCCAGCGGTACCCCTTCCTCATCGAGATGTTCTACTGGATCATCAATTACGCCTTCTACCGGTTCACGTCTATCGCTTCCCAGACAATCTTCGCCAAGACGGGCATTTGGAATGTCGCGCAGGACCATGGACTTGCTGTCCTTGAGACTGAAGAGTTTAGCATTCTTAGCATCCTCTTCCCTATCCGTGAGCGGGACGTTCAGCAGTGGTTCATGACTGGCCACCAGGACGCGCTCACGGTCTTGAACAAGGCGTATGCGCTGATACATATCCCTGGCACCGTTGGGTAAGCGTCTTCCACCTTGCTGATGTTCTCTGTCAACAGTCACACTAATTTTTTGACAGATTCATCTGCTGGTACTACTACGTCGCCCCCTCCTTCGACACCTTCGCCCTCGCCCGCCGCACTATGACCCTCACTAACTTTTGCGCCTTCATTACCTTCATCTTCTACCCATGTATGCCACCCCGCCTCCTCCCCCCGGAGTACGGCTTCCTCGACACAGTCCGCCACGACGACGCGCAGAGCGTATGGATGAGCGGCAAATACGTCAACACCCTTGCAGCCATGCCTTCTATGCACTTCGGATACTCCTTCTGCATCGGCATGACGTTAATATACCATTCCGGCCTCTTCCGCCGCACGTTAGAAAAAGGCGAACCCCGGAAGTCTCTCTTCTGGAAAGTCTTCTATCTCATCATCGGCCTTGGTTACCCCACTTTCATTCTCACGACCATCGTTGCGACCGCGAACCACTATTTCATGGACGCGGTTATGGCGGCGCTATTTGTGGTCTTTTCCTTTGGGTTCAACAAGGTCTTCTACATCTTCATCCCACTGGAAGACTTCCTTCTCTATCTGATACGCGCTGAGAAACCGACTCCAACGACCGGTGATCGGTATCATGAGCGTGGTGGTCGGATCTAATGCCCGGTGGTGTAGATGTCTACGGGCATTGCGGATCCACCGCCTGGTGGTGCATTTTCCTTTGTATACAAGTAGATCCATGATTCGGCATACCCCCACTTCATTCTGCATTGCGGGAGCATTTTCTGGGTCTAATGGCGGGTGGGATCTGGGTCTTGGCGTTCAATAATAAATGGGTTAATTTCACGGCCTAATATTGGAAAATGTGCTGGCTCTATAGCACCTTTGTAAAGCTTACGGTTGATGTGGTGCACCCAATGCTAATGGACTGTACTGTTTCTTCCCTAGCTGTAACGGTGCAGCAACTCTCGCATCCTGCTTAAGAACTGTGCGAAGCGAGTCGAAAGCTACCCAGGACGACGTGAAGATGGTTGGGACTCTAATCTCTATCAAGTTGTCGGCTAGAATACGAACTATGAGTAGGATAACGTCTAGCTCGAGTCTCAACATGTCAACGCTAACATCCTAATTTCGTGACACTGTTGCCATTTTCTAGCTAGCCGTCTTTATATCAACAAACTAGCACTGTATTCAAGGATTCAGTACATCAAGAATCCTCCTGGGAGGATTTTAAAATAGAACATGATGTAGAGGCTCGTTGCTGGCTGTGAAGAAGCTAGCAGCGTAGTGAGAATCCGCGTAGAAGCTCTGAAGAGAGTGGTAGGCATGGTATACATCTGGAGCACTTGCCGGTTCAGTGGCACATTGTGAGTGGTAGTCCTGAGAGTGGTAGCATTTGATGAATACACACATATAAAAGAGGCGACTGGACATGATCTAGGCCCATCGAATGCTGCGAAACGTCCATTCACAGCGAGATACAAAGCCCACAGGATGCATGTCTTCATTCACCACGTCTCATCCGTCAAACATATCCCAGAACGACAGAAAAAGAAGCCTTCTATATAAACCCAAGGTGTAGACTATAACCAAAAGAGGTTGCTTCTTCGATTGAGCATGTCCTCCTTAATTCAGGGCCTATGCTAATATTCTCTGTATCGAGCAAAATTACCAGGTGCCCGAAGGCGAAGAAGGTTGGATATGGGCGGTTTATATAGACGAAAACGTGAAGTGAGGGGATAGCCGGATTGGGGCGTTTCCGTGGAATATGGTGTTAGAGGAGGTAGATACTGCGGATGAGGGAAGGGGGTTGATTGCTTATTGAGTTGTGGTATCTGACTACTGTTTCGAATTGAGGTTCTTTCAGCTTGAAGGAAGTCGGCCACTTGCTTCATTTGTATAGTTGAAGCTAGATTCAACCTGGACTGGCAATACCAACAATGTAAGAAGCATATGGATAAGCATACACTACCATAGCTCTACTGTTCGAACTCAGTTCCCTCGACAAAAGAGCCTCGTACTTCTCAAATACAACCACCTGTGCTAGCCCTCAAAGCATAGGAGCAACCTGGCAATCTGCTTTGCTCTCAAAGGTCCTCCGAGAACTTTAATGTCTAGCCTACAATTGCTGCAAAGAAGAGAAAAGTAGCTGCAGTCCCGAAAATTGTCTGCACTAAAACCCCATACGTTCCCAGACTGGTAACGTAACCAACATCAACCAAACCACAACCCTCCTTAAGGATGAGTGGCATGTGCACGCTAACGCAGGTACGTTCTCGGCTCCAGCTCCAAGTTCGTAAGCTCCCCGCTGTCAAAGCTTCCCGAAGCCATCAACACCCAGAGCTGTTATTTGCGCACCACAACTGCCCCGCAAAAGCGCCTTCCTTTTTGCACTCGCGTCTTTACCTACACCTGAATTGCAACTTTATTTCGTTCCTTTACGCCCTAGTGTCATTTGTGCACTGGCCGACGAAACTATCACAGCTCCTAGATCCGAGAGCTCTATTCGCTGATACAGCTCCTTCTTCACGCCCACCAACGTTTCCCAGCTGCCAGTGATAAGATGGCGGATATCGAGCAGCAGCCTCTAGCTGAGGAGGCTGTCGGCGCTGATGTCGAGATGCAAGAGGGAGCTGAGGGCACCGACGATGAGGAGAGTGGGCTTCTGGGTATTGAGCCAGAGACACCGAAGCTTGTTCTGTTCGCAGAGTGTGTATTCCTTCATTTTCGTATTTTTTTTTCTTTTGGCCATAGGCGATGCAACTGTCATTGAGCACTTCTCAAGCACTCTCGCAATGCGCTTGCTCTTTCTGCTCTGCTCAGCTCCGATGCAGGGCGGCTGCTTGATGATATGTGTAATTGAACTTCGCTGCCCTCTCTTCTGCATTAAGCTAACTTAAGAAACGAGAATGGAACTAACAAGCATTCAGCTTAGCCAAGAGCCCAATTGTCGAGGTCATGGTAGGCACTGGCGACGAATGCACGACCTATTCGGCTCACGAGGCTGTTCTCATCAAGGCTCCGGAGTTCGCTCGACAATGCGCAAATCTTGGGCCAGGAGTGGTACGTCCTTCCTCTCCGAACACTACTCCCTAAAGCGCTCTATTCATAATTTCACAGCCCCGCCAGATTGCAATGCCAGATGCCGATGTCAACGCTATGGGCTCTATCATCGAATACCTATATACTGGTGAATACTTCCCGAAGAAGACGTCCACCGCGCGCGACGCTACCCTAGAGAAAGACCCTCGCACGCCCTTGCCTGACGACCAAGGACTTGGCCTCCTAGTGCACGCCCGGATCTACACCCTCGCTGACCGTCTTGAGATTCCAGAGCTCAAATCCTTAGCCCACTCCAAGATCCACCGCACAGCCTCTACTGCAAAAGGCGAACTAGCATACGCACGCTTCATCTATAAGGAGTCCAATCCCGAAGACGCAGTCATCCGCAAGCCAGTCGCCGCGTTCTGGGCTACGCGAAGCTACTCGCTTCGACACGACGCGGAGCCGGAATTCAAGGCAATGTGTCTTGAGTTCCCGCAATTCTCGTATGATGTCCTTCAGCTTGTTCTAGATCAACAGGAGAAGTCGAGGCATAAAAGTGACGATGGCCCACACCGTGGTCCGGCTATTGTTCCGGGCAGTAGCAGGAAGCGGGCAAGGGTTAATCAGATTTAGGTCAGGTTTAGGAGTACAACTTCGCACCTGTGACCAACTAACTCGGTTTGCAGTTTCTAACGTATGGCAGTGGAGCTTGTTACATGTCGCCAACCTAAGGAATGGAATGAAATGGCAATATCTGTCTCTGTGTATGTAAGTGTTTGGGTGTGCGCGGGAGTAGCGAGGGTACGGCAGGCTGCGAGACGGATAGGCTCTCTTCCAAGGTTTTATAATGCCAATATGTACCCTGGCGTTGGATATTATTCAGGTGTAGCGGGGGCTGGTTAGGGCTTTTGGAAACTTCTGTTTACATGTAGTAGGATCTTTTTCTCTGGCTCTCTCCTCTTTGTTCTGCATATTAGATGAATAAGGAAAATGGTCACCCCTATTTTCGCGCCTCTAAGCGAACACAATAAGAAGGATATATACAGTAGGCTTGAAATAATGAAGCTTGTTCAAAAATCTCAATCTCAACAGCCTTCCACATCAAGAAATCATTTCTCCATCTCACAGAGGAATTCGTCAATACTAGGTAATCAAACATCCTACACATCATCCTACACATCACGCACGCGCTGTGCACAAAAATAACTCTAGTTTAGCCCAGTTGCGGCAGCTGCAGGATCCATACGTACGTCTAGTTTCTATCCCTGTAAGACAAGAAGACGAGCATAGAACGCACCACCTAGAGATCAGACCTAGAGACGAGAAATATGAATTCAATTCAATGGAAGCAAGGGAGAGCACCTGCATACAGCCAGAGATCCAGTAAAACTGTAAGAATGTAGCCGGTATGGAGCACGGGTAGCTAGTTGAAGAGTTCGTGACTAATTTACATATGGAAACAGAAAAGGAACGATTGTAGAGGAAGCAAGGAAGAGGGGGGGGGGGGGGGGGGGGGGGGGGGGGGGGTTTTTAAAGGGGGGGGGGGGGGGGGGGGGGGGGATTGGGAGAATGGTTTTCAATAGAGTTGTGAAGAGGGGCCTGTGATAAGGTATTGCTATAGGGATGCTAGGAGATTCTACAACAGTTAATCTCAGAGCATTGTGAAGGTGGAGATTAGGAGTTCTGATTTCACATACCGCAGTGCGTGGATCGAAGAACGTTAATCCTGACGGAGTCCGTGGAGAAAATGTTACTGATAAGGACTGTCTGAGGATGTACAGCGCGTAATCCTAAGAGTGAACTAATGGAAGGGGCGGGAATAAACTCTATAGCCATACCTACATCAACAATCAACAATACACTATTTTAATACATCTAGTTACTACTCACAGAACTAGCAACCGAAGGAACCTCAAATTCAACACAATTTTGTAATTTGACCGTCAAGTCGACATTATTTATAAATCATCGTATCTATTATATCAATCCACCCACCTCCATATCAATAATAGATTAAACCATTGCATTCCACCAGTGCTCCGGAAAGACGCCCAAACATCCAACAACTCCATCTCTTGTTCTTTCTGTTCCATGTTCTTGAATTCATTGATATCGCCAACGCCAGTCCAGTCACATAAACCAGACAATAACCCACATAACCTTGGAAAGCCGGACAACCATGAAAGTTGGCACGCTAATAAGTATGCCCGCCGGGGAGACCCACCCGCAGTTGAAGGTCGACTACATATCTTCTTACTCCATCGACCGGCCGTACAGTACAAGTCCAAAATCAAAAAGGTGCATGCATCCTGCCATTTCATACGCTACACCATGTTTAGAAGAAGAAATACAAAATGCTTCCACTCGCGGTTAAGAAAACGCCGAACCACCACCACTGATTTGCGCGCATTTGTTCCGGGGTCCTTTTATTGATGACGTTGTGGTTTAGGGGCAGTTCGGATCGTTTGATCTTGCCAGTTGCTTTCGCACCGCCGGGTGTTGATGTCGTGAGTGGGTTGAGTGTTGAGGTAGGGAGCATTTGCGGAGGAGACATCGCGAGATAGAGCGGCATCATAGGTGCGCCGTCCCATTTATAGAGATTCAGGCGTGAGATGTTGTGGTAGGGATCAGTAAGGACTTCGTAGCGCTAAGGAAAGGTACACGTCAACGGAGGACATTGCAAGAAGAAGTGGTGGAGGGGTTTACCTCGAATAGCTCAGAGGTATTATAACGTGTGTAAACGGCATTTTTGTACTGGCATGGGTCGGAATATAGTTGGCGGCCGTCAACTGCTATTGGGACGAGGATGAGAGACCCATTGTCATGTTTGGTGTAGCTGCCGTGCTGCCATTGAATGATTCCCTTCGGGCATTTGGGACTGGTTGCTGTGACTCTGCGTCAGCCAAGTTGACCTCCCCAGTTGCAGGGAGCTATAAAGCGGGGCAGACGTACGATTCGCGATTGCGCGGTAGTAGGCTTCTTCGTAGAAGCCGTCTGCGGAGAAAGAGTACGATATACCTGTATGTGCAGGCTCTGTGAATTTCTCGTTGACTGGGTCGTAGAAGCCCTAGAATAGTGTTTCAGCATGGTTGCAGTGAAGCAGAGCGGGTCATACATACGGGTCCAGTGAGCGTTGAGTTCGACTTCGACGACCACGTTCCCACAATGTCAGTAGGGGCGGGCGTTGTCTGAGCAGCGGAGAGGCTCGCGGAGAGTACTAGGGCGAGTTTTAATGACAGCAACATGTCTGCGAGGCAGTGGAATCGGTCGTCAGTCGAGAGACGGGAGGATGCGGCCGTGGCGAAGCGTAGTGGAGGAATGTTGAAGTCTCAGAGCAAGTTCAGGGCAAGGAGGCGACGAGGCAGGAATGCACGCACCTTTGCAGGGGTTGTGCGGCTCGCCGCTGATCGTCAGCCACCGTGCAACGCCATCCCCGACATCATCAACAGAAATCACGACTCGACCTCGTCTCCGATTCGAGGTTTCTCCGTATTTGCATGTTATTCAGAAGGCCAATTGGCGACGATCTTAACACGCGCACCCTGGCTTGGACATGACTCCTTGAGAAAGGCCTCATCTCAAGTCTTCGCAGGCAGAGCTCGCACACTTTATCTGGCACGTCCTTGGAACTATTTCTGGAACGCAACTATGGCGACCTCAATTACACTGATGAAGAAAGAGCTTCGAAAGAAGATTAAGACTATACTTTCGGAGCTACCCGAAGCCGCGATAAAAGTACAATGTCCGTTGATCTGAGACCCTTTTTGCGCATTGATGAGTCAAATTGAGTTGACTGCGCTAACAGAGCAACAGCTTCCATAGCAGTCAATTCTCTACTGTCATTGCCGGAGTATAAGGCAGCGAAGAGGGTCAGTGTTTATCTTTCCATGCCTTCAGGGGAAATCTCGACGTCCAGTATCGTGCACGATGCCTTGCAGCAAGACAAACAGGTCTTCATCCCATACACGTACAAGTTAGCTGCCCCGCAGCAGGGCCAACCAAAGTCAGTCATGGACATGCTAGAGCTGTATTCGCTCAGTGACTACGAATCCCTCAAGCCAGACAATTGGGGCATCCCAACTCTGAGCCAAGACTCAATATCATCACGTGCCAATTCATTCGGTGGACTGGGGATCACTGAGGGAGAATCGGCTGCACAGACTGGAGTCGACTATGGACTGGATTTGATCATCATGCCCGGCATGGCCTTCGACTTAGAATTTGGCCGTCTTGGTCATGGCAAAGGCTTCTATGACTACTTTTTGCAGCGGTGTCACCAGTTGTCGCAGATGCCTTTTCGCGGTAAATCTTCTGGTGTATTTGGTATGGGGTGGGCATGCTAACCATATCAAGTGGGTCTCTCGTTGAGTGAGCAGCTCCTCCCTCCAAATGAATCCGTCCCAGTGGATAATTCCGATTTTCCCCTTGACGCCCTCATCCTCGGCGATGGCCAGCTTCATCGGGCCAAAACATGACATGGAACGCCGATGTCGAAATTTTAAACAATCGTTCTTCTAAGACACCCCACACCCTGCTTCCCCCGAATTTTGTTAGAGGGTTTCGCAACAGGATCCGCCAATACACATCAGAGGGGTTGGGGCTTAGAGAGGCTTTGGATCAGGGAAATATTGTCGCCTTTGAGCATGATCTGGCCTGTTGTAGTGTCAGTGATTGAATAGCCTTAGTTGTGTACATAATGCTCACCAATCTTCCGCCTGCTCTCCGCCTTGTCCCGAGTTGCAAGGCTCACCTCGGTCGCGTTGTCGATGACGAGGTTCATGAATTCATCAAAGCCCTGTAACGCAGTTAGCCACAATGCGTTAGGCTATTAGCACCTATTCTGTGATGCGTACCCTCAGGTTGCCCTCAATGCGCATATTCAAGTTCTCGTACAGCCAGATGGAAACGAGCGCGCGCGCCTGGAGCTGTTTGAAGATAAAGTTGATAGGGGGAAGGAGCACTGGGGCATGTTTAGCATGAACCCCGTGTAGAGGTTGCAGTGATGGACGAAGGAGTACCTTTCTGCCCGCCTCGGCCTGCCAGAAGATGTTAGCGGTGGTTTATTGCTGCATTCGCCGAGACTTACCTCCGCGTCCAGCCATGGTAGCTTTAGCAAAGAGACGTAGATTGGTAAGGAAGTGGGAGCGTGAGAGGATACAGCGCAGGTGCAGATGTGGTGGGGTGGAGACTGGCTGAAGCTCCGTTGGCGTGCACTTCGAATTTCAGCTTAGCTCACCTTACATAAGGGAGGTGTGGCTAGTTAATTATCATCGCACCGCCTGAGCTCGCTGAGATAAGTCTAGCTCGCCAAGGCTGTGTGCGGGACCGGAAGCCGTCGCTTTTGTCACAGTTGAACTCACAACTGGGCACTTCTTGACTGCGCCAAACAACGTCCTCGCTCCTTCACTCGATATTCTCTCACCACTTTTGGCTTTTCGCGGTACATATCCCCTTGCGGACCCACGACTACGCAGTCCATGAGCACAACCTAAGCACTCCCCCTCTATCAGCCCCCCCGCCTAGCGACGTCCGCTTCCTTGTTCGGAATTCTCCAAACATGGCTACCAACGGAGCGCAGCAGGCCTTTGGGCCCGGTCCTGTCCTGGCAGCCCACAACATGATGCAGTCGGGAGCGGATCGTGCGCAGAAGGAGGAGGCGCACCACTATCTAGAGAAGTTCCAGAAATCGGTGGGCTCACCTCACCGACTCGCGCAACCATCAGGCTGCTAACACTGCTCCCAGCAAGAGGCATGGACCATCACGTTCGAAATTCTTCAGTCAAGCGGTGTTGACGTTGCTGCTAAACTTTTCGCCGCTACTACCCTGAAGGGGAAGGTATGGTCCCTCGTTCCTTCTGCCCCCCAAGTCTGACCTTCTAGATCGTCTATGACCTCCACCAGGTGCCCCGCTCTCAACTCATCAGTCTGCGAGACTCAATCACGGGATGTCTCATAACGTTCCACGCTGGACCCAAACCTATCAGGTTGCAACTATGTGTTTGCCTGGCCAACCTGGCCATCCAGATGATAGAATGGAAAAATGTCCTTGAATATGTCGTTAGCACCCTCGGATCAGATCCGGCAAATGTGCCTTGCGTCTTAGACTTTCTTCGCGTCCTCCCGGAAGAAGTCACTCACGGACGAAAAATCAACCTCACAGTACGTTCGGTCGAATCACCATCATCAGCTCACCGGCCCCTCCGGTACCGCGATATCCTTTCAGAGTCAGAATCTAATCCTAAATCTTTGCTATTAGGAATCGGAGTTGTCCATTAGGACGCAGGAATTGCTTCAGGACAATGCTCGACAAGCTATTACCCTCCTCATCCAATATGCGCAGTCATCCCGTAAGTACGTGTTCAGTTTCTTGTGACTTAGCTAAAACTTTGGCAGCGGCGGCCGCACGTAACCCTCAATTGCTAAACTGTATCAACTCCTGGATGCGTGAGACTGCATTAAATGACATAGTCGCTTCTCCCCTTCTGAAAGTTATCCTCGGGGGTCTTTCCGCAGAAGAGCCGTTTGAGGCTGCTGTAGAATGTCTGTGCTCTCTCATCTCGGAGACCAAGGATGTGGACGAGTGCAAGGCTGTCATCCGCACTCTCTATCCTGAGGTTATTGCCCTCCAGTCTAAGCTTTCGGAGGCTGCGCTGGCGGAGGATACTGAAAAGTACAAGGGCATCTCAAGGATTTTCGCTGAAGCTGGAGAATCTTGGGTGCTTCTAATTGCACGCATGCCATCGGACTTCAGGCCCTTAGTGCAAGCCATCCTCGAATCAGCGGCGCTGGACAGGGAGCGAGATGCTATATCCCATACCTTCAAGTTCTGGTATGACCTCAAACAGTATCTCACTCTTGAAAAGTACATGCAAGCGAGGCTGCAGTTCGTCGATATATATGCACGGCTCGTCGACATCATGATAGGCCACTTGGAATATCCAACGCCCGAGAGCGGAGACGAGAAAGACCTGTTTGAGGGCGACCGTGAACAAGAAGAAAAATTCCGGGAGTTCAGGCATCAGATGGGCGACGTCCTTAAAGACTGCTGCGAAGTTATGGGAGTGACCGAGTGTCTCCAAAAGCCTTACAATCTCATCCAAGCCTGGGTTCAGACATATGGACCGCAGGCAGCACCAAACCACGTTCCAAAGTGGCAGAAGTTGGAGGCGCCGCTCTTCAGTCTGCGAGCAATGGGCCGAATGGTGCCTCCAGACGAGAACATAATGCTTCCTCGTCTCATCCCGCTGATTGTCCAAATACCAGATCACAACAAGCTCCGATTCCAAGCTGTCATGGCATTGGGAAGATACACCGAGTGGACAGCGGAACATTCAGACATGCTGCAACCCCAACTCGATTTCATCATGGCTGCATTCGACCACCCAGACAAGGAGGTCGTTCGCGCCGCCGCTTTGTCATTCAAATTCTTCTGCAATGACTGTGCAAGCCTGCTCGTCAGCTACACGGACCCGCTTCAACAATTCTACATCAAATATATTGAAGGGCTTCCGCCAAACAGCCAGGAGGAGATAACAGATGGCGTGGCTTCTGTCGTGGCCAAAGTTCCCAACGATCAGGTCTACGCCAAACTGAAGATGTACTGCGATCCGGTAATGTCAAGCATTGTTGAGATCGCAAATCAAGCGAATGATGATGTTCAGAAGAAGCTTCTGGCTGGTAAGAATTGGTCTCCTTCCTTCTCTTCATACCCTCCCATGCTAACCAACTTATAGATAGGATCAATCTGGTCACTATTTTCATCGAATTGGTGAAGCCATACGTCGACCCTGACGAGGAACATCCAGCAGTCAAGTATTGTCAAGAGATATTCCCAGCCCTCGGTGCCCTTGTAACGCATTTCCGGGACAGCGTGCCGGTGCTGGAGCGCGTTTGTCGGTGCTGGCGATTCATGATATTGTCGTACCGGACGGCAATGGCTCCGCTTCTACCAGAACTCGCCCAGCAGCTTACTGCAGGGTTTGCGACTTCGAAACAGGGATGTTTCTTGTGGGCTACCTCTTCTATTGTCCGAGAGTTCTCGAGAGAAGTCGAAAATATCTCTGAGGCCACGACCGGCTCGGTCTTCAACTTCTACGAGGAACAAGCCAAGACTTTCTTGAGGATAATGACTGACCGACAGCCGGAGGAGGAACCCGATTGTAAGAGGCCCCTAAGAAGATATTTGATACTCACTAACTGATCAATATAGTGATTGAGGATTTTTTTCGACTTGCTTCTGAGATGATTCTCTACTATCCTTCCGAATCAATTACCTCCCAATTGATGGACTCTGTTCTCATCGCGGCGTGCCGGCTCCTTGCCATCCTCAAAGAAGAACCAATTCTTGCCATACTTCACTTTCTACGCGACTTGCTCGGCTACGGACGTGATATGGCCCCATCATCAAGCTTCGACTCAAGCCGTCATCATGTTCCCGTCGTCCTCCGGAATCGCATCAAGGAGCTCATCACAGGCGCTGGCCTCGAACTCGTCCAGCGGATCATGACGGGCATGATGTATAGTTTCCCAGGAAGCTGCTTTCCCGACGGATCAGGAGTCCTTCTGGAATTGTTCGAGCTGATGCCAGGGCAAGTTGCTGGCTGGGTGCAACAAACGGTTAGCATGCTTCCCCCGGGTTCAATAACACCACAGGAATCTGAGCGATTTCTGAACAATATTCGACAGTACGTCATATCTCATTTCTCAACAAATATTTCCAAGACCCCGTTGACACATGTTTACTCAACGTCTGTCACTCTTTTTTTTTCCTTTTGGTATCGTTCTGTCGTTGTTTGTTTGTTCGGCCCTGTAGATTGGCCATTGTGATGTGAGCAGATTTGCTAATAGTCATATGTTATTAGGCGCATTGAGACAGGCGAAATTAGAATGATTCGCACTATCCTCCAAGACTTTACCAACTCTTATCGCCGACGAAACGTTGCTCCTCGCGAGGGCTTGGGAAGGCTTGAGGCATCGAGATTCAGATTCTCTGGTTAAGTAAGGTCGCGCGATGAGCAAGAGTTGAGAGTTTTGCGTTCTTTCTCCGAATCCGATTCCGGCGTCATGTCATTGTGGCGAGTCTTGTCAATTCAGCTGGGCACTACACTGACATACATATCTGGTGCGTGCGTGCGGCTGGGGGCTGGGCAAGTATTGGCGGGCAACGCTTTACGGCCGTAATTATTCACACAACTCCGACCAGCACTTCCTCGATGACAATCACCTCTAGTTCTCTATATCGCCCTTGTTGCTGAGAACGGGTTTGGTTACGCGGGCTTGTGGCTCGTTCTGGTCTTCTACCTCTTTTCTTTTGTTTATTTTTCATCGGGGGGGCCGATCGGAGTTTTGTGGCGGTCCACGCGTGCGTGGGTGGCGAGAGGTTTTGGTCGAGCACGTTAGCGGGCGGGCGGACTGGCTGGCGGTTAGGGTGGATGAACTGATTGGAGTGGATTTCTCGCATGGCATGGCATGGCAAGGCATGGAAACGGGGCTTTAGGAGCGATGAAGTGGTCCTTTGTAGTTGTTTTCACGCCTCCTCACATCACACACACTCTGTAGATTTTGGCATTTTGCATGGCGGCGGGTATAGCAGGCATGACAGGCGGTACTGGATGGATGGGTTTTGGAGCGGGATACTGCTGGAGCGGTGGGACTATAGGCTCTCTATTCTATTGCCCCTCGAGTCATTTTTGCAGAATTTTCACCCACTAAGAATACACTGAAGATAGTTGAACTAATTGCTCTCTTCCAAATGAGCTGGCCTTGGAAAACCACCTAACCTAGAGTGGGAACTTCGCCTTCAGTGTGAAGAGTTCTATCCAGGTAGCCTGCTGCATTCAGAATTTGAGAATTCACTCTCCCGATAAGTATGGATAAGGGACGTGCGGTCCCCCGAGCTGACTGGCTGACGATGGCTATCAAGCCTGTCACCCATCACATTCTCATTCGATTAACTCATATGTTATGCAGATGCAGGATGAATTCTGGGATCTTTCCGATCTGATCGCGATGTAGCCTAGCCAGCCTTACTTCTTCTATCCTTAACACGATAAGCGAGGCTTCCTACCAGCCAGTCTGACGAGAGAATGTGTCAGCTGAAGTTGTTTTGATAGTAGCGAAGTTGGCGTTGGAGGCGCCGGGGATGAGCTTGCAAGGAGGGGGTGAGGTTCAGGATGTTGTGGGACAACAATGGCGATGGCTATGGCTGCAATACCCACTGTACGCTGGCAGTGAGCGAGCTTTTCGCCATCCTAATCGCCACCGCCACTCGAGGTTGGAGCAACACGTGGAAGAGGAGGGGGTAACGAAGCCAGAGGCTGGATTGAGTACCGAGCGAGGAAGCGAGCGTTTTAACAATAGCCCGCGGGGATAAAGGCTGGGTTGAGCGAGGGGGGCGGCACATTATGCATAGATGTACATTTCCATAGAAATCTATAGCCTACCTGCTCTTGAAGAGGCAAGTGTTTGTTCCTTGGGGAGCGAGCGAGCGAGGGAAATGGAAATATAAATGCGATTTGGAGTTTAAGGTTTACTATGAATGGGGATTAGAATGCTAGCGTTTGCATAACATTTTCAAGGGTGTATAATTTCATCACTCTCAGATCAGGGAGCGAGGTTGGTGTGGATAAGCTCTATTGCGCAATATGGAAGTGTAGTTTATTTACTCTGGCCGGTTCCGGGGGCGGGGGTACCCTGTGTCGAGTCTGGGGTTTGGGCGTGTTGGAGGGGGCGATGTGTCGATCTTCGGAAATGAGCGTGTAACGGTGATTAGGAGTGAAGATATGTTATTTGACAGAAAATACTAGCAGCTTGTTTAGAACGAAGGTAGCACACCATAGATTGTAGCGATCTGTGCCGCCCGTGCGGTCAACTGTAGGTTCGAACATCTTCGGTTTTATGTCAATATTATACGCTATTTAGGTCACAGTTAGCGCAATTTAATGAAATATGCTTAGATCTCTGTCGGAGTATCGAAGTAGTCTCCAAGAGCAGTCAAGACAATATCGGAAGGCTAGAGTTCAGCAATATCTTCGGCGAGGCTTGAGTATGACCACTGGCTAAAGGCGGTCTGCAAACATGCCGTGAAACCATCTAAAGAGGATATCCAGTCCAGCAAAACAACTGTTAGAGTACTCGAAATAGGTCGATTTCCGTCCCACAAAGGGCGAATCTAATCGAAGCCCTGCGACGAACGGCTAGGTTGTCCGCCGGAACAGGTCAGGAAGCGCAACATTCCCTTGAGGGGAGAATTTCGGTCACTGACGGGGAATTATGGCCTCTAAACAAAGCATGTGCGATACCCTTGGAGACGAAGGGACTACTACAAAGCGATCCAGGACCATTGTGAAGTTGCATTTTTCGGTTGTGGGAGCGAGCGAAGGCGCAGGTTGTGGAAGGTGTGCAGTATGTCGAGATACTTGTGTCAAAGTTCCTATAACTATACGGGTCAGATTAGTCTTACTCAAAAATTTGTAATATTCTGCAATGACAGGAATTGTGCGGTGTAGGGGTATTGAGGTACCCTGCTCTACAGGTCTTCGATAATGAAAACCGAGTGGTGTATACCGTGCACGAAGGACGATGAGCGGTATGACGATTGAAGGACGGGCATTATGCAGTCTGCCTACGTCTCCAGGATTATTTATCCAGATCGGTACCATGGGATCTACTAGTATCTTGGAACGTGGAGGAGGGGTGTGAGGGTGTGCAGTTCTGCGGTCTGCGAGTCTGATGTGTCGGAAATGTAAAACATCCTCTGCATACCTATCTGAGATTTGGCGTGATGCCGTGGGAGAGTCTGAATGCTCAGGACTTCTTTTTCTAAATTGGCGGCCCACAAATCTTCTCCGATGCTGACTCCAGCGCATTGTAGAGTGGGGATCCTGAAAGGAGTACGTATTTCGAGGCGAAGCGGCTAATGCTTCTATCACACTTCTCCTAGGGCAAAAGGTCACTAGGTACCTTCACGTGGTGGTCGCAGTACTACTGGCTGTGGAAGTCCCACTCATGACAGAAGAAGGCTGACTAGGGTAAGCGGAACAGCCTCGTTAGTTCGAAATTCCTCGAGAGGAAGCATTTTGGAAAGTTCTTCGTGCTGGGGGAAGTCGGGACGGGTCTCGATCTGCATGGCCGATCTGGACAGGGCTAAGCTTTGGGGACACTTTTCATTTCGGGTCATGTGGAGCGTAAACTAGCTTTTACCGAGCCAAGGAGAAGCTTTCCATGTCGCCGTTCATCAGAGGTCAAGCCTTCTAGTGGCTCCAGCGCGAGGGGGAAACGGCGACAACAGGAGGGACGAAGCGTAGTGTGAGCCACAACTGTCAAGACGTCTGTGGCGGTTGGACACGTCGATCTATTGAGCCACGATGATGCTCGCTGCGTAGATTTGAAGGAGGCGCTTCGAGCTCGGGATTGCTTCTGGAGGCACCTTTTTTTTTCTTGCTTTTGCAAAGAGAGGTCGCGGGCACTCATTGTTTGGTCGATGTGTCATGGGCGGATGTGCTCGTCATCCACAAGGCTGCGATGAATGGTGGGCGAATAGATGGCCCATGAGATGACATCCGGTGTGAGAGCTGTAGCTCGGAACATACCGAGAGATTGGACTGTTGTAAATACTGGTTGCTTTTTAGTTTGCTTCAGGTTATTTTCAGGTTTCATAATTAGCGTTCGGGGTTCCAGGCGAAGCGCCTGGCAGCCTGTCACGAGAGTCCAGATGCTGGCTCAAGTACATGTTTGGTGGCGGGCAATGTGCTGGAGATGTTTGAGACATTATGGCAGCTACCTATAATATGATTTAGTCTTGTGGTAGAATGATACTGCATCTGATAGTCCTGCGCCACGGAGCTGTGATGGCAACACGAAGGCAAAACTTGAAATTTAGACTCGAGTCAGGGGGTCTCCGCCCAAGAGCTTCAGCTGCATCGTAAGGCCTTGTTGGGTTTGTGATAGTTGCCACGATAGCGGCAGAGACATGCCAGAGATTGGTGGTGTTTGAGTGAATGTGTACTACGGCTCATTGGATGCATGTTCTGCAGGTTCTGCAGGCGCAGTGCAGGACAGCTGCCTGGCTGGAAACGGCAATTGTGCATGCAGAGATGAGCCTAGCGGCTTGCTCTTGCGCGTCCACTTGCCTTGCTTTGTCTGGAAAGGGTGCTGTTAATGGATTCCGTTGACCCCCATTGTCTGAAGCCTCGTGGTGGCAGCACGCACTGGCTCAGGTGAGGCTGGTGACGGGTTCTGTGGCGCCTGAATCAACAGGCATGCCAGAAAGTTGGGGGGCCAAGATACGGCACAGGGGCTCACGGGATGTCCACAGTGAGGCCTGTTCGGACAAGTGCATCCCACGATGATGAAAGAGGAATCCTCGGGCCAGGGCTGCCCTGGGCGATCGACAGTGTTTGCGGGCTCGTACGGCCTCGTGAGGATGCAGGCTGCTACTCGCCGTCTGCAGCTCTTTGCAAGAATAGCCTGCCGCCCGTAAAAGTGCCGGCATTTTGTCCGTCGCGCCTGGTATTGCTGCAGGTCCAGATAGAGTTGCTCGGAGTTGAGCCGTCGGCCGGCGCTCTTATGGGTTTGAAGATGTCATAGTTATCGGGAGGCTGAAGGCCCCAGCAACCGGGTCCACGCGCGTCCTAGCGCAAATCATATCGGGATGCTCATAAGACGTGCGTTGAGGAGGGTGTGGGCGGAAGGATGCATGTCGACGCGTGCCTTAGACCGGCTTCGTCACGCCTTCTCAGGTCCCAGCTCTCTTCTGGCCAGCCACCCGCGACAGGCGGCAGGTGCGGCATCCACTGAGGGCGACGAGCGTCTCCTGCGAACAGCACGGCGGACGCGCTGGGGGAAGAGACAAACGAGCGATGAAAGAAGGTTATCCGGCACAGTGGGATGATGAGCATGGATGGGGCTTGCAAAAGGCAGAGGAACTGGGGATGGTTAAGCTTGTTGGCTCACCGCGGTGCGGGCTCAGGTAAGACGACGCCATCAGTCGATCGAGCCTTGCCGCTTTTGGGGCGTTCTTTATTGGTGGTTGGAGCCAAATTATCAAACTGAGCTTCGCGGCGGGGTTTCTGAGTCCTAGGGAGATGTAATGAGTGGATCAAGAATCGATGGACGGCGAACAGCTTCAGCTCCAGCGCGTCCGCAGTGCAGCTCTCTCACCCGCTCAGGAGGGCTGCGGACAGCGCTGGATCTAGCAGCGGCTGTGCCCAGAGTCTGCAGACCTTTGGACCAGATGAGTTTTCTGTACGTACCAGCAATGCCCGCGCGATGCAGATTCGAGCAAGCTGCAGGCTCGAACTTCAGATTGATGGCTCCAGCAGCACTGGCGGTGGCGTTGTGGCCACCGACAAGCGTTAGCCGCTCGCTGCATCCACTGGGTCCTGAACTCTGAGAACCCTGACTGTGAGCGCTGTGCTGGAGTGGTGTTTCTCAACGATTAATGATACATGCTGTCGGGTTGGCGCTCGACGACCTCGGGCGTCGGGTAGCGCAATTCACTCCTCCAGACCTCCTCGCCCAACTGCGTCAATGAGTCTGTCTCCCCACATTTACCAGCTCCAGCGCTATTGTCACCCAGTGTTCGTGGCCGCGATCATCTCCAAGGATTTCCGGGAATCATGGGCCTGGCTGCTATTCTAGGCAGATTAAAACTTCCCAAACATCCCAGACCCTGACCGCACCCAGCTTTGCCTCCCCTGGCGCATCCCAGCGATCCCAGGGGGCTTCCACACGGACCCGCGGGGCCACCAACCTCTCAGTCTTCACGGGATTTTGCGTTGCTCGCCGTGCTCAGTGGCCCTGCTCAGTCCGAGCGTCCGCCTCTCCCACCCTGATCCAATAGCACGGATCCCAATTCAACTCTGCACCAACATCGTCCCACATAAACATGTTTTTTCCTCCTTCTGTGTCTGTCTCCGCTGCATCTGCACAAGAGGCCAAGCTTATCGTGAAATGCTCCCCCCATACTCGTGGATCCCCAAAACAGAATAGCCTCCCCTACTTGTTCTAGACCACTGGGACCTTTCAAGCTCACCGAGCGCCTCGTTGTGGACTCTTTTCAGTTGTGGCATCATTTTCGTGCAGCCTGCTTCAGGCTGTTCGGTCAATGCGGGCTTGTCGCTGGCTTCGACATCTGGTTCGTGCTCCACTCCTTTCGTATATCTCACACGGCGATCTATAATTCCACATGGTGCCCGTGGCCTCTCAGCCTTTCTCTCCCGTGAACACTCACCTCTGTCCTACATGCCCACTCCGTAACATCCAGTCGGAAGTGTCTCTGTCCCTTCTCCCTCTCCACGTCGGGTCTACCGCCAAATCTGACAGCTCGACCGTTGACCCCCCACCAACACCACCGCCTGCGGATCGCCATTTCTAGCGGCCACTTGCCCCTCCTGGTCCTGCGGTGCCTAGATAGAGTCGGACTTGCTGTCCTCCGGTCGCTTTAGTGCGCCAATTCCTCGAGTCTTAAAACCTGCCCAAGGACTGCTTCCTACTATTTACCCCGGCGGAGACCCAGCACCCCGGTTGAGGTTGGTTTCCTTTAACTTATATTCTCTCTTTACACTCACGCTAAGTACTTTCAAAGCAGTTCCAGGGCCTTACCACAATCCTAGTCCAGATGGCATCTCGTCCGGGGGGACCACCTACAGGCGCCAGCAACGTGACACCAAACGGCACCAGTTCTAACTCCGCAACTAATCCTAAGATGAGGAAGAGGACCAAGACAGGCTGCCTGACCTGTCGAAAACGTCGCATCAAATGTGGTGAAGAGAGGCCGACATGTGCCAACTGCATCAAATCGAAGCGACAGTGTGAAGGCTACAACCAGCGCGTCATCTTCAAGCCACCGATTGGGGACTGGCCAAACCATCCTGGCGCTGTGAGCACACTTCAGTATCACAGTTCGATGCTTCCCGGAGCCCGACGTTATGCGCCGCCTCAACCGACGACCCAATCTCAGGACGGCCCGTTGGCATCGATACAACCGCGGCCCATGCATTTCGACTTCTCAAACGTTGAGACTGGGCCCATCCCCGGCCTTGACGGGCAACATGTGCTTGTTGGAAGCCAGTCGCCGTATGGGCACGACCCAAACTACCAGCAGCCTCTACACTCCCCGCACTACCAACAGCCTTTGCACTCGCCGCATCACCAGCTTCCAACTCCAACTAGCGCAACTTCCTACTTTCCGTCATCTCAGCCCTCTCCAATACATGGGAACTTCCCAGGACACTATGCGAATGAAGGAAATATCGGTTACCAAGCACAACAGCAATACCCTCAGGGAGAACCTCATCATCACATTCCAGTTTCTTATGATACCCACGTCGACCAAAAGCCTACCGTTTCTGTTTCTGAATCTCACTATCCTTCTGTTTCCCAAGCTTCTCAAGAGCAGGTTATATACCAGCAGCCGCAGCGGCCAACCAGCATGGCCGAGGAGCAGAACCACTACGTTCTGCCTTCGAATGCCCCCCCACGAGCTGAGGAGTACCCTCACTACGTGGAGTCTCGGCCGCCTTTGACTCATATGGGCAGCAATCCTCGAGTCGCACATTCGCAGCCTAGCCCTGTGAACCTGAGTCACGCGCGTCCGTATGCGCTGCCACCCACTATCTCACTTTCTGATTCTATTCGTCCCAGTTATCAGACTGTTCCTGTTCAGATACACCAACATGATGTAAACTCCGATGTAAAATATGTGCCGCAGCATGCTGTACTTGGTATGTCCCGTATTTAGTTGCACATACTCCATATACGTTTAATTATTATTATTCCCCTTCTGATGTCCATTGCAAAGCAATGTAGACTTTTTTGCATACCTGTTCATAAAACCGTTGTAAAGGATCAGGTGGCTTGAAAAAACCGCCAAGTCTATCTCGTCGTAATGCTGTAAATACTCGCCCTTTTGCCCTACCGAGAATCCACACGCCGTTGCCCCCGTTGATCGTACATTAAAAGCAAGATTGATGGCTGATAATTGCTTTTGTCTTCTAGAACAACCCGTCGCCGAACCGCAGGCCACGCAATCCTTTCAATGGCAACTCCTTATGTCAGGGTTCGGGGGTGACGACCATGTCAGCCCTACCCAAGTCCTTGATGAAGCAGCTGTTGAATACGTGGATGATGAATACTTCGACGTAGAACCTGATGAGGAGATGCCGGATGAAGAGGAAGGGCAGGATGAAGACGCGATGGTGTTAAGCCGAGACTTTAGTCTCATGCAACAGCTTCATCACGAGAATAATAACGAGCTCGCTCCTCGAAGCTATGATAACTTCCTATTCGAAGGATTCCTGACGCATTACTGTGCTGAGAATGTCGCCAATCCGCTCAAGAACCCCAAGACTGCTAGAGTATTCGCGCACTTCGTCCACGCCACCGGTCCCAGTCTCTCAATCTACGAGCGCAATCCACGAAATCCTAATTCGATATTCGAGGCCCCGACTCCACCACCTCACCAAAGTCTATGGACTTACATACTCCCTATGAAGGCGTTAAATCACCAAGGGCTGCTGCATGCCATGCTAGCGCTCTCCAGCCTACACATCGCAAGACTCCAAGGAGCCTCAGCCACACCGTCATACAGACATTATGCTTACGCCCTGAAACGCCTGACGGGATATCTCGGAGACACTAAGAAGCGCCTTCAGATTCCCACGCTCGCAACCTCACTACTTCTGGCTTTCTACGAAGTTATGACGGCAGAGCATGTTAAGTGGTCGACCCACTTAGTCGGCGCGGCACATCTCCTCCGCGAGCTCGACTTCCGAACTCTCACTCAGGAAGCAAGACGTCTAAAAACAGAACAGATGGCGCAAGAGCAACAATTCCCGTACCAAAACCCGAATATGTTGATCGACCAGAAGCAATTCGAGCAAAAGCTGAAGGAGACCGCCATGATGCCGGATGAGAATTTGGTCAGCACTATCATTGGCAAGAAAGTCAATTATGACGACCACAGCCGTGTCTTCGAAGAAAACGGCAAGCAGAAAGGGCGGAGGAATAGTTTACCCGGGAAACTTGATCTGCGGAGTTATGAGACGCTTCAGGACTTGAATTGGTGGTATATGCGGCATGACGCTTTTCAAAGCATCGTGAGTGGGAATCCATTGATGTGAGTCTCATCTTGCCACCCATACTGACAAGTTTGAATGCTGATGGTTATAAGTATGGATTACCGTAAATGGTCAGACTGCCCTCCTCGAGCGCCATTCGGTCGCTCTGAAGCTCTGTATGGATCTCACGATCACCTTATACTTCTCATTGGTCGAATAGCAGATTTCACGGTTCGAGATCGCGAAAGGAAGCTCAGACAGGTGGAAGCAAATGGCGGACAATGGAAACCCACGCCGGGTATGCCTGGAATGCCTATGGGACCACCTCCGCAGGCCAAAGGCCAGCAGCACCCTCCTTCTACTCCTACAACCCCTATGACACCGATGACGCCGATGGGTCCTGCCCCACATATGCAAGGAATGGGACCTCCTCCCGGATGGGTTGGTCCTCCACCTCCTGGCTGGCCTGGCGTTCCTCCACAAATGTCGCCGACAGGTGGTCCGCCTCGAGCATCCGGAATGATGCCTCCGCCTCCATCGCCAGGCTTCATGCCTCCACAACACCCTGGACAACCACATATGCAAGACCAAGCTCCAATGCCTCCACAAGCTCAAGGGCCTCCTCAAATACCTCAGCCACCTCGCGGCCCTCCACCAGGCGCAATGCCTACCTTCTACGGCATGGCGCCATCACGACCTCCAATTTCTCTCCCAACTAGCTACGCCAACCCAGATCCAAACTGGCATGACTCCCCCAAACCCCCTCACACACCACACCCGAAATTCGCAGACCTACCCTCCGCCTACGACGCCGCACTTAACGACTGGACATCGATCCTACACGCCCACACCGCACTCTCTCAAATCCTATCTTCAACCGCCCCCTTCGACCCCCTGCCTTCAGACCTCAACTTCACAGCCTTCGCGCCAGGCGGACCCACCACCCCCTTCGGCCCTGCGCTCGTCTATCGGAGCTACGACATCTCCATCCTCTGGACCCTGCTACACCTCTCACACATCCTCCTCCTACGGTCCCACCCTGCAATGCCACCAGCCGCCATGGCCGCGGCTAGCATCTGCGCGCCCGCAACAGCGCCGTACGCCAACCTCGTCGGCCGCATCGCCGCAGGGCTACAGATGCCGATGACGGAGTCCACGCCGCTGAATCCGAATCTCGGCGCTGCCATGATCGAATCCACCATGAGTTTATTTTTTGCGGGGATACAGTATCAGGATCCCAAGCAGCGAGAGTGGTTGGTGGGCAGGTTGTTGGATATTGATCGCAGGACGGGGTGGGCGAGTGCTGGCGTGATTGCTAGGAGTTGTGAGACTAGTTGGGAGAAGGCAGCGGAGTTGGGGAGGGGGCCGAGTTATGAGAGGAGGAGGACTAGAAGGTTTGGGGAGGTGGGGCCGTTGGTTTTGGATCCGGATCAAAATCAGGATGAGAGGGGTGGGAGTAGGGGTGGAGAAATGGGCGAGAGAGTGAGCGAGAGGAGGGGGGGTGTGTTTGAGGGCGATGAGAAAAGGTTTGTTGTTAGACATCCGAAGGGGTATACACCTTGGGCTATGAATCTTTTGGGTACGGATGAGGATTTGAGGGTCGGCATGGAGAAGGTAGAGATAGGGGCTGGGGTGGAGAGATGAAAGGAGTCTGGCTGCCACTGGTATTGAAGTTGGATAAACTTGAGCGGAAGGTGTTTGCGGAGAAGTATACGAGGAATATCGGGAAAATGAACGACAATCGGAACGAACCACGAGGAATAACGGAATACGGAAGGGAATATTTGGATCTCTTTCAAAAGGATGGCCAAGACGGATCGATGTTTTGGAGGCACGCAATGCGCTCCGATACACAGTCTTTCGAAATGGACAGTCGCTACAAACGACATCATCCTTCGGGCTTCCCTATCTCCACCTACGAATTTACGGCTTTGCCTACGCCGTCGAGCTGGGATCACGGTCGCGTCCTTATGATATCCAAACAGCGACGTCGCTCAGTTTATGTACGCCAGCGAAAAGCGAAGTATGCATTATCTCAGTCTGAGAACTTATATCAATGCATACCACACATGTATCATGCATGTATACGAGACATCTGTCTCAGAGAGAAAGCGACATAATTGCCTGAAGTTACCTGTGATGAATGGGACTTACAACTCTAATTTCTTCCTCTTTAAATACGGGTCTTATACCTTCGTTTAGTTTGCGATCTCCACTACTTGCACACATGCGCACGCAATATCTTCCATTCACCTACTTAGCTAAATACTGAAGTCGCTGTAGTCAGTCAGGGCACATGAAGATTCAAGCACCGTTTTTGATTTGGTGTGATGTTGTGATATCGAATCATCGGCAATATACTAGGGCTCTAAAGAGCAAATAGGCAAGCAGAAACGCAAAAGAACTTAGCTTCAACCACACACCGGCTCCGCCATCGTTCCAGGGGCGGGGGTTTGGCCTCTTTCAAAGTCGTTTACAACTCCAACCGAAAATCTTGCATGCGTATTAAAATATGTGATTATGTAGATGGGTACCGGGTCTGAGTAGTATACCGCGCACGAAATCAAGGAGGATTTGAAAAGCGGCGCGCGCCAGCATTTTTATCGGTCAACTGCAAGTGGTGAGTGAGCCTCATATGAACAGTACGCTTTTTAGAGAATCCCTCAAGCCCGGGAAATCGGAGGGGGATTAGCTCTGTTATTATACACCGAGATACCATCGAAGAAGGTGGATCTGTGAACAAAGGAAAGGGAGCAGAATTGAACAAGGGGAAAGGCGAGTCCAATTCTGCCAGTGTGGTAGACATGGCCTTGAATAAACTGCACTGAAAGAGGGGAATGAAAGTAGACATGCTAAGCATGAGGGGGTAAACCCTCAAACGCCGGTTTTTTCGACCTGCGATATCCTTGTGAGGACGCTGATCGATAGACTGGACTGAGGAGGGGTGAAACTAGAAAACTGTGATGCATGCACACAATGGGAAACACCGAAGCTAGAGCTAAAAGATGAAGTCGGGGGAGATGGGAAATCGAGATACTCCAGTCAGAATCAAAGTCTGAAGACCGCCACAGATGTGTATATAGGATACGTACATCTTACTGCAAACCGCCCAAGAAGCTGGACGATCATGGAAAGGTTGGGACAGAAGTCAGGAAGGAACTACCAAATACTTGATGCGGTTGATAGTGACCAAGTACCATGACCTCAGGTGTAGTTCGGGTTGCGAGCCTGCATAGTAACAAGCAAATCATAGAATCCCCTATCCCACCCCGTGCACTGGAGGTACTCCCACCAGAGACGCAAGGCAGGCGGGTCATCAGCATCAGCCTGAAATAATTATTAGTACAAAGTCGCTGATATGCAGGAAGAAAAATAGACACTCGACTTACGCGCTCAAAGGCTTGGAGGATGAACTCCTTCTTGATCATTGAGACCTTCATACGAGCTTCCTTTTCCCACTCACTTAGCTCCATGACATAGTCCTTGACGTCACGCATCACCTTTTGCAATTCTTTCTCCTCATCAACGCTCATTCCATCGTCGGTGCACTCGATCCGGAACATGGCGCCCTCGTACTCTGGCTTTGGGAAAAAGTGCTTCATCAGCGCTTTGGTGACCCATTCAGCGCGACCAACAGCAGACAGTTCCTCAGCCCAGTAGGTCTTGACGGAATCAGACACGTCATCCTTCATACGATCGTAGTCAAGTTTGTCGGACCATCGCGTCTGACTATAATTCCCGAAGTAGACATAGCGGCGCTTGTCTCCTATGGCCCACGACGAAGTGCAGATAAAGAGAGGCACATTCTCAAAGGAACATTCAGTTTCTTCACTAAACACCTCCTCAGGATTGACATTGAAGAAAGGAGTCATCTTTGCGCCGTGGGTGCCGGGCTCCTTGGGGAGGTACTTCTCATATGTGGCGTCGAGGAGATAGTAGGCGCGATTTTTGAGAATGCATGTACTGGAGCTTGGCCGGATATAGATGAGTCCTGGGGACCACGTCTCGCCACCGAAGGTGTTACGGAGAAAGTCTGGGGTGAAAGATATCATCTCGGCTGGCGGCGGGATGGCTGTGATTTCCTCGGTTGTGAGGCACTGCTTCATGCTGTAGATGAAACTGGGCATCCAGCCTCGACATGACGAAACGTGATACGGGTCCTCGATTGACGGTAGAGGGATATCGCGGACAATTTCAGTCAAGGCTGACGATGGCGTTGGAGGCCTGGCTGGTGGGAGTGGGGAGTGCATCGTTCTGTCGGGATTAGATTTAGATCTCGCTGGAAGGGGGGCTTCTTACTTAACAATCACATAATTCTCATCAACCATTCCGTCAGTGTGAAGAGCGCCGTTCGCATTGTTTCCGCTGATGGGAGCACCGGTAGAACTGGGCTGGTCAGTCAAGGCTTTCAAGGGCTTCAATCGGGCTATTTACCTATTGGCCACCGCATTACGGCGATGAGGGGCCAGGGTCTGGTCCTGCTGGGGTGGTCCAGTGGACTTCCTCATGTGCGGTGCGATGTAGATAGGATTGGACCTCAAGTATTGGGGATTGGACGGGGGGTTCGGTGCTTCAGCGGGTGTAGAATTCTTAGATGCTGAAGGCGGAGTATTGGCGGTAATCGTGGGAGCATCAGAGCCGTTGGGCTTCTCATCAATTCCCTTGACCAGTGGATCAGAGGTTGGGTCGTCCTTCGTCTTGGGTAGTGAGTCCGGCTTAAACACCTCGCCATTGGGGCCTTCAAGGACAGACTCCTCAAGCTTCTCGCGATTTGCGGTAGCCACGGTTTGGTGGGCGTCAACTTCGCCTTTCCATCCAGTTTGCACTAGTTTTTCAACGTGGCGCGTCAGGATCTCCACTTCTTGGCGGAGGTCACTATGGTCCTTCTCAAGAGCTTCATGCTTCTCCTCAAGAATATAATTATCCTTCTCAAGTGCATAATAGTCCCTAGCAAGATCAACATGTTTCTTCTCAAGAGCATAGTACCTAGTTAGAAGATCATTGTGGCTTGTATGATAGAACTTGTCTATCTCAGGTAGTGGCTGTTTCTCAAGCTGTTTCGCGAGAGCTTCGTAGTTCGCCTCAAGAGTACGGTGGCTCACCAAAAGAGCGTCGAGGTTCGTAGACAACCCACACACTTGATTTTGAAGTAGTTTAACGTCGTAGACGTCATTTTTTGAAAATACTGGGTCATCTGGGCGGTGGAGGGGGACACCATTGCTAGCTCTGTAAACACTCCACTGCTGGCCAGGGTCCGATTTTGGGTCGCGGTCAGACATGTCGCCGACTGGTGGGAGGGCAAAGGTGTGGTGAAGTAGTGATTATATAGTGAGCTACTAAAGGCCGAAGTGGTCTGAGAGATGGTCTTAGGTGAAGGAGTTGGCTTGCGGCTCAACTTGACAGAGAGAAGGATCGTGCTGCAACGCGGCAGCTTGAGTGGTTATTGAATAGCTATTGCTTGAGGCGAACGGGAAAGAAGCGGGAAGGCCAGAGAGGATGGAAAGAAGAAAGATAGACTACTGAGTTATCAAAGGCTGAGGCGGCTTGGTGGACAGACTCGGGTGAAGGAGCCGGCTTGAAGTTCAGCTTGGCGTCGAGAAGAAAGGTGCTGCAGAGAGGCAGCTTGAGCGGCGAATGAATAACTATTGCCTGAAAGGAGTTGGAAGTAGGTGCAAAGGTTGGAGAAGGTAGAGAGAAGAGAGGTGATGGAGAGAGAGAAAAGAGGTGGTAGTGGAGAGAGATAAAAGAGACAGTGGAAGAAGAGGAAAGAGGTGGTGAAGGGAAGAAGGTGGAAAGAGTCAGAAGGAGGGAGGGGTAATGGCTTTATTCTAGCCTGAGCGGGTTGACAAGTGGCGGTGACTGATGAAGTTGAAGCCTTGCTGGGGATTTTGCGGGAGGGACAGAGCAGACTCGGCCTGATAAGGTAGCCGGCGGACACTGTGTTGCCGTTCGCCCTCCCGAAACATGTCGAGGTCTGGTTGACTGGGAACATATAACCTTTAGTAGCAAATAGTTTGCTGAGGTTCGAGTGTCATTCATATGCAGAAGTTAAGAAAACAGCGCGTCAGAAGTTCGCAAGTACCCTCCGTTATAGGGAATGTTCATGGGTGCAATAGTAGTGAGCTAGCAGGTCTGACCCGACTCAATCCTGAGGACAAGGTAAACTACGCGTGCTTTGCATTCTACAGATCCTCCCTCAGCCGTCTTAGGCATGTTGGGCAGGCAATCGAGTGTCCTGTAAAGGCCTCTAGTCTAGTGCCATGTATTAAATTGCAGTCCGCTTTGAAGGTGATAGCGAGCTGAGGTCAACACCAGCGACTGAAGCGCGGACGTTAAACATACCAGTGATGCGATGATGGCCGTTTCCGTTGCTGTGACAAGATCTCACCGAGGCTAAGGAGACGCCCCGACCCTTAGCAGTCGGAACCGCAGCTCCAATGAACGCTCCATTCCCCATTACATGTCTACATCTACCGTGAAACATTGAAAGCATCTTTCGATCCTGTTGCTGGGATGATGAAGAGAGTGAAGAAGATGCATGGATTTGCTCTAAGCAGACCCCGATACGTTTGGTTGGAGTTGCCAAGATTTGTCGGAACTTCAGAAGACATTAAACCTGCGCTCTTACGAAGCATTCCTAATGCAGCAGTAAACTCAGAATCAATTCGGGCTCGTATTGTGGATGTGTTGCAGGGATTCGTCTTCTTCGTTTCTTCTTCTTCGTGCCTTCTCCGACTGCTTTAACCAGCTTGTCCGTGCTTATTTGTGGAGTCGTTGGAGTGCGTGGACAAAACAACTGGTAGTCTCGCGCGACGTAGAATGCTACTACATCTAGGAACTAGTGCAGCGACGGTCCGCTCCCCCAACCCCACGAACGCCCGAACATATACAAATGGACATCTTTGGCAATCGCTTGATAGGTCTTGGCGGCGACCACACGGCCGGAACTCTTACGGCCAGAACTCTCTCAGTTGGTAGCTGGTGGCCCTCGTTGCTGCTGTAGCCGCTAGATCTTCCACTACTAGAGCTTTCGATTTGACTGTTATCACGGCTTTTACACACACGGTTCTGAGTGGATAACAGGAATTCCGAGAAAAAATTAATCCTCGGAAATACCCTCAACCTCAGCGCTGCTATTTGATTAACCGTACGACTTTAGAGGGATGGCTTGGTCATCTACAATACCTTAGCACGACCCATAGAATACAAAGAGTGCAGAATGAAGACACCAAACTTCTCACTAGAACCATAGAGAAGGTTGAAAGAATGCTGTTTTCGACCCTCAAATAGATGTTTGCCACTTTCTGTTGCGGGATCCAACAGGCAGTATGCTGGTCAGGGCTCTACAAGCAAATTTTAGCTAAGGATTTGGATTATTTAAATTGTTCTGGCACCACGGTGGATTGCTGGAAACAGGTGGGTTGTGGCTGCCACTCTTGAAGGCTATCTACCGCATCTTTGATGAGGTGAGGCAGGATATCGAGACAATGTGCTGCCAGCCAATCAGCTCATAGCCGAATCCGATTTGTTCAAATGATAAAGACAACCGATATCACACATTGAATCTTGGGATCGAAGAGAGGAATAATGCACACTGACTATGCAGCAAGCCATAGCAGGTGGGTCGTGCAGGATGGTTCATATGATCCAGCAACGCGGTTCCGCACCTGGGCAGTGTTGTTTGCTCTTTGTACCATGCCAAGCACTGCCGGAGAAGTGGGTCGCAGGGCAAAGAAGTAAATATAAAAACGAGTAGGAGTTTGATAGCGAATAGACAAGGTTGATTGACTTGCATATTCAGGGAAGCAGAGATCACTAAGAATGCAAGAAGCCTGCACCTTCGGCTCGGTCGGATCGAGACGGCGCACTTACAAAGAGAACTGAAACTTTATCCCACTGCGCTCGATACACACTCTGCAACTCCCCTCCACAGCTGCGGACACGGATGATATATTTGATCAATGCCGATATGAACCACCCGTGGACATTCAATTGCACCTGCCGGTCATTGAGCAGAACGGAGAGCATGAGCAGGCGCAGGGCCACGTGCTGGTGGTCAAAATTCGGGATGGCAGACAAAACATCCTCACGGTCGCAACGCCGATGCCAGAAGACGGTGGACAATGGACGACAGACGATGGACTAGTTCGCAGGACGGCTGATAGGCGACGAGTGCAGAGGGGAGCGAAGAGTGCCCCTGACAGCGGCGAAACGTTTCTCCGCAGGACCCTGATTTCGTCACTCGACCTGGCCCGTGCGACTCGGGATGCAGAAGTCGTCCAATGTGCCTCTCACCCTTCCGACCCGGCTCACGGCAGATGCACGCCCACCAAGCGAATGTAGCGCACCCGGCAGCTCTCCTTCATTCCTGCTAGACTTCGCGCACTGCGTTGAGGGGTCTAGCATTCGTTGCTTTTGTTTCCTGTCCAGCCCCAACTCTGTCGCAGCATGCCTCCCGCGAAGCGTGCACACGAGGACACGCTGACCCTCAAGGAGAAGCTGCACTCGCTCCAGGGCACCACCGCCCGCGGACGTCGCAACGGCCATGCGAGCCTCACGAATGGGAGCAATTTGAAGGAAGTCATGTCCTCGACCGCCGACAACGCCTCCACCAACAGCGGTCAGAACGAGCAGAATGGATCAGGTGTGAGTCGCGCGCTAGAATTGAGCTCCCTCATGCCTCCACAGTACGTCACTTGCTAATCCCCGCTGCTTTCTCGTAGGTGTCGTGGTCCTCGCAGGACGTTTCCCTCCTCCAAGGGTACCGGCGTGCCTACCGCCTCGACACGCCTTCCTCGTTCAAGAATCCCCTCAGCCACGTTGTACTCGGAAGTGGCATCGGGCGCTACTCCCCCACAATGGCAAGGCCCAAGGCGAAGAGAAGAGCCCACAAGGACCAGCTGGCACTGTCCGTGAGGAAGAACTTTAATGCTCTCGGCGTCAACGAGACCGACGTCATCGTCCACCTGCTGTATAAAGTGAAGCATAAAGGCACACACTTCTCAGGACCCCTCTATCTTGTTGCCGGTACTAATTCTGCCTTAGATAAGGAATTTCGCGTCCGATTTGCACCGCAACGAAAATAGACTCGAGCCAACGATACCACGTCACTGCACTTACGGAGTTCCTCGTGTCGATACCACATGGACCAGCGCTACGCACTCGCACTACATTGTACTTAGCATGAGCATTGGACAGGCGTTTCGGTATACTTTCGTGTTTGGGGAATTGGAAAGCCATCGTCTTGGTAAAGGGGCTGGTTGGCCCTGGACAAATCGTTTGGATGAATACTCGACGCAACACGTTTGATACGAGTAGCCACGGCTTAAATGTTAGTCTTCGGTACAAAACAACATCAATATAATTGGATATTTGGCATAATCACTTACTGTCGGCATTTTGTCGCCCTTATGGTACCAGGAGAATTTTGGGGCCGCTGTGCCTCGGCGCGAATCTCAGCCTGATCCATGCACACATTGAGTCTCAACAGTACAAGTTGGAGCATGCTATACCCCATTAATTCTAGATACCATTCTCTCACAAGCACCTGAATTCGTCTTTTCCCCAGCGAAGACTTGTTCCTAGCCCGGGTGGCCCAGAAAATGCCAGAATGCTCACGTGCGGCAACCAATGACGAAGCGCATCAGCGGCTGGCCCGAGCGCCAATTTTTTCGCGGAAGTCCTCCGAACTTTGCGACGACACACATTCACTCTTCGGCATCCTCACTCCCTCCCCAACCCATCCAGTCTGGATCCCCAATCTGACTGTCAAAATGAGCTTCGCTGGCCCGGCGGTGCCCCTCAAGGCGGTTATCCCACTCCGCATCGTTTCTGCAACACGACACTGCCCTCGTCGGAATTTATCATCCAGGGCCCACTTGATTCGACCATCAATAGCGCCTCGGATACCTCAGCAACATGCAACACAATCGCGAGTAAGTTACTCTTCTTTAGACGCATCGAAGCTCAGTGCCAATTAATCATGCAACAGTTCTTCCATGCCACTGCCCCCTCCCTTGCAGTATCTGACCCGTACGCAACCCTGGGGGTGAAGAAGAACGCTTCTGCATCCGAGATAAAAAAGGCATACTATGGCATGGCTAAGAAGTACCATCCGGATACAAACAAAGACCCTTCAGCCAAAGACCGATTCGCCGCCGCCCAATCTGCCTACGACATACTCTCAGACGCCGATAAGCGAAAAGCCTACGACTCATACGGCGCCGCAGCCTTTGACTCAAACGGCGGATTTAACCCTGGTGCTGGCCCTGGTGCTGCAGGACCTGGGGGACCCGGGGGCAACCCGTTCGCCGGTTTCGGTTTCGGCGGGTTTGGTGGCGCCCAAGGCGGCGGGTTCCAAGGCGGGTTTGCGCAAGATATCAATATTGAGGACTTGTTCAGTGCCTTTGGGGGTGGGAGGAGAGGGCGGAGTGCCAGAAATAGTCCGTTTGAAGAGGAGATTCTCATGGGGGATAATATTGAGGTGCAAACAAACATATCGTTCATGGATGCAGCAAAGGGTGTCAGAAAGGATATTCACATCACTCCACTCGCCGAATGCACCACATGTCATGGCAGCGGCTTAAAGAAGGGTGCGAGAAGAGCCGAGTGCAAGAGTTGCGGTGGCACAGGCACCAGAGTGACCTCAATGGGCGGCTTCCACATGTCGGTGACTTGCTCAAGCTGCGGAGGATCCGGAGTGTCAATACCTCGAGGATCATCTTGTGGGACTTGTGGTGGAGATGGAGCGGTCAAAGACAGGAAGACTGTCACGATCGATATTCCTCCTGGGGTTGAGGACGGCATGCGACTACGGGTGAACAGAGAGGGAGATGCGCCTCTCACCGGCCAAGCAATGGGGCAAAATGTGAGGGGTGCGAAGGGAGATTTGTACGTGTTAATTCGAGTTGCCTCGGATCCCAAGTTCAAGAGGGCGGGAAGCGACATCCTCCACACGGCTACATTACCCTTGACAACCGCAGTGCTTGGTGGAGAGATCAGGGTGCCAACTCTGGATGGCGAAATCATGGTCAAGGTGCCTACAGGCTCCGGGACAGGGGACAAAGTTACACTATCCGGCATGGGCATGGGCATTGTTGGGCGAAGAAACGCAAGAGGCGATCTCAAAGTGGAGTTCAAAGTGCAGATGCCGAAGTACCTCAGCGTGAACCAGCGAACCATCCTGGAAATGCTCGCCGACGAGATGAACGACAAGACGGCGAAACGAATAATGAACATTGGCAAGATGAAGGGCGAAGAGCCAAAGACATCGGGTTCGCATCAGAACGAGGGCTTCTTGAAATCTGCATGGCATAATCTTACCGGACAGCATAAGAACATAGACACGGATAACGATAAAAAGACCGAAGCGAAGACCGAGTCGAAAAAGGACGACGAACCGAAGAAAGCGTCTGGATCAGGATCATGATGGGATGGCACGTGCTTTGAAATCTTGTATAATACTGCAACCCTTCTCCTATCTGTATTGTACAAACCCTAACGACACTGGCACATAAGGAGGTAATTTTGCCAGGAAAACATGGACCTTGCATTTATTGGCGCACCCCCAGATTCCAACATTTTCCTTTCTTTTTTCCGCCGACCATTTTGGGCAACCCTCTAGAAGAGTTCGTTAGTATTAGGCCTATCTCGACTCAGGCTTGTATATTACCCTGCGGGCTGCAGCGCTTATCCAAGCCTCTCACGTGGCTCACTGCCGTTGTGAATGGTGGATTGCGACCGGCTGACTTGGATCACCCTTCAAATGTTTAGCGAGTGTGTGACTCGGAAAAGACTTAAGCAGGGGACATGTGAAGGTGGTAGTTGTTTGACATTGGGCGCGGTTAGGCGGTGGGAGTGGTATATAGAGGCTTTGAAGGCGTTTGGAGAGTTTCCTGGGCCTATTTTCGTCGCCTCAGAATTGTGGTGTGCCTTGCAGATGGACATCTTATGAATCGGTGGACTGTCATTGCCCCACCTCTCTCCCTGACATTCACAGTCTGCAGCACTCGACCTTGCTCCCAGGTCAGGACACGCAGCCCACGCAACCCACGCAACCCACGCAGTCCACGCAGCCTACGCAGCCGACACAGCCTACGCAGTATACACAGCACACCCACAGCTTTCAGTAGGATTCTCTTGCGCGAACCACGATTCGGCCCGAAGTGCAGACAACTCACGGCACCTCATGCACGTCCCCGAGACGAATCGCGGTCGGTGAAAGAAGCCATCCGAGGACGGCCACATCAACCCTGCAACGTCATCCTAGGCTGCATACCGATGCCGTTCACGAGAGCGAGGGGCCCAGCACCGTGACAACCATCTCACCACACCCTCTTCCTCCCTTCCAGACACAGCATCCCGAACGCACGCTTGGCAAGGCGGATTTCACCAGAGCTTCAGCTTCACGGGCTCAAGCCAGCCACAGATTTCCCCTAACGTCGGGTTGCGCCCCAATTGCTGACCCCCTCGATCCTTCTCAAATTCCTTGCGCTCGCCATTTTGGAATCCCCACGTCTCCCGCGATAGCAACAGGCAGGCCACCAGACGCCCCGCCTAGCTGTCTATCCCCCACCGTCGAAATGGCGACCCAGCTGGCGCCCATGATCTCTGCGCCGCTGAAGCAGACAAACGAGATCGACTGGATCAGCCCTCTGAAGAGCTATATCCGGGCTACATACGGCGACGACCCCGAACGGTACTCGGAAGAATGCGCGACCCTGCACCGGCTGCGACAGGATATGCGAGGCGCGGGGAAGGACAGTGCGGCTGGGAGAGACCTGCTGTATCGCTACTATGGACAACTGGAATTGCTTGATCTACGGTTTCCGATCGACGAGAATCACATCAAGATATCATTCACCTGGTAGGCAGCCCAAAGGGAGAAGTGTCGAATTAGGGTTGAGATTGGGCCGCGCTAATGAGGATCCAGGTTCGACGCCTTCACCCACAAACCGACCTCGCAGTACTCGCTGGCATACGAGAAAGCTTCCATAATCTTCAACATCTCCGCTGTCCTCTCCTGTAACGCGGCACACCAGAACCGCCACGAGGACGCCGGGCTCAAGACGGCATACCACTCCTTCCAGGCCTCGGCAGGAATGTTCACTTATATCAATGAGAACTTCCTGCATGCGCCCTCAATGGACTTGAGCAGAGAAACCGTGAAGACGTTAATAGCGATAATGCTAGCACAGGGCCAGGAGGTATTCCTCGAGAAGCAGATAGCGGATGGGAAGAAGGTTGGATTGTTGGCAAAGCTGTCAAGTCAGGCTGCGTTCCTATATACCCAAGCTACGGAAGGTGTGCAAGAGAACGTGACAAAGGCGATATTCGAGAAGGTCTGGCTGCTGGTCTGTCAGGTGAGCGCGAGTGGACGGACACTGTATACCTGGAGATTAACATTTTGCAGATCAAAGCCAACTACATGGCTTCCCTCGCACAGTACTACCAAGCTCTAGCTGACAACGATGCCAATTCTCACGGTGTAGCAATTTGCCGACTTCAACTCGCCGAGGTTCACGCACGAGACGCAAATCGAATAGCAAATGCGTTCCCATCGACCGTCCCGACGAACTCCTACCTGGCGGCCGATACTGGCCCTGTCCTCGCTGATATGACTAAACGCCATCTGGCCAACATTCAAGAGAGGCTCGTGGAATTCCAGAAGGATAACGACTTCATTTACCACCAGGGTGTGCCGAACGAAGCATCTCTGACCGCAATACCAAAGCTTCCAGCAGCCAAAGCGATACCTGTCAGTGAACTATACCAAGGACAGGATATCCAAAGAATCATTGGTCCCGATATTTTCCAGAAGATTGTACCCATGGCTGTCACCGAATCAGCAAGCTTGTACGATGAAGAGAAAGCGAAGTTGATTCGAGCCGAAAGCGAGAGGGTTGAGATCGCAAATGACGAAATGGCAGCGAGCCTGGACTACCTCAAACTACCGGATAGTCTTAATATATTGAAAGGAGGAATGGACCAGGAAATGATGGTTGACGATGACTTCCGCAAGTGGTGTGAGGAGTTGGCAGGACATGCGCCGTTCACCGCAGCATTCAACCAGCTAAACACGGATAAGTCAGAAATTTCGTCCATGCTGGATGCTAGCATGAAACAGTTGGATATGGAGGAGAGCGTGTGCGAAAAAATGAGGTCAAAGTATGGGGTGGACTGGACACAGCAGCCTAGTTCACGCCTCACGGCTACGCTACGCAGTGATATTCGGAATTACAGAGGAGCTATTGAAGAGGCGGGCACGAGCGATGCCCAGCTTTACAGTACCTTCCGGCAATTCGAGTCTGATTTCGATGAGATGAGGTCGGCCGGTGAGACGGATGAAGCCGATGTCTTGTATCAGAGGGCGATGATAAAAGCTGGTGCTACTAAAGGAAAGAGTCCGCGACCGGCGGAGGGAAACCTTCTAGATGAAGATTTCATCGATGGGCCAACGGTAGCGGAGCAGATCTCGAATGTTGAGGAGCTGTTGAGGAAACTGAACCTAATCAAAAGGGAGAGAGCGCAGGTCCTGAAAGACCTCAAGGAGAAGGTTTGTCTCTATACCCCTCCTTGCCCACGAATATGCTCATATTAACATGCTACCAGGTTCACTCCGACGACATCTCCAACGTCCTCATACTTAACAAAAAAGCCATCGCCAACCAAGAATCCCAACTCTTCAAAGCCGAACTCGAGAAATTCCGTCCACACCAAAACCGCATTCTCCAAGCCAACCACAAGCAAGCCTCCCTGCTCAAAGAACTCACCCGCACCTACTCAGACCTCCTGAAAGACAAACGTGTCCGCTCTGAGCAGAATAAATACGAAGCATTTTCCCGACAGCGGAACTCTGTCATGACACGGTATCGCAGGGTGTACCAGTCTTTCAATGATTTGATTGCAGGATTAATGCGTGCTCAAGGCTTCTATTCCGAGATGAAAGAGACGGTATCGAGTTTACATAAGAACGTGGATACATTCGTCAACAACCGGCGCTCGGAGGGTGGACAACTGCTCACTAAAATCGAACAAAATAAGTCCCAAGGCGCGGACCATGAACAACAGCGACTGAAAGACCTGATGGAACGCATGTCGATGGAGCCGAGACCCTCAGGGTCACCGGTATCTTCGGGTGGTGGTGGTGTAGTGACGGCTGCAGGTAAGAAGCAAAACCGTCCTCCGCCGCTGTCAAGCTCAAGTATGGTGGGTTCGGGAGGAAGTGGGCAGATGCAATATAACCCTGCGGCTTCACCACCCGTGACGCCGAGGTATCCGATGACGACGGGAGGAGGGCAGGCGCAGGGAGGGCAGCAGCAGCAGTATATGAGTCCGCAACAAAGCTTTAAGGCGGCAAACGGGTTTCAATCACACCCTTCCCTCCAACAGCAGCAACCACCCCGCCGAGACTCCTACAACCAAACCCCCAGCCAAATCCAAGCACAAAACCAACCCTACAACCCCAACCAATACGGCCCGGTCTCTCCTCCCGCTCACCAACAATTCTTCTCCCCACCCCCTAACCAACCCCATCAGCCGCAACCATGGGGTCAGTCATACCAGTCTTCGACACCACAGCCCCAAGCCTATGCGGGATTACCGCAGGGTTATGTGCCCCCGCCGCCGCCGCCTGGGCCCCCGCCGCAGCAGGTCGATTATAGCCAGTTTGTGGGGAGTTATCCGAGTGGGCCGGGCGGGTATGCGAGTGTGCAGCGGGGGAGTCATCATGGGGTGCAAGGAGGTGGACAAGGTGGTGGGCAGGGTGGTGGGCAGCAGGGTGGGGTGGGTGGTGGAGGGACTGGAGGAGGAGGAGGAGGGGATCCATGGGCGGGGTTGAGTGGGTGGAGGTGAGTGTTGGGTTGTGTGGGATGGGTGGAGATGGGGATGATGTTTCTAACGGATTGGGGAGAAGAAGAAGAAGAAGAAGAAGAAGAAGAAGAAGAAGAAGGGGCAGGGAACAAGGGCGGTTTTGTTTGTTCCTTTTATGTGATGGCGATCATGGTTGGTAGGCGGACGCATTATCTCCTGGGTCGGCTAGCTTTCTAATGTTGTGTGGAGGACATTGTCGAACAATACAACGAAAGGCTAGAGCAGGATAGGACACTATAGGGCAGGACAGCACAGATTTTGGGAGGCTGGTAATAGCGAGCAGACTATAATCTCAGGGCTATTCGTTAACATGCAAGCATCGTATATTTCATCTGGAGGGGACAACAAGAATACATCATTTCAAGGAGCCTTCGTTTTTCGTTCTGGATTCTTCATATTGTATTCCGCATACACGAGTGAACGATGAGGAGATATCGTGTCGTGTATATATATTCCACTAGAACAAGAATCAAATGTTTCTGGATCTGGACCTGGACCAATGGTGAAGCGAATATAAGTAGGGTACAGTGTTGCGAGGAATCCATGGCCGGGATTTCGATAGAAGAAGATTTATTGAAACTTTTACAAGGGGCTACTGGTATACATCTAGGGTTACTCTGTGCCGTTTGGTAGGGCGAACAGAAGCGAACCACAGGGAATGTGCATCATGGATGGTATAATGGAAAATAAGCAATGCAAACAGACAAAAACAAACCCCGCAAAACACACGCGCGCTATGCAGCCGGCCCATCCACCAACAAGTACAGTACGGACGTAGAACTCCGGAGACCAGAAAACCGTCGGATCGATCAGAGCTTTGCGAATGCAGACATCACCCCTCTTTCCCGGTAGAACGAATCAGAGGTGTCATGAGCAACTTCGCGCCTAAGCGTCCTGTGTGTTCAACGTGGCATGATGCTTCTCATCCGTGCTCCTCGTGCCTCTTTCTGGATTCATACTCCTCCTAACCGTCATGTCTGCCTTCGTCTTCGTCATCAGCGCATCCCGAATCTCCTGCTTACTCCTCATTCGCCAACTCTCATATCCGCTCTGGCTCAACGGCCACATCGGCATGTTTGCATTCGTTCGCATGAAGTCTGCGGGCTTAGGCGCAGGGTTGCTCGTAATGATGTTAATATCGTTAGCCAGCTCATCGCAATACGCTTCGAGTGGGAGATCGTTGACGTCCATGCCGAATGGGTTTTCAATTTCGCGGCCAATGGCAGCGATGCCGAGGATGATGTAGGCGGCGAAGATGCAGCCGGGGATGGTGACCCAGCGGAGATCTTCCCAGAGTTGGAACGGGAGCATCATTACGTATACCCAGGTTATCTGCGAGATAGCGATGGAGTAAGCAATGGGCAGGGGGGTTTGGAGGACCCGTTCTACGCCAATGAGGACTTCGTTTAGTTGGACGATTGATGTGACTGGTTGGAGTTAGAAACCAAATTGGTTGGAAGCATCGAGGGAAGCGGGATTGTGGGGTATGAACATACTGGCTTGACTTTGATAGAGCACGACTTTACAGGTATCATTCTCAATAATGCAATTAACGTAAGCAGACAAATGATTCAAGATCTCGAGCGGCAGGTTTCCGAGCGGCTTCTTGGAGCGCTTGATGCGCTTGCGGGGATTGGATTCCGCGAACGAAACGCCGAGGAATTCGCCTATTGCCTTCATCTTGCCGGATTCTTTGACTTGGGGGATCTCGGGCTCAGCGGCGCGTGCGAAGGTGTCCATGTATTCGACCAATTCTTTCATGTCGGGGTAGTCGATGCCAGGTTCGAAGCGAAGCTTGTGTTTGAGGGCGGTGGCGAAGGCGACGATGAGGTTCATGGCAGTGCTGGGATATGCGTTAGCTTTCTCACTTGATCTTCATATTAATTTTGAGACAGGGTTTAGGGTTCTGAGCCAGGCTGGCTGGCTATACAAACTCACAGTTTCGCAAGCAAATCATCCTTGCCCTCATCTCCCTCCCGCTCATTCGTATGGATCCAAATCGTCCTTGCCAAATTCTGGCCCACGAAGATCAATTGCGACCAATACTTCCTGCCCTCAGCATACCGTTCATAGGCAGATGAGGTACGGAATGAAATGGCAAGACCGACGACGAAACCAAGAACTGTCAACAGCATGCTGCTGATCTTGAGCTCGTACTTTTTCTCAGAAATAATGGTGATAAGAGTAGACCAGGCGGCTACGATGGTCAAAGGGAGGATCATCTTGGGGAGCACGGAACCGTGCATGCGAAGGAAGAAGGGCCATTTCGAGTGCTTGGACATGTCACGGGGGCCGACCTGGGATTTTTTGTTAGATATATGAGATTTTCAGAAAACAGATATCTGCAATTTCTTACAAAGTAGTCCTCCATGTCCACACTCCCCGTCGGCTTCCTCGAAGGAATGGCAACAGCTCCATGCCGCCACGAATGCGGCGACATTGGGCCTGGAGCTACCCCATTGCCGTTCTTGACCTCAATTTCTTGAGGTCTAAGGGTTTTATTCGTCGAAGTGGTAGATGTTGCCATGATAGCTCAGAACACGCGAACTCGCGAGGAGAATCTAAGTAAAACAACTGTCCAGCAGTCCGGGGAATTAAAGCGGGTCGAGGATATGAACGGATCTTTGCCCGGAGCCGTGAGAATTACACGCTTAAAAGAAGAATGTGTGGCAAAAGGAGGGGACGCAAAAACGCAATTAACAGTTTAGGAAAACAGAAAGGCCTAAGGACCGGACATGGAAGGGAAGATATACACGGCAAAGATTTTCATAATCCTGAGCTGAAGACCCCGTGTCTGTCAGACGTGTACCCGCAAAGGAATCCGCCATGTCCAAACGGTCATCCCAGGCGGCCCCTGCGGCAAGCTGCCCCTGAACGAGGCGTCGCCAGTAGCCAATTGCGGGGGCTGTCATGTTCCGCACAGCGAATAGGCGCAGGGTGAAGCAGCAAGGATTAAAGCGGAGACATGTTTCATCAAACAACCAGTGTCCGCCAAGCCCGGCCTGCAAGCTGCAGGAGCAGAAATGAGTTGTTGCTGCTGTTCAGTCAGCCTCGGATGGGGGCGGTAACGAGCCATATTTAGCCCCCAACATGTGCCCATTTTCTTGAAGCGGAGTAGGACTAGGGTTCTACTTGCAGTCTTTTATCGATTGTCTGCGGCAATTAGGTCAGCGGACGTGTATAAAGCAATAGGTGCATGAATAGATCGGCAAGTGTGTATAGAGATAGTTAGAGAGATACGTATGTATGCATGTTCTGAAGGATTCTGGGCGAGGGCATAAAAAGGCGAGACTGGTGGGACGAGCCGGCGCCGAGCTGTCAAGCCATCCCCTGCCTCGCTTCAGCGAATGAGCAGCCGCCGGCGCGACGTTCACCATCAAATGTCCACATCGGGGGACCTGTAAATAGCGTCGGCATCCCGAGTCTCACTAAAGTATGTCACGCGTGCCGGTCAATGGTTGTAGTCCTTGTGTGTTATATTCACCAACCAGCTCTAGCGGCAATCCTCCGTCGTTCAGCCTGCCCTCTTTCTAATTCGAGCCGGAGTTCCCGCACTCGCCATGTCTCTTCATTGATACACACCCTAACTCTCTTGATTCTTTCAATCAGAATGTAGTAAAAGCCGCCTCTGAAATCGGCAGCACCCCAGATCTTGTTCCACACGTCCACCAACTCCTTCGCCACCGTCCGCGGATGCACCAATCCATCACTAGTCATATCGGTCGGGAAGTCCTCAGCCAGATAATTCTCATTCGGTACATTCGACGGTGTTACAACATTTAGAATGAGCTCGTCGACTTCGATCGTATTCCGTGAATCCTTTATGCTTTGGAAATCCGGACCGTGCAGTAAGAGTCGCTTGACAGCGGCACAAACAGCCCACGATGTTCGGTCAGGACGATTGTTGTTCCGGATCCATTTCGCAGATCGATCTCCAATAAGCCGGATGTCGACCCACAGCTTCTCTATGAGGGTTGTAGAGCTAGGACAAGAAAGACATCCACTGCTCAACATGCGGTGCGGACATGTCAAGTACTTCTCCATCATCCTATCCGCCCAACCAGGTATGATCCGAGATTTGGGCTCATCCACGCTTACGCTCGTCTTTACAAAAGGGATCGCGAGCCACGTAAAGTAGTGGAAACTCTCATCTTCAGCGACACAGTCAAGCTTAACCGACACCCGCCCTTTTCTTCTTGCAATACGGATGGCCTCACTCATCTCTGCGTAGATTTGGCGACTACATCGAAGGAAGTTGGCGCAAGTGGTCGGCTTCTGCTCAAGAGCATACGCACATCCGTACTCTCCATACGAGCTAGCCGATGATTCGAACACCTTTCGGAACCGGAATAGCCAGTGAGCCTCTCCAAGGATTGGTCGAGGACGCTCTGCCGTGATAATAGCTATGTATATCATATCCCGAATCTCCCGAGGTAGGTCCAGAAACTGAGGCATGATGGCCGCCGTTAGGGCAGAACTTTAACCGGCAATTTCGCGAACCTTCAAGTGCGTGTGTCGTTAGCAGGTATCGTCCAGGATGGCTTGCCACGAAATATGCAGGTACGTGCCGTACAGAACGTTCGAAGACTTGTCGTGTGTTGAGATGTAGTCGTGTTTCAGAGATGCAGATACGTAAGAGGAGAGTTTCGGCGTGCTTGGATCTCGGGGATGAGCCGGGTATCGAACCTCACCGCCAGTCTCAGTGTCATACCCACTTCAGAAGCTCGAATGATATTTTAATAGCCTCCGTGAACGTCTGGGGACGTCGGGTTATTTGTACACCTCATGCTGCTGCTCTCCTAAGCATGAGCTGCAGCTTGCGACGTCGTCACATTGCCGTGCGCATCGTTCGGCAGGGCCTGATGCTCTGATTTTCGCTTGGCAGCACCCTATCCTTTCGGGCGAATGCTGCCAACATTCTTCCAGTCCGATTCCTCAACACAACATCGAGTATCCAAGGATCATGAGCTGATCGACCACGTGAGATTTCGGTCTTCGCCGAATTTGGTGGTGCAAGATACTCGCATAGCTTAGTAGTCATTGGTGGGACTCTCACATGTACTAATGGTTCTCGATAATCTATGAAGATAGTGAACCTCTCGTCACTTGGAGGTTGATTTTGCTTGACGGTGGCTTTCCTAGAAAAACTTCGAAGAGTCTTGAACGGTTGAGCTAGATTCAAACCTAGTTTGAGACGGCGCCTTTTTAGGATTTATCCTACCTTTCCGTCAGGTCATCAACCTCCGCTCAGAACCCCGAGAAGATATGTTGCCCAATCGGGCCCTTCGAGATTGGGCTCTTTGGCTTCAAGTCTTCTGCCAGAGGCTTCGGATATGTGGATGACCCAAACTCCACCGACTGCACTTGCCAGTGCTTTTCGACCAATTCTGACTGCCGTCATTGAGGGTCAACAGGGTTCCAGCGCACCTGCTAGTGAAAGTCTTCTTCCTTTACTTCTCTCGTCCCTTCCGTCAACTGAGTTTCCCGTTCTGTCATCTCCACAATACCGGCCAACCTTACGACTCTTCCTTGGACAAGGTCTAGCTAGGTGCAGCCACTCAAACCGGTATTAACTTCTTCTCTCCGACTACGTCTCAGCAGCCTTCAGCTCATTCACAACGTCCATCCCCCTTCATAACTCTTTCTCCAAACTTTCCATTACCTTAAAACAGAGCGCAGAGAACAAACCAGCTTCCATTCCCACAACACCAAGCCTCCGCAACAAGATCATCTACAACCTACCAAACACTCGGAAATGTCTGAGGGAACCCACCCCTCACTCCAGCGCTTCTGTGCACCTCTCCCCCGCCTCTTTTCCCGAAAGCCACAACCACTTACGACCATATCCCCAATCTCAGAAAAACACCCTGAACCAACCAGCAGCGCTAGCAGCATCACTAGCATCGCCACCACGACTACCACGACTACCACTAACAACAACACTACCTTCTGCATCCCCACGCTTCCAAACCTCCGCCACCGCAGCAAAAAGTCCCAGCACACCATCATCTACGGTCTCCAAACCCTGCACCACGAACTCGCAGGCCTTAAAAACGTCAGCAAAATGCACTGGCCCCAATACGCCAATCCCGCAGTCAACCGTGCTCGTGCGATAGCCCAGAAGCAACAGGAGGAGTGTCACAGGGAGTATAGGGAGGTGAATGCTAAGGATCAGGAGGAGCTTGAGCTACTAGAAGAACTAGAGGAAGCGTTGCTAATGCTTGAGGGGTGGAAGTGCTTTAGTAGGATGCATGGACTGCCGGTGGAGAGGTTCGATGTTTTAGGGGCGTATGGGTTTGGGGTCAGGAAGGAGGATGGAGTGATTGTGAGGCTTTAAGGTGCCTGGGGTTTTTGTGAGAAAGAGCGGTTTTGGGGATGTCGTTGGGGATTTGATGGTGCGAAGGAATTGGACTGTCTACCCTGAACCAGACCAGAGAGGCTGTTTTCATCTCGCGCTTCTAATAGTGTCTATCCGCTACAGGATCTTTGAGTTCGCCGCAAAATTGCAAATAGCCCGAACTCCTCTAGTATCCTGTAGTTGATGCCACCGTTAATTCTCTGCGTTCACCCTTGTATGCATGCATCCTCTAAGACTAACGGTAATAATAATAGCACGGAAGAACTTCAACTGTTCTTAGCGGTTGCTGTTCTCACTTCCGTTCTAGCCTTTAAACCGTGTGCAAGAAGTGTTGGATTTAGTCATGTTTGAATTATCTAACGTCTGATGTTCGTACACACTCACACATACATATGCCGATCCGGGAAGACACTATCCGCCGATCTAGACTGCAGGATCTCCATGTCAATGTCGCCTGGATCCATGCTCGGTACGTCCACATCCATCTGAAGCCATCTATTTTACACTAAAAACGCCGTGAAGAGAGGTGAGAGACGTGTGTGAAGCCAAAAGCAATCATGCAGAAAATGGGAGTCAAGAGAAGTGAAAATTCCCGCCTGGCTGCCTGGGGTACTGAAGATATGATGTGGGGGTGGGGCTTAGTCGCTCTCGAAATATACTTGTCGGAAAATCTACAAGGTCACATTAGCATTCACTTCTACATACATACATAGATTTGTAAGAGAGTGGGTGTTAAACTTACCGCCCACGTCCCAGCCACACTCGCAACAATACCTCCACTGATCATCATCGGCCGCACGCCCCTCGTACTCTTAAATATCGCACCGCTGATGGCCCCTGCCAGAACGCTATTCGTTGCGTCATGCTTCCCCCGATAATACCCAATCGTGCTATTAACCCCATTATACACCATAGCAACCACACCGGCTGAATTCCCCAAAAACGGTCCTCTCCGCGTGACTGCGTTCAGCACGCCGTTCAGCCGTAGCCTCGGCCCCATCGTCGGAGATGTCTTTGACATCCCTTCCGCAAGCCCCCAAGCCCCCCCTACTGAGAGAGCGCTCAGATAGCTAACGCCGGTTCCATAGCACAAGTCGTCTGACCAGCCACGAGAGGGGAGAGCAGAGCGTGCGCCTGGGAGATCCGAGAGTACCGAATCTTCGAGGGTGAGGTAGTCGAGGGTGTCTTGGTTAAGGCCTGCGAGAGGGTGCAGTTGAGAAGGATCTAATATGAATTCTGAGGGGTTCTGTACGGCGGTTGTGGGGTCGAAGGGCGTAGGCACGAAGTTGTCGTGGGGTTCGGGGGTGGTGGTGGGAGGGGAGGTGGATTTGCGACCGGTGAGTGTGTCCCAGCTGTCGGGAAATAATTAGAACAGTGGGGGTAGTAGATTTGAAGAGGATGTGTTCTTACATTGTCATGTTGAAGGTTTGCAAAGGTCGAGTGATATATTACCGGATCAGAGGCGCAATGGCCGTCAATGGCCCAGAGGCAGTTCCCAAACGCCCGAAATGTAAGCAGGGAAAGGAAAGCAATCAAGGAGACGAATTATTTCACACAGACGAGGGATGCGCAGGCGATGGTGGCGGGAGGCAGAGCGATCGAGGTCAATGTCGTCGACACAAATTTCTGGCTGGGAATGATGACCTAAATACGCACGGACCATATAACATCTTCAGTATCAGCTTTCTCTTCCGAGGTCGGAATGAATTTCCTTCACACAATATTTGCAAAAACAATGGCTTCGAAGTCACCATTACTACCCGCGTACAAGGAGGCTTTTCTCAAGGATTGCGTCTCAGCAGGTGCTCTCAAGTTTGGCACATTTACACTCAAATCCAAACGTATATCGCCTTACTTCTTCAACGCCGGACTATTCCACCGTGCGGATCTGCTACGGTCGATATCCTCTGCATACGCCCACACTCTGAAAGTACATGGAGAATCAGACCCGTCGTTTCAATTCGACGTCCTATTTGGCCCGGCATATAAGGGAATCCCGCTTGCTGCTGCATCAGTAGACAAGCTTGCCGACCTCGATCTTGAGAAATATGGAAGGAAGAGTTATAGTTTCAATCGCAAGGAGGCAAAGGATCATGGCGAGGGTGGCAACATTGTTGGAGCATCATTGAAGGGCCAGAAGGTTGTCATCGTGGACGATGTGATCACGGCTGGAACTGCGATCCGAGAGGCCATTGAAATTATCAAGAAAGAAGGCGGCGAGCTCGTGGGCATCATCATTGCATTTGATCGGTTGGAAAAGACCCCGAGTGCTACGGACGATGATGGGACACCACGACCGAGTGCTATCGGGGAAGTCAGGAAGCAGTACGGCATACCAGTGCTTGCCATTCTGACCTTGGAGGATGTCATTGAGTACCTCAAAGGCTTGGGTAGTGCAGAAGACCTAAAGAGGCTAGATGAGTATAGGACCAAGTACAAAGCGAGCGACTAAAATGATGAAGAGGGGAAATAGGATGACGCCACTAACTCCACCGTGTTGAAGCGTTCTGGAGTTATTTTGCCAACGAGAAATAGAAGAACTCGAAGCCATCCTTTGTATACACGAAGTACGATATCTTTTTTGCGTGAATTTCCTATATTTCAGATGTATGAGAAATAGGATACTAGAGCTAGCAGCTACGAGTTGTGCATAGGCAATTTCAACGTTGAACTTCGTCCGCATTTCATGCTACAGGACGCCCATTTCCTAACTCTAAATCCACGATATATGCTTGGGGGTGGACACATGGCTACTTTTTAAGACAAATCTTGTCTAGATGCGATTAAGATGCTATTACATCAAGTTACATACCAATCATCAAGAAGTCTCCCGCTTAAACCAACGGAAACAGTAGGGGGCGCTATAATCTCCGCCCCCCCCAAATTTTGAATCCGAATCGCTGCATTTACAAAGCAAAACACAAATGCCGTAGGTATCAAAGGTCTCATATGCTCCCCCCAATCATCCCTCTTTTCCCATCATATTCACTCCCTCTCCATCGTAGCACCGAGTCTCTCTGCCAATACCAAAAACTCATTGTTGCTACCTTATGTAGGTAGCTCCTGTGGCGTCTCCCCATGGGGCTCATTCGCATGCGCATACTTCGTCACCGGTTGATATTCACTCGTCGCCATCTCAACCGTATGGTATCCTCCAAGCTCACTCAAGGGGGCGCCCGGATGATTCGTCATATCGACTCCGCCCCCCGGTCCTGAATACGGACTGTAAGCCGGGGCGGGCGCATATTCCTGCTTTACTTTCGCGTTCTTCCTCCGCCGCCACCAGAATGCCGCAAAGGCGATGATAGCGATTGCAACAATGCCACCAACGACGGGACCTGCTATCCATGCTTTGCTAGAAGAGCCGCCGCTGTCCGAATTTCCTCCTGGGGGCGGCGTGCCGGATGACGAGGGTATTGAGGATCCAGATAGTATGGCGTAGGTTGCAGATGCCTGGTCAGAGATCACAGATGTTGTGTTTTGGAGATAACAGTTGTTGTATCCATAGGCTAGTGTGGAGTCGAAAACAATGCCCACACAGCCTTTGTCGCTGTTAGCGCAGGCGTTCATACAAGCGGTAATGTTCTGGCGATGGATAGACGTGATGTTTGTTCCGCCATTCAACTGTCCGCAGTGAATCTCGAACTTCTTGTTTCCTTGTGCCGTATAACTCTTGTCACTCGGACATGTCGAATCGATTCTTTCAATCGAAGTAAGGGCCGCGGAGTGGAGAACGCCCATGTTAGATGTTGGATCGCCAAAGTTTTCGAATCCTGTTTTGGGCCAGCAGTTAGCGAATCCTATTTCGAGTCCCGGATTGTACGATACAGCACGGCAGAGTGGATGTTGCTCTACGCAGATGTTCAGGCAGTCTTGCAAGGAGGTCGCGTGGTAGTAGCCAATGAACGGCGATGGCAAGCAAGACGGATAGCCTTGAAAACAGGCATCGTTGTTGCCAATAACTTTCCCACAATGCACCGTGTATCCGATTCCATTGTTTAGATCGTGGGTCGAGAGGTCGTCAAAGGGACAATCCTGGTTTAGAGGCTTCATGTCTTTGGCTTCGACGAGTGCAGAGTGGATGCCCGTCTCGTTGGTAATGCCCGCGGTAGAAACAGTAGAGTTTCGGATCCAGCAGTATTGGTCTTCGCGCCAGACGATGCCGAAGCACCCCTCGCCGTTTCCCCAGTATCGCGAACAACGCTCCATGCATTCTTCCATCGAGCCGACTTGGAAAGGGTCGAGGGCATCTGTGCCTTGTGTCAGCCAGCCGTTCTCCTCAGATAGGTGGGAGACCGGGAAAGAGGCAGGGGGCCTGACTAACCGTTGAAAGGGTTGTTTTGTTCACAGTACGTCGTGAAGTTCATCCCATTACGTGTGGTATACTTGTCCGGACATTTTGAAGTCGCCCGTATCTCGAGGTCGCGACTTTCTATCGGCTCTGCGATTACTACGGAGGTGCCATTCAGTGAGGAGTGTGGATGTAGGTGCGGGCGACGAGACTCACAAGATGTCGCAAAAGCCGCGCTTATCCATGCTAGAGCTACAAAGCTCGATCTTGATATTATCCTCTTCATGATCCTTCCTCCTGTGCGTAGAAAAGACAGACAGATAGGAGAATAGCCAAATGGCAAGTATCGGTCAAGAGACGAAGTAGAGATATTGGAAGTCAAGGAAAGCTATAGCTGACATCTCACTCCACGCAAAGGTTTGGCACGCAAGGCCCTGGCACGCCGGAGTGTGGACATCCCGTCCATCTTGATCAACCATTTCTCATCCCAAATACGGCCCCCAGAATCTAACACTGCCTTACCGCCCTAACAGGGAAGGGGGTGCTTCATCCTCCACGGCGGCTCTTGAGTGGTCCAGGAGCACCAAGGACCAGGATGTGGTGGAGACAATAACCAGTCTAGGGCTGAATCAGGGCAAGGTCAGGCCCGACACCAGACGTTTCTTTGAGGCGGGTTGGCTGCGGCGTTCGAGTGGGTGAACATGGGTGACGTCTTCTTGAGGCTCTTCTCCGAGCGGCGGATGCACGAGCGAAGCCAAGGGCAATATACAATATATCATCCCACTCACAAAGTTGCATCTCGTCCATGATTCAGTCTAATGATTGTTGGTCCTGCTTCGCAATAGCTCGCGTAGTAATATCGCGAAAGGTCAAGAGGAATCGAGCTTCAAGTCAAGAACAGCCACGCCAACCGTCTTGGCAATTATATCTCCGCCTTCTAACTCCGCCCACTTAGGCCGAAAGCTTCCGGGTCTTTCCTGATGGGAACTTCCATCGCTGCCCTGCCTCAGACAGCCCATGTGTAGGAATATTTCCGCAGCAAAAGTTTGCGTGAGGCTCGCTATTTTTATGTCGCCCCACCTCGACTATTTATTGGTCGGCTCCTGTAATACACTTCTCTCAATCCACTTTGTGTGAGCGTCCTCGCCACTCCCCTGAGCTTTCTCATATGCACATACACATCAAACTAGTCCTGATCAGAATGATATTCGAATAAGGGATCAGGGCAAACGCTAGACCTTAGCAGCTAGTATAGGCCTTCTTAAATGACCCTTCCTATCCCATTCAACACTCCATACTATTCCTTCCAACATCAAGAAGGGCCTCCAGCAACACAAAGCGCGTAGCCAGACCACACGTTCTCGCAATTGCTCCCTACACTTGTATACCTGCGAAAAGCCTATCTTGCTCGCGTCTAACATTTTCTGGCACGTTTCGCCATCCTTGGGGATATAGTACTTTTGAGCAGATGCCTGGTGTGCAGCTGCGAATAGGCTTGGTTGTGGCTGTAGGATAAGCGGAGATGGAATAGATGTAATATAGCCACATGCATTCGCAGTTGGGTTCGACTAGAGCTTTTTAAAATAACGAAAGTCAAGGGAGAAGGATGATTATGGGATCAGTGCCAGGGACAAGAGGAAAGGGGTGTGAGAATGGGAGAACGAGATCTTATTAGAAGGGTTCCAAGCATAGAACTGTGGGATGGTAGAGTTATATGCTGTCAGGATAGATGCCCAAGTATCGGGATCTTCAACAATATGGAATTTCGTGTAACCAGTTACGATACCTGCTTGCGTTGGGCCACGCGCCGTCGCGCTTGCCTTCGACTGTCGATGGGGCCACACCAGTACTCATCGATATGGTGGCGAGTGCAGCACCACTGGCACTGATGCAAACGGCCCTTGTATTGTTTGACGACATTGCTGCGTAGAGACCTTTGCTACAGCTTAAACTGATCCAGGTATTCCATTTCTGTAAGTGCGAGACTGCAACATGCATGTCCTCAACAAGTCTGGACCAAGTTTCCGCCAAGGTTCTGTAAGACTTGGAACATTGGGGTTTGAGTGGGGAAGGGAATGAGAATCTTGCGGAAACTAGGCCAGTCATAACCACCAAGCTCGGCATACCAAGTACAGTTCGATGCGGTCCCCACAGGAATATTTTTGAGTTCAATTGCTGTCAGGCAGAGTGAGGCGTACTTAGGGCTCAGTACATCGTTCATTTGTGCGTTAGCATTGGACTTTTAAAGAGAACGTTATCTTAGAAATCGTACTCCACACACTGCTTGTGTGATTCTCCTTCTGCACAACTCAGTAGCTGAACCACTCTCTCTTGGTACAGTTCGACGCAAATAGACTCAGATTCCATCTTACGATATCTCCACAGAAACGCTATATGTGCCCTGCACACTGCTACATGTTTTAATGAAGTCGGTAGGCAAGGCCAAAGTATATAATTGCGGTTAATCAACTATAGGGGGGATTTTCTTCTCACTTCTAAACATGGAGCAGTCTGCCACAGTGCCAGATACATGAGGGAGCGGTGTAGTCGAATATAGTAACATTTTAGGCAATGCAGGTGGTTTAGTCGATGCGGCAATTTTATACGAAGTCGATGTCGGTGTAAAGTAATTTATTGTCACTAGGTAGCCGGAATATGTTGTGATGCTGTCGGCTGCCTGCACACTGTATGCGAATTGGATCGTCGATCTGCGAATTCAAGAAATAAAAACCTTTCAGCTATAAGTTGAATTCAATTGACACATTTTCCAGGTGTTTTCGTCCCTAATTAGAATACAAATTGGTATGGCAGAGCCTGGTGGTAATGGCGATTCCCATACAGTATGCTACTTTCTACACATTGCGTTAGATTTCGGAAAGGATTTTGTAAATTTCGCTGCAGACTTCGTAGGTTGGGTGGCAGGCATGCTGATAGATTGCGTTACAATGCTAAGGGGTCCTCTAGGAGCGCTGATAGCTGTGATCCTTCATGCCATGAACAGTGTTGAATTTCAGTGGTAATACTTAAAATACCCAATACAAATGAACGTATGCCGAAGGTTGCCAAGTTTTCATAGAGAGGATTGGTGTTCAAATTCCGAGCTGGAAACTGAGTGTCGCTAACACTGTTGCTCTGCACTGAAATGATACTATCAAAAGTAGGACTCATCTGGTTTTTGTCAATATGCCATGACTCTGGGATGCAGATAGTGTCGATAGCGGTACGCTGGCTGCATTTATTTGATATAGAGTTGCGACTTGTTAGTGAGGACGTGAACAAGTTGTAGGCTTGAGCGATTGAATGCATGTTTCGTTTCGTTTCGTTTTATTTTGTAGATTTTGGCGCATATTGGACCTGGCAAGGGTGAATCCGACATCCGTATACCAACAAAATAAGCGCCTCTGGTAACGAAGGCGTATTGAGTAGAACTAAAACCAGAGGTGAGCGTTCTAAAGGTCCTTCGCGAATCCTTTCGTATAGTCAAAGGGAGGATTGAGTAGAGCTTGTTGGGTTCTAAGAATGTAGTTCAAACACTTTTGTTCCTTAACCCGATTGGTATTGCTCGGCCACTCGATCATTAGAGTGTCACAAAACTTCTTGGATGATCTCTTCTCGTGCTAGTCAACTCTCTCCCATCCATGAGGGTGGGGATATAGCCAGATCTTTTCTACAGCTGATGTCATAGGTATGAATTTAATGGTCCATGACAAAAGTTGCTTTGCCATCATGAGAAATCGAGCTAGTTTTGGGTTCAAGGCGGTTGTCCCCTGAGTGTAATACAGATGTAGAGCAAGAGGCGAAGAAGAAAATAAAGCATCGGCGTGCATCTCACCATAGGTCGACGACTCACCAGCATTCTAGGGAACAGAACGAAACTGTAGAAAACATACTTTAGGAGGAATGCTATGAGTACCAACTCTCAGCGACATCTTACAATAATAACTGCTATCAACAGTGAGGCTAGTTAAAGCTCAATGTGAAAAGGGACCCTCATTTACGCTGAGAGTCAGCATAGTGGAGGGTAACCGTCTCACCTGGATAATTGAAGTCATTAGAATCTAGTATGATATCTGCCGGCCCCTTATATGCATCAAAAATCAAATAGGAGACAGTCTTCAGAGAAGTTAAACATGAGGTGGTAAACAGCCTGAGGCCTGTCTGGTGAAAGTCGTTTGCTCATATCCTGACGTCGGCATAATCTCATCTAAGACCTATGGTGGAAGTTTTAATGAAATTTTTACAGCTACATACTCGGTAATGATTCAAGCCAAAACCCTTGGACGTGAGAGTGTAGTGTTGCATCTGGAGAAGGGAATGCAACAAACTGCTGTTACAATTCTTGAGAGAAGAAATAGAAAGAAGCAAGGTAATCAAGGTCAAATGGTAGGCTTCCATGGCGGGCCAAGGACGGAGTTGAAATTAAGGCCGAGGCCAGAAGAATAAACGGGGTCAAGAAGGATCTCAATGAGCTGATCTGCCGTGTAAATTTTCTCTCCGAACTCTTATACTATCGAACGGTGAGTAATAGTTAGGTAAAAAAGCGGATGCGCTCACTCATTTGAACAACACATATTCACACATCGATCCAAAAAAATTCAATCCTGCCACAATGAACCGGCAAACTCTAGAACGCCTCTTCTAAGAATTTGCCGACCTCAATTAATACAAAACCAACCTCCAAGAACGTATTAGAGTGGGAGGTAGGAGTTCTCTGATAATGGAACTGCGACTTAACCTGTCTCTGGGAACATTGCAAGCACTGCTGATGACCGTCAGAAGTTTGCGAGCAACGTACTACAATTCCCGGACAGCTAAGGGTTTGATGATATGTCTGCCGAGATTGTAGCCTTGGTGGGTCTTACGAAGGTGATATGTAGGTTATATCGATTAGCAGAAACCCGGAGCGTCTGTCCGAGGGCAGAAAAGAAGACACCCAAAACTTCGTTCTGCTTGTCTAAACTCTTCAATCTGTCTACGACGCCTGAGGAAGGAATTTAGGAGCTACATTTGCAGTGCCACCCTCGTACTCGTCTCTTCGCTAGCTTGAATTGCCTGCTGTAGTGAAGTGCGTGGACTGAATCAACTTCTGGGTACAATTGAAGACTTTTCAAATTAACCATTATTAGGAGTCTGAGGGACATACAACTTGCACAGTACTTTGAATCGTAAAATCCGATTGGGAATATCGTTTTCCGACATACTGCTGTCAATGAGAATGTATACACCCTAGAGCTTTTCTGTTGTCCATACCTCAGTCTAACCGTTTACTAAATCAGACCATTACTTACTACGTTCTAGGTCGGTTGAAATTCCCTAACTTAATTTCCACATGGGTTTCGGATTTTACAGCCGATCATACCACCTTTCTGATGTAGGTTGCTCGACCTCAGGCCGCCGCTTCAAGGCGTTACCGTCGCTGGACCATGTTCAGACAGTGGTGAAATTTCGATGTACTACGAGATTGTGGTTTTGCTGCCCAACATCTGCTGTTAAAGCTAGTGAATGATAGCAAGTGGTTGAAGCATATCGTGTTTAACAAATATCAATGGGTGTCGTATGATGACGCGGAAACCTTCAAAATGCCGTTCTGTTTGCTGTCTTACAGATCTGGCATCAAAAGCGTGTAGATAGAGAGGGCAGGTCAGTGAATGAAATGGCAAATGCCATCTAGGAGAATCCATGCCCTTAAAATCCTCTTTGGTGGGTTTTCAATAAAATATAGCAGGGTAAGTTATGGAGCTGATGAATAGTGGAGGAGGGCATATAGTGGTGCGAGAAGTCAATTAGGTGGTGAGAGCCAAACTAGGTTGATTGAGATGAGATCTAAGGTCGCTCGAGCTCGAGAGAGCTCAGCGGCGACTATATGGTGGATAAAATAACACTAGTTCTAATCAGATAGACATTAGTCCTAAATAGGGAAAGAGTGTGAGTTAAGGATCCATATTCACCCTGAATCACGTGAACTAATTTCACGTGTGGCAGAAAACAGAATGGAAATACCAAGAAGTGGATGCGAGGGGTCAAAGCTGAATGTTGCGGTGCCGGGAATTAGAAAAGGATTACGGACCTTTGTCGGTGGATCGAATTGTAAATCACTTTTTCGAATATTGAAAAGTTCTAGACAAGCTAACACGGCTGACAGTGGTGGTAAATGCGACTCGAACGAAAAAGAGGTGGCACAAGGATACTAGAAAGCAGTCCTATCACGCACTACTGTTGCACACGTCACCTAGTGTGGGAGGAGTATAGAGCAAAACAGTACAAAGAGACATTAGAAGCCGTACTTGAACAATGCAACTCAAGCAAGCGGGCCAAATGAGACAGACCATTTGAGATGACGTCCTGCCCTGAATCTCAATTTTCCACTGATAAGGGAGCAAATCGACCTCATCCGGAAGCGTCTACCAAATTCTGCGAAGCGAAGTGACTGAAAAGTAAAATCTCGCTCGCAAGCATCAAAGAAAGGAAAAGATAGAAAAGTCACACATGTGGACATAAGGCTCATCTCCTCGCATCCAATCCCTCACCCACAATTCCACGTGCTCGGCCCGCGATAGATTGAACTCCCTAGTCGTTTCTTCAAACAGCCGAACCGATGTGCTTCCAAACAGCGCAATGTCGATTCTCCATTGGCCCATGGGAAATGGGGTTGAGGTCGCAAAAAGCATTTTGCCAAGCACTCTCGAGATTGAAAGATGCGCTAGGATTGCTTCGTATTAGTGCGGGCAGGCAGATGCGGATCTTGATTTTGATCTTGATGTGTTCATCGAAGCTAAATACACCGCACAGTTTCCTCAGTCTTGAAACCGAGATTTGACTTCTAGTAATTTCGAAGGTCGACCCAATGGCGGACAAGAGACCGAAAGTCGGCGTCGCAGCCATTATCCATAACACAGCCGGCAGAATCATCATGGGCGAGCGAGCCGGAAGTCATGGCGCCGGTATGGTGAATTCCTATCACACCGTCCCGCTTGTTGACCTGGGATTGGAGTATTGACCAATGTGAAGGAACGAAGCAGTTTCCCGGGGGTCATCTTGAGTACGGCGAGTCATTTGCCGAGTGCGCTAAACGAGAGGTCCTTGAAGAAACCGGGCTTGAAGTTGGAGACATTAAGTTCCTAGTAGCGACGAATGATGTTTTCGAGGAAGGAAAACATTATGTTACGGTATTTATGACGTGTGTCATTGTTGGAGCGAAAAAGGAACCTGAGGTAACTTATATTGCGAACCTTCCAGACACGCCCCACTGACGAAAATTCTCGAATAGGCTTTGGAGCCTGAAAAGTGTGCTAGGTGGGACTGGGTGCCTTGGTCTACGATGTGGGGTATGGCGGGGCAGCAGGCACTGGCGGAGAAGAATGGCCAAGAAACTACGACGAAGATGTTCTTGCCAATTGTGAATCTGTATCGAGACTATCCCGAGCTTGAGCAATGCCTGGAGAGAGGGTGAGCTGACTCTCAAGCGAAAGTAATTGGCTGGATAATGGATCGAATGTTGAGAGACAAGGAGAGTCACAATATCTTAACTCTCAAAGCGAAGTTATTGAAGAGACCTGATTGTTCGACTCTTATATACCAGCCCGAGAGCATGAAATTCCACCAGAATGTGGGCTTGGGAAACCATGTACATACAACGGCAGTGATACTAAGAGGGAGGTCCGTCTAACATTTGAGGACTTGATCGTTTACAGTGCGTGATGAATGAAACTTGAATGACATCCACTAGATTCTAGAGACGATCGTGACGGGTCCGCGGAAGCATAGCATTAACGGGCTCTAGCAATTACCCCTATCTTTCGGACGTTGCATCATTCGAAATTCTGTCCAGCATCGGCGCGGACGCTTTTAGAGGGGCAGATACGGACTCGAGAGTTCCGCCGCAGTCATTTGAAACTAGCATAAGGCGGCTTTGATTTGCTGAAGTGAAGCAATAGGCGAATGTGGATTTGCGCTTTGGTGAAGGTGTATAGCCGTGCTGAGCCACAGCGTCCAGGGAGGAGTCAAGGCGACAACTTTTAGCGATTAATTGCAGTGAGTAAAGCATCTAGAGAAATTAAATGGCCTAGATGGTATCTAGAGGTTTGTTGGAGACGCGTCTAGTGTCTATTTGTGAAGAAGCAGATCTGATGCTAATGCTCACAGCTCACTTTGATAATAGCGAAATTCGTGAGCTGAATTAGGTGACCTCCTTAAAGGTTACCAATCGGTAATAGGTCCGGACTTCGCTTTAGAAGGCTCAAATAGGTGAGTGTAGCACGTTACGGTGCTAAGGATCCTCGGGAAATTTTAAGTATCAAGTCCGTATGTTGGTTCGAGCCTTGAAACGTCAGCGAAAATGTCGAGTGAAACTTAATGCAGGAATACTGTGACTCTACGCAGCGTGAAGTCCGCTGGAAAGCGTCGCGGGCGCTACCTCCTGCTAAAATGGGCAATGAAGGCTGAGTCGTCGGTACCCTCTTTGGTAGTTTAGAATCTCGCTTGAGTTCTTGAGACGACAGTATCAACGGGCCGGATGTGCTGAGCCTCACCAGGTCTGTACGATATTTATTTCCCCGGTACTTTTAAGCTTTCTGGTGGCGTAGACATGCAAAGCAACATGGAGGAAAGGTCGCAAATTCTGTAGATGCTAACATATTTCGGTGTTTCTGAGACTGCTCGTATGAGATAGAGAATTTCTATTGCCTTAGAGGGTTTGTAGACCCTTGGAACGTCTGGTGAGTTTGGCAGTGACGCAAGCGAGACCTTTTCTAGCGACCGAAAACATGCTTATAGTGAAGGTTCCCCGTGAGTGGTTTTGATGGCGCGGAGAATGCTTAATACACCCCGCACGCGGCACTGCGCCGGAAATGAGTGTCCCAAATCTGGAAGACTTGAAGCTCCTCTTGAACGTGGCTGAGCCAAAGGGGATCGTGCTTCCACTGTTTGATGAGTTTGGGAAAGAGGATTCCAGGTCGATGGAAGATGTTCATTTTTGGCATTAAATTGAGCATGAGAAATGTTCGCTGAGTGTCGGGGTCTGTGTCAGACAAGGCTGATGAAGGATGAGGCTGATGAAAGATGAGGGTGAGATGAAGACTGGATTAAGACTTGGCAGGCATCATCACGTGTGGGGCCTTGCGATCCGCAGGCCTGGTCGCTCGGACATCCGCTCAACAAGCTTTCAACCACCTCATCTGATCTCATGTTTCATGTTTCGCTCATCGATGGAGTGGGGCGTTGAAGTTTGCGAGCGTCAAGTCTGTTGACTGGGCTCTCTCACCACTGCAGTCTGCCGCCCAGAGTGAACAGGTGAAACCGGTTCACTGACGAGTAATGGATTGGTACGGATGAGACAACGCCTCTTCAGCAGTTTTTCCCCCGCCAAAAATCCCCTCTTACCAGCTCGCATCACTGCATGACGGCAGACACGAGATGGAGGCAGGTACGGCGCCAGGCCGGATATCTGACCAATGTAAGGCCAGTCCTTGGAGCGCAAATGCTTGTGCCAACTGCCAGGTTTTACTCTGCGACGTCTTCTGTCATTCGCCTGCCTGATTGGGCCGAAGCCCGTTTTCCTTGGCCACGGTGCGAGGTTACTCAATGCACTTTGTATTTTGGACCCCATGGTCAAGTGAGCGGATAACATCCGGAGCGATCGAGCCAAGTGACCTCTGAGACCTTGCCTTCGCTAGTCTCTCACCAGCACTTCTGGTGGAGGTGGGAGTGTCCGGTCGGAGAGGCCGCGAAGATGAGCCACAGGCTGGACTGACTGTGGCGCAGCTGGCTCTCAGACCACGGCAAGGAAAAAGCGAAAGGAATATTCAGCGCCGCCCGATTCTTGTGACGAGTTGGCTGGTGTCAGCGAATAGGAGTTGCATTTGCTTCAACCCTCAGTCTGGCCAGCGGAATGTGTTCTTTTGAGCGAGTTTCCATCACATTTCGTTCGTTGTGCGGCTGGCCTACCAAAACGCTTAGCAGGGGTCACAATCTTATCCAGGATCGTCGCTTGTGGAGCCACTGGTCTTAGTGGCGCTGGTGTGACGACAGCGTGGGGTTCTTCGGACTCTGTCAGGATGATGCTTTTCGAGTCGTCTCCTTGCCCTTGGTATCTGCATCCTGCTGCATCTTGCTCTGCTGCTGACTTGACGGATCGACTTTTGGCAGCCTCTCCGGAAGGTCTTGCAGTGTTCCTGTCCGGAGGGTCGCACCACGACAAGGCTGCCGTACGGCCCTTCAAGACCATGACCGTGATCCCTTTGCCCGTATATGGAAGACAGTAGGAGCCTGGACACTGGCACCACTACCAAAAGTCCATTGTTGGCGTGAATATGGAGGATAGTTTTTGGTGCGTGACTAATATGCACTGGATTGCTTCTGTATAGCCGCGCGCTCGCCGACGTGCGCCATACGTTCAGGCTGAAAGGCCTCCGTGACGCCGGAATAAGGCCAAGGAGCTTCTATCTTGGGCATAGTAATAGGTGTGGAATGTAATATTAGTCATTGAGTGTCTGCGCATACTCAGCTAATAATGGCGTAGTTTCGTTTCACATCTGCACCTCTCCACCCAAGCTTTTGCTGGAGCTAGTGGACCACCAGGAACCTGCCAGGGACACTGATCCCGCATGCAACAAGGATCCTAGTGCCCGCCTCTTTCACCCTGCCAGGGGTCGTTTGCAAACGTAACATGGCCATGGCCATCTGTGCGGCTGGGCCTTCACCACCTGAGCGGTAGAGGAGGTAGGTGCGAGGCGGTGGCCCCGCTGCGACTCCCTTTCACTTCGTACTATAAAGGTGAGCCGAGCCCACCGCTGCTGCTTTCACCACCACTCACCACCACCCTTCCCCAGTCTGTCTTTTCCACCTCCGGTAGGCTTGCCTTCCAGTCGTTCTTTTTTCAGTTCACAACCACTAGCTGGTTCATACACTCCTTCTTTGTCCTTCTTTTCAGCACACCAACAAACCACTCCCAAAATGGTCGCTTCCTCCTTCATCATTGCTGCCAGCAGCATCTTCGCCCTTTCTTTCGGCGCCCCCGTAACCCGTAGCCAAGCTATTCGCTCCCTGGTGGAGCGTGGTACTTATGCGGTCTTTGGCGGTGACGGTTCGACAACTGCCGGATGGCCCAAGCAGAGCGACTGGAAGACCCTCGATAAACTGTAAGTGCCGACCTCTTCACAAAACATGCGCCTTGCTAATTGGCACAGGTGGACCGCCAACCTCGATACGCTCAAATCGTCTTGCACTCAGTTCGGTGGTGTAGCCAACAATGGGCCAGAAGAGCTCACTGCTATCCGGAAAGGTCTTGAATCCACGTCCCAGAAGTCTGGCGTGCCGGCCGAGTTCCTGTTCGCCGTCATGATGCAAGAGTCTAAGGGCTGTGTCCGCGCCCCAACCACGAACTATGGCGTCCGCAACCCAGGTCTTATGCAGGATCACGATGGCAAGGCAACCTGCAACGAAGGCGGCGTCCAAAATCCCTGCCCAGCCACGACCATCACCCAGATGATCGAGGAGGGCGCCGGTATCGGGAACGACTTCGGTTTGAAACAGACCATCGAATTGTCCAAGGCCTCCGATGACAGCAAATACTACAAGGCTGCTCGCATCTACAACTCTGGCTCTATTGCTGCCTCTGGAAATTTGGGCGATGGTATCGCTACTCACTGCTATGCCTCTGACATCGCCAACCGTCTGCTCGGCTGGGCTGATGATGATAGTGGCTGCGTAGAGGCCACTATTGGCTCCCTTACTAGCTCCCAGAGCTTCACCAGTGGCGGCGGCGGCGATTCCAACAACACTCCTACTCCTACCACCACCCCAACTCCCGTTCCTTCTTCCACCGGTGACGCCCCTAAACCCACTATCTCCCTTGTCGGCCATCAAGAAGGCAACGGTAACGGCGCAACTGTCGGCGAAGCCAACCCATCCGCTCCCAAGGCTGCCGGCGTCTCCACTTCCTGCAAGGGCTACTACACTGTCAAGTCTGGCGACACTTGCTCCTCTGTCGAGTCAGCCATGGGCATCGCTTCCGGAACCCTCAACAAGCTCAATGGCGGCCTCAGCGCTGACTGCACGAACCTGTGGCTCGGCTATGCCTACTGCGTCTCTGCGTAAACATCTTTACCTTCACTTTCCACACCATATCGTGATAAGATAACAGCGAGGCTGATGTCAATATGCATGTCGATGTTGAAGTCGTGGATGCGGTGAATGTGCTCCTTTGCTGAGCCAGCTTTGTACAGTACTATATACCCCCAGCTTTGCGTCGGTGGACCTTCAAGTTCTCTATGTGTGTACATCTCACACACTTCGGGCCAAACTCCTTTCTATACCAATACCTTTCACAAACATTTTCAATTCTCTCGTGTACCATTTATTGCATAGCATGGACGACTGGCGGATGTGCGTGGATGGGAATGCCTGGGCAAGGGACGTATTCACGATCACGACACCTGCATTGCAAGCATTTTCGGCCGGCCAAAAATACCTCACGTCAAGGAAGTCCTACTTTATTTCTTACTTGGCTCTTTCACTGTCTGTGGAGGGCTCTCTGTGTATCTCAGCATCTCACTAACCCAAAACACAAAGGTCTCACAAGACCTACATGCTTTATTGGTTCACATTACGTTTCTGTGTTTGTCCGCAAATGGCTGGTGTGGTGTGTGCATGAGTCTGTGTGTGTGTGCGTTCGTTCAGGCTCTGCTTAGCCTCAGCTGCAAGTCGTGACTGAAATTGATCCGTGCTGACTCTTCCCCTGACGGCTAAGGATCCTCGCTCACGCCTGCTTCCCCTGCCTATCATGCAACTCACATCCTTCAAGCGCCTAAGATGATGGAGGGCTATCGATAGCAACGGCACCGGCAGCGGCATCGTATCGATAACATCGAGCACAGGAATAGCAACGAATATACGATGCCAATCAATCCTTCATACCCGAGATCAGATCGGCTTATCATCGCGATATTAACGACCTCCCCCACCTACCCACCCACCATCACTTGCCCTGTCTTCGATCGCTCTTTGCGCCGACATTCTTAGCTCCCTCCCTTTCAGTCCGGAAGAAGAAGCTGAACCCAAGAAGCCCGGTCCTGGACTCGATTCGTGACTTGAAACATTTCCGTGTCCCCTTCCCCTGATTGACCATCCAGACAATGTCGCCACCGTATTTATTGTCACAGCAGAATTCTGCCGTTGTAAAACAAGAAGCGCAATTAAGGGACCGAGAATTAAGCATGATTTTGAAAAGAGATTTCTCCGCGCTGAGTTGCATGGTGCCCTCCTGTGAGTGCCTCCCGTGCCACATGCAACCCTATCAGGACAAAGGGGAATATGTACTAGCCACAATATCTGTAGATGCAGTGAGGGCTGACATGGTTGGCCGGACGGAACAGGCTTTCGGACTTCCCCTGCGGTGCATTCGGTGGTAGTGTCCCGCATAAATGTGGCGCGCACAGCCACTTGGAATCGTGAACTCCGTCGCTTCCTGAGTTCCAGCTCTAGCTAAGAAAAGATACCTGTTGCCTCAGCGCGATGGATGCGACTCAATCATGCGGATCGTGTATGCGCCTGGGACGGGGGCAGCTGAGAAGAGAGTGGAGATGGATACGAAAGGAGATGTGGCTTGATGGAGCTTTGTATTGAAGTTTGGTATTGTATTGTATTAGGGCGGGCTGTTTTTGACATAGACGAGTGAGTTACAATGGCCATGATTCCAGCCCAGGGAATCCCAAACCGACAGACGGAAATGAATGCGATTTCTCTAGCCTCGGCTAGATGCTAATGCGAGGATAGCAGGGCACATATGGAAGTAGGTAGCTGGTCACATGTGCACTTCCTTCCGAGCAACATTCGAGAGACACCATCGGACTTCTTGCTGTTCCAAAGTTATGGTGAGGAATTAGGCAACCTCTCCTCCCTATTCCCTCTGTCCTAAGTAGCAGGTAGATACTCTCGTGAACCCATTGTGGAACTCAAGGCCTAGGCGCCCACTAATTTCCGTCCCGAGTTTTATGTCTGTCGATGGATGCTGGATGTGTGGGTGTTTTGTTTCACGGTGTCGAGATCTCATCCCACCCAGACAGATCCTATCGTTCGAACCGGTCCGGTCAGGCGTGCTAGCGATGCTCGACTTACTTGTCACTGTCACCTGTCACTCTCAATTCCAAACCTGTTTCCATGTCCGTTTCCGTTTCCATTGTGGTTCCGATCTCTTCCTAACCACAATACATTATTCCACACCACAAAACCCATCTTCCGTTTCCTAGAAATGGGAACCTTGGAGAGCCATTGGAACTTCCTCGAGCAACTTCACAGAGATGTGAAAGAATTACTGAATAAATTGTTCATTCATAGATTTCCCCTGCCGAGCCGCAGTAGTGAGAGTGTTAAGGAAATGCGTATGATATGATTCTCGCTCGTTGCGATCTTGCCAACAGCCCCAGAAAACACACGCGCACCCACACATACACAGCACAGAAGTATCACGTTAACACTGCCTACCACCCTATCAGGAGGAGGAGTGACAGAGGTGACTATCGTTAGGGAGAGTTGCGAAACGAAGGATGTTGAGGATGCCAGATAGACACAGTGAAGGAGATGGGGAGAGTATTGTATCACGTTACCAGCTTGGGGGGAGAGCATGGCAGAGGTGACTAATGAAAAACTGCAGAATAGAGAGAGCATGACAGAACAGAACACGTCCGCTGGAGATGGCGAGTCGAATCGAGAGGGGTTAAGAGAACGGCGAGAGTTACTCCTCAGGCGTAGGAGCTATCTTAGAGCACTCTCCTTCTTCAGAAGACGCTTCGGCCTTCCCTAGAGAGCTGCCCACACCGAGAGCGAGGAAACCATCGGATGTGATGTTGACGGCGCCGGCTTGGACGAGCTATGCATATCAAATCAGCCTCTCTCTCTCTCGCCATATCAAGCTATTCAATCACACGAGCCTGTAGAACAGATAGACATACCGCACGACTCAAATCATCCACCAAATCCTCCGGATCCTCAATCCCGACACACAGCCTAATAATATCCTCAGGCATATTCCTCTCCGCCCTCGTCTTCGCATCGATACTGGCATGGCTCATACGACACGGCATACTAATCAACGAATTCACACACCCAAAGCTCACGCTAATCGCCCACAGTCTCGCACTCTCTACAATCCTCTCTGAAACATTGACGTCGCCTGTTTCGAAAGAGAGAACAGCGCCAGCGCCCCGTGCCATACTCCAGTGGAGGTCGTACTGGGGATGCGATTTCAGGCCCGGGTAGCGCACTTTGAAGCCATGAGATTCAAGGAATGTGGCGATACGCATGGCATTTGCTTGTTGTTTTTCCATGCGCACGCCTAGGGTTTTGATGCCGCGGAGGAGCAGCCAGGAGTCGAAGGGCGAGAGACCGCAGCCGGAGGCATTGATGGTGAAGTACAGTTTTTCGCCAAGTGCGGGGTCGTTGATGGCGATTACGCCGGCCATGAGGTCGTGGTGACCCGAGAGATATTTGGTACCAGATTCGTAGACGATGTCGGCGCCTAGGTCGAGTGGATTTTGGAGGAGAGGGGAGAGCATTGTGTTGTCGACGGCGACGATGGCGGAGGGGTTTGCGGCGTGGACAATGGAGGCGATGGAGGGGATGTCCACGATCTTGATCAGTGGGTTCGTAGGGGTTTCCAGTAGAACCATGGTGGTCTTGCTGCTAACGATTTTCCGCACTGTCTCTGGATCTGTCGTATCAACGTGGTGGACAATTATGCCCCCGTGTGCCGACAGATACTTGAGCAGTCTATTAGTTCCGCCGTAGAGATCGTCACCGGTTATGACTTCGTCGCCAGACCGTAGAAGTCGGGTGATGACGTCGAGGGCGCCCATGCCGGAGGAGACGACGAGCGCGCGGTTCGCATTCATAATCTTTGCCAGGTGTCGCTCGAGATGTGTGCGTGTAGGGTTTCCGGAGCGTGTGTAGTCGTATTCCTCGCCGCCGCCCGTCGCCGAGTTCTGCTTGAACGTCGCAGACTGCAGTGCGTTAGTTTAGTCACCGTCTCTCCCCTCCTCGCCCCACTAGAGGTTTCGTATGTACCTGGTATATGGGCACGCTGCTGGCGTTGTACTGGTCACTGCCCTCGGTATACACCAGCTCCGTCATCAACGCATACTTTCTCCCATTCCGTGGTGTGCTCGGCGCTGGTGATGGAGGGAGATCGTGGCCATCAATGTCCTTGGTCCTCAAAGCCTTTCCCACGCCATTGGCTTTCCCCTTGGAGCTTTCCGGGAGTAGTGAATCCGACATGCCTGCAGTCGATGGTGGCCGTCCAAGCGCGGTGCTAAAGTAGGGTTATGAGGGTGAATCTGTGTGTTGAAGCAAACTCAGTTCTTTGTTGAAGGGCAAGGGAATTACGGGGAAGGGGGAGGGGAAAGGAAGACACAGCACGGCAAGGGACGAGATATATGCGATTTAGTGGTCGGAAAAGGTGACGGGGTCATCCGTGAGCGACTTCTGCAGGAACGTTGATGAGTTGGTTCGGCTGCGGTTTTGGAGTCACCGCTGGAATTGCGCCATCGATGGAAAACCCAGTTCGGCAGTTTCGCCTCCGAGTTCGCTCCACAACGACACACCTGAATCCTCTCACGCTTAACCCCACACTTCACGTATCCTCCAACAATACTTAGAAGACAGGAACTTTTCCATTGAACTGCGTATATACGGTGCGAGGGTATACATACTCATCCATTCTTTAAAAAAAATAATTCCGAATATAAAAAACAAAGCCTTGATTCTGGAAATACAAATCCCATGATCCAGCGCAATGAAACGCCATACTACATGTTTCCCAGATCCATGCCAACTGCCGTGCCAGCCATACCCCAACTACCATTCCAAAACCAACAAAAGATGCCCAGGAAGCACACATTATTAGCAAAAAGTACAAAGTCCGAATTTACTCAAGCGACCTATTTTACCGGGGTTTGATAGCTGGAATCCCCTTCCGCTCGTGCAAATTGATATGGAACTCGAAGATCCCCTCTTCGGTTCCGCAGTACAGCGTGCGTCCGTCCTGGCTCATTGCGAGCCCTGCCGTGCGAACGCCGTCTGTGGGGTCATGTGAGCGGCGTCGGTGGTAGCTTGATCGTTCGCTTGGGAGGCTGTAGGGGTCGTGGGGTTGCGACTCTCGAGCATTTCTCAGGCGCTCGCGCATTTGCGTCAGCTGCCGAAGACGGCGAAGCTCCGTGCGAAGTTCGGGGGCGCCTGTCGGGCGGACATTGTCTGCAGCCCTGACATTGCGGGCCAATGCTTCCTCAATCGTACGCCATGCCTCGTCAGTCGAAGAGATGATCTGGGCATCTACTCGACGGGCATGAGCTGGGATAGGATTGGGAGATCTTGTCGTCACTGCATCTGTGATATTTGCCGTAACTTCAGGGTTGCTAGTTGGTGCCTCGGTCGTGGTCAAGAGCACCACAGAGGGCTGGCGACGGGGTATGGAGCGTGCTTGTAGCTCATTTGAATGTGACTCTGACAGCATATCGGCCATGATGTTGCGTCTGGATTCGAGTTCTCTAGCTGCTCGGACTACTGCTCTGGCTTCGAGGGCATCCCTATGACGATTGTCACTAGGCATGATCGGGAAAAAGTATTGAGAAGCAATTCCGTACCGCCTTGTGTCCTCCGACCCTGGAGTATTGTAATTGATACTCCGGGGCGCGATTCCCTGCTCACGGGCCTCTTCCCGCTGCCTTGTCGCCCGCAGGGCTTCTAGAATCTGACGTTCGTGTGATGTCGTCCGGAGGGCGTCGAGAATCTGTCGTTCGTGTGCTGTCAAGCCGTGCGGATCGTTGTCTGATTCAACGACACCGAGTCGTCGATGGAGTCTTCGACGCTCCGAGGACGCTTCAATGTAATCGTTCGCAAAGTTCACCGCAGCCGCAGTACCTTCTGAATCGAGAGCTCGGCGGTATCTTCTAATGAAATCTGCTTCTCGCCGTAGATCGCGGAGTTCGGGGCTTAGTTCCAGGTCAAAGTCTGCAATTTCTACTTTCTCAAGGCCATCTTCTTTGGGATCCAACGTGAGGATTTGCCTGATTTTTAATCCAGATCGAAGGTCAGCAACACACACTCTTGCTTGGTCCTCGCTCCAAATGAGGAAATCCCAAGGAGCGGGAGAGAACTGCATGGTTCTTACTGCTCCCGGACCGATGGTAATGCCAGGTCTGGAGGAGCTGATCAGATGCACAATTGCGTCTTCTCCATACTCGCATGATTTTAAAACGTCTATATCGAATACGGTGATGTAACCGCACTCGGATCCAACGGCACATAGACGCCCCGAGGGCGACCAAGCTGTTGTGAAGTAGCCTTCAATGGACGAACCTTCAATGGACGAATCGGGAGGGACATAGAGGCGTACCTCTTCATAAAGAGCCCACTCAGGAGGCAACACTTGCACCCTCCCCTCAGGAGATTTCATCGTCCGCGGCTTCTGCGGCTTGGCTTGCTTAAAGAAGAATCCGACTGGCTTATCACCCACAGCAACTAATAGCTGGCCATCGGGAGAGATGGTAGCATGGTTCATGGGGAAAGGGAGATCCAAGACGCTGACCTCTAGATCCAATGTTAGAGAGTAGATGCGCACAGTCTTGTCGTTGTTGGTAAGGACTGCTACAACCTCGTCTTGGCCATCCGCTTCGGCGGGAAATTTGTGTATCGATATCGAATTGACAATGTCCACTCCGATCTTCTCAAGGCGGACACGGTGCGCGGCGCCCAAGAGCGGGGGGCGTGGCAAGGGGACGCGACTTGCGAGATCCAAGGGCAGCAAGGCATCCACATCGGCGGGGTCGGCAGGTGGAAAGCCGGCAACTTCGATGGCCGCAAAGTTGCCCTCTTCGGCGCCTCCGACACACACATAGCCATAGCCTGATGCGGTGCAGCGGGCCTCCCAGGGAAGAGTGGTGACATGGGCCTGTGTCTTGGTGGCGGTATTGAGGCAGTAGACGTCTGAACCGCTGGCGTAGTAGAGGAGGTCTTGATCGGGGGCGCTGATAAAATGGCGCAATTGGTAATGGCTGATTTGGTCAACAGGAGGGCTGCACTTACTCTAATCGCGCTGGACACTCACGCAATGGGTATTTTGAGGGGGAAGAAAGACTTGGAGGGCAACACGAAGGTTTCCGTGTCTCGACTCCTGGAGCTCGTCAGTTTGGCAGGGGCGCGAAGGGGAGCAACCGGCGGAACCAACAGAAAGTCGTCGACGGCCATGCTTCGCGATTAGGGTGGTGAAGAGGGCATGTCCTGTGGACAGGAGACGTGGTGGGTGTGGCTAGGTCGCGATGTGCATGGGGGGGGGGTGGTTGCCAGGCAATACGTCAGACAGACCGACAGGGCGATGGGGACGGCGACCGACACGGGGAGGAGCAGGACAAGCAGGACAAGCAGGACAACAAAGACGGTGCAAAAGTACGCAAGGACCACAAGCATACAAGGTGAGGGAGGGGAAAAAGGGATGAGAGTGAGGATGAGGATGAGGACGAGGATGGGCTTGGTTGAAGATGGGTTGCTGTTTGAATCTCCTCTCTCCACCGTGCTTCCTGTGCCGTTCAAGGTCCTCAGACCACAGCAGCACGTGAACTACTCCGCCAGGCGCCAACCTTGGCCTCTGCAGGTGCAAGTTCACGGTGGCAACCGCCCACGATGCGGCGGCAGTCGTGTCGAATTGAATGTCCTCGTTGAGGAATTGAGCCCACGCACTGCTGTCGTCGTAGAGGGCAGCAGGAGGTGCGAGTGTAGCAGTCATCGACGTCGGGCTGGGCGCGCGGAATCTTCGGCGCCGCTCGGCTGCGGCAAGTTCCGCGGCTCTAGAAATTTCTCTCCACCATCTCTCCTGGCGAAAGCTCCATCCTGACTTTTCATCATAAACGCCCTCGCCTCCATCAATTCTCTTCCCCCTTTGTAGTCCCTGCTGATTGCATCCTCCTCTGGCAACAGCCCCCCCTCACATACTCGCAATCATGCTATCCTCAAGGTTATCACGCACCGTACGTCCACGTGAGCTCTGCAAGCTCCTGCTGCACACTGACCTCGAGCCACCAGTTTCTGCCGCGGGCAACATCCGCTGTCCGGCGCGCGCCTGCCATTAGATCTCCCTTGGGATGGTCATTTGTACGCGGATATGCCGAGAGCTCTGAGGAGAAGGTGAAGGGCTCCGTCATCGGTATCGATTTGGGCACTACAAACTCTGCAGTTGCCGTCATGGAGGGCAAGACGCCGCGCATCATCGAAAACTCCGAGGGTATGTCGTTTGGAGGTGACCACCCATTGCAATAGTGCCCCTGCTGACAGCTTCAATAGGTACCCGCACAACGCCGTCCGTTGTCGGCTTCACCAAGGAGGGCGAGCGTCTCGTTGGTGTCGCCGCCAAGCGCCAGGCCGTCGTCAACCCAGAGAACACCCTCTTCGCCACAAAGCGTCTCATCGGTCGCAAATTCACTGACCCCGAGGTGCAGCGTGACATTCAGCAGGTGCCGTACAAGATCGTCCAGCACACTAATGGCGATGCATGGCTCGAGGCACAGGGACAGAAGTACTCGCCCTCCCAGATCGGTGGTTTCGTGCTCGGCAAGATGAAAGAGACTGCTGAGGCCTACATGGGCAAGAATATCAAGAACGCCGTCGTCACTGTCCCCGCCTACTTCAACGACTCCCAGCGACAGGCCACCAAAGATGCCGGCATGATCGCCGGCCTCAACGTCCTCCGTGTGGTCAATGAGCCCACCGCTGCTGCCCTTGCCTACGGTCTTGACAAGGCTTCCGACAACGTCATTGCCGTCTACGATCTTGGTGGTGGTACTTTCGATATTTCCATCCTCGAGATCCAGAATGGCGTGTTTGAGGTCAAGTCAACTAACGGTGACACCCATCTTGGTGGTGAGGATTTCGACATCACCCTCGTCCGTCATCTCGTCCAGCAGTTCAAGAAGGAGCAAGGCATTGATCTCAATAGCGACCGCATGGCTATTCAGCGAATCCGAGAGGCTGCTGAGAAGGCCAAGATTGAGCTGTCCTCCTCCCTCCAAACCGAAATCAACCTGCCTTTCATCACCGCCGATGCTTCGGGGCCCAAGCACATCAACTCCAAGATGACCCGTGCTCAGCTCGAAAAATTGGTTGACCCACTGATCTCCAAGACTGTCGAGCCCGTCCGCAAGGCCCTGAAGGATGCCAATCTCCAGCCCAAGGACATCCAAGAGGTCATTCTCGTTGGTGGCATGACCCGTATGCCCAAGGTCACCGAGTCGGTCAAGAGCATCTTCGGCCGTGACCCCGCCAAGTCGGTTAACCCCGATGAGGCTGTCGCTATTGGTGCCGCTATTCAAGGTGCTGTTCTTGCTGGCGAGGTCACTGACCTCCTGCTCCTCGATGTCACTCCCCTCTCTCTTGGTATCGAGACCCTGGGCGGTGTCTTCACCCGTTTAATCAACCGAAACACGACTATTCCCACCAAGAAGTCGCAGGTCTTCTCCACCGCTGCCGACTTCCAGAGCGCCGTCGAGATCAAGGTGTACCAGGGTGAGCGTGAGCTTGTCCGTGACAACAAGCTGCTGGGTAACTTCCAGCTTGTCGGTATTCCCCCAGCACACCGTGGCGTACCACAAATCGAGGTCACCTTTGACATTGATGCCGATTCCATCGTCCACGTCCACGCCAAGGACAAGTCTACCAACAAGGACCAGTCCATCACCATCGCCTCTGGATCCGGTCTCTCCGACGCTGAAATCCAGAACATGGTTGATGATGCCGAGCGCTATGGAGAGCAGGACAAGGAGCGCAAGAACGCCATCGAGGCCGCTAACCGCGCCGACAGCGTTGTGAACGACACCGAGAAGGCCCTGGAGGAGTTCGAAGACCGACTCGACAAGGCCGAGGCCGAGAAGATTAAGGAGAAGATCGCCTCGATGCGCGAATTCATCTCCCAGAGCCAGTCTGGTGAGGGTGCCGCGACCGCTGCTGAGATTAAGGAGAAGACAGACGAGCTCCAGAACGCTAGCTTGAGCCTATTCGACCAGATGCACAAGGCTCGATCAGAGTCGTCCAGCAACCAGGAAAACCAGCAGCAACAGCAGCAACAGCAGCCTGGCGAAGGTGAGGGAGAGAAGAAGCAGTAAGCTCTTCGCTGCAATCTATAGTCAAATCTCCATTTCTCCTTTCTACGGTCGGTCTATCTTCGCGGCACAAATAAAAAGCAGGCGTCATTGAGTTGCATGCATTACGGTCTTGGGGGGTCTCTTAGACGTGTATAGTTTTTCTTCCTTTTGTTACCCACGATTGTACCTATACCTCTCGTCTCTTCTCTTCACACACTCTCCAGCGCCATCGCCAATGTTTTATTATGTCGGTTTTCCTGCCGGTTGGTTATGCCTTGAATGAAACGGGGATATCCACACCAGGAAGGTGGAGTCTTTTTGGGCTGGGCGGGAGATATTACCATCTCTATCCTTGCAACACTGTCGCTACATATGCAGGGGTCCGAGGGTGGGAAATGGTGTAATTAGTGGAGGGAATGGTTGATGAAAGACAGATAATTGTACTATAGCAGGGACGTGAGATGTTAATGTCAATCCTTCTCCGCTCTTAAAGCGATACTCAGTGAACTTTCTCAAAACTGTGATTGAATAGAGAAGTTGGAGTCACTGGATGATCTCCCCGCTAATCGAAAACCTGATAATGCGCATCCACAGGTTTCTTCCCATTAATCGTCAACACATCCTGCGGACATGCGCTCATAACAACTACAACATTCCTCTCCGCTTTCAAACACACATAATCGCCCGGCTTCGTCACAGGCGCCTCGAAACTCACACCTCGTTTGGCGCCCTCGCCGTCCGCCGTAACAGGAATATTCATAAATAGATTGAACGGATCAGGAACCCGGCCTCCGAGACTTGATTGTAGGGCTTTCAATCCCTCCACCACTGCTACTTCCCCATCCCCACCCCCACCCCCACCTACGTTAGTGGTTGATAGCCTCGATGCTAGGGCGTCCAACGCATCCCAACAATTATCCGTGCACGACTCGTGGTATCCTTTTACTCCCAATTCACTATACCGCCATCTATCACACGCCGCAATTAACGTGTCATGAACACCCGGACTACTGTCTTCAACCAGCGTTACCATGGCAGCGCGCTTCTGGGAAACCAGTGTGTCGCCTACGCTGGGAGTGAGTTTACAGAGCGTGGCGCGGGTGTGGCTCATGGACATGAATTCTGGGGCGCTGGCCGCAGTGTTGGAAGTGGTGGTGTAGTGCATGGGAGAGGTAGGCGTGGCGGAAGGGAACACGGGTGCCGAGATGTCGGCTTTGCTCACCGTGGAAGTGGGCAGAGCGAATGCCCATGTGTCCACGACCTGGTTACCATGGGTATTGATAATTTTGATGGTCTGGGAGGTACGGACGAGGGTTGCGGCGCCGCGGCGGGCGGGAATGGTTTGGAGAGGGGGCATGGTGGGATGATGGGAAGAGAGAAGTTAGGGGATGGATGAAGGTTAGGATAGTGGTAGTGGTAGTGGTAGTGGTAGTTATAGTGAAGTGTCTATAGGTTAGATATAAAGTGAGAGGGTCTTATGTGTCTAGGTATCGCATAGGGCGTATGAGAGGAAGATAACTGCCCCGATGTGGATTCTTGATTGACTAGTGCCGCCATGACGATGGTCTGTATCTTATTAGTCAAGCTGGGGATGATAAGTGACAAGACACCGTTAGAAATTTCCGAAGTCATCACCTCTGCATTCCGATGCCACTCAAAGGTAGCGCAAACGCGTCTTGGTAACGGCAGGAGCGAAAGCGAACAGATGAAGTCGAGTTACGCTTAGTCAGATAATTTCACGTGATATTCACCCTGGGCACGGACCGGCATTCAGATCGCCGCCGATTAAACGTTATTTGACACCTTTATCCCCACCACGCAGGTAGTTCTCCTATTCTTCTTCCACACCCGCTTCCCCCCATATCCTAGTCTCCGCCATGGCGCTGGCCACGAAGACGCAGTCACAGAACATCTTCACGAAATTGAAAGCAAAGCCCGCGAACAAGGTATGTTGAGTAAAGTCCCGCCAGAAAGGGGAGGGGCGGAGGGCGGTCAGAGGGAGTGGCTAACAGCAGGGCATAGATATGTTTCGACTGCGGCGCAAAGAATCCAACATGGTCGTCTGTCCCCTTCGGCATCTATTTGTGTCTCGATTGCTCGGCCAATCATAGAAATATGGGCGTGCATATCTCGTTTGTGCGGTCTACTAATTTAGACAGTATGTTTTCCCTGTAACCCATGTAGAGCATATAATGGAGCGTGAGAGAGGGGGAAGCTGCTGATGCGATGCAGTCTGGCAATGGGACCAACTCCGGATCATGAAAGTCGGCGGCAACGAAAGCGCGACAAAGTACTTCCAAACTCATGGCGGTTCGGCGGCTCTTGCGAGCAAAGATCCGAAGACTAAATACACGAGTAATGCGGCGAATAAGTATAAGGAGGAATTGACAAGGCGCTGTGTTGTCGATGCTAAGCAGTATGTCTCGCTTCTCCTCTCGTCTTCTACGCACTTGTTAATTGTGGGATGTGTGTCAGATATCCCAACGAAGTCGTAGTAACAGACGCCCCCGAAACTAACTCCTCGGGCACCAACACCCCCGCCGGTGAAAATGAAGATGACTTCTTCTCTAGCTGGGATAAACCAACCATCAAGCGCCCCTCCAACCCACCGTCCCGCACCGGCACACCTCTCGGCTCTCGAACCGCGTCTCCCTTCCTCAATGCTCCTGCAAACGGCAACGGCACCGCGCGCCCGAAATCCCCTCTCTCTGCAGCCGCTACCGAGAAGAACACAGCTACCACACCCGCCGCGATCCCTTCGACCAAGCCTGCGATTAGGAAAACCGTGTCTAGCACCGCCCCAAAGAAAAACATCCTCGGGGCCAAAAAGAAAGGCCTCGGAGCGAAGAAAGTCGTAGCTGTCGACGGCGGCCTTGACTTTGAAGAAGCCGAACGCAAAGCCCGGGAGGAAGCTGAGCGTATCGAGAAACTGGGCTATGACCCGGACGCCGAAGCCGCCGAAGCCGCAGCCACCTCAAAGGCCAAATCCGTCGAATCCTCGTCCATCATCGCACCCACCCCTGTGTCCCCACCACGCGGTGGCTTTGGCTCCACCAAGCCCGAGCGCAGCAGCCAGGAGATGGAGAGGCTAGGCATGGGCATGGGAAGGCTAGGCTTTGGACAGGTCGGTGCGACGAAAGCCGCTGCTGCGCCTAAGAAGATGGGCGGCTTTGGAAGCACGAGTAAGCCTGCAGCAGACGACTCTGAGAAGTATGCAAGGGAAAAGTTTGGCACGCAGAAGAGTATTTCCAGTGATGAGTTCTTTGGTCGTAATGCTTATGATCCGTCGGCGACTTCGCAGGCGAAGGAAAGGTTACAAGGTAAGCTTCCCTTTCGTTCTCCATTACCCATTCCCCCGCCCCATTTCAATAGTACATACATATCACATATTACACTCATATATATATAACTTACACTTTTACAGGCTTCGAAGGTGCCACAGCAATCTCCAGCAACGCCTACTTCGGCCGTCCGGAAGACGACATCCCCGACGACGACTACGGTGACCTAGAAGGCGCCGCGAAAGACTTCATCCGCAAATTCGGAGTCACGGCTGGCGATGATCTCGAGAACCTGACCAATCTAGCGGGAGAGGCTGCCGGGCGGTTGCAGGGTGCTATACGGAATTATTTGAACTCGTAGGCTGAGGTTGAAAGCGGTTTTGTTCAGTGACAGGGAGTCGGTACAGTATGCGGGGGTGTAGGAACAGGGAGTCAGGTTCTAAGATGACTTTGCTTGCTGTGAGTCGATGAGGAGTGAGGTAGATTGCATGGTCGTGTGGTGGCTGGAGTTTAGGGGATGCGGTATCATTGTGATGTGAGACGACGCGGCTTTCATGGGAGGCTGGTTGCTTGGCTTAGTAATCGAATCAGCATTATCATTATGAGTATTGGATGAGTGGATGGTTCCGTGGGCTTTGGCTTACTGCTTTGAAGATAACTTTATTTCAAGTGCTCTAGGATTTAGAGGCAACAATAGGATAAGATATGAAAGGACATTCTTGTCCGTTCATACTTAGCGCTAGAAATTAGGGGATTCCTAGCCTAGTGACACTCTACGCGTGGTTTGGGTTGTTATGGGCAGGTGCGATGGTGATAGTACTAGCGGGACCATCATAAGCACAACGATGCTTTACACTCACTTATATCCACTCGCCTAGAGTCTGACCTCAAGATACATCGAGCATCACGCATTCCAATACAGACAAAACGCATAATATAGAATGAACCAGCCGTACCATGCACCCCGCTCTCCCCTCAAAACAAAAAATAAACGCCAGCAATCGCCTCCCAACCCCATTCGAAGCCCCCAATACACAACGCAACCTAGCTTTTCTCTCCTCCAACCTCCCCGCTATCTCCGGCTCCCCGGTCTCCCTTCTCCACCCCATTCACCCTCCTCATCTCTATCCTTCCCTCCATCTCCCTCTGTTTCTTCATCCTGGTTGTCCCTGGTCAACTACCCTATTCTAAAATACCTCACTATCCATGCGCCTAAATACTAAAATATCAAATGCAAAAACCCTGCTGCTGGTATCATTCCTAGAACTTAGATCAGGAATAGTCGCGAACGTAGGAAGAATGAGATTCCTAGGAAAGGGGAGTTCGTTTGGCAGGAAGAGGATGAAGGCTGCGGTTGTGAGGATTTGGAGGACTAGGAGAAGGAGGAGGCCGGTGTACCAGGGGGTGGGGTGTGAATGGGGGGTATTGGGAGGGTGAGGACGAGAGTGGGGTGGTGGGGGATGTTGGGTGATGGAGGGAGGAGGGGAGAAGGGGTGGTGGCGGTGGTAGCGTGGAAGGGCTGCTCGTTGCGGATGGGGAGAACGAGTCTGTATGTGTTGTCGTTAGGCAGGTGGAAGTATGGTGACAGCAGCGGGTTAGCGACATGCTGCAGCACGCTGAGCTTTGTGCATCCGTTAAGTCTTCTTGCTCACCCACGCTTCCATTGGTACAGCGGATCGAGGACAACCGTACCCCTGTACCCCCTTGCTCTCCCCCCTCCTTCTCAACCAAACCAGCATCATCATAAGCCTAGTGCTGCGCCTTCGCCTCGTTTTCCAGATACACCTGCGCCATCGAGAGCAACGGTATCAAGAGCAGCATCAATGGTAGTATCTGCCCAACCGACTAAAAATCCTCTTCTAGCACATCCTCATTCGCGCCGAAATCCTCACCATCTGTATTATACGCTGCAGAAGCGCGTGTATCGTAGAGCTTGATATCCCCAGGCGATGGCAAACACGAGCCATAGAATTCAGCGAGCATAGATTCCAGGACATCGAAGAGAGCGCGGGTGCCCACGAACACAGGGAAGACAAAGGGATATGGGAATTTGTAAAACGCCGCTCGGGGACCTACAGGATGGTATTTGATTTCGAGGGACTGAATGAAGTGCTTCGTATATGACCCTAGCACCGTGCGATAGTATCGTTGAGAGAATTCCGACGTGGGATTGAAGAGTCGGATGCCACCACAGATGTATGAGATCCCGACGACTAGCACCGAGAGCACCTTTGACCAGACCTTAGGTCCGCCGTGGGTATACGTATCCAGGGTGAGTTGCTTGGAGTAACACACAGTATTGAGACTCGGATAGAAACCTCCCCTCTCGTGAGCTAGATCCAGCCAATTATGACTTCCGGTCGGCAGCAGCGCCACAATCGGCATTAAAGCCAATACCTACATAAAACACACTCTTATAATCCTCAGACTTTGATTCGTCTCAAAATACCTCTGTAAGAAACCAACGCCGATAGGAACGTGAATGACGAGAACCAAGCCACATACATCAGCATTTGCCAATGGTACGCCGAGATCCCGCACTTTCGCTGCGGATAACAGCTCACGAGAATAGCAAGCCCGGTTACAAGTTGCGCGTCGCTGATGATGAGAACGGATTTCTCCACTGCGTATTCGAATCGTCGGGTGGGAGTTCAGACGACCATGTTTCGTAGAAATGTGAGAGTACAATGCTCTACGGGACTGACGAGTTCTTTCCCACTCAGACTTCGCCGACAGAATTCATAGACTGTGATGTAGTGGAGGGTGAGCAGGGCTAGCGTAAGATATGCCGTGATAGAGAATCCGAGAATGGCCTGCCCTCATTTACTTGACCCACCCGCCCACCAAATAAAATAACCTAAGGGGCTAACTTACCCCAATCCTAGAAAGTTCGGGATTCGGCAGTAATGGCAACACATGGTGCAGGCCCTTTAGATTGTTGAGGCATATCCAGTCGCAATCAGGCTTCTCGGAGTGGAAGGCTGGGATTTGGTTCCATATTTGAATCTTCCGAAGCGGTGGAAGATATGGAAGAGAGAGTGGCCGAAACGTGAGGACTGAGCTATTGGCGCCACCTTGCAACAATAGAGTGTGTGAATGAGTAATGGGTGGGACGCGGCGATGGAGATTGAGGATCCTTGGAATGGGATATCTGGAGTTTCTATTGGGGGGAACAACGTAGTTTGCGGACAGATAGCGCCTTCCTCAGTCACAACATCATAAATAAGTCCCACATTGCTTACATAAATTGGAAGATGACCTCTATCGTCGTCTAATGTGTTAATATAAGGGGACTTCGACTCCTACAGAATGATTGACCAACGTCCTGGTATCTGCAGGCATTCCGAAGTTAAGACCAATTACCTGCACCTTAAACGCCGTTTCATGAGCCCCAAAAATGTGTGAACCTCGAATATTGCACAATGGACACATATCACTTTTACCGCCTATTGGTTTTTCCGATCCCACGTTTGCCAATAGTCTACGTCATGAATTAGAATCTCTTTCCTCGAACGCTTCTAGAATGAGAAAACTTACCAAATGCTTTGTCAACGAGCCTGTCTGGTGTCGGTCAGCTTCACCTTGTCTAGCCATCCTGTTCATCTTCTTCTGGGACAGCTTGGCCAGTCTCTCTGCGTTGGATCGAGCGGTTTCATTAGTGACACCGTCAATCCTCCTGTTTGTGCTCTGGCTCCTCGCCCTGCTCTTCGCCCTCTCAAGAGCAGCCTTGGGGGTATCGACCTCCATTGCATCAACGTCCACGCCCTCAGATCTACCCCGCAGAACGGTTCTGCCGCGACTTTGACTCCGTGCTCTTGAGGCAACCTTGGAGGCATCATAGCCAAGGCTTTCGAGATGAGATTCCATCTGAGACAGCTTCTTTGACTTGGCTGTTCTTGGAATGACCGCCCTGTTCTTGAGACTTTTTCTCATCTTCGCTTCGTTTCTAATGAGTTGCCGTTTCTCCCGGATTAATTCTGCCTTGTACCTAATGTCTGCCTCCTCTGCATCTTCGAGCTCTTCTTCGGTTTCATAGAAACCTTCCGCTTCTAATTTCTCCTCTTCGGCCTCTAGAGCTGCGAGCTTGGTTTCAATGTCGGGATCGATGAAGTCGTAGACGTTCCTTCCTTCAAAGACTTCCGGGATGCGGTCTTCCTTCCACTCTGGGTTATCGAGAATATAGTTCTTGCGCATGTTGAAGTTGTAGACACCTGGACCTCCATTCTGCTCTTCGAGGTCGCGCTCTAGTGCCGGCCGATCCGGATCATCCTTGTCATATTTCATCTTGTTCTTCACAGCATCTGGAATAAATGTCTCACGGACGACGCCGCCCATAGGCTGGGCGACGTGGATCCTCCTCAGAAGATCTCCCAGTCGTCCAGTTGGCTCACCTGAGCTATTCGTTCCAGTTTTGAGCTTCTCTGCATTGCGTACAGCGAGCAGACGGTCACATGCGGAGTTTCGCACTTGCATGACGCCCTCAGTAGTTGTACATGACAGCTGGAGCAGCTCCACTTCGCCAGATTTAAGCATGCCCTGAAGCTGTTCTTGAGTCGCCGGATCCAGATCTTCAGGTCGCATTAGATCAATTTTGTTGATGACGATGAAAACCAGTTTATTGGCGAAAAGAGGTTTGATACTGTGGAAAAGTGCGATTTGGGCCGAAACCGAGTATCCGCATTGCTCACTTAAGTCCATGAAGTAGAGGATCGACGCTCGCAAATGTGCAATAGCGCAGATACTCTGATGCTCGATCGTGTTCATCTCCTCTAGAGGGTGATCCAGAATTCCAGGGGTATCTATCGCCTGAAAGCGCAGCATTTTATAGTCGAAGTGTCCTACGAAGAGGGACTTCGTTGTGAATGCGTATGGCTGAATATCCACATCCGCGCGTGAGATGTTCTTGAGAAAGCTTGACTTGCCGACATTTGGGTATCCACAAATGACTAGAGTCCGAGTATTGGGGTCGATGGAGGGTAAGCGACCAAGATGCTGTCTCACTTGCTCCAGATACACCAGCGGATCCTTCAATCGCTTGCAGATGGTGGCCATCCGCCCCAAGGCCGCGCGCTTGAGCTGCTTGCACTGAAACAAGCTCTGCCCATATTTGATCAGTCGGACGTAGTCCCGAGATACGGCTTCAATAAGAGATTTCGCGGTGTTCAATTGGCCAAGAGCGATTCGGAAATGACTGAAGCACTTTGGTTAGTCTCTCCATATCCATACATGACAATGATACATACTCTGCATCATATAATGTGTTCAGTAAGTCGCGGTGGAACGGATGGATATCCTGGAGGCGGGGAAATGCTTGGATGGTGCCGGACAATCGTTCAGTGAAGGTTTCGGATGTGTACTTGACTTTTCGGGTGCTGGAAAATTTGGTGAGATGGCAGCATTCAAAGTAAGAGGGCAATGAATCCTTACTAGAAAGCTCTTATACGACTGATCTGGAATCCAGCTCGAATCTGGGTGGGAAGACGCCGCTGACTGCAAAAATGTTAGCCCCGCTAACAGCCCTGCAAACGAAAGCGATTAGCATACGTTCGGGACAGTACAATGTCCAAAAACTCCTGGCTCGTAGGCACTACAGGGATGTCCTTCCACTGCGTCTTCATGGTGGCAGCTTTGTGAGGGAGGTGGAGCAGTCGTGGTTGTGCTCGTGGTCGCGAAAAGCTAATCGATAACTGCCGCACAGAAATTTCTAGGCTTGGTTCGGCGAAATCTTGGCACGGATAAAAGTTTGGCCGAGGAGGCTGTTCCAAATCCAGCTGGGCCTCTTTCGGTGTCACCCATCATCATTCACTTAATTTGGCCATACGCGAAATAGAACACCTATCGGCCAAATGTATGTAGAAATGCTAAGTGCTAACAATTCTGAGCAAAATAACTGGACATACTGACTCCTGAAGATGTTGCATCGTGATGCTGATGCTTGTGTTTAGCCTCTGGTTCTCCAACCTCTAAAGAGTGATTGCTAATATGAAGGCAGCAATCGTCCCTCACTGCCACATACGACCATAGGATCAAGAATGACAGCGCTTCCCGTTAGCTAAGCGGTACTTAAGCTTGATACCGGCGGATTAGTAGCTAGGTGGGTGACTACTGGCGAATGCCTGCTGTCGTATGTTTTTGTTTTTTGTTACTGTTGCCCATGGAAGAGGGATAGCGAGGACAGTAGTAAGAGATTTAGAAACCTAGGCAAACTTTCCCTTTCGGCACCCTACGAGGAGAGTGAAAGCATTGAGCGGAAAGCACTTTGGAAGAAGCATCGGCGGAGCGGTATGATTAGCCCCGTGCCCACGACCGATAAAAACCTACGTTAAACCTGATAGAAATAATAAAGCTGATCCTCTGTGATTTATACTTAACGCTTAACGCTATGGGCAATCTTGTGGTCTACTTGTGTCCGTGTAAGGGCGCAATTGATTCCGGAGGATGACCGGCTGCAACAGTACCCTTTGACCCAAGATCTAGATGAGCCCCCACCAATCTTCAAACAAGGTTGAGGACATGCGTGCTCGTGTAATGCAATTGGGGACATCGAGGTTACACCAACGGACTTCGGCAAAAAGATATTTTAACTTTCAGACCCCAAAGGAATCACCAGGATGGACGAGGTACTCAAACGGGGCTATCAAGAATTTGGGTGTGTGGTAAGTGCGTATTTTTTTATTATTGTAACCACATCCTAGGCGCGACGGTACGAAACTGCCAATTTAATGCCAACCTAAACATATATCTACGCTCTTCTACTCTGAGTCGTCTTGCAGCCACCTGGAATCCCCTGGTTTTTATACTTCCGACTGTCTACACCTCTACATCTAAAACGCCGCCCCCAAGAAGATACTTGAGTTCTATTGCGTAGGCCTGGTATATAGCGACTTCTCTATCTCCTTATTCAGCCAACACCTACAAACAATTAAACAAGACGAAGCCTAATATGATGTATCACGACTCTCCCTACCTAAATTTCCGATGCACCCAAACAAAACTTTGCAATATTTGTCTCACCTCCATTCAGCCCCCCGCCCCCCGCCCTCTCACGCCCGTGATCTTTAGGCCACCTGCAGTTTGCAGTCACTGCAGCAGGAGGAGCTTCATCGAAACCCAAGCAGATGCATGCGAGATGCATCTAGTACCTTTTTAGACGAACAACATCCTTCTCCGAGGTGATCCGGCTCATGTTCTCACCTTATTCGGGTATGACAATTTATAGTGATACTCCGCATTAGTAGAGTCTTTGTTGGATTGGGAGGCCTCATGGTGTGAGTGTGCGATACTTCGAGTGTAGAATAGGTGAGGCAAAAGTAGATCGTTGTGAGTATGGTTCCACGGATTCTTGCATGTGTGCGTGAAGAGAGGATGTATAAAGGAGAGCGCTTTCCCGCGAAATCGAAGACTGGATTTTTCTCTCACCATCTTTCTAGACTTCATAGAAAATCCAAAACCTTCTGTTCCAAGCGTCGCTATGCTTTCTCCAGTCAAATCAGTCGTTCTCTCCCTCTCATTCCTCTCCGCTTTCGTCGCTGCTGCTCCTGCCGCGGAGGCTGACGCTGGGGTTGAACTCACTAAGCGTGGGTCTTGGGATGCGTAAGTTCACCATCCCTTTGTAATCCCCTTCCATTTCCCCTCGCTCTCATCTCGCTACCCTTCTCTCCCTCTCTTTCACTCTTCTCTCTTTCAAACTAACTGCCCCTTCCCACAGAATCGTCTACTCAGGCCCGAATTGCAACTCGGGTAGCGCAACAAAAGTCCATGGCGAAGGAGGAGGATGCTACCATCCCGGAGGCCAGAGCATCAATATCCAGTTAAATGGAGGGTGCAAGTGGAAGAGTTATTCTGGAACAAATTGTGCAGGGTCGAACAAGGGGCTTGGAGGCGGGTGTAACAAGGTCACCTTTGGATCATATTTGGTGACGTGTTAGGCAAAGTTTGGTTAGGGAAGGATGCTAAAGGGTATTGAGGATTCCTTGATATAGTGGCTGGTGGCTTGGATGCTAGAAAAGGGACACTCTTTCAGGATGGTGATGGATTTTGGAATTGGTGAGAAGTAAAACCCTTGCACTCGTTTAGCCTACTGGCCTCCTAGACACAATGAAATTATGGAAATTTAAACGGAAGGGGTATCTTTACGAAAGTAAAGCCCAATCAAAGTAAACCCGAAAGATGGCTAAACTTTAGGCTCGTGTCAAACCTAACTCTTGAAGGCTTCGGTCACCATGGAGTTTACTTTAGTGCCTTGTTTCACAAAGCTCCAGCTCCCTTTCTCGCACCTACTGAACCTATTTAGGTCAGTACGTTGGTTGACGTTCCTCTAGGGCTCCCCTTTAAGCTAATGCATCCATAAGGAAGGAGCGACTGCCTCGTCAAAGTAGTTTTCGTAGTTTCCGTTTCGTAGAAGACGTCTGCCCATAGATCATCATCAAAACCAGTTCCAGTCTCCGGCAAGCGCTTACGACCCGTTCCGTCGGAATTGCAAGACGAAATAAGCAGCGACCAGGATGTCAGCCGTAAACCTATCTGTTCCAGTAAGGTTTTACCAGTGTCCATTACCCAAGGGATTCCCATCATAACCGAATCGTCCAAGTAACCACCACCTTTATGATAAAGGAAACGTTTTCGTAAAAGCGTTTCCCGCTTGAGTGTTGGATGAAAGAGTCGCATAGCTCTTGCAATGTAGCTCCTTTCATCACTGTAAGCAATTCTAGAAACGCACTGGAGAGCCCTTCTGCCCGCGGAATTTAACATACTCCACCCCCTCAGGTGCACAATACATGACTATCCCGTACGTCGTCCTGTCCTAGGTCGTGCATCATTCGAGGCCTGACAAATTAAGGGAGATGTAACAATTTGTCAAATATACAGTTGTAAAATTAATCAAGATATTGCCCGGCTGTATATCACCAGATGAACGCAGTGTCGATGGCCAATGCGTCTCAAGGCCTTGATCTCCCTTAAATTTCTTAAGTGGGCCCTTATTGAGCATTGTTTCCTTCTGAACCGCTTTCTCATAAGCATGTGCTTACCGAAGAGACTCTAGCCTTTATCGACTTCACTATTTGGCTACTTTCCCAATATGCCCCTTGGCCCAAATGGGAACCTACTGCTGTTTCCGAAACTGTTACCTCGAGTTTATCCGCCTTAGTCAAATGATGGATTACTTTTCTAAAACGATGGCATGAAAAGGGACTTACTCTCTTGGAAGATGACAATCTTTAGCGACCAGGAAGAAGACATCGGAGGACCGAGTTTGCAGAGCTAACCGACGGTGCGCAGTGGATCGATTAGCTGGATGACGGTGTGTATGCAAGGAATGGTTGCTCAGTCTTAATCTTCGTCCTTCAGACAGTGAGCTATATTGAGGCACTCATCATCAAAGCATGGCTGGCTAAGATGACGCCGAAGGAGGGGGAAAACAAAATCCAGAGGTCTTTTCGAGACTTTTAACATATTCGTGCTGGTCAGCCTGCCCAGAATGGGGGAGTCAGGGACGAGGAGACACGAGGACGGCAAAGACTTAGGGTCGTTCAAATTTTGCGCGCGCGGTTCAAGGGATTGGAAAGCGGCTGGACGAGGTAATAGCATAGGCGGTTCATAGAAATATCTCCAATACCAGCTAAGACACTTGCTACGATTGAGCATCTTCCGCTGATGCTAGACGGCCTGGGAAACATGATTGAGAATACCGCGTGACGAACCGGGCTTCGCCATGACACGGCTTCCGGAGGGTTTGGTTGGGTCCCACTCGTCCAGACTGAAGGATGGGGATGTTCTCATGGAACTGGATGTCGCGTTAGGGACTAGATCAGCTAGGGCATTGCTGATGATGGGCAGACAGGGGAGGAAAGAATGTTGCGGGCAATATAGCATTTCTGTCCCTTCCAAGGCCCAGCAATAATTGAGCGGAGAGTTGTGAAGGTCCAAAGTATACAAACAAGGTTCTAGAGTTGGACTAGAAGGCAGTTGTTGAAAACTTCTCGCAAATCAGGATACTGGCGATGGTTGTGGCATGAGTTGGAGCTGAAGCATAAGTTGAGGTCAGTTCCACAGCTGATGGCTGCTCGGCACCACTTGCCGACCCTGACAGGGATTGGGCGGTGCAATCAAATCTGCAGCCCAAAGCGCGAAAATTAAGCTGCAATTTGATCGTCGCTTCTAGTGGCTCTGCTAAGCGTCTGAATCTGAACACGTTTCGTGGAGCTCAACCGTTCTAAGAACATCGCCATCTATCTTGCAGAAAACAACCCCGAATACCATAGTGGCACAGTGCTGATTGTATGCTTGCTGATGGGCGCCCGTGGGCAATGCCTCGTACTTTCTTGGCAGCTTAGACTTGCTGGCTAGCCGCCCCTTCTCCTTACAGGACTGTCTCTTCGCGAATGTGTCCTCTCCTTTCACTCTCCTTCAGCCATGACAGGCGCCTGAAATTCCTATCTTTCTGCACTATTCATGGTGCATCTTATTACGCCGTTCTTTTCACAGTTCGCTCCCTAGCCTGGCGGCTTGCCCAGGCGTTTGCTGGACTCGAAACGGCTCAACATTAGATATTCGCTCTCGCTCACACAGCTTAGCCACCGCATTCCTCCATTGCATGTCCACCTTCTCGTCCTACCTTGCGCACGATGGTCAAGATTAAGGTCCCGCGTAATGGCGCCTATCAGCCCTTGTCCCGCCGTCATTCGAGGAATCTCGTCTACGCTCTGATCGCCGGTCTCGTCATCGGACTCTACTACCTCTGTAATGGCCCGATTGACCCGTTTGCCGTCTCTTTCGAAGAGCATCAGGCCTACATGAACGACCGTGCTCATGTTGACGGCTTTCTCGCAAAAGGTTCTTACGATTGGCGAAAAGCGCCCTTTCATAACAAGCCTGAATCCTTCACTCCCCTTCCCGCCGGTAAACCCCGAACCCTCCCTCCAATCCAATTCACCTTCACAGATGAATCGAAATCACGGAAAGACATGAGGGAGAGATATCGTGTTGCGGTTCGAAACGAATTCGAGCGCAATTGGAACAGTTATAAACGGTGGGCTTGGACTCGGGACGAATTGATGCCTGTGACCGCAAAAGGGGTCGATCCTTTTGGGGGTTGGGGTGCTACCTTGGTTGACTCTCTTGACTCGCTCTGGATCATGGGGTTTAAGGATGATTTCTACGAGGCTGTCGCGGCCGTAGCTGCCATCGACTTTGGCAAATCAGAGATGACCACTATCAGCGTTTTCGAAACCACAATCCGATACCTTGGTGGCTTACTCAGCGCCTACGATCTATCTCATGAGAAGGTGATGTTGGACAAGGCAATACAACTGGGTGAGATGCTCTACCGAGCATTTGACACAACAAACCATATGCCTCTGGATCGGCTCGCAATCGACCTAGCAAAGAAGAATTTTGGTGTAGGATTCACGGCGGATAGCTCTATCTGCTTCGCGGGCCTTGGTTCACTAACAATGGAATTTGTACGTCTCGCCCAAATCACCCAACAACCAAAATACTACGATGCCGTTGCCCGAGTCACGGACCTCTTCGATCGTGTTCAAAACAGCACTCGCATTCCAGGACTGTTCCCAACTTGGGCCAATGCTTACCAACAGGATCTTTCATACGACCGTTCGTTTACGCTGGGAGCCATGGCCGACTCTTCGTACGAATACTTCCCAAAGACCTTCGCTCTTCTTGGAGGCTTGGAGCCAGTGTACGAGAAGCTGTATAAGGAATCTGCATCCATGATCGACGCCCACATGCTTTTCCGACCCATGCTACCTGATGGAGAGCCGGGAGAAGATATATTATATTGTGGTGACGTACACGCATCGGACCCGGAGTCCATTTCGCTAGATCCTGAGATGCAACACTTGACATGTTTCGTCGGTGGCTTCTTTGCTTTGGCAGGCCGTATCTTTAAAAACGACCGCCACGTAGATCTTGGCGCCAAGTTAACCGAAGGCTGCATTTATGCTTACCACTCGATGCCAACGGGAATCATGCCGGAAATCTTCAACGTGGTTCCATGCAAGTCACGTTCAACATGTCCATGGAACCAAACCATATATGAGGAACATGTCTTGAACCGGGCCACGCAGTACGATGGCGATTTCAAGGCCGCAATGGAGGAATTGAAGCTCCCGAAAGGGTTCACGTCTATCCGGGATCGCCGTTATCTGCTCCGCCCTGAAGCGATTGAATCCGTATTCATCATGTACCGTGTGACAGGAAACGAGGAATATCTAGAGCATGCATGGGATATGTTCACAAGCATCCGAAAGTATTCGACTACTCGCTACGCTAATGGACAAGTGTTGGATGTTTTGGATATTTCAGAGGACTCTGAGCCGGAGGACAAGATGGAGTCTTTTTGGCTAGCTGAGACTTTGAAGTACTTCTATCTCATATTCAGTCCGCCAGACATGATTAGCTTAGATGAATGGGTCTTCAACACGGAAGCTCATCCGTTTAGAAGGCCAAAATGGATCAAGTTGGAGGGTTAGCATTAGAAGGTGGTTTCCTTGTTTATGATACCCGCCACGAGCTTGCCGCTTCTGGCATGTTTCTTGCATAGCATTGCATGGAGTTTGGAGTTGTGGACGGTTTTAGCTGAATTTTGGTTGTCCGGGGCTGTCCGAGCTAAAAGTATTCCGTAGTGCATGGGCATTCTGGACGTGAATGCAAATCATTATGACTCTAGACGAATCTCGATATACTTTGCGTGAATGTTCAATCCTGCAAGTTACGATCCTTTTTGCTATTATCACTCAGCTGCGCCACACAGCCACAATTTAGCCTGGGCAATGACGCAGCGTTCACAAACCCGCGAACCCGAAACTTGACCACACCACTCCATCATTGGACACTCGCGCATCAATCCAGACTGTTCTAAGCAATGATCACGAGGGTGCGAGGGTGTGGCTGGGAGACACGACTGCTTCGTCATTTGATAAACCGAGCTGGGACCTGCACACGTAAACTTCTTTCCTCTACCCAAGGCAGCAGCATTAATGTGGACGAACTAAAGACAGATTGAGCAGAGGAATCTTCCACGTTCTCGTTCCCCATTCCTTGTGTACCACTTTTCTCATTATTCACGGATTTTTTTCCTATTCTCTTTTCAGTCGCCCGCTGTGACATTTGGCGGGAGATACGGCGACGAACATCGCCACCTTCGACCTTGAGCCTCCATAATGGACATCCCTCGCGGCCACGCTATGTTACCACTCGTAGAAGCAGACTTTCTAGACTTTATCTTCAACTACTATAAAGCCGAATACGCACCAATCCGCTCCTTCTTCAGCACCGCAACCGCCGACCCCCGCCAACCGCAGCGATGGGTTAGCATGGGTCACGAGCTGGCTCCTCTCTCTTTCCGGCCCGCGAACGCGCAGGCACAGAAAGATCTCGAATCTCTGGATTATTTTATTCGGCAGCGGAATCTTGATGCTGGATTTGTGAGGGGGATCGTGATTCGGTTTGCCAAGTATGAGGTCCATGAACGGCTCGAGAAGAAACTTTATGAGTCTTGCCGGCTGGATTTAATGGTTAGAAAGGCACTGAAGGAAAAACATCTTATTGATGCTTTATGGCCATCACCCACACCGAAGAACTTGGATAAGGAGTTGCTAGGCCAAGGTGTGAAAGTCAGGTCTTGGTATGGTGACATGTTCTCGAAGTACTTCAGGTATCTCCACTCCATCGATGACTTTGGACTCCGCCTGGAAGTTGATGCGAAGATTAAGAGCAGTGGAACATTGATGTTGGTACCTTTCGTCGACCACCTAGTCTTCGGTGCCGTGGATCCAATCATGCCTATCGTGGCTAAAGGAGCTGGGTATTCAAATGCGCAAGCCTGGAGACAGAAGGACAAGGGCAGGTCTTTTGGGGAGCCAGATCGATTTGAGATTCGGTTTGATGCCCCGGCTGAGATCACGGATACACATACAAAGAGTGTGGTCCGCCAGTGTCAATGCATGAAGTGTGGAACGAAGAGAGATGTCACTGTTGTGATATCCGTTGATCCTTCTCCTGGTCCCGTATCTCAGCAACCAACATCGGCACGAGGAGCATCAAACCCCAATATCTCGGCTCGCCGACAGACTTCTAAAACTGCTCAGCGATACAGCCCTGGATATTACATGCCTGGAGCCGAGGAGGCCGCTCCTCGACAGGCTGTTTCGCAAACACCGGCACAAAAGCAGCCACAAGATGCTTCCCCTGCATCACTGCCACAACAGAAGCAATGCCCCCGCTGCACATTCCTTAACCATGCTGACCTCACATCCTGCGAAATGTGCAGCGCTGACCTTACAGACTCGACGATCATATCAAAGCCGCCAAGCCCGGTCCTCACCTCCACGTCGAAAGCCACACACTCACATTCAGCATTGTTACCACCTCTAACAACACCAAATACCCAAACCAAAGATACGGATGTGACACGACCTGCCCCACCGAACAGACATAGCCTAAGCTCAACTCTATTCTCTATCTTCCCATTCTCGCAACAGCAGCAGACAGAGCACCACCCGAACCTCCCCAAAACTCAGCCCGCGAACCCCCAGGTCTCGAAACCAACTACCTCTGAAGGCGAGCATACCCATGAAGACCGCCCAACCTCAATACGCTCGCATAGCAAATACTCTCACAAAGAACCCGAACCCCTTAGTCACAATAAAGAAGAGCAAATTCAACAATCTGCCTTAAGTCGCGATGCCCATTCACCCCCACTCGTAGACCTCGACCCACTTCTCACCCTCTCGCAAGAACCCGAAATGACTATGATGCCCCTTACACCGCCCACAACTTCTTCTCAATCACATCTTTTCCCAACAGGCTTACCACAGAATCTCATGGATGACTTCGTGCCTGTGTCGCCGTCTTTCCCGCGGGATGACGAGGACGAAGATGCCGGGTGGGGCGAGATGTCGAGGGAGGAGGCGAGGAAAGATGATAGTGATGAGGAGGGTGGGGATAACGGGGATAACGGGAGTAGGAGAGTTGGGATGGTAGATCTTGATACCGTTGCTTTTGAAGAGAGGGGGGTTTGGGGAGAGGATGGCGAAGATGAGCGATGAGCGGCGAGGACTTTGATGAATGCGAAGAGACTCATCGTGGCTGACCGTCTGGGGAAGAAACTCTGTGGATGAACAGCACAGAATGCAGCCTGCTGCTATCTCAATTCCTCCTGAACAGGAAACTCGAAGCATTTGAAACCACTGTTAATTTCCTCAGCCATTAATGTCGATACCATCCCATGCATGCATTAGAGTATATACAGCTAGCTAGCATGATTGTTTCGACTCCAACTCTTCCGTGTATAGTCCATTTAATATTCCCCATTCTCGATCCCCCAGCCCAGTATTTCTCATCTCAAACCCGACAAACCCAAAGCCATGCGACGTCGAGCCACACAGCGCACCAACCCAACGGGATGAGGGGTACAGAAGGGGCACAGAGAAGAAAGGGTTTAGACGCTATCCTTCGCCTTTTCACTAGCTCCCTTGACAATGCCAGAAAGATCGCCCACTATCCAGCATTAGCACAACGAGCTTAACATTGAAGGATACAGGTGGAATCTACTTACCAGGTAGACTGAGCGGGAAATCAACCGCCGCTAACATAATTGCGATGAAAATCCACCAACCGAAGATACATGTACAAAACGCGAATGCACCGGCCGCGATCTGGAGACGTCCTGCGAGCGCAGTGTTGCCATTGTTGAGTTGCCAGTACGTGCCAGCGAGCATGGAGAAGGCGAAGACGAGAGTCAGGAAGATCATGAAGAAGCAGACGTTGGTGCGCAGGGAGCAGATGAGGTAGACGAAACACATAATGCCCATAGCTACGAAGAAGAATGCTGTGGGAGGCATCAGCACAGGAACGCAGGTGTGGAGGATATATGGTGATGAATGGGCTAAGCGAGAGCGAGAGGACGTAGGATTAACGTGGGGGAGTCGCGGGGGTGGTGAGGCCGAGTTAAGATGAAAGTAATGTAGCAAAATTGGACACAGGTGGAGTTTAAACACGTACCAAAGCTAGATCGGAATCCAGTTGTGGCGAGACCGTCCGCGGGATTGTCAGTAGTAGAGTATGCGCCGTACGCATTGTAGAAAGGTTGAAGGGTTGCAGCCCAGCCTAACCAGAAAGCACCGAATGAGCCGAAAACAACGAATGGGAATGTGTTGCCGATGATCCACTGAATGGTGTTAGTTTCTTGTCGCGGTTTACTGACATGCCATGCCATCAAAGGCATTAGGGAGGACAAAGATGAGATAAAAACATACTTCACCCAGAGCTCCCAGTGTCATTAATAGACCGCCAAAGAAGAAGTACGTTCCGAGTCCAGCCGCTCCACTGCCACCTGCGCCTCTCCACCCCATGAGATCCATACTCAATGGCGTCAACGAAATCAAGAAACCGATGAGTGCCCTGGGAAAATTAGAGCACGTCGGCCGGAAAGTTGGGTACAACTATTGGATAACGAGGGGGACGTACAATGGTGTTGGGTTACCGACTGTTCTTCGCAGATCGCCGTGGACCTTGTTCTGAGGCGACAAATAAATCTTCTCAAACAGTTCCGGCGAAATTGAGATACTCCCGGCGGTCCTGATCTTCCTGAGCGCAGCATCGGAGTCGTGACCTGAGTCCAGATGAGTATGACCTAGATTGTATGGATTGCCTGCAGTCACGTTACCCAAAGGCCACGCATGCTGGTCATTCCGGTAGGAGACCTACCATTCTGGCTGAAATCCTTTTCCAATGGCGCGCCTCCTCCGTTCACTGTTTCGTTCATTCTTGGTGTCGGTGGAGTGAGATTCTCATTCTTCTGAGTCCTCTCGTAGACGTTCGACATGATGACGGTAAACAAACAAAATACAATGGTACAAAACGAGGAAGAGACCTGAGGAGAAAGAGGAGCCGGCGGAGGTGCTAATTAAGATTCGTTGGCGTTACCGTCGATTCCAAATTTCAGAGTACAGGTAGTCAGCGATGCGAGGTCAAGGTCATGCAAAAGTCGGGGAAGCTGGGGAAGCCCAGCTCTTTGAAATAATGACGACGAACAGCAGAGCGGCTCCGCACGGAGCACGTCTGGGGGCATTGAGGGTTAGCGGAGCGTGGCACATAGCTTGATTTTTTGGGTGATCAGCCCAGACCAATCCTCTCCACAGATCACGGGCTACATTCAATTGAGGAGTGGAGCTGCGTTGCTAGTATGCTCACGGTAGAAGCCTCGTGGTGAGGGGAGCGATTCCATCGAATCGGACATAAGAAACTTCGACACAGCGGCTTCGGCGGTATTGCTGCTCCTTCAGACCCTTTGAAGCGTCTGACGCCGACTGAGGACCCGGATGCTGGTGTTCTTCAGAGATTTCCACACTACATCTTCGAATACGATCTCTAACTGAGACGTTGAAGCGCTAAGTGTGAAGTATCGCCGCTCCACGACCGACGGGCTCACGGAGTTTCAACCTTTAGGGCAGCGGTCCAGGAATGGTTCAGGCATAGGACGCCAATTGGGTCCTTCGTGACCTCATTTAGAATGGTCTGGGCGGGTAGAGACTTAGACCCGGATTGGCGGAGGGAAGTGGAGATGAAGGAGCGAGTTGAAAGAGAGCTGGAGCTAGGGACGATGCGGAGAGAGGCTAGACTGGAGGAGTCGGAGGAGATGGCAGCTCAAGGGAGATCACCCTTTTCCTCACACGGTTCATTTTGCGGGGAAGCATGGCGTGGTTGTTAGACCCGCTATGCTCGAGCTGTGTAAGCGTCGTTCCTCGGCGTTATTCCCGGACGTCATCTCGCGAATGGCTGAGGAAGGCGCTGACTTGGTATGTACAGCAGCGCTTGGAGATCTGTGAGCAACCTTAGCCGTCTTGTTAAACATGAAGAGTCGATGTCAAATTTCTGGCCCTGGTTTCTAGAAGAGTGGCTTGCATGGAAATAACGACAATGCAGGCTCGTAACCGAGGCATGGGGTCTTAGTTCTGAACAGAATGCTTCTAGCCCTCCACGTTTCATGCCAGCGAGCTTGACCGACTGGTCGGAATCGGGCAAAGGGTTGTTGCGGGCGCACGGTGGTGTGATCTGGCATTGGAAGGCCGAATGAGTCGATTGTTGCGTTCATCCGATGGGTTCTTCGGAAGAGGGAGACCCTCTCAGCTTATCTCAGCAAGCTCAGACGGGATGGGGAGAGAGCCTTGACAGGGGCAAGCCCCTGCTAGTAGCTTCAGTGGCGCAAGCCCCATCTCTCTAGCCAATGAGGGTATAAGAAAGGCTTTCTCTCCCCAGCCGTCTGAGGGACTTTTGTGATTTTTTAGGTGATATCGTGGTTCTAAACCTCCTCCACCATGCACCAGCTCAACTAAGAATTACTGTAGCTCTACCACTTTTCGTCCAAACTAGGTTAGATTTTAATAGGTAATAGAGACAGTCTCTAGCTATATCCTAACATTTTTGTAACCTAATTCTAACAAGATTCAGCAGAGTATTGCGCCATTAAGTCCTGCGCAGGACATTTTGATGACCCCACGACTACACCTCAATGCGACTCCCTAACCACACAATATATCATCTTCAGAATTTAAGGCCTGTCTAAGACAGGCTCTATCAGAGAGCCTGCAAAATTTTAGGAGATTTAGGCCGCTGGTTGTCAAGCTGGATAGTAGGCTAGGGACATCGCGATCGCTCTCATGTCTGCAGCTCAACTAGCTGTTATCTAAGGACTCTAAGGACTCTGAGGATCTAGGAGCTGTCTCAGACTAGCTCTATCAGGGAGCCTGCAAAATTTTAGGAGATTTAGTCTACTAGTTGTTAAGCTATAGTCCAGTAGATAGTAGTCTAGGGACGTCGCGATCGCCCTCATGTCTGCAGCTCAACCAGCTGTTGTCTGAGGACTCTGAGGATCTAGGAGCTGTCTCAGACTAGCTCTGTTAGGGATCCTGCAAAATCCTAGGGAATTTGGTCTACTGGTTGTCAAGTTCTAGTCAGGAGGGCGATACTATGAATCTGAAATCAGGGTATGGATAGGTCAAAGTTCTGCGCGCGTTTAGATTTTTCTCTGCCAATAATAGTTAGAATTTAGTAAAAAATATACTATTTTATAGCTATAGCTTGTCTCTACATTCTATTAAATTCTAAGCCTATTCAGACATATAGTAGTAGAGATATTGTAAATCTAATTCTATTGTGATGCTCTTGAAATAGGCCTATTCATAGAAAAAATCACAAAAGTCCCTCAGACGGCTGAGGAGAGAAACGCTACTGACAGGGGTCAGAAACCGCTAACCCCCCAGGCCATACTCTATTTGGAGTAGCAATATGCATGGTGGTTTGTGCGTCCTCGGTTCTCTCCTCACGTCTGAGCTAGCTGAGATAACTCTCAGCCCAGTTCCGCGATGCGCCTTTCCTTTTTCAGTTGGTCGCCTTATGTCATGAGGCAGGTTTTGCTGGCCCCTTTTTCCTCGACACCGCCAGGACGAAAGGCTGGAGTTTTGTGGTGCATATGCTCCACTGTTCTCTACGGACCGACTGCGGAGTCCCCGGAATGCAGTGGTTTCTGGGGAGGAAGGGAACCCACTCGAAGGAGTCCCTGAGTCGGAGAGATGCCTCAGTTCCACGTGGAGTGTTAGGATGCAATGCAATGGCAACGGTTTGCTGCCAAGGTGAAGTGGTGAAGTGGTGTCAAGTCACACTTCAGTAGGTTACGGCGTTCACAAAGGTCTTAAAAGATTTCTTTGATACTAGAATAGTGTTTACTGAACAACCTTCCTGGTGATTCCGCGGCTGACGACCATCGACGCAACTGCTTTCCACGCATTTCTCATCCCTCAATCTCAATAACCCTAGATAGTAATCATTCTCCAACTCATCTTTGTCCGGATCAGGATCAAACTGTACCCTATCAGGAAAATTCCTTGCCACAGACTTTTCGCCGCGCTTCCTATTCTAGACCTTTACCCCGAGTGCGACCCTCCGTCTCAGGCGCCCATGTCCACCTCCTACACCCTTTTGTTCAACAGCTAGAGTATCGTGAACTTACAACGTGGAGAGGAGGAAGGTTGGTATTTGGGATCTCGGCCAGCACAACGGCAATACGGCTCCAGGCTATCCGTATTGTTTGTACTCCGTAATCCGAACATCACCAACATTATTACCCCTGCAGTTATCAGGCTGAAGGAAGCCGCCGTCAGTCCATGAGGCACCACTGCATCATCTTCCTCAACTCATCACGATATCGACATACGATTCAGGTTCGCGACCACGATCAAATTCCCTGTAGGAAGCCCTGGTGATAGGGCATACATGAATCGGATGGTGCTCTGTATCATGATAATTAGATCCCTGCATGTCTGACTGCTAAATGCAGCTGCAGACTGTAACGGGCATATTTCGCTTCTTCAAAAGTCTGCGCTATGATGGAATAGAAGACAGTTAGGTAGATTCAAATGAACGAAATGAATTATGTTGGATATCAGTTTACGGCGACGTACACATTTCAGGCCAGATTCCATACGCACTCTACCCTCAGTCAATCTTCCATACCTTCCGAATTGACCGCGTTAGGTTTCCATGCTCTTTGCCGGTCTTTTAATCCACGAGAATCTCTGTCTGGTCTTATTCGCCCCCCACTCCAACAGCGGAATTTCATGATCTTTCAAAACTTCGAAGCCCTCCTGGTTGTACAACCCCTAGCTGTGATTTGTCGCCTCAATGACTGCCTCAACAACTGCCTCAACACTTATTCGATCTGCTACCTTTGCGCCACATTGCACCAAAATTCTTCTCGCGCCGCGACGCTGGAACTTTGGATCTACAACTAGAAGCCCGAGTGCCGCACATGTATCAGCTACACACACCAGTGAAGTTGGTAGGTAAGAGCTCACGGTAGAGATGCCCAACACTCTCACGAATAGCCTTCCGCATCGGTGTAAAATGAAGAGTGAAGGAAGGGTTCGCACATTCCTTGGCTTGCTTACTATCCCAATAATCTCTACCAAGCACCCATTCCAGCAGCATTTCTCCATCTTATACATTCCACTTCGCATCCGCCAAAATCTCCTCGTACCTGTCCACGATTTTAACAATGGTCGGGAAAGACAGACTCCACGTATGGGTGCTCGTGGCCGAACGATTCAGATCTGATGTCAAAGGAATGCGGCATACCTGCCTCTGTGCATTTTTTGAGCTTGGAATTAATACCCATAGCTCCTGGATGTCGAGGTTCGGCGTCTGTATATTGGAGGCTGACGTGGGTATGTGTGAGGTAGGATGCGCCAAAGTGGATTGGCAGAGACATAGGAGAAGAGGGGAAGATATTAGTAGTACACTCCTTTTCGTTACCTCTGCCTTTAGGATGTGTAAATTGAAGTCCCTGGGGATCGGGTCGTCACGCGTGGCTTGCTACGCCACAATAACTTTGAACTTCAACTGCAACGAACCTTCACCTCTGTGACAAGTATCAAGAAAGAACTGCAAATCTCGCGGGAGTAACGGGATGTGGTTAGATGTATTTGCAGAAAGAGATATGTTATATCAGCAGCATTTTCTAGACAGGCCCGGCGCATTTAATCTTGTGGGAGCATAATATTGGGAAGGGAGTGCGGTGACCTGAAAACGACGCAGGTATTAACACTTGCTTAATAACCGTGAACGGAAGGGTTATGAAGGAGGCTCTTGATGTTTGCCCCGAATAGCGTGCGACGAAGCATCAGCTCTAACCTAGCCGCTCCATGAACATATTCTCAATATTACGTTTGCTAACACGACCTCATTGCTCCCACCAATAGCGGTAATAGGTTCAGATGTGTAGCTTGGAAGCTTGTTGTTTTCAAACCTGGCTGTTGCTCTTTGTGACGCATTACTGAATCTTGGAATCCTTCCCACGGTATCCTAAAGGTTTTGCGAATTTGTGTAAGCAAAAAGACTTGAGTTTCTAGTGGGTTATCAGACGCCAAACTTACACGCCAAAGACGCCTCAGCCCAAGCATAGCTCTCGCCATCGACACGATCTTTCTGTCCGTCTTCAACGCCTCTCTCCCAGATCTCACTACATTCCTCTTATCAAGGTGTTCTATTAAACGCCCACTTGTATCCACTAGCCTTTTGCTGCACGAGACTTTGCCCATGTTTTCCACCCAATCTTGCCCTAGGGTACTATGGCTCGGTCGTGCTTGTATCCCTCTCCTTTTTCGATCTTCTCGAAATACACGGAATTTGAAGCCAGTTTACATACATTTGTTCGAAGCATTGTTGGGAGGGCCGTTGATCCTTTGACCCGAACTGGTCCTATCCGGAAGGAACTTGGAAAAGGTGTGGTTAGGTGTGGTTGGGTGCTATCCTGTAGTTCAGTAATGCAACCGAGGAAACATGAAGACTGTTTCCCTGAATGTCTGCTTAATCTCTACATGAGCATGAAGGACCCCGTGTATGTGCTATTGATGTTCGTGGCACGATGCAGAAAGGTTCAGTTGTTGTTGAAGCTTTGACGGAGCTTACCAAATTGCGTGCTTGGACCTTTCCTAATTTGGATTGGTTACGCATTAGTCATAAACTCACTAAATTTAACTTTGTCATCGGAAACTACGAAACTCATAGAAGAGCAGCAGCGATTCGCTCAAAATCCTATCTCTCCGCCATGACGACAATCGACGATGCTTACGAAAGCTCATACGGCTCTCATCACTCCTCAATCTTTTTGATGGGCTGTAATTAGCCCACGTCCTCTGGGCTAGCTGAGCCATCACCATCCGAATATGCCCTGAAGTTCTTAGCACGACAATGACCACAAAATATGCGTCCGTGGTATATGTTGTTGGGAATTTATGGATCCTTACCATCAAGAACTAAGTCTTAGTCTGCCAAATATAGTTATATCCCTTTTGTTACTTTTAGCACAGGGCTATAATTACCCCAATACAGGGGGGTGGATAGTTGAGCAACAGTGGGTGAATAACGACGAAAGGTATCGAATTGGTTGAAACGATGAAGTAGAAAGGAGCGAAGACCACTACGATATTGTCCACCCCAAAATAACGATTATAATAGACCGTCACATTGACCTCCAAAGGCTGTACCGTTGAGATTATCCAAAAATCGTTATGCTACACCTCATGGGTATTAGATTTATTTCAGAGTGACTCCGGAGGCTTTGTTTCGCATTTCTGGTCCTATCACCTATCTTTGTACCAGGCTTCTTCGTGGTCTCAGGCAAGAACCATGTTCGTAATATCAACTCAGGTTAAGGATATACTTCTCGGCACTCGATAAGAGTTCTTCTGCTTTGTGCATGGGGTAAAGTCTCAACAGGACTCTTTAAAGCACTATCGGTACGCAGAGCCTTCCGTCTCTTCTCTTTCTATTCCACCCAGACTAGGGACTAACTTTGCCTCTCATGCCAGTACCATGGAGATGCATAGCATACCCAACACCTTTATAATCCCACTAAATCCTGTCACCGCCTCATCTCGGCTCTCATTGTGGTTCCCCTCCTTTCCTTATCTAGCGCTGCTATTCTCCCCCAAGACCCGCCGCATGGATATAGCCCTCGGCTTCCCTTGCGCAGTCTTTGCCATGAGATATGCCTGCCACCCGCTTTTTGGGTTCAGGTCATGAGAATGTCGTTTTAGTGTAATCCCAGATCAGAATCAGATTCACACTACGGCTTGGATACCTGTGTGAATCCTTAGCTGCTTCTCGTAAGTGCTCACAACGCCAACGGGATTTAAATAGCCTGCCAGTCGCCATCTCCGATGAAGTCGTTGGTTCGTCGGTTTACTTGCTTATTTTTGCAGTCAGAAGAATTTTAATGGTTCCGGCCTCTCCTCGAGCGAAAGGTGAGCTAGTATTTATCAGGTACGTAGTCTTAAATGAAATTTTTAAAGGGGGGGGGAGCTCCGAGCGTGGCTGCCAGCTCCTCTTCCAAGGAAATGTATGATAGCATGACATTCTGCATTCTGGCCTCACTTATACATGCCCTTGAGGTTTTTTTTCTATGGTCCCCTCTAGGATTTTAGATTGCAGCTTGAAGGAAGCCAAGGCTGTATGAAAACTGCTCAAGTAGGCTCCAGACACCTAATCCTGCCAAAGATTAGGGTTACAACCCGAATGTTGGAGACTGAGTGGTGGCTTGACACAAGAGTAGAGCTCCCGCGAGATTTGTATTGCATTATACTAGCAGAGGATGTCATGGCTAAAGTGATCGACCATAAGTCTTTTTCTCGCCCCTCCGAGGATTCTGGCCACTGTTTTCGGCGCGTTGGACTTTGCCGTTAGGAAGGGTTGAAGCATTGCGGGAATGGAAGAACCAGAAATTCATCGTCGTTTGTAATCTGACACCTTAAAACCGGACCAGGCCCTTGAGGAGCAGGAGTGACTCTTGGTTTTGGACAGCGTAACCAATCGGAAGTAATACGATTCGACTCGGAGTTTTCAACCGCCCTACAACTTAGTTTGTTAGTACAATTATACAATTACTAGAGGAGCAGAGGGGACTACAAGTTGTAGTTAGTACAAACTAATTTGCTGTACTTATAATATAATTGCTAAGAATTAGTTTATAGTATAATTAAATAAGGTAGATTTTATGTAATTAACTAACTTACTAAGCTTACTAGTAACTAGCCTACACTAAAGCTAATTCTTTTGCAGCTGTAGCACTTTAATTATTACTCTACTAAGGTAATTCTTTTTAAAAGTAATAGTTTTTCTGCCCCTAAAGAAAGCTCTTTTATAGTTGCAACTAGTAGCTAGTATAAAGAGGAAATTAAAAGCTATCTTAAAAATAGTAAGGTACTATAAATAACTAATCTAGAGCTACTAACTAATTAGATCTATATATATTAAACTGTTTTAAAAGACTTATAACGTACTTCATAGGCGAGTTGCTTACACACCTAAGTTGCTTACTTTTGCTAAGACCCTACTACACTACTTTTTTTACACTAATGCATTTCTAATAACACTACTTAAACATGTTAAAAAATGTTAGATGCAGCTTACGCTTTAAGCTTTTAAATAAGACATAACACTTTTTAACTAACACACTGCAGCTATTTATAGGGTCCTTTAAAAGATAATAAGTAACTAACGCGCTAGACAACTTTTTTAAGCTAATTATATAGCTAACTTATAAAAGCTAAATAATAACAAAGAGTAGGTAATTATTTAGCACATACTTAAGCTAAATGTGTAAGAATTTCCCCCCTAGCTAGTAGCTATAGCTAATATAGCTAATTCTTTACACGCTAAGCATAATATAGGCTATGTTAGCATAAACTAGCTTAATATGTTTATTAAGTGTTACCTAAAGCTTAAAGTAAAGTTTAAGTGTAAGTATAACTATAAAAAAGCTTTTTATAAGAATTCTGTAGTAATTTAAGACTAGTTTAACCTTATAAAGAATATTAAAGCTAAGTATAGCATCTAGAATAATAACACGTACAACTTTAATAAGACAGAGTTTATAATAGGCTAGATATCTACTAGAGCAGTTATTACAGGTTTAAAGAGACAAGGACAGCTAAAAGCAGTCTAGCTAGGTAACTAGAAGTAGATAACAGCTATCTAAGGCATTAATGCTAAAAAGTAGGCTATTCTGCTTTTTATTATCTTTTAGAGTAGTAACTACTTTTTAAACTAGTATAAGAAAGAAAATCTACTTTAGAATTAAGTTATTATAATCTCTAAGTGCAGCTAGACTACTAATTAGCTTAGTCTAGACTAATTAAAGCACTTTAATGTGCATATAAAAAAGTGTACTATTAGCAGCTACTGTCTGCTAGTTATTAACAGCTATAAAAGCTATAACTTACTTTATTTTTAGTAATACTATAAAGATAATAAGATTATTACTATTTATATACTTTTTTACTTATTACACCTTCTATAGCTACTTAATGTAGGTTGTTTTACTTTTTTAAAGAAAGTATATAGGCGCTAAGCTAAAAACCTTATACATAACTAGATTACTTATATTATAAAAATAAAGTTTCTACTATGCTTTAAAGTAGCCTATAATGCTGTAATTACTTTTAGTAATATCTAAGAAGAGTTTTAAAGCGCTAAATTAGTTCTTTTTAACCTATAATAAGTTATAATAGGCCTTAATGTAAAGTTGCGCACTTTATTACTACTACTACCTATATATAACAAGCCCTAGTAGTTATAAACTCTAAGTAATACTTTAAAACTTAGGTTATAATTAATGCTTATAAAGATAAAGATTTAAAAGCATATAAATAGTTTACTAACTTTTATAGTTAAGGTGTTTAAGAAGGTTTTAAAGAGGGTAGTAATAATTACACATAAGCTAGTATTAGTGTAACAGAAAATTACTAAGCTTTAAGCAGCTAATAAGGCTGCTACATAACATAAATTACATAAAAGAAAGTAGATTAAGGCAGAAAAGACCTTAATAATTTAGAAAAGCCTACGCTTAATAGCTCTAAAGGAGTTTAGGGCGCGTAGTAACAGGAAGAAGGCAAAGAAGCAGGTGCAAGCTAAAGTAGGTAAGCTATTCTAAAGGCGCTGCAGACAGTGCAATTAGACTAGGCATAATGTGTAAATGTGTAAGCAAGAAGCAGAAGTAGTATCTAAATAATATTCTAGGCTGTACTGTACTATATAGTGCTAGAGCGGGTTGTTATGGGCCATAATAGAGTTTGTTAGGGTGGGGTCTTGGCAAAAGTGAGCGACTCGGGTGTGTGAGCGACTCGCCTATGAAGTACGTTAAAAGTTATCTTTAATAGTGTTAAAGTATTATTATAATTTACTTATTTTTTTTATCTTTTTTAACTTACTTCTAGTAAGTAGGGACATGTTAAGGCTTATAGTCTTCTTATATAAGTAATTAAAAGAATTAAGAGTAGTAAGGAGCTTATAGTGTAATAAAGGCTTAAGCTTAGGCTTCTTCTTTTTCTTAGTGTCTATATAACGCTAGTATATAGTTTTAATTAAAGTCTCTACTTTTTAGTACTAAATAGGATTATATTGCTATTTATCTTTAAACTAGAGTATCTAAAATTTTAGGTAAAAAATTATTATAATAGTGTAGTAAAACACTAGCAGCTCTATAATAAGCTTTTTTTAATACATAATAAGCTTCTTAAGCCTATAGGCAACACTGCTTTTAAGATAACGTACTTCACAGGCGAGTTACTTACACACCTAAGTTGCTTACTTTTGCTAAGACCCTACTAAACTACTTTTCCTACACTAATGCATTCCCTATAACACTACTTAGACATGCTAAAAGAATGTTAGATACAGCTTACGCTCTAAGCTTTTAAATAAAACATAAAACTTTTAAAAAAATATGCTATAGCTATGTATAAAGTCTTATAAAAGATAATAAATAACTATAGCGCTAGATAACCTTTACAAGCTAATTCTACAGCTAAATTATAAAGGCTAAGTAATAAAAAAAAGTAAGTAATTATTAAGACTATACTTAAGCTATATGCGTAAGGAATTTCCTCTTAAATAGCATTTATAGCTAATATAGCTAATTCTTTACACACTAAGCATAATCTAGGCTATGTTTACATAAACTAGCCTAGTATGTTTATAAAGTGTTATTTAAAGCTTAAAGTAAAGTTTTAAGCATAAGTATAGTTAAAAGATATTTAGCTAATTATAAACCCTATCTTACTAAAGTTATACGTGTTATTATTTTAGATACTATACTTAGCTTTAATATTCTTTATAAGGCTAAACCTACTTTAAATTACTTTAAGACTTTTATAAAAAGCTCTTTTATAGTTATACTTACACTTAAATGTTACTTTAAGCTCTAAATAACACTTTATAAATGTACTAGGCTAGTTTATATAAACATAGCCTAGATTATACTTAGCGCGTAAAAAATTAGCTATATTAGCTATAAATGCTATTTAAAAGGAAATTCCTTGCGCATATAGCTTAAGTATAGTCTTAATAATCACCTACTTTTTTTTATTGCTTAGCCTTTATAATTTAGCTGTAAAATTAGCTTATAAAGGTTATCTAGTGCTATAGTTATTTATTATTTTTTATAAAACTTTATACATAGCTATAGCACATTTCTTTAAAAGTTTTATGTTTTGTTTAAAAGCTTAGAGTGTAAGCTATATCTAATATTCTTTTAGCGCGTCTAAGTAGTGTTATAGGGAATGCATTAGTGTAGGAAGGGTAGTTTAGTAGGGTCTTAGCAAAAGTAAGCAACTTAGGTGTGTAAGCAACTTGCCTGTGAAGTATGTTATAAGTTATTTTTAAGCTTAAGCTTTTTTTTTATACATAGTAACTTTATGTACACTACTTAAAAGTTAATAATAGTTATTTATAAAAAGCTATAGCTAGTGTTGCCTTTAAAGTGTTTTATAACTTAGTAAAAGACTTTAAAGAAGTTAGTAAGCTACTTAGCTTACTTTTAGTTATTATTAGTAATAACTTCTTAAAGAGCAGCGTTACTAGGTATGTAAAAGTTCTTAGAGTTATTATTTATGCTGCGCTATCTCTAGATAAACTTTATAATAGGATTCTTAAGCTTAAAGCAGCGTATAAGTATAAGATATACAGAGTGCTAGCAGACGCTGCTATCTTATATAAGGTTAAAAGTAGTATAATTAAAAAAACTATTATTATTATTAAAAGCTAATTAAGTAGCCTTAAAAACTTTATGTTATTTATATAATAAGTAGATAGTGTTAACAAAGTTATAAAGCTTACCTATAATACTATGTTTTTAATAAAGCTTAAATTACTTATAAGAGGCAGCTTTTATAAGAGCTTTTTTAAATTAACTTAAGCTCTTTTTATATATAACAGCCTTAATAACAAGCTAAATTATATAGCCTGTGCAGTATACACAGTGCTTTAAGGTAAGGTTAGTGCTAAGATGTTAAGAGAGCCTTTTAATAGTCTTATTACTATTCTTTAACATGTTATTAGTAATAAAATAATAAAATTTTAACATAATATTATATTTATTAAGTATTTAAGCAATAATCTACGCTTAGTAGGCTCTAGTATAGTTGCTAAATAAGTTACAGAATCTAATTAGAATATTTTATTACTTATAGTTAATATCTAGTAGATAAGGTTAGTAGTTAGCACTTAATATTAAGTTTTTATGTTGCTAAGGCGCTAGTCTTACTTAGCTTACTAATTAGATGCGCTACTACACTAAAAAAAAAAGTTATTTAAAAAAGTTTAACGTACCTAACAGGTTAGCTGGCCACTTTTGCTAAGCCCCCACTACACTCTACCTATCTACATAATGCCTTAACAACAACACTAGATTAAATTTTCTAAAGAACATTAGATATAGCTTACTCTTTAGGCTTTTAAATAAGACTTAAAACTCTCTATATAACACGCTGCAGCTATCTATAATGTCTTTTACATAACACTAAGTAATTAACGCGCTAGACAGCCTTTAGAAGCAGAATACTAGCCTAAATTAAGAAATCTAACTAAGCTTAAAAAAAAAGGTAGTTGTTAAGTACATACTTAAGCTTATTACGCGCAGATTTCCCCCTAGGCTTACAGCTATAGCTAATATAGCTAATTCCTTACGCGCAAAGCGCAATCTAGGCTAGGTTAGCTTAAACTAGCCTAGTATGTAGGTTAAGCACTGCTCTAAGTTTATAATAAAGTTTAATTATAAGTTTAATTATAAAAGAGCACTTTATAAGGATCTAGAGGTTATCTAAGGCTAGTTTTGCCTAGTAGCTAACATAAAAGCTAAGTATAGTATCTAAGATAAAGACATGTATAACTTTAATAAGTTAAGCTTTATAATAGGCTAGATATTAACTAGAGCAGTTATTACAGCTTTAAAGAAATAAAGACAGCTAAAGGTAATATAGTAAAGTAATAAAGAGTAAATAACAGTTATCTAGGGCATTAATATAATAAAGTAAGCTATTTTACTTTTTATTATTTTTAAGGGCTGCTATTACTTCTCTGCTTAGTATAAGAAGAAGAATTTACTTTAAAACTAGGTTATTATAGTCTCTAAAAACAGCTAGATAATAAATAAGCTTAGGCTGCAGTAGTTAAAGCACTTTAATAAGCATATAAAAAAAAGAGTTATAAGCGCTTATTAGCTTTTTATTATTAACAGCTATAAAAGCTATAACTTACTTAATTTCTAGCAGTACTATAAAGAGAATAAGATTATTACTATCTATATACCTTTATACTTATTACACCTTTTATAGCCTCTTAATGTAGGTTGTTTTGCCCCTTTAAAGAAGGTGTATAGGGGCTAAGCTAAAGATCTTATGCGCAACTAGATTACTTACATTATAAAACTTAAGTTTCTACTATGCTTTATACACACTTATAATGCAGTAATTACTTTTAGTAATATCTAAGGAGGGTTTTAAAGCGCTAGTTTAGTCTTATTTAACCTAGAATAGGTTAAAATAGCTCTTAATGTCTAGTTGTGTACTCTATTACTACTACTACTTATTAATAATAAGCTTTAGCAGTTGTAAACCTTAAGCAATACTCTTAAATTTAGGTTGTAATTAATGCTTATAAAGGTAAAAATTTAAAGGCATGTAGATAGCTTACTAATGTCTATAGTAAAGGCCTTTAAAAAGGTCTTAAAGAGGGCATTAATTATTACGCACAAGCTAGTGTTAGTGTAAAAAGAGATTATAAAGCTTTAAGCAGCAAATAAAGCTGCTACATAATGTAGATTACATAAAAGAAAGCAGATCTAGGCAAAAAAGACCTTAATAGTTAAGAATAGGGCTTGTCTAACTGCTCTAAAGGAGTTTAGAGCGCGTAGTGATAGGAAGAAGCTAAAGACGCAGGTGCGCGCTAAAGAAGGTAAGCTAAGTTAAAGGCAATGTAGGCAGTGCAATTAGACTAGGCATAACTTGCGTACGTGTAAAAAAGTAGTAGAAGTAGACTCTAAATAATATCTTGTGTTGTATTGCTCTATACAGGGCTAAAGTGGGCAGTTTTGCGCTAGAATGGGGTGGTTTTAGTGGGGGCTTGGCAAAAGTGGCCGGCCAACCTGTGTGGCCGGCCAACCTGTTAGGTACGTTATATATTAACACTTAACATAATTTTTAACCTAGCTAAGTGTAGTACTATTAAAATCTCCTTTTTCTACTTTACAAAGCTATAATTTATGTATAATAAAATAGTAGTAAAAGAGAATAGTAGGGTATAAAAAAAATCTGCTTAGTTTTAAAAAAAAATACTTTAAATTTTTACTAATAATGTGTTATAAAAGAATTAGTTCTGTATAATTACTTAGTTAATAAAGGCTCTTTATAAAGAACTTTCTTGCTAGAGTGTATAGCTTATATAATAAGCTAAGCTAGCTACTATTACTTTAAATAAGTTAAAAGGTAAGTAAAGACTATTAAGTAAAAGCTCTTTACTAATAATATTAATTTAGTGCTTTTTTTAGAAATAAAAGTTAACATAGTAATAGCTACTAACAACTTTAGTAGACTTTTTACTACTTTTTATATAGTAAAGCTTATAAAGCTAAACTTAGCATAAAACACTTTTATTATTTATATACTATAAACTAGCACTATGCTGCTATATAAAAGAAGGCTTCTGCTAGCCCTAAAGCTAGCTAAGGTGCTTTATGTAATAACTTAGCTGTTCTAGCTTTACTTTTTTCCCTTTAATCTATATATTATTCTAGTTAATAGGGAACTTTAACTTAAAGTTATACATAGTATTATTAGAATAGTCCTTTAAAATAGATGCCTCTTTAGCATTATTTATTAGTAATAAAGATAAAGAGCTATTAAATAACAGCTATAAAAATAATAAAAATTAAAACTTTTTAAAGTAATAAAAGCTTATATAATAAAGTATAAAAGAGCTTAAAGCTTAAAAGCTTAAAGCTTAAGAAGCTTATAAAGTGTTATATATTAATTAGCTAGCCTAAAAGAAGTTTAACATGCTTATAGTAATAGAAAATTAAAGTTATAAAATAAAAAATGTAAAAATAAGTAAGTCCTTACTATTTTTTTTATATAATTATACTAAGAGGTAATATAGAAAACTTTGCTAGTTGCACTGCCTATAGCCCTTACATGCTCTATATAATGTTAATAACTTTACTTTAGGCCTTACTTTAAACCTTACTACTAAAAAAGTTTATATAAGTTATAATATAATATACTTTTTAGCTTTAAATATAATTTAATACAACTTAGAAACTAACTACAACTCTATAATGCACGTAATTATAACGTATTGTATTCTACAAATTGTAGTCCTTCCTGTTGGTCACGCTGGTTTTAGATATTTCAAGTAGATGGAACTTCCTTCCTTCAAAGATCTAGATACAATCGAACGGCAGAGGTATGCACCCTAATTCATAAATACCCTCTAGGTAGTAACAGCAATAGCTTCTCTCATTATGAAGAAATGCCCTTATGCTTTTTTTTCTGCATTACACTCATGTGTTCCAGATTTTCAACTCATTGTGATAACAGAGCCTCAATTCGTTCTTCCCCCAGCCAATTCAGGATAATCAGTAATGCCCGAACCCACATACAGTGGCGCCGGGCTCGCCGTCACCGAGGTCGTTGAGTGGTTAATGGAGGCGTGCGGATTGCACCCTGGGGCCAGAGCCACTGAAGTCTTATCCGGCACCGGCGGCATACCATATTCTTGAGACGGAGGGTATGTCACCCCAACAATAGGTTGTCCTCGCCCACGGCGGAGGATCAAAAGTGCGATGATTCCAATGGCACCTACGGCTACGATTCCCCCAATTACGCCGCCTACGATGATTCCCGTGTTCTTCGTGCTTTGTCCAGGGGATGAAGGTGGTGAAGTGGATGATGGAGGGGGTGCTGGTACGGTCTGTGTGCTTCTCTCGGTCTGGGTGATTGAGGTAGGATTCGAGGTTGCAGTTGGGGTTAGAGATGCCGTTAGCCTTGTTGACGTCGTCGTACTTGGTAACACCAGTTGTTCCGCAGTTCCTTCGATTCCTTGTTAGAATAATTCCCTACTGTCTTTTTAGACACTTACTAGAGTCAGTCGGGTTTATTTGGTAAATGTCCGTGCCTGTGTGGATTGTGGCAGCACACCGAAAACTTGTCAAAGGGTCAGATGCCCCAAGAGAGGAATACAGACGATCGCTCGAGCAAATGGAACTGACAGTTCCACTATAATATAGGGATAAAGTTAGTCATTCGACCGTCTTGCTTGCAAATGCGTCTTACCAATAAGAATCTGTTGAAGCACCAAGCATGTACCCTGAGGAACACCCCGTCCATTGTGGGCAAGATAATGAGCTCGTCGCGTGACAGAATTTATAGTAACTGCCGTATGTGATGACACTTAATGAAATGTCATAGTAAACAGAAGAGTCTAGCAATACAATGAATCAGAAATGACCTCACGTTGTTCCAAGGACTCGGTCTTACAGATGGTTGAGCTAGCAGTTTGGCTAAGTGAGTACCAGCCAAGCGTTCCAAATTGGGCTGATTGTCGGGGTAACAAGGCTGGTGCAGTGGATGGAGCCTCTAAAGAGTTCATAACGGTTGCCGCGACATAGCTACTCAAAGCTAGAATGACGATGAGAGCTTTCATGGTTGCGTAAAGCAGAAAGTTGAGTCACTCAAACTACTTCGTGTAAGAACGGGTTGACTTCTTATTATCTCTGGAATGCACACAGCCTTCTGCAATTTCCATTTTGCGGCACAGTCCCCAAGGCATGGAAACACGGAGCGAGATATATGCGGGGGCGGATTCCTGCTCGTTCGAATGGCAAGGCTGGCACCTGCCAAAAGATGATTGAGAAGCGCCAGGATGGGAAATAATGGGGCTAAAATCATCGGTGAGGAAGGATTTGACGGCGGAGGCTGCGGCACAGGCGTTGTGACCGGAGAAAGTCAGGGGAAAACAAACATGTAAACGATGCTGTGCGACAAAGACGGTGATAGTGATTGGGTTCTAGAGACAAGAAATTGAAGGCTACGTTAGCTATCAAAAAAAATCGATGTTTCGCATATTTCCATGCAAACGCGGAAAACTTATCGGGGAGTTTAGAAGACTGTACAAGTGATAGAGAAGGGAGCCTACTCCTTTTAAGGCCATTCTCCACGCTCCCTACGACGGACAAATATTTTCCTTCTAGAATTCTTTCCAGTAATACTCTCTTTAGGATTAAGTCCTAGTTCTAGTTAAAGATAGGCCGAAAAGTCAAAATAGCGAGGGTATAAATGAGAAGGATTAAGAAGCGGCTCATTTATTGGGCTATGAAGGGCAAGTGTTCAAGGTGTACTTGAAATTAAATAGAAAATATGAAGGCGAAACTTAGTGGCCGAATCATAGCAACCATAAACTTATTTACATTCGCTATCAACTCCGTCGCGTCTGAGATAGATGTCTGGATCCACCTGGCATTCAAGTATATCGGGACCATGAAAGCAAAATAACTGCACACTCATGTTCATGACGCTGAGTGTAGTGATCCGTAGCTTCGTTTTAGGGATTTCGACTCCATCTTCAAAGTCGCTTGAGTTCTAGTTTCCAGATACTGGGACTGCGAGTGGTGGACCAGAAGCAAACCTTGAAGTTTAGCCTCCTCCAATTTCCGTACGTAAATGTATCTCGCTCTTTCCTAGTTGCGGCTCGCGTTGTTCGCATTGCGTCGAGACAATTAAGGATCACTTTCTCCTCCAAGGCTTAAAATCGTCCACATGTTGAGATACTAGTGCTTCCAATCTGGTCCAAATTACTCTAACAGATTATTTACATCATCTAAGCTAGTTTTCTCAATAATCAGGCTTAGACCATCTGAAGGAACTGGTTTTCCAGTGGCTTCGATGCTGGGCAGGTTCTGTTTAAGAATCGCGACTAAATCTTCCACCTCATCTCGGAATGCTAGAAGCCAGCCATTTAGGCAGTGCTAAAATTCTTTTGCATCAAATAGTGTTTGGTGTTCTAGCTGAAGATCCTGTAAGAATGGTCCTAACACTCCGCTGCCATGAGCGCACTTGTTACGGTGTGATCAATCATCGCCTTGCAGGCCGTAGCTACCTATCTAGGTGAATATGGCTTGGAACCTGCTTCTCCGTCACGGCTGGTCTAAGTCTGATTGAAGCGGTTGGCCATCGCCTCGAAGCACTTGAGAACTGCTATCACGCTCTTCTAGGATTCTCGACAATCCAGTGAGTGTTCATCGTTAATCTAGTTTGATCCAAAATTCAATCTCGCCGCAAAACCCCATTTGCACTGAGCTCTCTCATAGCCCAAGTGGGATAAGTCTACGTATGTTCCATTTCGGGACAGAGAATGACATCAGAGGGTCTCCTGGGCTTCTATAGGCTATTTGGCGGATGTTTGGAGCAATGATATATAGCTTTCTGTGAGCGCAGATACCCATTAATGAGTGAGCACTGTAAAAGAATCCGGACCAGCCAAGCGCTTACTGGCATCCATACCTGTATGTCGCCTCACTAAGGAAGTCCTCTCGCCCTTTACCTATAAGGCAAATTCTGCATCTTGATGCAGTAGATCCAGTTCAAAAATTGGACAGGGCAAATCTTTTATGCGAAATTTCAAATACAGATGACGATTTTATTTAACCAGGTCTTCATACGCTTATCTAGTCTTTGCTAGAAAGTAAAAGCCCCCACTTTTTGAGTCAAGAATATGCGAGATTAACTCTAAAATAGGGCGAACTATCAAGTAGGTTAGGATTCGAGTTGCTTATTTGAAACGTGCGGCGTTAATACCTAAAGAGATGAGTCAAAGACTCTAGAGAAAATACTGCGGACAAAAGGCTAAGAATTTGAGGCCCAAACGAGGGTTGGGAGATAGAAGGATTGGTATCTGGTACAAGACATCTGGCCTGATTGATTAATACCAGCTTCCAACCCTGGCCAAGTTCTCATCATTTGAACACGCTTTTGCAGCGAGCTTTCATCTCCAGCGACGATAACAATTGAGAGATAGACTACATGTGATGTAGTAAGAAGTATATGTATATGTAGAATGATTCTCTGTTAGTCTTCGATAATTGCGAAAATCGGCAAGCGATTTGATGTCATTATTGGCTTGAATCGCCTTGTTTGCCTCTGTCATTGACTGGATTAGCTGAGATCCGTGGTTTAGGAGCGCCTCATTCCTGGCACAGGGTCACCAAAGGGGCAGTAAGTTCTTGTATAAGATCCGTTGAGAATCTGTCTTCATGTTAGTGTTCAACGTCTGAAAAACGTTCCCTGAGCTCAAAACGTCGCCGAGTTGATAGAGATTGACACACTACGGATGCGGACACGAGAGGCCAGAGAGAACGAAGCAGCGTTTGTGCTATAGTTACTTCTACAATGGGGACTAATGGAAACAGGCATGCTGTGATGATGCTGCATTGATGATGTTGGGTTATTGAATGCGCACGCACCTGGGCATGAAGTTGAGATTGTTAAGTCACGTTAAAAGTTGGTCAATAAGGTCTTTGTATATTTAAAGTCATAAGTTGATTGGGGCAACATCACAATGTTACATGGCATTGTACAGAATATGTAACAACAGGGTTTTGCTCGCCTCGTAGTTGAAGAAGAAAATATGTTATACAAGAAATGCCATCAAGAGATGACCATATCTTTGAGCCCGCGCTAGAATCCTCGTGGATACAAAGAGCAGGATTGAGGAGGGTGTACTGTGCAGCCCTCATATTCCATCTCTCTTAGTCATTCCACCCTTCCTCCCAATCCCTTAAGCCTCTTAAGCTACTCTTGCAACTGTTCCCACCGACTCCCTCCCTCCTCTCCATCCGGGATTTCCGGAATCCCAAATGTGTTTGTTTCCATTGGTTGTGGACCCCTCGCCATGGTCGTAAGCGTAGTTGGGAAGAATGGCGGCGCTTCACCCGTGGGAAGTGGAATACCCGTTTCAGTCAAGAAAGGAGTACCAAAGGCAGGGGTTGGGGTATTGCTCGGGCCAAAGAAGCTGAAAGATGGGACAGGTAAAGTGCCAATATCTAGTTGTCGGCGTTGCTTATTTTTGTGGAGATCGAGTTATTGGTCTGGAGAAAGTGATGGTCCGGGGTTGGAAGTGGTAGGAGCGAGTTTGTAGTCGATGGAGAGCTTGCGGACGAAGTTTGGCTTTACGATTGGGGCTGGGGCTTGGGGGATAGTGGAGACGACACCTGTTCCGGTCGGGAAGGTAGTGCCGGTCGGGAATGGGATGCCCGTACCCGTACCAATGGGGAGACCTCCTGAGCCGGTTGGCACAGGATGGCAGGATAAGAAGGGGCAATCTGCGGTTGCCATTGAAGCTTGGCGGCGGTATATCAAGTCGAAGATGTCGCCGATGGGGCCCAGATCGCGTAAGAGAGACGCTTGGGGTAAGGACGGAAAAGCGAATGTACCTGCAAGAGTAGAACTTGTGAGGGAGAGAAGAATGAGGGAACGCATTTGACTGCCGAGTTTTGTTTAGGAATTAAAAAACAGAGTGATGAAGCAGAGAAACAATTGTTGAGGGTTGTAATAAGAGCAATGACAGCCAAAAAAATGTTTTGTATCCTTGAAGACAGCAAAGAAAATTTGACACAAACAAGATCGAGTGAGTGACGAAAGTCCAACAAAGGTAGAACATCAGATATAAGAACAGCAACAGGTCCAAAGATCCCAAGACACGATCACCTCTCCCTCAATCTACTTCCCAGCAATGGCAAGCTTGCACGACGCAATGCACCTGAAGACATGTCCATAAACCCCAGATATGCGCGGTCGAGTTTCCCCACCCTACAGGTACTATGGAGATCGATCTCAGACTTTCTATGTTCTTGAAACAGCCGCCGATGAAGTCAAGGTAGCTTTGCACATCGCTCTCTCCTGGCCTCGCACTTGCAGGGACAAACCGCAGAGAATTTCAAGAAGATCGCATGGCTGTTTCAAAGCACTCTCCAGTTGAGACTCAGCGTTGGAGACAAAGTAAGGCCATTCAACATCCGCCAAGACGCCCATACCAAGGTTCGCACACAAGTTTTAGGCCGTGGATGATGTTGTTGGTGCTCAGATCGATGAAGCAAGGATCATTGAAATCTAAAAAAGGTAGCTTTGCAGATGGGAATGAAGGGAAGGCTGAGGTTCAACGGAGATAAGGGCTTGGCAAGGGAGCTTAAATAAGGCTTATCTCAGCGTTACTATTGGATGTAAGGGCATATCTGTCGCCTTCACGTGAATGCACATTTTGGTAGACTAAACAGGGCCTCTAGCTTACACTAGCCTCATCGGAATTAATATTGACAGCTGCGTCTATTGGGATCAACCCTCCCTCGCAAATTGAGATACAGGTCAAAGCACTAATCCGGGAAGCTCAGATTCAACTAGATGAATCTACAACCAACCAACTCGCTTCGCAGCGAAACCCCAACCACCAAGCAGGGCCGTCGTACCAGTGAAAACGATGAGTGCACCATATCCGCTTCCATACGCCATTCCCGCTTTCCATGTACCTGCATGTAGAAGCGCTTCGCTCAATGGTCCACTACACAAGTTTCCTACGCCCTTGCCGGCCGATAGACACGCGAAAACCATACCAGAGTCAGCCCCTCTCTTCTTCTGTTTCGTGTCGCGAATAATGGCGCTCCAAGTACTGGACTGGCAACCTGCGAAGGCCCCATAGATGATGCAGAAGATGTAGAGGGGCACAAGGGACGTTGAAAGACCCCAGAGAAGGAAAACCCCGATCGTAGAGCCCATGGCGGAAACGAAAAGGCAGGTGGTGACGTGGTACTTATCGACGGCAACACCCATGCACATGCATCCAACGAATGCAGCGCCGTTGAGAAGAATGACAGTCAGGACACTCTCAAAGTTTGTAGCGCCAAGGGAGCGAGCGAAGGTCGGGAGATAGATGGCTGGGAGAAAGTAACCCAGGCTTTGAATGACATTCCCGGACTGTAGAATAAGATAATTTGAGCATTTCCAAAAGGACATATCAAAACTGCGGGATTGTGAATTCTGAGATAGTGGAATCCGTTGCTTGAAAAAGAAGAGGATAGGGAAATTAAGCCCGACAAAAGTCAGAGCGCAAACTCGAAGTGTGGTGCGGAAGCCATAAGTATGAAGAAGCCATTCCAAGACAACAGGGAGAATGGCGCCAGATAACCCAAGGCCAGCCATTGTAGCACCGTATGCAAAACCTCTGCGGCGTACCCACCATTCTTCCAAATAGAAGAGGATGGGAGTCCATGCAAAACCTCCGCCGATGGCATAGATGATCCCTTGAGTGAGGATCAAGTGGGACACGTTAGTGGAAAATGAGCCCAGGCCGAGGGCGAGACAGACAACGACGAGGCCAATTGGTGTTGCCCATCTTCGCAGCTTAGGGAAGTATTTCAATAAAGCAAACATAATCGTAATATCCATGTACATTATTCCCTAAGAGAAGATCAGCACTAGATCTTCAGCTAGATAATACTCATTCCTACCATGGCACATGCACCTACGACGGCAATGTTGTTTGAGCCAGCAAATGGCTCATGAGTACTGTAGTATTCTTGGAAGACACCGTAGGAGGCTGGAAATCCTGTGTAGCTTGTTATTAGTAAATCCTAAGAATAGGATCCACGACTAAATTGACTGACCCCATATTAGTGCCTCGAGCATGAAGCAAGCTAGGAGACACAGCCAAGCATCCTTTCCACCATCGGCTGGTGGCAATGAGAATCCCTCATTCGCTTCAAGTGAAGTGATTGATTCATTTCGATAAGCTTGAGCTTCGTTGGCTGATTGAGCTTGTGATTGTGGTCTTAACTCGACCTCGACACCGCTAGAAGCCATCTTGCCTAATAGAAATACTGCGGTGTGAAGAAGTGGATATTGTTGTCAGCTCCACGAAGAAATGCCAGCGTCAAAAGGACTTTGAGATGATTGGGAGGGATCAACGATAGGGCGTGCAGCTAAGGCCGATGACGGAGTGCAGGAGGGGCCATCTCACCCAACAAGCTCACCACAAACGTTCTCCACTTTGAGTCGGGTTATCCTCCACGCTTGTGAGTAGAACGAAAAGTTTTGCTAGTATTTCTTATGCCCTCTATTTCCGTCTCGTGAGCAATTATTTCCGGTTCTGGAAAGCCTGGTAAGGGCCATGAACTGGGTCTGTGATGTTGTGTTGTCATAACGGCAGGAGAAATCTATCAGGAGACCACTGCGACTTCGAGGCGCAGGGAAAAGACGAAGAGGAAAGAGAGGATTTAATAGAGAGATGGAGATGTGGGCGAAGCAGAAGCAGACTTTCTTAGTCAGCAGGGGTGGAGCGGAAAGAGCGGAGCGGGATATTAGTGTGGCTCCCCAAACGCGAGACCGAATCTTGACGCGCTCCAACTTTTACTTTCCCCGACTACATTTACAACCTCCATTGCGCCACCCCTCCCTGCCTTAACCGCGTTTCGACATGCTGTACAGCTTAGCGACCCCATAGTATCCTCTCTCTCCGTTCCTGATCATGGACAACTCTCTACTATCCTCCAAAAGGAGGAAACTCGATACCCCGACCCGCTCGGTGTCGAGCCCGCTCGCAAAGCGTCCAAACCAGAGGACATCTGGACGATTGATAAATCGAACAACATCACTAGCGAACGGGCACACAGCCGAGAAACTGACCGCTTCCCTCCGAAAGTCTCAAGGATTAAGGAACAAGGGCAGCACCCCGAATGGCACTACGAACAGGGCATCATACTATCAAGGACAGGCCGAGAGAAAGGATGTATACGATGATATCGATGGAGCGTTAGGCGTAGAAGCGCCTGCAGAAACGCCGACCCGGACGCAGAAAGGGAGGCCGAGAAAGAAATTCGTTCTGGATCCTTCCTTGCCCCATCCTTTCAAAAAGAAGAAGTTGTTAGATGCTGTAGATAGCGAGGATAGGTCGGATAAACTTCTAAGTATTGATTCCACACCACGGGCCACGGATACGAACGCCATGGACAAAGAGCAGAGTGTGAATCGGGAAACAGGCCGTTCTCTCCTCAACGATTCAAAGCACGGGACCGGTCTTGAAGCCGGGATCCAGGATGAGTTAGGTGATGCATCCTCTACACCTTCAAGGCGGAAGGGCTTTGCTAGTGTGGCTAGCATAGGTGCGAAAAACTTCGTTGCGCGGACCTCTTCCAGATCAGGTGCCAGGAGCTCTCGTAAAACAGGTGAATCCGCAAAGGAGCACGAGGATTCTACCCAGCCTTATATCAACGGTATTGACGGAACGCCGTCAGAATTGCGATCGAGCAGGAGAGCCTCCGCATCTGGGAAAACCCGGAAGCGGGCCGCGACCGAGACAGAGGACGATGAGCTTGCTGCCGCAACTCCTTCCGAGACAGCAAAACATCAGAGCGCCGTTCAAGATTCCGAGGATGATTTCGGCGATCGTTCTCTACCCAGCAATACGAAGAGCATAAACCTACGACGTCGGCGCAACCGTGCGGATCATACCAGTAACCGGGACGAGATCAGTATGCATCCTGAAGACGAACAAGCCTCGGATGCCCCGACAGAAGTGAGTGACCATGACAAAGATCTCATGGACGTAGATGGCGGCAGTGCTCTCGATCCTACAGAACCGAGTCCTTTCAATATCCCCTTCCGGAAGGAGAAGGCGACTGCTCCCCTCAGTGGACATCTTGAGCCAGGGCGAAAGTTAGACCTCCTCAAATCCATTGCCCTAGAGCGAATCATGGGAAAGCGCCCAACTCCCTTGATTGGGCTAGACGAGGAGTATAAGACCGTTCATCAGCTCATTGAGCATACCATCACGGCTGGCGAAGGCAATTCTATGCTCTTGATAGGAGCCAGGGGAAGCGGGAAGACAGCGCTCGTGAACAAGATTCTCATGGAAATCTCGAAGAACAACAGCGAAGAATATCACGTCGTCCGACTCAGCGGGTTCATCCACACCGATGACAAAATTGCTCTCCGCGAAATTTGGCGCCAATTAGGCAAGGAAATGGACGTCGAAGAGGACGGAGGTCTGAGCAAAAACTACGCCGATACCCTAACCACTCTTCTCGCCCTTCTCTCCCATCCATCTGAACAGACCGGTGAACTCACTGACCAAGTAGCCAAAGCCGTTGTATTCATCATGGACGAATTCGACCTATTTGCTCAACATCCTCGACAAACGCTTTTGTACAATTTATTCGATATTGCCCAGTCCCGGAAGGCTCCCATCGCTGTACTAGGACTAACCACTAGGATTGATGTCGCGAACAGTTTAGAAAAGAGGGTGAAAAGCCGGTTCAGTCATCGCTATGTTCATTTGAGTCTCGCAAAGACTTTTACTGCTTTCCAAGAGATATGCAAAGCGGTCTTAATTGTACAGCCAGAGCAGCTTAGTGTTGAGGAGCGGGCAGTTCTCGGCGAAGGGTCTCAGTCTGCACCGGGGAAAGGGAGTGAGAAGGGTCCGAAGCAGGATATCCTTCCTGAGTGGAACGCAAATGTCTCCGTAAGTCAATCTAGTACTACATTCTCTAACTACACGGTCTTAATTGATTCTAGTCCCTATTCGCCTCGAAGTCTTTTCTCAAAGACCATCTCGCACCTCATTTCTACTGCACAAAATCCATTTCCACCGTCCTAACGTCCTTCCTTCTCTCCACTACGACTCTTTCCGCAGAGTCCTCATCCCTCAACCCATCTCACCTCCTCTCCCCACCAGATTCTAAACTAGCTCTCCTACCAACACTCTCCACTCTCGCGCTCTCGCTCCTAATCGCCGCCGCCCGCCTTGACATTATCCACGACTCCGACTCCTGCAACTTCAACATGTGCTACGATGAATACGTGACCCTCGCTTCCAAGGCCCGGATCCAGTCTGCGGCTGGTGGCGCGAGCAGTAGTGGTGGGGTTAGCAAGGTTTGGGGGAAAGAGGTCGCGCGGCGAGAATGGGAGTGGTTGGTGGAATTAGGGCTTTTAATGCCGGTATTGATAGCAGGGATAGGGGGAGCTAGATCCGGGTTTGCTATGATGAGATGTGATGTTGCTCTCGAGGAGATCAGAGGGGTGTTGCAGAAGGAGAAGGGGGTTGATAAGGGGCTGGAGCGGTGGTGTAGGCAGCTTTGAGGACGTGGCGGTATGCATTGACGGGGTATGGGAATTCATTGATGATGTTTACATATTGCATGAGCAGGCATACTGCATAGCAAGCGTTGTTTTGAGTGCTAGCATTAACGTTAAAATAGAATAGAGAAATGCATAGGTGATTTCCCATGCGCTCCGATATGCTTCCCGCCCAACTCGTTCACTGAACCTTTACTAGCTCTCATGAGGTATTCCTTCACGAATGACGCATGCCAGCAACGTGGAACTGTCCTAAATGTAGGTTGGGTGCCTTGAACACTCCGTGATGCTGACAAACGTTGGGAAACTAATATGGTTTATAGAATGTGTAGCTTCGAATTCTTAGCACCCAAAATTTGGTTGGATGCCTGGAAGCGAAAAAGAAGTTGTACAACGCTGAAGGATACGATGTGCAGTGAACTGAATCATCTGCACTGAATGTCGAGCCTTGACAAGACAGGAAATGCTAGGTTTCAACTCCATCACTTTTCATCGTCATGAACTCTTTAAACTACCATGTGTTATACCAGTCAGCTCCCCGCAGAGCGTAGCGTAGCACGACTGCGTCAGTCTTCCTTTCCCAAGAATGTGTGGATCCCAAACGACCAAAAGTCGCTTCATTGCTCTCGATCTCTTCCAGGTTTACACTGCATTATTGATCACCTTGATCGAATATGCCTTCACCGAGTCAATTAAATCCACACTTCAAATCGCTTGATTGGCCCGACCAAATGCTGAAATTGGAAACGGTTTATAGAGAATTGGTTTGCAGGGGTATACGAGTTTGGTTAGATTGATTGGTGAGGGACTAACTGGAGTTTTGTTAGCAAGGAAACCTTTACCGAGGGCACCCCTGACCTGACTGCCCCACAACTTAACGACTTCATGACCTCAGGGCCTCAAAACTTCAGGACCTCACAATCTAACCTGCGGCTCCCTCCCATTACCAGCTACGACTGCGCTTACTGATTTATGGCCCGACCACATTCGACCTTCAAACTTAGAAAATTCACAATTCAAGCTCATCAACACTAGCAAGCCAGCCAATACATGCTCCTTTTGAATCCCGCTCACCAACTCACAACGCTAGATATGATTGAGCTGATGGGTAACGAATCTCCTATATCCTTTACAACCATTTCATCTCACCAACCCCATCCAAAACCTCTACGACCATCTCTTCATATGATGTATTCATCTCTCAATCCCTCCAGGTCCGAAGTCCTTCTTAACGTCATACATGCTAATAAACCTCAAATGCCACGTTATACCTCAAGAACCATGTATTACTTAAAAATTACCACGCCACCCAACCACGCACCTCATCTCACCAAGCTCCATTCCACCTAATCCCAATACGTCGCCCACTTACTCTTCCCCCCAAGCACCCCCACAAACTCTCTCGCAATAACCCGATCCGCCTGTTCACTCGGATGCAACTCATCATACCAAAGATAGCTATCCGGGCTCGTATTCTTCACACAATCGCCACCTTTCAAATTACACTGATGCACAATTCCTGTGACATTGGCCGGTGTGGTGCCATTCAAATACTCCTTGGGATGGCTCCAGATATCGGTGATAAGCGCGTTGACGTCGAAATTCGCGATTTTAACGTCATCCCAAGACGACGAAACTTCGAAAGGAGTTCGGTATTGGTAGATGGCGTTGGCTGTGGCGACGGATTCGTACATGCGCCATGAGATTTCCGTGATGTTGCTGCCGGCTTTGTTCGGGTAGTATTGGGTTGCAGCGAGTCCGCCGTTGGACGGGACTGCGTATTGCGGGAGGAGTTGTAATGGGGCGAGATTCATGAGGACGAAGTACCGCCCGCCGTTTTTATATAATTTGTCGATGGTCGTGTACACACAGTCGACATAATCAACCAACGTTTTCCCCGGGACCTGCGAGTCCGTCAAAAAAGCATTGTTGCCAAGATCATTAGTACCGATCCAGATTGCGTAGGCAGTGTCGTGGGGCGTGCCTTTGAAGAACCTTGTGCCGTTCGGGAGTCGGTATTGGGAGTCTGCGATGAAGGCGGGGAGTTCGTAGCCGGCGATGTCTGGGAATGGCGCATTGATGGCAGAAAACCAGCGCGGGGTGATGGCGTTTGAACATACAGCGCCGGAGACGGCGTAGTTGTATAGGCTGGCACCGGAGTAGATAGAGGCGTAGCGGGACCAGGAGAGGCCGCCTGAGGCCGTATTTAGACCCTAGAATCGTCAGGGGCTGAAAACGAAGGCGTTTCGGGGATGAGCGATATGGATCTTGAATTTGTGGTAGGTATTGATTCTTTGCGTAGGTAACAGCAAGGAAATAAGTGGTTGGAAATATCGGCATGGAAAGCTCGAAGAATTGGACCACAATTAGAATGGGATACACTGAGATGAAGAATATGCATAGGAAAGGCAGACGCTACGAGAGAATCTTGCAGTATATGTAGAAGAGCAGGGAAACTGGTAGTAAGGGTGTACGATAGAAGTGTGCAGTACAATGATAAGATGGACAAGGAAAGTTCGAAGCGATATACCCGAGTTAAATATTCATGCCGAGAAGCATTATAACTGCAAGGAGATCGCGAAATCAACCAAAGGGTGGGTGACGTAAGAGAAAAATAGAGATCCATACCACTGGCTGCTCCCATCCAACAGGAGGCGCTGACCCATTGTGATTGATAAAGTACCCCAGCCGATTTTCGTCTGTGTAACTATCACCAAACGTTACCAGGCTCTTGAAGTTTTTGACATCCCACCTTCCATGCTGCGCATGACCGGTGGGAAACCCTAGACTCAAAGCTAGGACCGTTGTCGAAGATGAGCAAATGCGCATATTGGAGACCGGGCTGGTGGGAAGCGGCTGAAGGGCCTAACCCAGGGAAGTGAACACCGGTATAAGTATTGGAATGATGGCGAACTTGATTGAACTACGGTTTAATTAATGGCTCCCCTCCGCCGAAGCTCCGCCCAAATGCATATTGAGGCCAGGATGGTGCAGGGCCGCGGCGAAGAAAGAGGGGGTGGTCGACCCGGGGAGAGCTTGAATCTCGCCGGCTACGGGAGCTTAACGCCATTTGGGCCTGATCGACGGGGTGATCAGGCTAAAAGCCGTGGAAATCAGGAACCTCGCGTCATGGTGCTGTATCCTATAAAGAGGACAACATGCTGATGGGATTATTTAGCGACCGAACATCTGGTTTAGAGGGAAGTCTGAATTTCTCCGCCAAAAAGCTCGTTCAAGCGACCGGGCGATTTGGGGGGGCCTAACAGGCCCGACAGGGAGTTGAGCTCGAAGACATAGCGCAATTGATCTGAAACGAACATTCATCAACTCCGGAGGAAAAATACAAATTTCTCTCGATCCTAGCTCTCTTGATCTTAGCTCTCTCGATCTTAGCATGCAAGATGACCGTTGGTGGGGTGGGGTGCATGTGCGACTTGTCCGTGGGAGGGATTTGCAAGGGTGCCAGCTTTTGTCGTCCTTTTCGATCCGACGAACGATAATGGCTTAGTGCGTGGAGGTTGTCTTGACGACAGGCTTATTAGCTGCAGAAATGGTTGATGAGGAAATCGTACGATACAGGACCGCAATTGTCATGCTGACCCGGCGAGAGAATTTGGCTGAAGGGAGAGTTTGATGAGCAGGATCCGGGCGGGAAGAGGGCTCATTTCTATGGCTGCCCAGCGGGTGCGCCCAGCTCATCATCACAATTCTGGCACAAGAGCTGCTCGGCTCACGTGCATGTAATCGTATGCGCTCTCCAAGACCACCCGCTTCCCCGCTGCACGCCGTTTGGGCGGTTAGCCAGCTCGTCTTCTCAGGCGGATGGTGTCGGGTTGTGGGCCCTCCAACCCCATCTGTGTCCGGTCATTATGCGACCAGTCCAGAATGAGGCTTCTTGATAAACTAACGTGATTCGAGTAAGGGAGCATTCACCCCGGTCGGAAGTCACCGAATGGAAGTCGAGAAGGATGAGTTTGGAGACACGGCGGCAGAAGAAGTTTCGAGACAGAAGGAACTCGTAGAGAATCAATCCGCAAGTCCCTCATGCCAGGCTGTGGGTTATCCCAAGGCGTGGAGGTGTGGGTTTGGTGATACGCTCCAACTCCCACGTCGCTGCGCTGGTGACTTCGCTTCCACGCTGTCGGGGACATTGGCTGGCAATCTTGTGTTGATCGGGCGCTCTGCCAATCATGAAGACGGACTTTATTCCCTGTGCACAATTAATGCCGCCTTGCAGCGCTGAAGGCTTTGGGAATATGTGCCGGCCCTGGCTGGTGTTGACGTAGCTTCCTTCCCATGACTTATTCGGGGTCCATCCATGGAACCCTAAATGCTTAGCCCAAACACCGATGACCCTCTTTGCACTTCACTCTCTGCTCCACTTCTGCTGTTGCTTGCATTCACGTTTCGAATACTGTTGTTCTCAGCAAAATCTTCGGACCGTGAAGTGTATATCAGGAGACGCTGAGCCCTGCTGTCAGATAATGCATACCAATCAGCGCCTCCCCTCATCAAAACTCGACAGGAACCACCCACCTCCCTTTCAAACTTCTCACTCGAGAACTCCGAGTCGAGTCTGCCCATTTCTACGACACTGAAGTCCATCCGAACATTCGCAGACCATTCGCGGGTTCCTTTCAGTCTCGCTGGGGACCCTTCGTCACGACGAGCGGCACGCTCTATCGATTTCTAAGACAACTAGTCTCTTCCAGCACAGAGGTTACCCTACTAAAGCTATAGATGGAGTCGACTTTCTCTTTCAGTCATGCCCTCTCAAGGGCTGCGCAGTTGATCTGAGACTATTCACGCTGACACATATGAGTTAGCACGCCTTCCATCACCACCATCACCACCATCAAGGCTCGTCTACACGGCAAGGGCAAATCTGTACACTTTAATTGGCCCGATATCGCTGCGGAGGGCAAGGAAATGAGCCACGACAGTAAACAGAGAAAGCTAGGAGTGATTCAGAAACTAAGTAGGAATCGAAAAGAAGCGGCTACTTGGCCTTGGAATGGGACAAAGTAGGAGTACAGCTCATCTTGATCTACCCTTAAGAAAATCGACCAAGAAGACGACCGCAACTCGGCATTATTACGCTACCTTTCTCCTTCGATGAAAACGTGGATCCGATCTCGCTTGCTATCATCCCCGCGAGCTCCGTCGACCCCATGCAATGTAGCTTCAACCTTTGATCAGTACCTGGAATTTGTGGGGAAATGGGTACTTACATTGGGATATATAGCTTCAGGCTGACGTCCTGAATCTCGACGCGGGCTGCATCCGTCAGTATTTTCACTTGGGCAGCGGTCCACCCCAACTTTTCTGTCAATGGCCAAATTGCAAGCGAATCAAGGAGCTCGCACACCATACCAACACAATCTCTCCCAATTGCAGATCTTGTTGGATCTAGATTTGGATTAGCACGTTTTTCGATTGTGTTCAAGTAAGAAGTTGACCTATGTGGGAGGGCTTGAAGCAGCTCATCGTATCAACACCTAATCTTCCCGGGTGGTAAACTAATCATCTGCAAACTAACGGAATGGTAGACCAAACATCATATCTGCGTGTTTTGATCAAGAGAGCCCGCCGGCAAAATATGAATGGAAATGGAAAAAGGAGATATTGCAACCATACCTGGGTCCCAAGCGCCAATAGGCAGATGCAACACCGTGCCTCCAACATCCCGGAGTCCAGCTTCCGTCATATACTCCTGGAGTTTCTGTCCCACCCGCGGGTTTCTGTTTGAGTCCTCCAATGCGCGCGAATAGGCTTCCCACCACCGCCTCAATGCCGAGTTGCTGGAGAGTCGTCCACTGCCCGACTGAATGTTGAGGTAGTATTCTGCCATCTGAAGCCAACCGCCTGGTCGCATAAGAGCTTTCATGTCCCGTATATATGACCTCCATCGGTTCTTCTTGATTCCAGGAGCAACAAATCGGGAGTGGATGAGGTTGTATGCGTTTCGTTCGAATACTTCAGGGTCATTCAGTCTGTCGTTGAGATTGAATCCATAGAGGTACAAGTTGTCTGGCTGGTCTGATATGAGCACTGGATAAATATCGATGCCGGTCACCTATACAGTCAAGCATTAGCGACACTGTAGCACTGAATAACGACCGCATGCAGCTGAATAGAAGAGTCAAGTACACTCTGGGTTCACTGTCTCGAAAGATCAGGAACGAGTAGCCGCATCTCCCTTCCCACTCGACAGTTAGGGGTTAAGAAACACGCACCTGGCAGTCCTCGTACTCTTCGGCAATAGCCACAGCCCAATCACCCCTTCCGTATCCGCAATCAAGGATTTTTCGAGGATTTTCGATCCTAGGAAAGAACAGTCTGTTCCCACTAAGCCTAAGGAGAAGATCGTGTTGACTCTCAAGCCGCTCCTCTTCGCGCTTCGCACCTGTCAGTTAAATGACCTTGTCGTCAATGGTGTGTGTTCCTGCCAGACTCCACCAAGAATCTATGAAACTTACCTCGTCAATGGGAACGCAGTATATCCTGTTGTCGACGGAATACTTCTGGAAATCTCGGTCGTGGATATTCACCACTCTCAAATCCTCATTCATATTGGACATGGTCCGCACGAAGCCGAGAGCGAGGGATGAATTCGCTGAGTGGAAACCTCCGGTTGTAGCGATCCAAACCTGCAAGCGCCTGAGAATTCTCGAAGCCTGCTTCTGGGGCGATTACCAAGCACTTCAGTCGAGTGAAATGTGACTTTTCTGGTACGTCAGCCAAATCGTGTTAATTTTCACTCCGGCGGGAGGCAACTCACTTCCTTAAGCGATGTCGGGGTTCGCAAGTTCTGCTAGTTGAGTTCACATTCACTCAACAGTGGTGGCAAGCGTTGACGTCTTTCTTAAGCAAGCTGACGGTGAGTAGAACGTGGTCGAATCCGGTATCGTGATGTCTCGCAGCCAAAATCTCGGCCTCGACCCTCTGAAACATCCCGCGATGCGCTGCAGGACGCCAATTAAGGACTCGGCAAAAGAGCATGCCTTGGAACTATCCCTTCTTAAATGGAGATCAGGTCTCACCTGACTTGTGTGACAAGGGACATTGGATGCTAAGACTGCGGAGCGATATTGCCTTGGGTGGGAGGCTGCCCCTCAATGGTCCTTTCGCGGACTCTACGAAGTGCGGTGAATGAGCTGGCCACCCAGCCACCGTGAGCCCTGATTACCGGCGACTGGAGGCTTCCATTGAAACAAGTGTTTGTGAACTTCGTGACAATGGTTCCCGGTTCCGAAGTGAAACCCTGGCTGCGCTATCATGCCTTTTCGGAGCGTTGAATGTCGAGCTGGAGCTCCCGAAAAGAGAATCCATCTGCCGTACCGCAGAAGCTACTGATGCAATGAGTCGGAAGCTAACGGCAAGGGTCGATGAGGTGTCTCCGCCTTTCCTCGACGGCGATCGGGAGAGTCTGCAGCATGTCCGCATCATTGGCGAGTAAAGCCCAACGCAGCTTCTAGTCTCGGGTAATTCTCAATACGATTAACCGCGCTTAGAAGACATAATTGATCAAGAGCAATAATGAGGCAGCGCGCTCTTAGGCACCCGTTGGCACACGGATGTCCATTGGCCCAAGGCATTACGCTCGAGGCTAGCAAAGGACGTATCATCACCTCAGTCACTAACGCTAACTAGTGGGAGTTAGACACGCATCATGAAAACGACACCCAACCCCATGGCGGTAGGCGCCGATAAGGCATGCTCCTGTCAAACTAAATCCCGGCGACATGGCCTTGGAATAGACATCTCCTCGAAGCCACAAACCCGCGATGGCGCTCGGGTCGAGGAGCTGTGAAAGGGTGGGCCAGAGAGCTGGCTCAAGCGAAGAAATCTCTCCGTCTCGCGATTTGCCTCCTTAAACTCGCTTATTCTCACGAAGGAGTTGTGTTAAGGAAGTACGGCGCCCTGGTGGAGGATGCACGCCTTATTAAAGTCACCAGCTCATCAGACGGGATTTCAGCGACAAGAAAATGTGAGCTGTCATATTTCCTTGGTGGCGCTCAGGTGGACTAGGAGTCTCGGCCACGTTCGTTCCCCAGTAACATAGTCTTGTGCTATGGGGGGCGTTTCAGAGAACGATCCTGCGGTCTGCCTTTAGTACAGATTGAGACTAGGACAGCCTGTGGTCTATCTCACTTGCAGCGGACAGGTTGATGCTCCGCGGCCCACGTTGTTCATTGATGAGAGCTGCATCATCACGGCATGGACGGTAGGGTTATTCAAGGCCATGGTTGATATCACCGTTGCTTGGTCTATTTTCAACTCCTCTCGTTCGGTGTGAGGCCGTCTCATCCTAACACCGGACGGTGTCTTTCGTTATGCAGCCATCCGCCTCACATGCAGGTAATGCAGTACAGCTCCTTCACGAAACCTAAACTTGAGGTCATGCTCACCCCATCCGTTGGTTGGATTTGCTTTTTACAATCTTTCGCTAAATCAACCTTTGTGCCTCTGCCCACCAACGGTAATTGTTACACCACAGAGGCACGGAAACCATGTTATCCAATAACTGGTTACCTTGGTGGCCAGGCAGGTTCAAGATAAGCTTTACTTGCATGCATGTCAGGTTTGGGCTTTACGCATTTGTCAATGCCCTTCCAGATCTTTCCATGCACGCAACTGAGGCCGACTCCCCTCAAGAGCGGGAGGCTTTCGCTCCAGGTTACTATTGGGATGGGTACGCCGCTGTAGAACGTTGACGGTAATTAGAACAATGATCAACCACGGTACGTGGCACCAAGCGAAATGTCCCCTCCTGATCATGAATCGAACTTCTAGAAGCCCCAAAACACTCCAGGATAAGGCTTGCTAGGTTGATATGCTCCTTACGTACTCCCCCGGTAGAGGCATTGTCGTGGAAAACAGCCATCTTGCATCCCGCTCGAGGCACCAGCCCGCACTTGCAGCATAACAGAACTGAAGAACGCCACTAAGGGGGGTAAGGTCGTCTGCGCATCGATAACGTTCGGCCAAAGTCGCCCTCGACTCATTGCTGAAGAACGGCTCCGGGACTTGGTCTCAGTCCTGCACTAACCGATCACAACCATCATGCTGTTCGTATTACGCCTTGCTCGTCAATCCGCAGATTGAGCCTGGCCGGATTGATTGAGCTATCCCTGACAACTATGCAGCAAAGCGGCGGAATTTATCGGCTTCCCTCTGTATTGGCTGGTTGACTGACCCCACACCCCGATGGCAAGGGCTCACGACGCCTAGTCAAGGTCGCCTCCACGTGGTACGCATGGAGGTTCAAGACGCACTTGCGACAATTCGACCTGCTGTGTCAAAGGCCAAGCCGAACGGTGTGCACAAATGTGCATGACACTTGAATTGATGGTTTCTGCTCATGCAAAGCAGCGAATATGTGCGTATCTACGCAGAGAGAGATGTGTCATCGCCATATGACTCGCATAGAAGCTGTCCCGTCCGAGCTTGCAAATTCGTGGCACCCGCCTTTGTGATCCCAGTCTTTCTCCTATCTGATTAGACAGCGCAAAGACATTTCTCTCCTAGGGCCTTTGCATGTGGTCCTCCGAAGGACGCTGATCGTGCTACCCGGCACCTCTGTCGACATTGAGCATCCTGGAGTAGAAGGTCGACATCCCGTTATCGCGCGTTTTAAATCCTCTGAGTTGACTTAACGCGCCGGTCTCGTCCGACTACCAATCTCAGCTGTCTTCCCGCTTCCCCGGAATCGAAGATGCCCCTTCGAAGAGTGGCGGTATAGAGCTCATATGCGGGGTAATCTGTTTTGGGGAAACATCATCAGCCAGGGCTCGCAATGGGAATCAGAAAAACGCAGGCATATCGAAAAGGGGGGCCCCCGAGTCCCACCCGAACCTACATCCGTCGACGAAGTGAATGATCTGCTCATCCGTCATGCCCGTTCCTCTCGAAGCGCGCAAGCCCACTTCTTGCTCCAGCCTCCACTCGTACACGTACTTGGTGTCTTCAGCGTCGCTATAACAGCGCGGTTACTTCTCTGTCCTGTTTGTGGATGATAAAAGAACTCACATATGAATGAAAGCATGCAAGGAGCTTGAGCCGACAGGTAATTAGCGTCCCACATTCTTCACAATTTCGAAGAAAATGAGGCTGTTTTGGTTACTCACTCAGTCAACACATCATATTCTCTTAGCGCCCTGTTGATGAACAACAAATCCTGCAGTTGATGATGCTCCAATTGAGTCTCGCCGAATTTACCCTGCCGCGCCTCAGTCCACTTCTCTTCCACCTCGGCGTCGCTCAATGGTCGGAAGCCAACACACCACCCCTCAAAAACAACGACATCGATACTCGAGTCACTACGCCTGTTTACTTCCTCCCATGTGGATTCAACAGCTCGGTCGCCCTGCCCACTGAATTGTGATTTGTCGTATACAGGGATCTTCACCGGCTGTCGCGCTTTCAGGGCAGCGAAGACGGAGGCTCCGAGCGTGAGGTCATGGGTCGAGGGTTGGCCACGGTGCTGGACCAGTCGGTTGTCAGGTTGCGATTCCGCGAGGGCGACTTGAGCGGTGTGGGTGAGATAGAAGTCGTCAATGCTGAGTACGGTAGTAGGGAGAGAGTGAGGCGGTGAGCGAAGCGTCTTGCAGAGTGTATTGACCTAGGCATGTCAGTTCATCTCATACTCGACTCCTGAGCTGTCCGAGGGAAGCCATTGAAGATAGTTGGAGGAACGACAACGAAAGGAGAACGTCAAATATCATTTTCGGACTTGGGTGGGAATTAACCGTGAGGGCTGATACGAAGCGAAGCGAGCATTTGGCCGTCCTGATGGTCTTGGTCTGCGGTTTCAAAAGACGGATAGGATGGGCTGCCTAGTTTCAAACAAATTGACAATTCATAAGAGTATGCCGTACTTGAGTTCGATTCTCTACGCTCAGGCTCGCTCGGCCATATCTTCCTTTGCTTTTTTAGGCCCTGCAGGTAGAACAGATCCGCGCCAGTCGCTTGTTAAAGAGCCTCATCGGTGCGGTGCAAAACAAGCAAACTTACCAGCGTTGTTTTCCCAGCGCCTTGGACTCCATTCAATCCAAGAAAGAATGGAGGGGGTTGCTGGCCCTCGTCCAGGTACTTTTTCCTGTGTGTAGATAGACACTCGAGAATGAAGGGAATGCAATGTTCCGACTTGTCATCCACAATTTGTGAAGCCATTTTCGAATTGGAAAATCGTGGGTTTCTGCACTTGCGAACGAGCAAAATGGCTTCGGGAGTCCGAACGGTACATTTGTGTGCCCCACAACGCAGCGCTCGCCCATTCTTTAGCATAGACAGAACCGCAAGAGCTGGCGATGAGAAGTGACATAAAATTTCTAGCCCGATCAGCTTACTGTTCCGCAGACGACTACTGCGCTTTGGCCCGTCATCTGATGCCCCGGATTTTTACATCTGATCTGAAGAGGCATAGAAGTGTGCCAGGAGACTTGCTTGCATGTGAAGAAGCCATCACGTGTTCCACCCCACAACTGGGGGGGCGCATGCGACCCTTGAAGTGAACCTCGGCAACGATCGTCATCGAAGAGACGGAGCGAGGTCCTTTCACGAGACAGCCAAATAACCTCGACTGCCCATCCATTGTGCGAGCTTCTTTCCCTTCTTCTCCTCTCAATTTGATAGCTCTTCATCAAAATTATATATTAAACCTCCGAATTCTTGTCCAGAAGAGCTCGGAGTGCGCTACGTCTAACTGCCGACCTCATTCCTCAAGCTCCACGCTTCAAACATTTGAGCTCCTACCCACGGAACTCCGCACTCATCCGCTTTGCGGCCCTTTATACACACAAGATGGCGCCTGAACAGCTGCGGTACGATGGCCAGACGGTTGTTGTGACGGGTGCGGGTGGTGGTTTGGGCCGCGAGTATGCCGTCTTCTTTGGCAGTCGCGGCGCCAATGTCGTTGTGAATGACTTAGGAGGCAGCTTCAAGGGAGAGGGTAAGGGTTCGCAGGTGAGTTTTATTATCTACTATGGAGATAGGGTTGAGGTGTCTCTGCGTGTGTCGTTAGCTGTTATTCTTGTCAAGCTTTGATGAGGCCCCACACTGTTGCAAGCTTCAGCGGGCACCAGAGCCTCCGCACTCCGCTTCATCCAACATCAACGCTATTCACTAACGACATGCAAACAGGCTGCAGATGCAGTGGTCAACACAATCCGGTCCGCCGGTGGCAAAGCCGTTGCCAACTACGACTCGGTCGAGAACGGCGAGGCCATCGTCAAGACGGCCATCGACAACTTCGGACGCATCGACGTGTTGATCAACAATGCAGGTATTCTTCGAGATATCAGCTTCAAGAACATGAAGCAGCAGGACTGGGACCTTATTATGGCGGTCCATGTCAAGGGAGCATACAAGTGCGCGCGCGCAGCGTGGCCCTACTTCCGGAAACAGAAGTATGGAAGGCTGATTAGCACCGCCTCTGCGGCCGGCCTATTTGGTTCGTTTGGCCAGTGCAATTACTCTGCCGCCAAACTCGCCCTGGTCGGCTTCACAGAAACCCTCGCAAAGGAAGGCTTGAAATACAACATCCTCTGCAACACCATCGCCCCGATTGCTGCCAGTCGAATGACCGAAACCGTCATGCCCCCTGACGTCCTCAACAGCTTGAGGCCTGAGTGGGTTATGCCGCTTGTTGCCGTCCTCACACACAAGTCCTGCACAGAGACTGGCTCAATATTCGAGGCCGGGGGTGGCCACATTGCTAAACTCAGGTGGGAGCGCGCCAAGGGTGCTCTCATGAAGCCAGATGACAGCCTGACTCCGGATGCCATCGCCCAGAGGTGGAAGGACGTGAATGATTTTTCGGAGCCAGAGCATCCACAGGGCCCCGCGAATGCGATGGAACTCCTCGAGGCTGCTGCTCAATTGCCTCCGAGCAGCCCAGGTGAGAAGCTCAATTTTAAGGATAAGGTCGTCCTGGTTACTGGCGGTGGTGCCGGGTAAGTTAACTTCCTCGACTAGACATCATGGACAATCTAATGTTTCTAGTCTCGGTCGCGCGTATGCCCTGCAATTCGCTAAATTAGGTGCCAAAGTCGTCGTTAACGATTTGGTTAACCCGGACACGGTCGTCCAGGAAATCCAAAGGATGGGCGGCCAGGCCATTGGTAACAAGGCTAACGTTGTCGATGGCGAAGCTGTCGTTAAGGGTGCCATTGATGCCTATGGTCGCATTGACGTCCTCATCAACAACGCTGGCATTCTCCGCGACAAGGCCTTCACCAATATGGACGACAATATGTGGGATATCATCCACCAGGTGCATCTCAATGGCACTTATGCCTGCACTAAGGCGGCGTGGCCTTACTTCTTGAAACAGAAGTACGGACGTGTTATCAATACCACTTCTACTAGTGGTATCTACGGTAACTTCGGTCAAGCCAACTATGCTTCCGCTAAGTGTGGTATCCTTGGTTTCTCTAGATCGCTTGCTCTTGAGGGCAAGAAGTATAACATCTTCGTCAACACTATTGCGCCAAATGCTGGAACGGCTCTAACCCGAACCATTATGCCTGAAGAAATGGTCCAGGCGTTAAAGCCTGACTACGTTGCTCCTCTTGTTGTTCTCCTATGCTCCGACAAGGCTCCCACGCCCACTGGTGGTCTTTACGAGTGCGGCATGGGGTGGTTTGCCGCGACTAGGTGGCAGCGAACAGGTGGCCACGGATTCCCTGTCGACGTCAAGCTTACCCCTGAAGCTGTTTTGGAGAAGTGGGAAAAGATCAACGACTTCGATGATGGGCGCGCTGACCATCCTCATGACAATGCCTCCGGCTTGAAGAGTATCATGGCCAATATGCAGAACAAGAGTAAGAGTAAGAAGGAGAAGAAGGGCAATGAGGAGATACTGAGTGCGATTGAGAGCGCGAAGAATGCGAAAGCCGAGGGAACGCCGTTTGAGTACGACGAGAAGGATGTAATTCTCTACAGTAAGTTTTACGCCTGTAAACACGATTCCTCCGACATATCTAACGATACTCAGATCTCGGCATTGGTGCCAAGCGTACCGACCTCCCGTTCGTCTACGAGAACCACGACAATTTCCAAGTACTCCCAACCTTCGGCGTCATCCCACCCTTCAACTCAGTTTCCCCCTTCTCCATGAGTGACATCGTCCCCAACTTCTCCCCCATGATGCTCCTCCACGGCGAGCAATTCCTCGAGATCCGAAAATTCCCCATCCCCACCGGAGCCAAGCTGGTATCGTACCCAAAGCTCATCGAAGTCGTCGACAAAGGCGCCGCAGGTATCATCGTCACTGGCACCACAACTAAGGACGCCAACACAGGTGAAGACATCTTTTACAACGAATCCACTGTCTTCATCCGCGGCTCAGGCGGCTTCGGCGGGCCGTCCAAAGGCGGAAATCGTGGGCCTTCAACCGCAGTCCACAAACCGCCTCAACGCGCGCCCGACGCCGTCGTTGAGGAGAAAACTACCGAGGAACAAGCCGCCATATACCGTCTCTCGGGCGACCGTAACCCGCTCCACATCGACCCCGAGTTCAGCAAGGTCGGTGGTTTCAAAGTGCCTATCCTCCACGGTCTGTGTTTCTTCGGTATCTCGGGGAAACATGTGTTGCAAAGTTTTGGCGCGTTTAAGAATATTAAGGTGAGGTTTGCAGGTACGGTGTTGCCGGGCCAGACACTCAAGACGGAGATGTGGAAGACAGGGAATACGGTCGTTTTTCAGACGAAGGTGGTAGAAACGGGGAAGTTGTGTATTTCTGGGGCGGGGGCGGAGCTGCTGGGCGGCGGGAGTAAGTTGTAGGGTTTATGTGGAGGGTCGGCGGCGATGGGGGAACTGGGAGGAGAGCGGAGGGAGGGGATGAGGGTAGAAAATAGATGATTTGTTTGAGGTTCTTTTTCTGTAGATATGTTGGTTGGATGTTTGTATATCCTTATTTGACATTTCGTTCTACTTTCTCTAGGACAAACGATTGATTGGTGAAGCGCACGCTTTCATATTCTTAGAATATCTCAGGTACCGCAGAGGCTTTGTCTCCAGCTACGCCCAATCAGCAATACCTCCATTCGATTTATCAATTATCGAGTATGACGTCCTGATGCGATAGCAGAGCACAACATCCCATTTCTGATATATCTCATCACCTATCAAAGCGTAAAGTATATTCATTCAACCCCCTATTGTCGATGTCTACTTCGCATCCGAGTACGCAACCACTCTCAATCGCGCATCCCACTCTCGCCTCTTGCATCTTCTAAAAAAACAGTGCGATGATATGTACCGTTGTTACGGTAAAGCACAACGCAGACACAATCATAACTGGATAGACAGAAAGAATAAGGCTAGCCCTAGTCTTATCTATCTAGCCACACCCCTCTCGTTAGTCCTGTTCTGTTCTCAAGCTTTGCGGATCATTAGATAGGAGAATACTAGGCGCCTGACTGAGAAGGATCGAAAGGGTCGGGCTATGGAATGCAAGGTAAGATTCGCGTCGAGTCGATGTGCCACTCGTCTACGCTAGGGAAGTAGAATGATTAGGGTATGCACTGTGTTGCGAAGGGTAGAGAAACTTTGGTTATATGTGAATACTATGCGTGCTTTTGGCTGGCGGGATGGTATGGGGAGTAGTTGTGTGTGAATGTAGAGTGGGGGGATTTGGGAGGGGGGTCAGTCTTTGAGTGTACTCTATCTAATATAAGGGAGATCGTCGTATGGTAGGCATATAATGCGTGTCTGGGTGAGTTGATGTAGTGGTGGTATAGGGCTTTATTTGAAGGCATAGAGGGAAGGAAATGCGCCTCGAATCAGTGCTCTCTCTGCTGATCTCGTTAGTTCTAGTGCTGTTCGAGGTTATGTGTTGGTAGCGGATATGGACATGAGATCGAAGGAGAGGGTTGCATTATGCTATTGTACAATACAGCGCGAATTGGTTGTGGCGTTGCCTTTCTCAGAAACTTTGCACCATGCTCTAAGCTGTGTGACATTTAGAAATCTTACGCATGTATGACGTCGTGAGGCTCTTAATTCCTGGTTTGCCTCTCGCATATCTGGATGACTGGGCACAAGTGGTGAAAATCTCACGACCCCTATGTTGGGACTGAAATCGGGAGGAGCTCGGGGACGTCGGCGCCAGAAGGGCTCAACGTCAGGAATATCCAATTCAGGTCGACTCAAGGGAGGCGACGTAAGCGAAGCAGGGTATATGCATGAAAGAAAAGGAGAAGCAGGGTTTCCAGGGCCTGTGAAGGACTACCAGACTCCGAAGGAGCGACTTCAGCGAGATAAGATTATGAGAGAACGCAACAGAGAGTAGTGCGCAGCTTGAAGAACGTGCCCAGGCGCGTAAATACGATATTGGGAAGCGATCGACATGGATGTGGAGATAGTGCATTGAATTGAGATATTGTGGGATGAAACGGAACCCTCGTGAGGATGTATATGGGATTGCCCCCATATTTGCGCAACAGATTGGAGTGGGGCAGCTATCACCTTCCTTTATTATATAGGGACTGCATGATCGGCCAGTTCCGCGATTAACTGAGGTTGATTTTGGGTTCCTACTGGACCCACCGGCGATGCTTGGCATGGTGTCGCGTTCTGCACTTCATCTGTCATCTCATGGTCTCATCTGATTAGCGAGCTATGAGATGCTGCCACTTATTTCTAAGAGCTGGTGGCCTGAAGTTGAGAGTCTTGAAACGGTCAATAGGGCTGGTAACGTATGGGGCCAAAGCGGCACCAACTCCCCTCACTTCAAGCTATCATGCTTCACATTGGAGATAGTTTCTCTGGCCGACTTCGGTAGAAAAAATGCTGGGTTATTACGCCCCGGGAGGCATCAAGGTGCTCGTCACTGGTAGAAGCGGCGAATACTAAGCATTCCACACAGCCCGAAAACGATTAGGCATGTGGAACGCGTTTGGATGCGTGGTATTCATTGTAGTGGACGAACGCTGGTTTACAGTTTAACATTCGTCACGTCGGGTTAGACTTGCTCCACGCGTCTGCACGATGAATATCTCTCGCCTGTTCCCGACGTATACATGTTTTGATGTCCTTCACTCGTTAGCGAACTGAGAACCGGCAGTGCTGCTCTCCTCTCCATTGGGCTCAGAGACGCGACATTAGATGTGTGAGCGAATGCGAGATGTATGTCAGCGAGCGCTGCATTGTGTTGTCATATCGATCTCGATCGCACAATGTGCCTCGAGAGCCGGCAAGGCTGGGCATGATGTGCGGCAGCCTTGCCATGCCCTTGGCCAACTTACCCCTCCAACCCCGCGATGAGTTGGATGGATAAGATAAGGAGCAGCGCTGGTGTTCGCTTCTGCACAGGTCAGTTGATGACTGCAGTAAAAGTGGTCTGACTATTGCGTCTACGGCACTGAGGTCAAGAGTGGTGGAAATTCTTCAATGCTGCAAATCTACGCCAAACTTGTCGGATTGCGCATCTTTCAACCCAAGTCAAAGTGGCGTCGGCGATTCTTTACTTTGTCAAGCGGTCCAGTCATCCAGCCTTCCCCTGCATGTGATGAGTGTGAAAAAAGAAATTACCGCTTCTGGTTATTAGTTGGGAGCCTCTCAGCTCTAACAGAAGCTCAACGGACCTTCCTTACTCTTAGCGCGTTTCCTATTGGATGAATCTAATTCAACGGTGGATTGGCTTAGTTAAGATGCAGAATCGAATGCAACAACGAAGACACTGTTGGAGCGTTGATGGTTCCGCCACCATGGCCATCCCGGCCCTCATTTCACAAGCCTGTGCATCGTAACCAAGCTTCGGCTGGAAAGAATGGACTTATCTGATGTGGTTTGCTAAACGAACCATAGTATTTAGAGGTAAGTTTTGGGAGAAGCTGCATTATCATACCACCCGGCCTAGAAGCCGAAGGGTGTTGATTTTAAAATGTGTCCGAGGCAAAGTTGTTTTGATTTTGTCTGATAACTAATCTGACAGTCAGCGCCGACCTGGCTGACTTTGTCGGCATGAGTACGACGAGGCTGAGGACGCCGACGGCACCCTCACCAGGCTTTGGTCTGTTTGACGATCTCCCCTCGCATTGCACTGCTGCCGCGCTGGTGTGATGTGGCTCATAGGACGGCTTCCCCTTTTAGGACACTGCTCAGTCCTTCTTGGAGAGGATAATGCTGGGAAAGGGCGCTCTTCGCTAACGCAAGCTGTTAGGATGGGGTTTGACTGACCCTGAGTTCCCCTTCTAATCTGAAATACAAATTCGCCTCTAAGCACGTATTATTGACTCACAGCATCGCAATATTGAAGGTGCAGGGCAGTTCTGCACCGTCTCTGACTGCCGCGGCCGTCGCCGTCAAGTCGGGGACTCGGCCTTAACTCTGGGAGCGGAAAGAAAGTCGGTGGAACTGGGATCGGCGACCGACTACGACCGAATTTCGGCCCAGCGACCACCTTGTAACATTAACATGAACAAGAAACTCACCCTGCGCCGAACGTCACCGTACAGCTAGCAGCTGAAGAAACCTTGATGAGAAATATCAATTTCCGACTCCGCGGCCTTCAGTGTGGGCGGCGACTTGACTTCTTGGGTGAGAGTTGTGAGCCTCTTCTTGCCGCCAGACATTGTAGGTCCAGTGGTGGCTAGAGCTCGTGGGATATGGCATTCTGATTGCCAGTCTTCTGATTAAGCACGATCGAGTTTATGACGATGGCTGTCACGGCTTGGCCTGCCTTGACGGCTTCAGCCCTAATGCCTCAAGAATATGCTCGTTTGGGTAATTGTTAGGTGGGGGGGACGCTTCTCGAAGGGAATGTCAGGCACTTCGAGCTTGACTAAGGCGCCCTCGAATGACTAACTGAGATTCTGCTGGCTTCCTGCACGGCTGCGCGGGCGGTCTGAATGGGGCATGGTGGTTAGCTTGCTGCCAATCTTTTATCAAAGACTCGATACGGTTTAGCTCAACGCCTCCATGCATCCCCATGCTCACTCCGCTGATGGTGCAACGTCGCCGGCCACTCGAGTTCAAGAATAACAACACCAAAAAGCTTGCCGCTCAAGCGCCCAGCGATCCGGACTAGCGTGCCGAAAAAAGTCCACCGCGACCGTCGACGCGGCATCATGGACCCATTTTCGCAGAAGCCACCCCTGCACGTCTTTGTGCAGGGTCCGGCACCGTTTGCGCTGCGTGCAAAGGTGTGGATACAGACCCCTGCTAACGCCGCCGGTACCCATCTTCAGAACCTTGACGGCGTAATTCCGATGCTCTATTTCGCGTGTGCCGCGCTGCGAAGTATAAGATCTCAGCGTGCCCATGATCTGGTAAGCTCAGTTCTCACGACATAAGCAACCTCAATTCGCCTTCATACTCTGCCCTCACCAGTTCCTGCCTTCAGTGACTTCATTCATACCTCTCTGCGTGCCTCCGTAGTATAGAAACATCAGAGTCCCAACCCAGCTATAGTTTCCCGTGTCCAGCTCGCGTCATCTCGACTCCATAATCTTCTCGTCATCAATCTACACATCCCACAAATGGATTCCCAATCATTTGATTACTGGTTGTCACAGGGTAACAGCTATATGCCACCACATCAGACAACTGTATTCGAGCTTCCCCCGGATCTGTCCAATGTTCCGAGTCTCAGTGGTTCTCCTGTAAGTGGCAGCGGCGAATTGTTGAGGAGCCACATTTCTAACGCCACCTAGGTTTCTTCCACATACGACCAATTCCCAGCACCAATACATCCGGGCTACTACCCCCATGTCGCAGACGAGTCAATGCAATTCGGATCATATCCGCTACCAATGACACCATCCGATTTTGGCTCCGATCACGATAGCCCATACTGCAGTCCACGGCCTCCACACTTACCGGAACCGATGTTCTCACAGACTGCCCCAGCTTCCGGACCAGCAGAGAAGACGCATACCACCTCAGGGGTAGGTTCTTCAAAGCATTTTTCACGTGAAGCACGGAATTAACATAAATACAGAGGCGGAGAGCCCAAAACCGCGCCGCCCAACGCGCATTCCGAGAACGGAAAGAGAAGCACGCCCGAGACCTCGAAGCTCAGCTCACAGCCCTCACTGATAAATACAATAAGCTCGAGACATCACATACAGAACTCAACGCCGCATACGACAAGTTACGCAAGACCATCGAACTCCTTACACAAGACGACGACGCCGAGGGCGAGGATGAGGACGGTAAGAGCCTGAGGCGGAGAAGTAGCAATTCCGACACACTTCGAAAACTATTAGAGATACTACACGGCGAAGTCAAAGGCGTCATAGTCAAAAGTGAAAGTGATTGAGCGAGCGCAGTGGAACAATGCATTAGGAGCATATTGTCTTTTGTCTTAGCTCTTCTTTTTGTCTTCCGATCGATATCATCATGAGTAGCCCGGCGCTATGGCGTTTCTTCTCAATTTCAAATGTCTTCACGTTCTATATGACTTTTTTAACTTTACTTGGGTGGGCGGGACTATCTAGGATGCTGGGGCTTTTGCTCCCTTGCAGGGTCAGCGGTAGGGATGAATTAACCATAGTTGCAAATTGCAACTTTTACTGGAACGGTAGCAAGCCTCTGTCCAGTTCCGGACATTTTCATAGACAGAAACGGCCTTTAACGTTTAACCCATATGTGGAACAACTATACTCAAAACAAGTAGTCTTTAATGCATACAATATCAAATTAACCCTCCTCAATCTTGAATCCTCATCTCGCGCTTTAGTGAATGCATCTGAAATTATGCCCAGACTTCCCTCCCTAGAAGAATCACCAATCTCAGCCCAGAAATCTCCAGTCCCCATTCCCAGTATCCAAGTATATCCCCTGTCCCTGAACCCCGTTGCTGGTTGAATACATCATACCAGACTAAGTCCCTCCCGTCCCCAAATTCCAGATCTCGAAACGGAGCTGCTGTTCCCCCCGAAACAGAACGCTGGCATCAGCAATTCTGAGCTCCACCAATCAACACGTAAAGAGGTTAACCCGGCTCTTCGCCCATCTTCCGAATCGGAACACTGCTACTCCCCCGGCCAGGTAGGTCAGGTCATAGCAGGACATCGCGCGGACCACCGCCCGCGTCCACAAAGCTGATGCTACCTATCTGCTAGCCAACGGCTCTGTCTCGTTGGTTCGCTTTTTTCGACCAAGAATGTACGAAACGGAATTCAACGCCTGAGAAAGCGTGAGATCTTGCGGCTGTGAATCCCATCCCTCATGTCACAGGACAGAGCCGTTGCTCCCTCTACTATTACGAGCACAATCAGTCGATCCCCGAAAGCTTAATTACCAACCGGTCGGCCAGCCATTCCTCACAGTCGCCCTGTGGTCTCACTCACGACCCTTTAATCTCGACCCCAACTTCCAACCCACTGGCCAGCCAAGCTCAATTCCAACCCCAAATTCCACGGAATTGGAAACCCATTCCCAGCCCTGTCCAAGTTCTCACGCTCCATCACGGCACGTGCGGCCCTGCCTTTTCCCGAAGCCGGGGGCGCCCGTCGTCCGTCCGTCTCACCCCAGCGAGAACGCTAGAACAGACCCTGCATATGGTGTGGACGGTAGGGAAAGGATCACGCACCCTCACATCGGGTGCCCACAACCGTGCATTCTCGGGTCGTAGGGCTGCGGGAGCCTTTCCCATTCTGGGAGGTAGGTCATGAGAGGACACAGCGCGGCAGGTGCCGTTTGTGTAATCATTTACAGGATTAAGCGGTGAGAGCGTGTGTGTGTGCGGAAGGGCGGATATGCAAAGAAGGCTGCAGAGAAGGCTTGGAAGAGATGACTGGCGTCAACAGCTGTGTGGTGTGCCGCGCCAGCGAGCTTCTCGTACTGTGATCCATGAGCAATGGAACTATTGGACCAATCGGACCAATCGGACGAGTAAACAGGGGAATAAGAAATCATGGTCTGTGTTCCGTTCCTATCGTGAATTTCGGAAGGCACGCATGGCGGTCGGGGAGGTAAGAATAGCATCGCTTGCTTGGGCCAAGGCTTGCCTTCCACCCTCTGTTCACTTACTAGCTGAGGCTGAAAATGAGGGAGCTCACGCCCACATCATCTGTCGGAGGACGGCAAAGTTGGAGCGTCTTGCACAAAGGCTCCGTGTGTTGGCGAGAGGCACTAGCCATATACAGTTAAAGTGAAAACGAACTGACCAGAGAACAACTTAAATTCCAAAAATAGCCCTGGGCCTTGGCTTGCGCCTGTTTCGAAGTTTTTCGCGTTGACCGACTTATGGAGTTGGACATGTGGAGAGCGGAAATTGAGGAGAGTGTATTTAGCGGCGAGTAAGAATAGCAGGCATTGTATTTTCGAGAATTGGAAGTGCCGTACCAGGGCGCGTGGTGCAGAACGTGCGATCGGTGGCCCGTACGTCCAGCATAGGATAAGGATAGTGGAATTTGGGGCGAACGTTAACGTCGAGAAGTGGGGGTTGCCCCAGATCGCGGAGAAACCAAAAAAAAAAAATGTCTGCATGCATCCAACCCACCCACAGAGGATTCGTTTGGGGGTGATCGTTCTATCGTGCACAAGCATCTTTCAAATCCTCTTGAAATAGAACAACTTAAGCTTCATTGAGAGCCTGAAGGTGGCCTGAGGCATTTGAGGCTCCGCGATTGCAGCTGCAGCCGTGCTCTTACACTTCGACAGAAAGTTGTATGCCAAGCGATTGAAATAGAACTAGTGACAGTAGATAGACGAGTGCGCATGGTGGCTTGCCGGAGATGTGAAAAGGTCCTGATCTACGACGAAACAACTGCCAAAATATCGCGAGCCAGAGTCTTCACGCCTTGAAATAGAAATGTGCATGACTCGGAGGGAAACGCTATGGTGGTTTTGGCGCGATTGTGGTACTAGTAAAGACATCGACCCTTCACGAGATATATTGGGGGAATGGGGCGCAAATTAAATGGGAAAAGTGGAGGCCTTCAGGTTGAGGTTTAAAGACTTGGCGAAGAGGGGCGAGAATTGAAGCACGTTTATGAGAGCATGGATGTAGAATAGAACTAGTGATATGCTGTTGCTTTAAGTGTACTACTATTAACTCAAAGACGCCTCTGCCGCAATGTAGACCCATTACCGTGATATACCGACAATTACACCATTCAGAAAGATAATCACCAAACTCCAAAATGCAGCCATTATCCCACTACTACCGTCGCATTACCATCCGAACCTCCCAACGCATCCTCACTAGCACTGGATATTTCCAGCATACGCACCCACAGCCTGACCCGCTAGGGCAGCCTCAAAATCTCCGGTCGTAAGCGTCCTATTAAAGAACAGACACCCTATCTCTAGGTTTCCACCTGGAGATCCGTAGTACCCAGCTGGTACCGTCAAGTTTTGGGCCCAGTATGCTGTCTTGCATTGGGTGCTGTCGCCGAACCCATAGCACTGCTCAAAACACTGTTGCTGCATCTGGGTTGTGCTTGTCGTGTACGATGAATAATAAGCGTAGTACATTAGAGCGCCGGCTGTGGAGGGCCCGGGCTGATACGTCATTGAGGATTCTGCAGTCGGGAGAGGGTTTGTGACGGTGCAGGTGGAGGGGATGGGCCTCGCTATAGGGCCGCCGGCACGGGATTCGATGCTGCTTGAAGTCGGGAGTGCAACCGTAAGGGAGACAAGACCGGCGAGGAGGAGCGTTGAGAAGAACATCTTGATTGATTATACGAGGTATTGATGTAGTTCGGTGATTCGGGCTCGTGGAAGAGTTAAGGATAGATGATGGAGAGTTGATCGAAAGCTGGATTGGAATACGTGCCGCTTTTGAAGGAGGCCGTGTCGTACGCAAGCGCTGTTGATGTTGTGGTGTTATAATGGATCTGGTGTTGGTATGAGGCGTATGTAACACTGAAGGAAGCACCACAGTTAATACTGCTAGCTCAACCGACAAGAACTTCTAGGTGTAAGGTGACGATACTTGACCATATCCCGTTAGCAGGCTCGCGATTTCATTATCGATTTTCCCCAATACAGGCACGCTGGATATTGGGCCTGGCCATGATGCTCAACTGCAGGCACCATGTGCGAAACTGGGGCGGGCGATCAACCGTCGTGCTTCCTCGCCATCGACGTCATCCTCCTTCGATAGGTTTAACGGCTTCAGTGAAAGTGTCTGTGCCTCTGCGTCGCATTATTGGCTGACACGACAGCTCTGAGATGGAAATAGAAGTGTGACGGGGGTGGCCGTTGTGAACGGTGCAGAAGTGCAGGTCTGACTGGTCAGAAGCCAAGCAGCAACCGAGTTTCCCGGGCCGGCTGTGGCGTTCTTACGGAGTGTGGAACCATTGTCCGAGCTTCTGACTACTCATGAGGACTGTGACGGAAGCATCGTGGTATTGGACGTTGTAACATTGTTCTTGAGAAACGACGGTGGAATTTTGGAATTATGGTCTCCTGGTGGCTTCTTTACAGATCTTCCCTTGGGCTTGGTACCCTAAGATGTGACGGCGAACGGTCTGTATCCTTGACTCTACCTGACTTTTGCTTGAATTGAAAACATACCCTCCGACTTTTCTCTGATGTTTCAGTAAGAAGTTGGAAAACGTCTAGTTAAGCTCTTTTGTTTGCCATGCATAGTACGCACGAGTATATTGTGCCAATCAACTCGTATAGGAAGCACTTACGCCCATTTGCTTCTTTGGATACTTGACCCTCTCTTCTAGCCCCTCCTTCTCTGGTTTCTGGTTAAGCTCTTTCTGCATGTGTGCGCTTATTTTTGTAATAGTTGCGATTTTACGCTGCTCGCTCTCCGCCTCATCTGCAATAGCCTTGATTCTCTTGTTCTAGTCATTAGTTTGCAGCATAGTTACTACTGCTACCCGCGTTGCTCGGCGAGATTGTCAGGATTTGCGGCACCCCAGATAGGGTTGCCTGTTGGCCAGAGTAGTCCAAACCATCTCCTCAATGCATACTTACCAGAAATGAACGAAGTGCTGGTAAACGGCTTGGCCTAGGTTTCCTTTGCAGTTGTGCGTTCTGGGTCTCTGTACGGGCTTTGACTTGTCCTTGGACTTCGTTTCAATTTCTTCGACTTCTCCGGAGGGAGTCGGCTGGATGTGGAGGTTTCACGCGGTCTTCTGAGGAGCATGAGCCCGAACTGACATCTCTTTATCTTAGGGATTCCCCTTGGGACAGTGGTGGCCCTGGAAGACTCATCGACGGCTCCGTAGCTTGTAGAGAGGGGATCCTCAGCTGCTTGTGCAGGGGAGGGGCCCATATCTAGCTACCCAGATTGGGATTGTGACCGTGTACTACAATGGTAGTTCGCTAGCGGCAAGAGGTTTTGAAAGAGGAGCCGGGGGTTTAACGTAAGTGTGTTGCACTGCGGGGAGCGTTTGTGTTAATACGGCATGGCGGGTCTGTCACTCAAGTAGTGCCCTCCGACTGTCATTCCTAGTACAGCCTTAATTTGTCTTGAGATTTTCTTGCAATATTTTGCTTATATCTATCTTAGCAGGCAAATTCTCTGATGAGCCCTTCTCTGACGCCTTCCCCTCAGAAGAGGTCCCACAAATAAGGGAAGGGTGAGTAGAAATATAGATGCGTGTGTAAATTTGCTTCGAGGCTGAGGCCACGGGATTTGCTTTCAATAACCTCCCAGTAGCGGTACTCGAACCCATGTCCAAAAAAAATGGTTGCTTCTCTTTGATTAAGCGTGTCATCCTTAGTGCAGGGGCCATGCTAATCTTCTCTGTATTAAACAAATTGACCAGGTGCCCGAAGGCGTAGTGGATTGAAATTAGACGCTTTATATAGACGAGGAAATTAGAGCGTGGTGAGGTGAAGTCACCACATTATGGCCTTGCAAACGGGCACTCAAACTGCCTTTCTGTCTGTACATAGGCTACTAAGCCCAACCAAAAATCACTCCATCCTCTCAACGCACGTGTAGTGACCTACCAAACTTCAAACTTCAATTAGAAAGCCGATATCGAGCTTCAAACTCTCACTATCTCCTCCCACAGCCATACTCATCCAGTTAAAAAGCAGGACCGCCTATCTAATCTCTATCACTCGCATCTTTAATCACCACCCAAAATAATTCCCATAGCACCACGAATCCAGGCGGTATAAATAGCACAGCTATTCCACTGCCGCATGCCCTCTCGTAATCCCTCGCCCAGGTCTCGTGTGTGTAGAACTTCATTGTCTTCACTGCGACAGAAATTGGATAGAGTAGGACGAAAGGCAGAAGGTACCCAGATCCCCTTGGAGCTTATGACGCAGGTTTCTAAGATTAATGCAAAAAATAGGATAGTAGATGGGTGCTCGCTAGCTGCGTATGGGGGGTATCGAGCGAGAGGGACGTAGAGCGGCTCAGAGGGTAGACCCAAGATGAGAGTGTAGAGAATGCTAATTAGATATAGGGCGATCGGGGAGGTAGCTGCGACGACGGAGGAGGCTGTGGAGAGTATGTGGATGATAAGAATATGGAGGAATATGAACTATTGATCATGCGCAATTTTCATCTTTTAGGTCAGTCCAACCTCGCCATTAGATTTGTAATGATAAAACATGTTTGGCCAGGCGAAAGCGCTTTAGTATGGAAGATGTGAAGAATATTCTTGCTGCTTGGGCGAATTGTTGCTCAAACTTCATATAGTTACCTCACAGCCAAAAAAGTCAATACTACACGCTAAACGTCCCGCTACAACTGGAAATTCGGAAGAAGAAAGCTGAAGTTCATCTAGCTTGGCTCAGGAGGGGAAGCTGCTTGGGCCAATGACTTGTGGTGACTCGCCGAGCCGAAGTACATTCAGTACCTTGGTTTTCCTTCATCCCTTCGGACTTCCATTCAACTACCCGGCTACCTCAGCCACCTCTCAAACTAACCGTAGGTGTATGCGAACCACAAAGCCTTCGGAAACTTAGAAGCGAAACTTTTAGCTTTCTCATCTCTGTACATATCGACCCTCTTGCCCTGCCTTCGGCCTGGCCTCTACTAACAACCCATCACATTCCTACGCTACGGGAGAGGATTCCAAAGATACGACAATACCCACTCCACTACTGCCCTCAGTATTGTCCGTCATCCGAGCGAAAACACGGAATTAATTATCAATACAATTACGACTCCAGGCAATCCTGTGCCACGTCTTGGAATAACAAGGAGTGCGAGGGCAATCGCATTCGGCATCATATTCCCCCTTCTTGCAAGTCGCTTCAGCTTTGCAAGAATATTTGAAGAGACTCCGTGGGCAAATACAGTACAGTCTTGGTGGGACAATAGGGCTTTGGGCCACGTGCTGCTGATACGGTTAGCACGAGGAAACTCTATATGGCTCGCGAAAGTTCTACTTATCCAAGACTAAGTTCTTGAGGTGAATGACACAAGGGAGAATTTGTGAAATTATTTATTACTGGGCTTAGAATACTCCATCTAGCTGGCTGCATTAGTCAATACATTTAGGAAAAGCACTCGGGGGAGGTAGCAACCATGATGCATGAAACAAAGCTCTACTAATCTACCAGGAGCCTCCTTCATTGGAGATTCACCCATACCCTCTTCATTCACGATCTGACCATCCACGATTCTGCCCGTAGCTCGTGAATACCGGAGAGGGAGGTCCTCTAAAAGGCGATTTCGCCCCCGAGAGTTCATTCCTAACTCCCCTGGATAAAGCGGTACCGGAGACAGGGCTGGTGGTGTTTCCATTCGTATACTTTGGGGGTAGTGAGCCAGTAAATGTGGGTCGTATCTCTCGCGCTCATGGAAGGTTCCGGCGCCTTTTCCGGGTTGGTTCGGGTGGGTCCTGGTAAGGAGCTGGAACTGATTGTTCGTACGGGCGACTACACTTTAGGATGAAGAGAACCGCACCGCCGATGGGTCCGAGGACTGCAACACCACCAATGAAGCTTCCTGCTATGACACCCGTGTTAGTATTTTCGTGGCTCGAGGGCGAGGGAGAGGCTGAGGTTGTTGTGGATGCTGGTTTCGCTATGGATGAGCCTGGATCTGGGGTCGTTGGTACTGAGTTGCTGGAAAGAGATGAGTTGGGGAAGATTATATAGCGAGTATTAGAGACAAAGTGTCGCCGTTGAATGACCGATGGATCTAACCCGTAATAGTAGGGTTCTGCTTGCAGATTATCTAGTTACCGCTGGCCGAATAGCTGCACAAAAGAGAGAAGACTGCGCTCAAACCACCAAACGCTGTGTACGGCAGGTTTGTCAAACATGTATATGAGCTTTACACACTAATTTTACCAACTTTTAACAAATGAGCGTAGAATTTCTTTTCCTGGAGTACATTTGGGGCTTAACATGGGTAGGATGTTGACTGCTCAAATATCCCGCCTCAGGAACAGGTTTTGTAATAGATACACGCGTAAGGGGTTGTGAAAGAGTAATAGAGGCCAGAACAAGAACCACAGTAATGGCCTGAAGATGAGCATGCATAATACAGAGGATCGTAGCTTGTTGTTATCCCTGGCTAGATAATAGTTTGGATACCGAAGACTATCAGGAGGTATAGTTACAAAATAGTTTCACGTTCATCATGCCTGGCTGAGGAATAACCTAATGTAGACGTTGGGTGGCCTGAATTCCTCCCGCCTTGACGGAGCAGAACAAACCATTACTTGGTGGCATACTGCGAGGAGGGGCCGAATAAAAAGGACTATGAACAACCCTCAATGTGAGAAAAATGCACCCGAGAAAGGAGGTAACTACAACAAGGCTGGCCTTTCCGGTAGGGCTGTTCGTGGCTCAATCGTATTGGCAATCGACACAACAGATAAGGCTCAGTACATCCTCGGAGTAGAGGTGAAGAGAGTTGGAATGGAGTCCTTAGGTAGCCCTACTACCATCATATTGCGATGTATCGGGTAAGGCGGTTAACGGAATCGGTTATCAGACAATACTGTAGGGTGATCCCACATTATCGCATTAGCACTCTTCTAGCGCATGGTACTAGTAAGGCCTATATTCACTGAACAAGCTGAAAGGAAATAGTCTGAGGGCCAAGATAGGTTTTGAAAACTGTTAAAGTAGGAGAGAGCGAGGTTCATTCTTGATGAAGATATGGCGAAACTCTAGTATCGGTCTCACGGAGCAACTCTTCCCGAGTAAACCAAAACTGACTGTATATTTGTCCGATTGGGTCAGTGTCAATATATGGATTTAAAGCTTGCCGCCTAGTCAGAACAAACCCTTCACTAACGCCTCGACCTTAGAATATAATTCCCCATCTTCCTGCCCTGTTGCTCTCTTCGCAATAACCGGTATTTGATCATGTGCGACCTTGTAATGCCGTAAGTCGTGATCCAGATCCAATCGTCTAACAAGCTGCAATATCTTCTCTCCCACATTCTCCGCATCCTTCTCATTATCACCACTCGGTTTCTCTCCAAGGAAGGGCATAAGTCGGGCAATCTGCTCAGCAGCCGCTGGTTCCGAAGCTTTCAGCTTGACGACGTGGCCGAGGGTTAGGCAAGAAGTTATACCATGGGGAATACCATATGGAGACCCAAGGGAGTATCCGAGAGCGTGGCTAAGGCCTAGTCCTCCTTTGATGTTGGTTCCTAGGAATCCCAAAGATGCAAAAGCCGCAAGTTGAAGTTTTGTAATTACATCCTCATCTTTCGGGTTCTCTTTATACTTGGGCAGATTCGTGAATAAGCTTTGGGCGGCCTGTAGCACCATCCACCTAGCCGGCACCTCGCTCGCGGTAGGATGATATAGAAGTTCAACCGCATGATCCATCGCTCTCATTCCCGTACTCAACCATAGCCTCTGAGGTGTGTGTAATGCGAATGAAGAATCATATAGTACAATGTGGGGAACTAGCTCTTTCCCTCGTACACCAGTCTTCACACCATTAGATTCAGTGAAGCCGGCCATCATAGTACACTCCCCAGCACTCAAGGTCGTTGGAATGGTGATATGGTAAAGCCACTTTCCAGTCTTCTCATGCAAACGGTAGTTAATTGCTTTTGCCGAATCAATCGGGCTGCCTCCGCCAATCGAAATCACCGTGTCGATTGATGAGTCCTTTCCAACGAGTTCGGTAGCCTCGTCGAGTTGGGCTACGGGTGCATGTTCTCCTATCCTGGAAAATGTGCCGGCGTGGCGAGATGACAGCAGGTCTTCGACGTGCTTGACCAAGGGTGTTTTCGTCGCGAGCGAATTACCGGTAATGATGAACGCCTTGCTCCTTTCACTCGGTAGTGATTTGACCAAGTGTTCAGCCACGGTCTCGCTGCCATAGTATAGCTTCTGCAATTGCGTAGGTTGCCATAGACCACCGAGGGGATTGTATGTCGCATCTGTCATTTTGGATTTCTGCGCAGACTGATGTCGAATTGATGAAGGGAAATTTGACAATGCGACCGAAGACCGAAATTGAGGCCTCGATCTCCTTGATGCGAGGGTATCTGGGAACCGAGGTAGAGTGCCAGCCCGGGGGTTTGATATGGAGGTTATGAATGTCGTAATTACGATTTTGAACGAATCTGCCCGTTGCTGATGGATGGGTCAGAATGCGTGGTGTTAGAGGCATGAGCTCTGAAAAAGCTCGATTGGGTAGTATGAGATCTTAATCTGTGGTAAGGGTAATGTGCGGAACATACATGCGAATGTGCTTGAAGAATGATGAAGTGAGGGGAGAGATTACGGGATTAGCTTGGTTATGTCCGTGCCGAGGGAGGATGCGGAATTGGAGCGCGCACCTAAATTGAGATAGACTGCATCGGGTTTAATTACTCAATTTACACCTTCCATGACAAGTGTCTCTAAAGAAACCATCAATACTCTTGGGAAACGACTCATCTTGATATTTCTCGTAGATTTGATGGGTTTGATTCGAGCCCCTGGATTGGATATAACATCGATAGTCATCTGGGGTCTGTTAATGGGAATTGAATACTTAAATCCTAGAGAATCTGGGAGGATTTTGACCAAGATAAATGAATTCGAATTTTGACGCTTCGAACAACCTATGGGGTGAAAACTGGGTTTCAGCTGAGATTGTACGGAATCCAGCCCTCTAGGCACCGAACAACAAACCCCATCAAATCTTTTCATTGCCCAAAACAATGAGTTGGTCCACTCCCCATACTCTTTCTATTATTAAAGCTTCCTATATCTACATCCAAGATATGCTGACGCTTCACCATTAGATATGGATCAGGCAGATCTTCAAACAACTTGCCGCTTTTGCCTTTTCCTCGTCAACTATGAAGAACCAACCACCGGGCCTTGGATCTCCGAGATTCTAAAACTCGAGTCTATGCAAAAGAGTGCAGAGAGATGCGGCACGTGTCGAAAATTTCTCCACGGCCTTCAGTGTTGGGGCGATAAGCATTCCGTCATATCGTGGAGAAACCGGGAGGGACGGTTGATTATGGCGCGGTTGGAGCAAATCCCAGAGAAGGGAGCTGGAAAAGACAGGAGACGAAAGGTAAAAGAGCTGATCATAGTTCCTGAAAAACCAGAAATCTGCTCGAAATCCATGGTTTCTTTCGCTAGTCTCTGAGGACAGGGAGGGATAGAATTAACAGGGCCGCCCGCTCCTTGTCCGCCCCTTCTCTCATCCTCGGACTAGCCTATCTAGCGGCCCTATTATTTCTATGCAATCTCCGCAATTCTCCCCGAAGCTTTTGCTTCTCCTACTCGCGAAGCTTGGTAGCTAGTCTTGATAGCGATGTCGTCAGAGATAACAATAACATCTCCGAGACTATAATGATGGCATCGACCACGATTCCCAGTATATTGGACATGATTGGGGAACGCAATCAATGATCCGGGACAAGGATTAATTGTTAAGACAGGGAAGAGTTGGGTTGAGGGGAGGAATATCCGAAAATATCCGAAGCATATCAATGCAAATTGCAGCGTCCGAGAGAGTATAAAGTACCATTGTCTCACATGGGCTTAGACAGATGCCGTCTAACTGGTTGAATGACAGCCAAATGTAATTATGATATGACCACTACAGGAAAAGCTGATGCGTGTCACGTGATCGCAAAGATCATTCCAAACGGGGAAGTCAGGAGGTTCGGAGCCCGACGCTGTATACGTTGGCAGGTATCATATTTTCAAGCCTCCCCAACTTCTTCAATGACTCGCTTTAGATTGTTGATATCGTGCGCAAACCGTCCGAGGAAAAGACCGTCCACACCTTCGGCAATCGTGGCAAAAGTTCCTGGCCCTGCGCTACCGCCATAGATAATCCTCGTTACTCCGTTCCGATTGCTAGTCATTCTTCTGAGCTCTTTCGTGACATTTACAACATGATCGGGGTTCGCCGGTTTAGAGGCGCCAATCGCCCAAACGGGTTCATATGCAAGGATGACCTCAACATCGTCTGGCACAGCAGCCAGCACTGAAGAGACTTGGGGCCGACACTCCTCCACTGCCATGCCTACGGCAGCGGAGGCAATGTTGTGGTACGTCTTCTCTCCAATGCAGACCAGCGGTATTAGGCCGTTCCGCGCCGCTGCCCCAGCCTTCTTCGCAACCCAGTCGTCAGTCTCTCCGAACATAGCTCTTCGCTCTGCATGCCCTATCTCTACAATCTTTGCGCCAGCTTGTTGCAAAACGAGGGGAGAGACTTCTCCTGTGTATGCCCCATTGTCTTCCCAGAAAGTGTCCTGGGCTCCAAGCATGACGTGCGAGGATTCGAGGATGCGCGCAGACTCCATCAGAGTCACGAAGTCGGGGATCACGAAGAGATCCACGCGTGCGTTCCACGCTTCGCCATCGAGTTGATATACACCCCGAACATACGAGAGAGTGTTTTGCAGGTCGTAATACATCTTCAGGCTTACCCCGACGATGCGGCGAGGTCGCGAGAGCGGCAGCATCGCGAATTCAATTGACTGAAATTGATATTGTCTCTGGGATGAGGATATTCGTCGATCATAAGGGGACCCCAGACTCTTTAAATTTGGACGACGTCACGACAATGCAAGCAAATTGCAGATGTCCAGGAGTGCCAGGGTTACTGCATAAGGAAAGCCCGGGGACGAAGGCTGGGCATCGGATCGGTGCAGGGGAAAGGAACAAGGCATCTGCGGGGAAGGCGTTCCTGAGCCACATCCTCAATATCTGGCTACTTTTCCTGCAATGTGCAGACCAATTTGTGCCAAGAAGGAAGTGTAGAATCTCAGTAGTCTCAATTGGCCTAGCTATAGATAGTGGAGGACAATGAAAACGTGGGGATGCGTGTGGCTGGTCATGCGCGAGCTTCACCATTCTGACAACGCTTGGCTCCGATTGTTCTCCGATTCCCCCAACTGGGGACTTCGTAAAACTCTTCCCTCTCCTTTCATCTTTCATCAGCAAAACATCCTCGTCGCCGCCCACAAGCCAAATTAGCAGAGCGATTGCGGTACATGCAGCGGGAGCTTGCGGATCGTTGGGCTCGCGCTCGTTATTTTGGATAGTCGGAGGTAGGTAGCTTTTTCCTGCGCGCAGGGGTGCGGTGAGCACACTGAAGGAGCCCGGCACGCCCGCTTTCACGAGCCCAAAACTCTCCGGGGGTTCGTATACTCGGTGTATTGCCAGTCTTTGCAAATCAACCCACTTAGATACCACCGCAGAGTGATAGTCGTCAATTTTTTCCTCTTCTTTTTCTCTTCCCCCATTGTGCCCTCACCATGCACATCTCTCAGAAGCTGGCCCAGGCGAGGGCGGAGGGCAAGCCCACATTCTCGTTTGAATTCTTCCCTCCTAAGACGGCCCAGGTAAGCATAGAGAGTCCCATCTGTCTTACTGACTAGGTACTGACTACGGTTTCCAGGGTGTCCAAAACCTCTACGACCGCATGGACCGCATGCACGGCTTCGGTCCTCAATTCATTGACATAACATGGGGAGCAGGCGGTCGTCTTTCGCACCTCACTTGCGAGATGGTCAAGGTTGCTCAATCAGCATATGGTCTTGAGACCTGTATGCACCTCACCTGCACCGACATGGAGAAGTCGAAGATCGACGAGGCCTTGAGGGAAGCATATCGGGCTGGTTGCACCAACATACTGGCTCTGCGGGGAGATCCACCCAGAGAAAAAGAGAAGTGGGAGGCTACAAAAGGAGGCTTCCATTATGCCAAGGATCTGGTGAAATACATTCGTGAACGTTACGGGAACCATTTCGACATTGGCGTCGCGGGATACTCAGAAGGCTGCGAAGACAACAACAATGTGGACTTGCTCATCGACCACCTCAAGGAGAAAGTCGATGCCGGCGCAACATTCATTGTAACGCAAATGTTCTATGACACCGACATCTTTTTGGACTGGGTTAGCAAAGTCCGGGCGAGGGGCATCGATATCCCTATCATTCCAGGGATCATGCCAATTCATACGCACGCCGCATTCATACGTCGGGCGAACTGGACGAAATGCAGCATTCCAGCTCATTGGACAGAAGCCCTTGAGCCCATTAAGAACGATGACGTCGAGGTTCGTGAGGTCGGCAAGGACCTTGTTGCAGAGATGTGCCGTAAGCTCATCGACGCCGGCATCCTGCACCTGCACTTCTACACCATGAACCTAGCCCAAGCAACTCGCATGGTCCTTGAAGAACTCGATCTGCTCCCTGATCTTGAGAGTCCTCTGGAGAAGCCACTTCCTTGGAGACCTTCCCTTGCCCTCAACCGCCGAGACGAGAATGTACGTCCGATCTTTTGGCGCAACCGTAACCGATCTTACGTGGCCCGCACTCAAGATTGGGATGAATTCCCCAACGGCCGTTGGGGTGACGCTAGATCACCCGCTTTTGGCGAGTTGGATGCTTATGGGGTTGGCCTGAAGGGTACTAATGAACAGAACATCAAACTTTGGGGTACACCAGCCTCAATAAAAGACATCTCAGACCTGTTTGTACGGTATATGAGCGGCAAGCTGGAGTCCCTCCCTTGGAGCGAAGCCCCAATTTCCAAGGAGGCAGATACTCTCAAGGGAGACCTCATCGATCTCAATCGGCGTGGCTTCCTTACGATCAATTCACAACCGGCTGTGGACGGAGCCAAATCATCTGACATCGTGTATGGATGGGGACCACGGAATGGATATGTCTACCAGAAGGCCTACTTGGAAGTTCTCATTTCTCCTGAGCATATTTCAGAGGTTATCACTAGGATTGAACGTAATCCAGACCTGACCTACTATGCCGTTAACAAGGAAGGAGATTTAAAGACTAATTCACCAGGGGACGGCCCGAACGCTGTGACTTGGGGCGTATTCCCCGGTAAGGAGATCGTGCAGCCGACCATTGTTGAAACAGTGAGCTTCCTGGCTTGGAAGGACGAGTTTTACAGGCTCGGCCAAGATTGGGCAAACTGCCACTCTTCAGTGAGTCCATCGCGCTATGTCATTGAGGACCTTGTGGATACGTGGTATCTTGTTAATATTGGTGAGTCCGTTCTGTCATATACACTGAACAGTCGAAAGTTAATTGCACCATTTAGTCCATAACGATTTCCACGTTGCCCACGGCATATTCCCTCTTTTCAATGGTCTCCAAGTCCAAGACATGGAAAAGCCGCTTCACAACATTGGCATCTCTCAGAGCAAGTCCGAGCAAAATGGCATTGGCGAAAAATCTGCTGTCGGCAGCATCAAGTCTGCCGCCTCAGCTATCACGAACGGCCTCAACGGCCTAAAGCTCTCCAACTAATGTGTATACGCATTCACGATCTTACTCCATTTCAACACGGAAGACCGGTTTCTTTCCAGGCGTTTCGAGTATCATTCGACTCAACGATTTAACTCAACGATTCATCAAGTATGGGCGGCGTTTTCTACTCTCAACAGTACGCAGGGCTTTGACAGTCATTTTCTCTCAGCAGAGTGGGGCCCAATTCTGGCGTTGAAAAGGTTGTTTCATTGCATACATATATGCATATGAAAGGCGTCGATTCAACCTGACGACCATATTTAATGAGGTAATGATGAATGACAAAAAGGGGTGAAATTTTTTATAAAAATGGAGGAGACGATGGATTCTAAAGATACCCGACTGGTGCCCTCAACGGCGCTGGTTACAGCCTTCAACTTTGTTGCTGGTCCCGCTAAGTAATTAGGCTTTTAGAGCAAAGACAATGGTATTTGTTGCATTGCCATGGATATCCCCGTTCGCTTCGCGGAGTAGCTGCTTCTTACTTCTGGGCAAAGCCAACTACCACCGCCATGATCAGACTAAGACGCAAGGTTTGGTAGGTAGAACGAAAAAAGGAGGGTGCGAGCGAACATAGAGTTAACTATTTCATCAACATCAGGCTCTCGCAGCATCCACCGCCTCAACCTTTGAAGACCGCAAACAATAGCGAAAGAGCCTCCGCGAGTGGATTTTCAACGATTTCAGTCTCGTACGGAAGGCCCCGATTATTGTTCTCTTCTTTTGAGGCTGCTCCGCTACGAACATGCAACAGCGGCCACTGATCTTGGTGTGATAGGTCATCCTTGCGTGCGCCTCTTGAACCTCAATTGTTGGGTGTGGTGGGGGTGTCGGTTTTGCGATAAATTGGACGGATTCCCGAGGACATCGCCGTTTCCTTTCTCTTTCAATCTTTATTACATAGGTACTTAGGAGTCTCTGAGATACTAAGCTGTAGGTCGCACTCACGTTTCACGTTTCACTGTCTGCTTGTTCGTACATGTCGTCACTTCCTGGGGAGCTTACTACTCAGATCTCGCCCAGTCTGGAACACTATCTTAACAGCCTGTACATTTAGCCGCTAAATTTCCCTTCTACTCCGGAGCATTCAGTGGTCACCCTTGGAGACAAAACAACTTTGCGCCCACTTCCGATATCCATTCACCACCACCGAACTGTAGAGGACCTCAGGATCCTTTATTTGGAAACAATAGCTTTTGCACCTCTTCCCATATCCTCTCTCCATCATCGAGTTGCAGAGACCTTCAGGACACCCTCCGCCTTGATATCTTGCCTGTGTCAACGTGATTTTAGTGTCTCTGTTTTCCAGCTCTGCACATCATGGCTTAGAATGGAAATCGAACTTCTGCCTTCTGACTCGTCTCCGAGTGACATGATGGGTCCTAATGAACACTGAATTGTACCGTTTCACAACCAGCGCCTACACAATTAGGTCTTTCATTATTATACGACCCTTTTGCGATTTCTCTTGCGAAGCTGGTTTAAACACGGATTTCCCCGTCCCAAAACGCCTCACTCTCAGAGCTCCCATTCCTCCCAGTCTTTGAAATTACGGTGGTTTCTCCACGTGAGAATGAAGCCTACTTCGGTTTCAACCCGGATAAGCCTGACATGGATAAGCCTGATTTCGCATTCGGAGCCCACCAAGACTGATTTCAACAGAGCACACCCTCAAATGCAGATACCTGCAATGCTGAAGACGAACCATCAACCTCAATCACAAACTCCTAGGAAGCCAACCCACCATCCGAGGAAGAAGCTGTCCCAAACACACCAAACACTAAGCTCGCTCCACCAAGAGGTTCGAGGTAACTCTTCCTCTTTCAATGCTACCATACGACCTTTCACTCACGTATATTGACAAATTTCCTCTCCCACAAAATATCGCCACCATCGCTGCATCACTTACTCTCACCACTCTTGCAGCCGCACCTTTATGTTCAAGAAAGATCTAAATCGACATGTTGAAACTCGTCAGCACCAACAAGGTCCTCGGAGCTATCGCATCATGTGTGAAGTGCCGTTCTACAAGCGGACAATGGTTTTATGAGACGCGGCCACTACGTTCGGCATGTGAGGAGTATGCATCTGGGGCTGGAGATGGAGGAGGCATCTGCTTGATTATATTTAGAGGAGCCGATTTGTTTGGAGGTTGTTTCGAAATATGGATTTGCTTGAGGAATCGTGGGTATTGTGCCACTCAAGGCGTACTTCGGAATTGTGTTGGGAGTTTGGCGCGGACTGGCTTTGTATGAGGTTAATGGACCTCCTGCTATTAAAGTTTTACGAAAAGTTGCATGGGTTCCATGCTGCTAAGTGTTTAAGGGGACGAAAAGTGCATACATTTAGTGCGTGCTTTAGCGTTCAAGGAGAGTGCTCGAAGGACGAGAACACATCGCAACAATTGAAAGCATGGGTGGGAGATGCTCAGTTATTTTCTTTATCTGACGGAAGACTTACGGAATTTTGTTCAGAGGAGTGATCAGTCACTATGAACTAGTATCGCTCTAACACCCATCAGCTAGGTTCTGAAAAGGTATGGAGGAAGCTGCAGGTCATGAGCAAGCACTTCCTGCTGACCTGCATCTGCATCTGCATCTTGACAAATCTATGAGCCAAGCGCTTCGGTATCCTGCATGTAAGTTTGCTAATCGACCATATGTACCCATCAGGCTACGTGCGAGATATCATATCCAACCCCTCAACATAGACGCCCGTATTGGTTACAACATCCCTGATCTACGTCTAGCAGAAGCTAATACGATTTGAACAATGATTTCTTCAGTGGAATAAAGCAAGAGTGTTTGTAGAGGAAACTCACAGTATTCCTCGATGAAAATCCCATATAGCTACGGGAAACCCAGGCATTGAAACAGACAAACATTATCCTTGCACTCTTAGCACTCGGCGCAGTCGTATCCTTCCCATTGGTCTTCGGGGTAGGAGGAAGAGGAAGGCAAGTCGGAATCGGGAATGGGTGTTGCAAGTGCAGAGAGAGCACAGGTGGCGAGGAGAGGAATGAGTATGAGATTGAGTTGTATATTCTGAAAGGCTGGGGGGAACGCGTCATGGGATGTCTTTTCTTTGGAATTTTGGAGTGAGTAGAAACAGAAAGATATTTATCAGTGTCGCGCTTCTAGCAGGAGAGTCACCATTCATTAAGAGAACTGATCCCCCTTCGTTTAACGATGTCACTCTTACACCTACTACTCAATTCTAGATTCTAACAAGTCCGTGAATCAAGCACTTTGTATTCAGTACCTGGTACCCAAGAGATGGATCGTGCATGTGCACTCTGGCCGCTTATCGATAAGCAGGGGAGTCGCGTCGTAAGCGGAGTGGGGTTAGACAAACTCGGGAACGTGCTGAAGGCTCATCAGGAGATTCAATATATACCCGAAAGATTGTTTGAGGCGGAGGGAGTGCGGGTTTCGGCTGCCGGTCCTCGGTAGATTGCACCATGCATGGGAATTTGTGATCAGGTGGTTGCTGATAGCGTACCCCGCGAAGGCTGCTGATTGGTATTGTGGAGCTAGGGCGGGGATACGAGGCGGCAAAGGGAGTTCACGAGTGTTAACATCAGTCCCACAACTATCAACTTTGGAAGCTCGTCTGAGTACCTCCTGCCCTTCGAGCATCAGCTTTGAAATTGCTTCCTAGTTCCATCTTCCCTAATTCTCTCCTGAGCGCTGCCCTCGACTGTGACGCGGATGCAGGCTTCGGTGCTCTCGGCGAAGAACTACTCCACCCGGAGCACCACTGAGCGCCCGTGACTCTTCTTGACCTGCCTCTCTTCCTGTCCTCAAACCCACGACACTATTCACCCTCAAATCTCCCTTATTTCCCTGTTGATGTAACACCCGTTCCTTCCAGACCGGCGATCGACCGTGTCAACTCTCGCGTCGTCCAACCTTCCTCTGTCGACATCAACTGGGAGAACAGGGTCCACAACGATTTCAACATCAAATCGCACTCACAGTCGCAATGGGCTGGTGGCGTCGCAATCCCTCTCTCTGGTACCGCTCCCCCCTGCACCGCTACGTTCGTCGCTCCCTCCTCGACAACGAGGCTGCGCTCCGGAGCCGCTGCTTCTCTAAGGCGCCACCTCAACCCACCCAGCACAAGGACGACGATGAAGGCGGAAAGCGTCCCCCAGGAATATCGGGTCTCGAGTGGGTCCAGCTTCAGCACTACCGGCGCTGGAAGCAACGGTTGAACGAGGATCCGTACCATGTCTTGTTCGGAGCGAGCAATGACATGCTCAAGGGGAAGGGACTAAAGAACTGGGAGTGGATGTACAAGGTCTTTCCGAAATGGATGGTGAAGGATATGGACTTCCCGGAGTGGTCCGGACGGGAGAAACGGACGGAGGCCCAAAATAACGGTAAGCCTCGCGGAGAGTACGTCGCAATTGATAATCTTCTTAATGACCTTGCCACAGGATCTTTGGGGAAGACCGCTGGCAATTCTCCCTATCCTTCCCCGCCATCGTACACCAGCATGAACGCAGCTTCCGATGCGACATACCCGAGGAAGGTCAACATCGATAGCGGGGATCAATCAAAGTCGCGGAACCCTAGCTGGAAGGCACGGGAAGCTACTTTCAAGACTACCCGTATTGACCGATCCGGAGAATCATCAGGTGTAGCATCTCCTTCAGACCCTCGGCGACCACAGGAACGAAGCGAGCCATATCGCAAGGACGACGCCCAGAATTCTGAGTGGGTGTATGGCAAGACGGCTGGTTGGAGGGTTGGAGCGTCTACTCCTAAAGAAGCCACTCCTTTGAATGACACATCTCGAGTCTCCAAAACGGCAACCCGGCCAAGTTCTATTAGCGAGAACGACACCGCATCTAGGGAAGAGGCATCGACTCGAGAGGCGGCATTCATCAAGGAATTTCTTGCAGACTCACCTGGCCCTCCCAAGACTGTCTTAGGATTGGAGAACAAGACCAAGGATTGGAGAGAAACAGTCCTAGAACGACGCACATCACCCGGATATGCCCCGAAGCCTAGGAAGGCTGAATCAGCTTCGACTGACACACCTAAACACACCCAGGACGATGGAATCAGCAGTCAACCTCCTGAGCTCAAGTCTCTGTCGACAAGTGAACCACCAGGGCATCGATTTTGGCCGGCTATGTCAAATCGTGGACAGTCTCCTACCGAGGACCTATCCCCAATTCCTTCTTCTCAATCTCCAGGGAATGGCAGTGAAATGGAAGCCCACCGCCCGATCCTAAAGGCAGAGGTCGCATTTCCAGAAGACCCAGACCGAGTTATTAAAGTTAGCCATAGGCATTCCGAGACTGGAGAGTGGACTCAGACTTCCATTCACGTTGACGATCATGATTATTCCCTTCCTTCTGTCCTACAAATTTTGAACAAGAAACCTATTTCCTCTGTAACCCCAGGTATGGAGAAAGCTATGAAAGAGCTTGGAAAGGAAGAGAAGCCCTTTAACGTGGATAGACCTGTTGATCTGAAGAACTTGTCCGAAGCTGCGAGGATTGAGTGGGCTACGAGGAGATGGAATGAAAAGAAGGTAAGAGAGCTTGTAGGAGAGAGTGAGAGCCCTTCTTTGAAATACGCCAAGCTTGCTGATGGCTCATTCGGCCCCATGCAGGGTGGGGAGACTCAAGTTCCGGCAGAGCATCAGCAAACGATGAAAGGTGATGAGGGCCTTGCCCACCATGGAAAGGCATCTCATAAAGGAGATGCAGAGGAGACCACATCTCCCGCTGGTTCTAGATGTACCTCTGATGTGCTTAGCCAGCTTCCCCAGGATGACATAGATTTCCTTTGTGCAAGCGACATCCGAGCATCGATGGGAGTAAAAAAGAGTAACAAAGGAACTGCACATGAACAGACCACGACCAGACGGAAGCTCGAAGAGGAATTCAAGGGTACGCATAAAAAAGAGTCGGTCATCAATCCCTTGCCTGAGGCTAAGATGCTGAATGATCAGTATGCGCGACGGGTAGAACGAGAACTGAAGGAGAAAGAGAAGGTCGTCGTCCCGGAGCCTGGTACTCACCCAACCACGGCCTCCACCTCAGAACCAGTGCTGGAAATGAGCTTGGACCGCATGACTAAATGGCTGCAAGCCGGGGGGGATGTCTTCACCAAGCATTTCTGGTCGGATCCTATTCAAGCGACGGAGTCGGATCGAAATAATAGGACTACTGCGCCTGACCCTCTTTTAGCAGCCATTGGTGCCGGATTGCAGAAGGGTCGCAATGCCATCCAAGGTGTCAAAAACGAGTTGGAGGTTGATCTACCCTGCAGTATCCCCTTGCTGAAGAGACTTGCAGCCAACGAAAGAGATGTCTTCGCCATTCTTGATCACTTGTTCCGACATCAGCTGAATTCGTCTGCACGGCCTTCTACAATACTATCGAGTGAAAGACTTCAAGCTAGAATCCAGAGGCTTCGACAGGACTTGGTGATGACGGAGAACGAGTGCGAGGATGCTCTTCGCATCCTGAAGACCTCCAAGCCTCCCACCATGACCTCGGCTGCCATGACCGAGCGTCTGAACAGTGGTGCTGTTCTCTTGCAGAGAAATGCCAAGCTGACGCGGAGATTGATACTGGGGCTCCAAGAACGCCTAGAAAGCCTCCGAGAAGACCCCTCAGAGCCTTTATTCTGGGAAATCGGTCACCGCCTTCTTGCTTTGCAGGATACGCAGGTTTCCCTGGCGAACCTTGTTCAGCATTCCCTGCAGGTGTATTGTGTGGGCTCGAAGAACACGGATGAGGTGGCTCAAGTGTTGGCCGGAGGAGGTGGCCTCACGAATTCGAAGGACATCTGGGATATTTCTTCTACTTCTCGTTCAAGCGTTCTTGATGCCACCTTCAAACAGATGCCCGAGGAGGAGATCCAATCCCAAAAAGCTGCTATGCGAGGTCTTTCTGAGGACGGTAGCTCGAGGGCTCCAAAGCCTCCCCGACAGACAACCTTCAATCAAGTCAGCCCGTTGGCACACAGTACGTTTAGACCTTTTGGCTCGCAATTGGAAAATCTAGGGAGGGAGGCCGATGCTGCCGCTGCTGAGGCAGATAGCGTTGGTGTGGAGGACACCTGGGCGAAGAAACAGCAGTTGCTAAAGGATCATGTTCTTGTTCACAAAGTCCGCAAAAGTTATGGGGATATGTATGGCCCCATCGCCGTAAGTCATCGGCAGGTTACAGGAGCTGAGGGGGCTCCTGGGGGTTTCACTGAGGGAGTGGAAAAATGGTGCCAAGACCAGCAGAAAGTCAACCCTGACAACGCTTCTGAGCCCACAACAGCAACAAGCTCCGACGTGACTGCGCAAAGCACTCCAGCTGAAGAAACTCTTTCTGCCTCGCTATCACAGAATCCTGCCGCCCCTTCAGCTGCCCTCCCGCCCACTCACGAACCACCGCATCAAGATGCAATTTCACCTGCTCAAGCAAAAGCTTCACCTCTTGTAGTGCCAGAGACCCCGCTGCAACGACTTCCCACTAGTGATTCTCTAGATTCCGCACCTGCGCAAGACGAGAGTACGGTTCATCTTTCGGCCGCCGGCGATATTTCACCGCCTCCTGCGTACGCATCGGAGGACTTAGTAATGGGCTGTCCCCTTTCTAATTCAGAGACAGCCGCCGCAGCGCAAAAGAACTCCGGACCCTGCACCTGGAAAGTACTCTCGTACAACGCGACCACGGACGACGTTTCGGTCATCTCGACCATTACGACCGACCACCCAGTTTCAACGGCCTCCATCTCCCTACCCGAAGCCCTCCAGCGCCTAGAGAAGCCAGTGAAGTTCCTCCCGCATTTGCCGCACGGCTTCGACATCGTCGCGATGAAGTCAGATTTGCTGGTCATCCGCGAATCCCATGAGCCGGGTACAGTGATTCAGGATGCGAAGGTGGTGACGGAGAAGGAGGCGAGAGACGAGGAGTGGTGCAGGATCAACCCTGTAGACGGCACAACTCGGCTTTCGCCGACGGGGTTTGTGGGTGTGGATGATGATTTGAGGGAGGAGGTGCGGAGGGAGATTGAGGAGGTGAGGAAGAAAAGGGATGAGAGGAGGTTGAGGGAGGGGAAGGGAGAATTGGGAAGGGGGAAGAAGGATAAGGGGGAGAGGAGAAGGAAGGGTGGGGCGGTGGCGGGGATAGTGAAGACGGGGATTTGGGCGGCCGCGGCCTGCTACGTGGCTGGGGTTTTAGGGGAATTGTTTAGATAGCTGGTGTGGGGTTTTAGGGAAGGATTTAGGATGGCGTTTGGAGGTTTTGGTGGTGGGATTAAGGGGTCAGGGTGACCACTCTGTATGTATGTATATGTAATGATACTTCTCTCACCTTGTCTAATATGTGCCTGCTCCTGTTTGTGCAGGATCATTAGAATAGGTAGGATGGTACGGGTATCTTGCTGCATGTAGGTTTCAAGCTAAGGGATTCTCCCTTTCTGTCTTTAGTTGCATATTATCTTGTTCCCCTTGCACGCACCTACACATGCATGTAATGCTTCCTTGTATGTCTTCAATCCTGCAATATCCTTCATGCTCAGCTTATAGAACAGTAGGCAAAGGTTAAGTCTCTTGCTACCTTATTATTTAGAGCTAAGGTCTTTTTCATTATACGTAGATGTAATATATCTTTCTCTCCTTACATTTGTGCAACTGCTTCCTTGTATATCTACAACGTTGCAACATCCTTTCTGCTTGGTTGACACAGTAAGCATAAGCTAAGTTTCTTTTTATATATTCGGTTAGGGCTAAGGGGTTCTTTCTTATTAGCAGAGCTTGCTCTGCTTATTATATTCGGGTTTGCAGAACGAAAAGTTGAGCAGAATCTCCTCTTTTGGACGCGCTAGTTAGTCAGAATTTCTTCGGATAAACCCCGGTAACGCT